AAAAATTCCTTAATAATTTTGAAATATTCAAAGTTCAGTAAGATTGCAAACAATTTACTTTGTTGAATAGTATATTACAGCCTCATCACATTGCTCGATCAGGAACTTTTTTGAAAAGAAGCAACGGGTTTGAGCCACTCCAAGCTCATTTGAAACAATTTCAAAAAGTTTTTACATCGGGTTGGATGACAAACATTGTTTAAAAGATAGCAGTTGTGAAAAAATCACAAATCTCAATCATTTCTTAGAATTTAACTATGCTGTAACGGAATGTTACCATCTACAGCAATTTTAGAACACTTTCCATCTACTTGAAACAATTCCTTAATAAAAATGATGTAAGCAAAGTTCACTAAGAAAAGAATATTTCAAAAACTAATTGTTGGTGGAATGATTCTGCACAACTATAAAGCATCTCCTTGTTCCTATATTGTACATGTGGATATTAGTAAAAAAAACCACCACTATAACAAAATTTTTTGTTTTGGTCCAACAGATGATGAGAAATGGCACTTGTAAATGTTGAAAATAATGTTATACCAATTCTACACCATACACAACTTGGCTACTTATCCATCATTTACAAAATGATGATACAATTGAAATAAATATCACATCTCAATTTAAATATAGAGAAGGTCAATTAAGGTTCCTCAATAGGGAAGTACCCTAAGGACAATGAGATTCAATACCAAATTGATACAATATGTTATTAACATCATATAATGAGGTTCCTATCAATTTCAAATCATTTGGACATCATTCAGTATTCATGTCATTTAACCATGTCACTAACTACTCATGATAATATGACAAGTCAATATCAAGATGTACAACAAGATAGAATATCATACCACTACTCTTATAACTGATATTGATAACGTTTCTGAGTGATAGAAATCAATATCTATATAATTGGAATATCTGTCAATCTACTGTCGCAATTGACAAAAAGGTAACATTCTTACATGTCATGAATGGTAAGAATGAATACCAATTCAATATTATCATGTTATAATCATCAAATACTGTCATAGAATCAATTTTGGAATGATTTCAATATAATCTTAGATAGTTATCATATGACAAAGTTACTACCTTAGTGAACAACCCACGTCATTAATAAATGTTAAAATTGAAATATTTCAATCATATATTCATATATATATCAATTATAGTGTATAATACCAGTTTTGTAGTATAAAATCAATTATTGGTATGATGGCAATATTTCAATTAAACATTGACATTACAACATTTCCCAAATTGGAAATATAGATTATAACATCATGATGTTCAACATTTAGTGATAAAGTACAGCGATGACATATATTATCCAATAAAATATTCATATCCATTTAAAAGTTAACCACATCGAAAGCTCCCCTATTGCCATCCAAGTTGACTTCCAAAAGTCTCAAAATGGATCCAATCATGATTTTTTCAGTGATTTATGATTACCATTCAGATTTACTACTGTATTTATCAGTATTATTGAATTTTATTGTGTTTCCATATTATAGGTCAAGATCTTGGTCAATTAATCATTTTAGTAGAAAAGCTACAAGGAAATGTTTCTCTCTAGTCACCACCCTATAACCTCCTCTTAATGAAGAAGAGTTCCAAATCTTGAGATGAGAACCTTGTTCACTTTCAAAATGTTGAATTAATGCAGCCACTTTCCCATTCTTCTATCAAGTGTTGTCACAATAAGAAGCTTCTGATTCGTATCAACACTCTTTATAAAAATTCAATAATAAACAATTTCAAAATCTTAAATCAATAAGAGATTGGAGTAAGAGGTATCCGAGGTTCCCAAACCCAAACCCATCTAATGGTCGGTACAAGACCTTAGATCTGAAGGCCTAGCTGGCAAGAACTTCACTAACACTCTATTTTCTCTAGACTAACCCATTGGTTTATCAATGAAATTCTTTATTGTTTTATTTGGATAAATATTTTCAAGTTTTTCAACCATTATTCGGTTTGCTAGTATTTCAAGGATAATAGATTAGTAGAAATTGGTTTTTGTGGTTGTTCAGTGTTGAAAATATTCTATTAGGTGCGTGTAGTAGAATAAAGCTCATAATTTCCGAATTTATTGGTGTATTGTTGGATAAATTATTGTTATTCCCAGGGATTAATTTTAAAAACTTCAATTTCAATAACTTTAAATGTGTAACATCCTGCCAAATAACTTTTAGCTTCATCAGTTCCATAATTGTATCCTGTGGGTAATTCATATGTCAATCCAAAGTTCGAGTATGAAGCATTATTCAAATTGCAATCACTGTATATACATATATCCCCTTCAATCTCAGTAGTTCCTCCAAATATTACCAAATACTTATGATGTGCTTCAATCGCATATTGTTTCTTATTTTGGTTAATGTTAAAGTGTTGAACTTGATAATTTCCATTATGATCTGTTACAATTTTGAAAATAAATGCTGAATCGTCCATAACAAAGTTGAAATTATCTTTGTTTGATTTCCAAGATTGACTAGTAAAAGCACCAAATACTTGATTATGTTCTGATTTGATAATGGTCAATGTTGCGCCTTGATTATCACATTTGGAATGAAAATCATTTGCATGGAATCCATCTCTTGTTCCTCTGTATAATAATTGAGGAATAGATTTACTTTTAGTTTGCATATATAGAGGAATTGATACAAAACTTCCATAATTATTAATAATATTCGAAAGTCCAATACCAAAATTAGAATCCAGTTTAACATGTGCGAAAGATGTATGTGCAAATGTGCTATTAATAAAAATGAAGGTGGATAAATCTTGTGCATCCAGATTAATATTTTCAAACATGATAGAATTAATTTGTTTGTTTGAAAGTTTAGAAAAATCAAATAAACATGAATCAAATTTAAATCCTTTGAATTTTGATAAATCTCTCATTTCTCTTAAATCAGTATTCTTAATTAAGCAATTAAATGAATTATTTGTTGTGAGAACAAGTTCAATTAATTTGAAATTAGCTTTTTCAAAAACAGATCCATTAAATTCACATTCAATACATTTGCAATTCTTCAAATTATTATTTTTAAAATGCATTTGAATTGTACACTTTTCAAATGTTACACTTTCAAATTGTGCCTTTTTAAATTGAGAGCCAATTGCCACATTTGAAAAATGACAATCCTTAAAATAACTTGCCTTGAAATTTACATCAACCAAGTTCATTCCACGAAAATCAAATCCAATAATTTCCTTTCCTGCCAAGTTAACATGTTGTACAATAACTCTCCTCAAATCAATTCCAAAAGATTGAGATATAATCAATAATTTCCTCAAATCTACATTTATCTCCCTGTCTAATATTCCATACTTTAACCAATCAAGAATATGCTTGAAAATGAACAAATCACAATCAATAAAGTATACTGGCTCATTGAATTGATTTGATGTTTGATACAATGGATATTCAGCAGTGAACATTTTCTTGAATAAATTATCAGGTTCTCTTTCGTTGTGAATAAATGTTCCTAATGAGACTGTCATGATAGTTCCACCAACATTGAGATAAATTGGTTTGTTACTGGCCTCCAGTTTTAATCTGACCAATTGTTGATTTTCAAATTCTTTAACCCTCTTCTCTAATGCTTCTTCTTTTAATTGGTATTGTTTGATAAGGTCTAGTTTAATTTTCTTTAAATTTTGCTTTTCTATGCTCAAGATATTTTCATTTTGGATTTGTTGAGATTCATTCTTCTTCTTGAATTCTTCCTCTAATCTATTTTTCAATTCATCAACTTGTTTATAAGCTTCATGAAGAGGACAATGCTTTTCCTCATGATCCTTCAATTGACCTCTCTCCACTGCTCCCTTACACATTGAACATTTCACTTTCAGCTGATGTAACTTGTTGGTAATATACTTTGGAACAGATGAACAATTTTCAAGTAACTTATCAGCTCTACAAAGTGGACATCTATTATCAACAATCTTCCTTGCACAACCAGAACAAAACATATTTTCACACAAAGAGTGCATGATCGGATCAATCAGTGGTAAATAACAAATAGAACAGTAAATCCTTTTCAATTTCCTTTTCGTCTAGATAAGTGTATTCTTCGCATTGATTGGTGTCGGAATTTTCACAATATTCAACTCTGTTAAGATTGAAATTTTCATCATCAACTTGCTTTTTGGTAATTGGTAATTGTTGTGTACTCTCTTCGAAAATGACACGATCATCATCAAAGAGTTGTTTTGACATTTTTTAATGATATGGAATTTGAAAAGTGACGTAGTATGATCTTTGGAATATTAATGAAACTGTTGTGAGGGACTACCATTTCATAGAAGAACTCAAGAGCTGTGAAAATAATTTGTATTCTTAACACAATACGAAAGTATCTTAGGTTTAGAATAATATTATATCTCTGAAATAGAGAGGACTATCCAATTGTTAATATTCATTGCGATCTTTTCTCTGTTGTAATTTAACATTCTGATTTGATGTTTTGTAAAATCATTGAAATTGAAAAATCACAAACTGAAACTAAGAACCAACCTGAAGTTGAAATTCAGTCGACCTATCGGATAAACTTCGTTTGATTGTAAAATGGTATTACTGTTGATTAGTTAATACTTTATTTACAGTATTAATTCTAGAAAGACTTATTGATATGATGGTGGATAACCTCCTTGTTGAGGTGGATATTGTTGAGGGTATCCTTGTTGAGGTGGATATTGTTGTGGATATCCTTGTGGTGGATATTGTTGTTGTTGTGGCATCATTCCAGGTTGTCCGTATGGTTGCTGAGGATATCCCATACCTGGTTGTCCATAAGGTTGTTGAGGGTAACCTTGTTGAGGTGGATATTGTTGTGGATATCCTTGTTGAGGCATCATGCCAGGTTGACCTCCCATCATTGTTGTGGTTGTAGTTGTTGATCCCACAGTACCACAAGCTCCATGATATCCAGTACCTTTATACTTCATACCACCTGCCTGTAAGAACAGATAGGCATTCAAGAATTCATTCATGGTAATCACCTTGTTGTGGTCTACATCAACCATCTTGAATAAATGTTTACATTCATCTTTGTGTGCACCGAGGGCTATTATGAAAGATTAACATGATTCATTGTTACAACAATCACGAAAAAGAACAATAATAACATACCTTGCATAGCCTTCTTGAATTCTTTCTTCTTGAGGACACCATTACGATCTTTATCATATTGGTAATAGACTTGTTGTGCCTGGGAAGAATACATTTGTCCTTGCATAGCCATATGTGGTGGCTGTTGTTATTCAGTATAACCATTAATCAATTAAATGTAGATGAGGTAGGTTTGAAGAAGTACGGAAGAAGATCAAATATAATAAAAAATAATAAATATTCGTGATGATGGTGAATATTAGATACATCGTGTAATAAAAACACGTACCACTTGGAAATTTGGAGGAAGCCAGCTAGGTTGTCCAATAAAGTAGCTCATTCTTGTTGTATTTGTTTTTGATTGTGTTACTTGCAACCTCACGATGTTTTAAATGTTTTGCCTGTTGAACATTCGATCGCTCCTCTAATGAACTTAAAAGTGTCTTCGTGCTCCTACTTATTGATGGGGTCTTATTATGGTCGGTTTGAATAGTTAACTTATTTGTTGGGACCTCTATTCCTATAGCATTGGATTCATTACCTATTCAACATTATTGGTTGTTTTTATGTTTTTTTTGTTTTGAAAATATAAAATTTCTAACGGTTTTTGTTTACAAGATTGGCGGGGTTTGAACTCCATCGTTAACATGTTTATTCCAAGGAGTGGTTTAACAAGATGACACTCCAAGAATTTCACATCATCATTTCAACATTATCTGAATTGTAGTAATGACTGTTGGAAATTGTGTTTCAAGAATGATGGAAAAATACAAGTTGGAACATTCACCATCATCAACATGCAAATCTTGTTTTTTTACACTTGGCAATGAGTGTTGTTGTTCTAATGGTAGATTAATAGATAAGTTACTAGAAACATCAAGTGAATGGATATAGACAACAAGCTTACTGTCACTCAAGTGTGTTGAACTAACTTAATATCTTTATTGTTTCACAGTATGAAACGTCCATCTGTTGAATTTAAATTGCATCATTGATTGTGGAGTTGCCACTCTCTTCTTTCGGATAGGGCTATTGGATGGCTGTTTCTTCACGCTTTTCGTTCGTTTCGTCTGCACTATCATGAGATTCTCTTCATTTCCATCCAAGTGAGATTGATCAACTTCATTCGATACACTTCTAGTACGTTTCAGTATAGAGGTTGTTCTTTTTTGGTTAACCTTAGAGAAGTTTGGTTTTTTAACGGATATCTTAATTTGTTCAGAACTTGTTGTATTTACAGATGAATTGATGGTGGAATTGCTATCGGTGTTGATCGGTAGTGGAGTTTGCAGTTGAGTATCGAGAATTTGAAAGGTGGTTTCTTGGGGAGTCGTTGGTTTCGAATATTGAAAGGATTCCTGTAGAGAAGAATAGGATTGAAGAAAGTCTTCCATATCTAGTTTGAGATGACAAGCATCAAATTCTTGAACAGAATCAATATTATAATTCAATTGAGAATAGCGAGATTGATTGACTTCTATTTCTTTCATTTCCAAAGATCTTGTTAAATACGAAACTAGATCAGAAACTTGCTGAAAGTCATAGAAATTAGATTGAGCAGTCAAATTGGAAGCATGCTTCAACGCAAGATAAAGCAAATACGAATTAGCAAAAGTCTGGTTATATGATATCATGGTTTGGCGTGTTTACTTTTTTTTCATGAATGTCAGTTGTCCATCAGCTCAGTACAATGCCGTACATTAATTGTCGAATCACAAATCTGACACGAATGAACATCATGGCCATTTCACATCACTACTTTACAACTAACAAAGGTGGCTGTAAACTGTCATTTTTGGTCAATTGACTTTTGGTTGTTGAAATATTGATTTGTCACCAAAAATCGAAAAAGTAACGGTGTTATAATGAATGACAACCATCCCGATTCTTATTTATTCATTTTGTTTGTTTTCATTGAAGAGGAAGAATGAAAAGTCCAAACTGGAAAATGAAATTGCATGGCAGATTGTTTGGCAGATGACTTGGAGATTTTCGTAAGTGGAAAACCTCTTCTTCTCAAGTGCAATACATTCTGGTTTGTATTCGAGTTATCATTCGAGTTTGTATTCATTGAAAATCTCGTATAAATGGTTGAACTGAGCTTGACATTTGACTTGGATGAATGTTTATAGGAGAAGGGCTTGATTTGAATATTGTTACATGTTTTGGAGGATTTGGAAGGTTTAGGATTCTTATTTTGTTGGAGGATAGAACTGGAATGAGTTTCAAGTTTACTTCTTTCATTATTATTGAAACCATATTCGAAAGGAATGGAAGAACATGACATTGTTGGAGAGGATGAAGACTGACTTGATGTTGTTGTTGTATTGCTCACATCTTTAGTTATGGGAAAGCTGCAATTGGAAAGAGTTGGCGATTCATCATGCATTTGAGAACTATTCGAAGCATGATTATTGGAAAGAAGGCAATTCATGATTGGCGAGGAGCTGACAATTCTTGTAGAAGATCTCAAGGAAATTGCTTGGGAATCAACACTGATTCGATTTGCATCTTGGTTTCGAATAAACGACAAATTGGTATTTTCGCAAACGTTGCTAATGCTCATTTCTGGATGAATGTTATCCAACAAGTGATGTTTCATAGTTACTCCTTGGTTGTAATCGTCTAGGGTATTCAAGTAAGATTGATAAAAATCGAAAATGTCAAGTTTCAACATCAAGTTTGGAGATTCGTCCAGTGTTGGTTGACTTTCACATGATTGTAATCCATTGATACAAAGATCAGAGGTTTGTCTATGTGGAATACAAGTGGAGTTCGTATTGCTATTGAAATTGTTGTTGGAATGAAACAGAGACTGATGAAACAAGTTTAAACTACTTTCGTTTGGTTTCTCAAACTGGTTCAGTGGAAGAGAAGAATCATTCTGAGTGAAGATGTTAAATCCTGGGGGTGGTATTTCATTCATTGTATTCTGAGACGAGTTTGTCGAATAGTTAAAAATAAGGTTGGTTATGATCTTTCGTTGAGTTTCGACATCAAACTTGAAGAATTCTTCCATATTCATGAGTTAGTAATCTTGTATATTTCCCTTCAACAATTTGTTCCACTAATAGATAAATCAATTAGTGTTTCGTTAACAACAAGTTTAGCCAATTTTTTTGAGCACTTGAAACTAAACGAATCTAATATTTATCATATTTGAGCACAAATAAACATCCCAAGAAACCTAGTCAATAGAGTGCGATTTACATTGTGAGCTGTAGTTTCTCTTATTAAGAATTTAGGTGTATTACATGCGACAATAAATCCAGAACTAAAATACGAAACTGGCCTAATACTGGTCTAAGATCGTGATACAAAAGACAAAAACATTACCTTTCTGGGAATTTTGTTGCTTGTCAACATATTACTGGGATAACCAGGACTATTTAGTAAAATGAATAAAAATAATAACGGTATTATTGTTGTAAACTTTTGATGCAATATTCGAAACCTGAGTATTCGAAATAGTGTTGTATAGCGGTGATTGTAAAAGATTTTCATGAATTGGTGTGAAACCGGCTGTAATTTCCAAACAATGAATCATCATCTCTGTTTAGTTAGTGAGAGGACATATTCGAATAATTTCACAAATATACAAATCATTCGACCAATTTTGTATATTTGTGAAACAGAAAAATATTAAGATGGTAGAAATGGTGACTTTTTCAAGTTATGAAATAGGTCCAAATCCTCAATCCACTCTTACTAAAAGAAACTAAACATTTATTCTGCAGCAGTTAATGGTTTTCTAGCCATAAAGAAATAACAAGGTGTAAAAATTCCAGTCTTTCCACCAGCAACCAATCCACTAGCTCCAGCCATCAAAAATTCATAAGCTTGTTGTGAAGATTTTGGGACTAAACCAACACTTTCCAAAATTCCAACCAATTTGTGAACAATAAATCTTCCATATGAAGTTTGGAACCAACTTGTAAAATCCCAACCACCATTGTCAATTGGTTGATACCAAGGCACTGGATGAATTTGATCAGTGACACCTACATCTTCAGTTTTGATAACTTCAAATCCTGCCTTTCTCAATGATTCATCAATCTCCTTATCCATGAGAATTTCTGGTAAACCATCTCCTTTCATAATGTCAAATTTAATCTTGTTATGTTCTTCATTTTTCGAATCATATTTTCCAGAAATCATGACCCATTCGTAACCTGCAAAAATTGCACCTGGTTTGAGTTTGTTGTAAATTTGTTTGTAACAATGTGGACGATCTTTGGCATGACAGGAAGCTTCGATTGTGTAGGCAGCATCGTAGGATTCAGATGGGAGATCTGAGTTGTCATCTAAATTGTTGAAATCACCTCTGACAATTTGACATTGTTCTGAGAGACCCATTTGTGAAATGTATTCTTTGGCTTGTTGAGATTGATAAGGATGATTGTTGACACCTGTGATGTGAGCTCCTGTGAAACGAGAAATGTTGGTGGCTGGACCCATGACTCCACAACCGAGATCTAAACATTTCATTCCCTTTTTGAGATCCATTTGTTTGGCCAACCAGTATTCATGTCTTTGAATGGATTCAATCATGCTTTCCTTCTTGTGTCTGTACACATGTCCACAATATTCCAAAAAGACACAGTCAAGTATCATAATGAAAAGCATGCATTTCATTGAATTCATATGAAAAAATGTAAGAAAATGTGAAAACTTTACAAAAATACTAACCTTGGAGCAAAATGGAAAGATCTTCCCCAACCATACAAGTAAAAATCAGTCACCATATCATAATATTTACCAGCAACATCCCATCCAGCATTCTTTCTCTTATCATGAGTATCTTTGGTATCTTGTGCGAATAAATCTTGATAGGTTCCTGTCACATTTTCATTTGTCAAGTGATAACCCTTGATTTGATTCTTAAACTTGAACAAATAGACCACGAATCCAATAACTACAATGGACACAACACCAAGGAGGAATAAAGACATTGTTTTGCAATTTGTTTTTTCACAAACTTGTGTTTCCTTGTGTGAATAATTTAAATAGGATTTTAACATTAGGTTTTGTATGAATATCGCTTCTCCTCAATGGTATTCGCAAATCGAAAACACACGCTCTCCGAGAAGATTAGCACTGTGAAATGTTTGTTTACAAAATATTGAGGAAGTGAGATGTAAATGAAAAGGAATGGGTGATTCCTAATTTGGATAATTTGTGCATTAACATGATACAGGATAAATAGGGATTATTAAGAGAGGAATACCTCTAGTGTTATTTGTTATTGTTATTGTCGAGGGAATGGAACAAAGTTATTCTTCCTCTCCTTGGAATGAACAGACAACAAATGATATCCAAACTAAAGTCTTCAATAGGAGAAGAATCTTCTATTCAAATAAACACTAATGGTGAACAGAAGAGTGCTAATCTTCAATTACTGTATTCATTGCTTGGAATTGATTTCAATATTCTTTTTAGGAAATTGAAATATTTTTGGAAATTGATAACATTTAATGAATATTTATCAAACAGATATTACGAGAGCAAAATTAAATTGAGGATAGAGATCATATTCTTTTGTAAAAATGATGAATTTTCCATGAATTTAACCAAGGCATTCCAACATTTGAGAATTGACACACATGACTTTGAGATTGTGGACAGTGTCTTTCCAATATGAATTTCTCTCTTACTGTGGAGTATTGTTCATTAAATACGGCTTATTTGCTTCATTAAATCTGGTTGATTTTGGAACAACTGAATCTTTACCTCTCGTGTGGAAAATTGATAGAAACATTCAAGTCCATATTTTTTTTCAATTAATAGTTCCAAAACAAATTCATAATCATTTCTGATTGTTTCAGAGGCGTATTGGAACATGTTATCATCTTTCATTACAACTTTCTTCACAAATTCCTTATTTGACCTCAATTTCTCGGAAGCATATTGAATACAACATGGTAAATAAGTAAGTGCAAGAAAGAAACTCAAATCGTCCTTAATTTCATCAGAAGCATATTGGAGAATGGGCACTCTCTTATTCGAAACTATAAAATTTTTGAAAAAGCTTCGATCATTTCCAAATCTTTTTGTGAATGACTTTCCAATGAGATTCTTGGTATATTCTCCAACTAAGGTGAATCCTTGTGAAAAGAATCGTTCCAATTCTGAAAAAAGTAATGAATCTGACATATCATCCCAACAAACATGTTCCAAAGAAGAAGAAATGGATCTTGTCATTTCAAATAATGTGCTGTCAATACTGTTTTTGGTTTCCTGTGTAAGTGAATCATACTTTGATTGATCCTTCCATGAATAGCACTCATAATAGATAATTTTAACATGGCTTTCGTTCATATAGTGAAAGAATGTTGAAGAAAATTGATAATGGTCATTAGAATACAGAGATGGTTCAATAAGCGAACAAGCTGCACAAACCATAATCTCTCTTTGTTTAAAGGCTGATGCGTACAATTTCTCAATAGAGAACTCCTCATTCTTAGGAAGTAATTGAGCAGTTTCATTTCTAATAAAACTTTCGTCAAAGAACAAAAGTGGACTAGCAAAGAATAATAATTTTTGATTGGGATACTCTGCCTTGCAATGGTTGTGTACCTTAATGAGCTCATCTCTGTCTTCTTTCCTTCCCATAATGTTCAGGATGATATTTTCTCGCACATAGCTAGCTTTCATACTTCTTGAAAAGCAATCATTGATAATACACTTGATAAATTCAATATTTCCTCTCAGCTCAGGAGAAGCATGTTTGAACAGAGACGGGTTAAACTTCAGGCAACTCAATTTCATAAATGTAAAATTATTTTTGAGCTCTGGTATAATATATGGAAAAGAATTCACACCAAATAGAGAATTGGATGAATAGATTGAGAAAATGCAAGAGGCAAACTGCTCTGAGTTTTGCAATCTTTCAGAAGCAAATTTAAAGTATTTTGGAATCTGCATTGCACACAATACCAACTCAATATCCTCCCTGTCCTTGTCAGAAAATAATTCTAATAGGAATCCTTTTCTAGACAGCACTATTTTCTTTAGCTCCAAGTAGTGATATGGTTTTATAGGCAAATCCTGAATCGCAAGGAACTTGTGGACAATAACTGCCTGATACCAGAATTCCTCATCTTGATTTAAATAGAAGGAAGGAAACCAGAAATATGTGAATCGAGAAGCCATTCTTAATGCAAAATCAGTATTCTTCAAGTGAGAAGGTGGGAGTTTACTGATCATACTTGGACATGTTTTGAGTGCTTCAAAGATCAATTCAGGATCTTCTGAAAATATCCTATCTACGTAATTTAGTATGTTTCCATGATGTTTGACTGATTGCAGGATTAAATCTCTGTCATTCTTATAACTAATCATATTCCTTAATTTTTTATCAATACGGAGCTCACTAGAAGTACAATAATTGAATAATCGATTAGAATGTTTAAACAAGTTCACAATACCCTTGTTTGGAATATCAGAAAAATCAATCCTATCAAGAATTGTAAATAAATCATTTCCACATTCACTCAAATCCAAAGCCATTTCCAAAACTTGTCTATCAGCTCTCAATCTCTCAGAAGCATACACAAAAACCACTTGTTTTCGTTTCACCAAATCCAAAATAAACTCCTTGTCATCTTTCAATCGATTGCTTGCATATCTAATAAATCTTCCTTTAAGAAGCACCAATTTTTTAATAAAAACTTCATCATTTTCATCGGGTGGAGGATTTTCCTTCACAAATTTTCCAATCTTTTTAAAATCCAAACTGTACACTTTTTCCAAATAATGATGTTTTTCAATGTTAAATTTACAATCTAAAACTTTTTTAATTTTCAATAATTGATAACCAGTGTGATGAGCGTAAAATTGGTGACGCCATTCCGATTGAGAAAAACAAAGCTCATGATCTAGAATAATACGTGTGCTCATTTTTTTGTAAATTTTGATAATTAATTAAAGTTTATAATTTATTGGAGATCATCAACCAATTGACTAGCAGAGAATGGGGAAGCCTTACGAGCAAGACGTTGAGTCTTCTTTCTTTCACTATCAACTTGTTGTCTCAACTTTTCCAAATCATCTTGCAATTCGAGGAGCTTGTCCTTTTGTTGACGATTTTCAGCTTCCAACTTGGACTTGTCTTGTTCAGACTTTTGCAACTTGGAGGCATCTGATTGGGATTGAGATTGCAACAACTTGTTTTCACGTTCAGTCTTGGTCAACTTTTGTTCCAAATCTTGCTTAGAACGAGATTCTTCTTGCAAACGACGTTGGAATTCACGGAGATCACGATCAGCCTTCTTTTGTTCACGAGAAGCAGAAGCTCTTTCCTTCTTGGCTTGGGCAACTTGGTTATTCAAGTCCAACAATTCATTTTCATATTGTTGCTTCAATCTACGAGCAGCTTCGTCCAACTTGGATCTTTCTTGTTCCAAATCTTGCTTCAATTCTTCATTTTCACGTCTAACACGAGAAGAAACTTCATCAGCAGAAGCACGTTGATTACGTTCTTGCAACAAGTCAGTTCTCAATTGTTGAATCAAAGCTTGTTGTTCTAACTTGTTACGATTCAATTCATCTCTCAAATCTTCAGATTCTTCAGCTAATTCTCTCAATTCATCACATTCCAATTCAGCAGACTTCTTTTGTTGTTCAGCCTTCTTTCTCAATCTTTCTTCAGTTTGGAGACGAGTCTTCAATTCAGTCAAGTCCATTTCAACAGAACGCTTCTTGTTTTCAACTTCAACACGTTGATTAGTAACTTCTTCAACACGAGCCTTCAATTGGGCAAGTTGCATTTCGTATTCACGTCTGAGCTTTTCAACTTCAGCAGAGTCAACACCACCTGCAACACCACCACGTGGTTGCTTTTGCAAATCCTTGAATTCATCCTTAAGTTCAGAGTATTGTTCTTGAATCTTCTTCAATTGAGTCAACAAGTCATTCTTGTCATTATCAGATTCAGCCAAAACACGTTCAACTTCTTGCTTGAGTCTCTTGTTTTCCTTTTCAAGATCATCACGGAGACGAGCAATATCAGTCTTCAATCTGTTGTTTTCAGATTCAATAGATTGACGAGAGGAAGCTTCTTGTTGTTGCTTGTTATTAGCATCACCAAGACGAGAAGTCAAATCTTGAATTTGCTTTCTCAAACCGTCCAATTGTTCATCAGCTTCATCCTTATCACCATCACGTTCTTGCAAGTCCTTGGTAAGCTTCAAGATATCAGCCTTCAATCTAGCAATTTGAGTATTAGCTTCTTCAAGTTGTCTCTTGGCACCAGAAACATCACCAGATTGGTTAGTCAAATCCTTGTTCAATCTGTCACGTTCATTCTTAACAGTGTTCAATTCATTTTCTAATTGTTTAACACGGTTATCAGCATCATTCTTCTTTTGAGTTTCAGATTTCAATTGGGATTCAACACCTTGCAATTGTTCAGCCAATCTCTTAATTTCCTTATCGGACTTGCTCTTCTTCTTGTCAGATTCAGACTTGGATGATCTTTCAGATTCCAAGAGAGCAGTCAATTCACGGATCTTTTCTTCCAAAGCTCTAACCTTAGCATCCAAATTAGAGGATTCAGATGACTTATCAGAGAGAGCACGAGTAGCTTCATCCAATTGACGTTGGAGCTTTTCAGCTTCAGTCTTCAACTTGTTGACATTGTTTCTTTCATTATTCAAATCAGTTTGGAGTTGTTTGAATTGGTTGTCCAATTGATTCTTACCACCTTCAGTGTCAGAAAGGGCAGATTCCAATTCGTTGGCACGTTCCTTTTGGTTATCCAAATCAGTTTGTAATTGATCAGCACGTTGCTTGGTTCTGTTCAATTCATCCTTGGCAGCTTGCAATTCCAAATCGGTTTGCTTCTTTTGGGCATCCTTATTACGACCTTCATTTTCCAAGTCAGCAATCTTCTTTTGAAGAGCATCAGCTTGTTGTTCCTTTTCCTTGAGGTCAGATTCAAGCTTTCTGATACGGTTATCAGCATCATCCTTTTCTTGTTGAAGATCATCCTTGTTCTTCTTCAAGTTCTTCAAGTCCTTATCAGCCTTCTTCAACTTGTTGAGGAGATCATTCTTTTCATCATTGGTTCTGTTCAATTGGAGAGTTAATTCATCCTTTGATGATTCAGAGAGCTTCTTCAAACGATCAATTTCGTTATTCTTGTTCTTCAACTCTTCATCCATTCTGAACTTGGTATCAGAGAGTTCTCTTTCGAGATCCTTGTTACGTTCCAAAAGCTTTTGGTTTTCAGATTCAAGATCAGCAATTCTTTGCTTGAGCTTGTTGATTTCAGCTTGAAGTTGAGCAATCAAATCATCTCTGTCATGAACAGCGTTTTCCAAATCATTAACCTTGGAGTTGGCATTATCCAAGTCAGATTGGAGTGAACGATTCTTATTTTCAGCACCTTGTCTCTTACGAGTTTCTTCATCCAATTGGTTGGACAAGTTTTGAGCACTTTGTTCAGTAGCAGTTAACTTTCTTTGCAAGTTATCAGCAGACTTCTTTTGCTTGTCCAAATCTTCTTCCAAACCTTGCTTTTCCTTCTTGGTCTTCTTCAATTCAGAATCCAATTGATCACCAGCCAATTGAGAGTCGGTCAATTCCTTCTTCAAGTCCTTGATGTCCTTATCACGCTTCTTCAAATCTTCTTCACGAGCCTTACGGTTATTGGATTCATTTTCCAATTGAATACCTTGGTCAGAAAGCTCCATTTGGAGTCTAGAAATTTCATTGGACTTGTTATTGATTTCATTACGAGAATCAGCAAGATTATTTTCCAAATCAGCAATTCTCTTATCCAAATCCTTGGCCTTCTTGTTCAAGGTTTCAATTTCTAAATCCTTGTTTTGCAAGTCACCACCCTTAGATTTGATAATCTTTTCACGTTGTTCAATTTCATTCTTCATATCACGAATGGCTTCTTCGAGCTTCTTTTGAGCTTGGTTAAGAGCAGCAATAGCTTGAGTGTTACGAGTGATTTCAGAGTCCTTGTCATCGTTATCCTTTTGAGAACGTTCCAATTCTCTCTTTCTATCATTCAACTCCTTTTCGAGTTGGTTCATGTGATTATTCATGGTATCCAAACGATTACGTTGTTCTTCCAAGTCATCAATGAGCTTCTTACGAGATTGTTCGAGAGCATTCTTTTCAGTTTCAAGCTTCTTCTTAGAATCCTTTTCACCTTCGAGATCCTTCTTGAGTTGTTCGAAATCTTCCTTCAACTTCTTAGTGACTTGTTCACTTGAGAATTCCTTAAGATATGGACGAGTCAAGTTAATTAATTGCCACCAACCCCAATTCTTGAGCTTCAAGTAGGCACGGAAGTTTCTTTGGATCAACTTGATAGAAACCAAACGTCCTTGCAACTTCTTATAAGCAACTCTTTCATAAGCGGCTAAAGCAGCAGCTTGAGCAACACCAATAATCTTTGAAATTTGAGCTTCACGATATTCTTCAATGAGAGCTTCTTGTGAGGCCTTCAAGAAGACCTTTGTGGCACCCAATTTATATTGAGTGGTTTCTTCAAACTTGATAGAATCAAGAATGACTTGAGCCTTACCACGGAGATTTGGTTGTTGTTCCAAAGAACGTTTATCTTCAACCAACAAATCATAACGTTTGACGAATTCAGCATATGGAATACGACCTGGATAACCCTTACGAGCAATACGAATACCTTCCAAGACACCGTTACATTTCAATTGATGCAAAACAAGACGATCATCAATGATAGCTGGCTTTTGCAAATTGTTTGGTTTGATACAACGGATAAAGTGAGGTTCAGTTGATTCTAACAATCCCATAAGATCCTTCAATTGATTCTTATAGTTTGTAGCAACAGTCTTGAAACGAGCACTACCAACAGATCTCTTTTCATTAGCCTTGGTTCTTTCTCCTGGAACATCAAAGAGTGATTTAATCAAAGTATTACCAGAAGCAATCATAGTTGATTTACAATCTTCATTGAGTGGATCAACGTTCTTAGTGAACCATTGAACAACATTGTATGGAACATCACCAGCATAGTGAGAAAGGATGAATTCCTTTTCATTGAAACGAGAAGTCTTGAATTGTTTCTTAGTACCATGATTCTTGTTAATTTCACGAACCAAACCTTCTTCAGATTGTTGAGCCATGAAAGTTTGTTGGTCCAAAATAGCCAAGATACCCAATGGCTTTTCAATCAAGTCAATAGTTGGTTGCAAGTCCAAACCAAAATCAATGAACTTCCATTCAATCTTTTCCTTCAAGTATTCTTCTTGTTCCTTCTTGAACATATGGTGATTGAAGAATTGTTGCAACTTTTCGTTAGTATAATTGATACACAATTGTTCAAAACTGTTCAATTCAAAGATTTCGAAACCAGCAATATCCAAGACACCAATAAAGTTCTTAATCTTTTCCTTTGATGTCAAAGATTGATTAATGGAACGAACTAACCAGTCGAACAAACGATTATACATTGACTTGACTAAAGCAGATCTATTGAAACCAGCTTGAGCAACATTGACGTGAGTTTCAATGATATCAGTTGGAGTAATAATGTTTGGCTTCATGAAACCCTTTGCCAAACCTTCTGGATCAACACACAATAATTCAGAAGCAGTATTGAGTGGTGAACGTTCTGGTAACATGGATAAATCTTCATCATCCTTTACAAATTTACAATTACCCAAATGGAGAATTGAAGCAACAATTCTACAAGTAGCATCAATTTCATCTTCACTGATACCAATAATACGCATGGCCTTCAATGTTTCTTGGAATTCCATAGCATCATTAATACCTGGAACAGAAGTACAACCAGATTGAGAGACATAGGCATAACTGTTAACATTAGTCAAGTGATACTTGTTTCTAGCTTGAGCATCAGAAAGGATTTGATAGAAGAAGTGGAAATTTCTTTCATCACCAGCTTGAGCAGTAACTCTTGTTGTTTCTAATAAGTAGTGTTGAATCTTACAACCAGCAATATAACCACTTACATTGAAGTCAACTTCAATGAATTTACCAAAACGAGATGAGTTATTATTACGAAGTGTCTTTGCGTTACCAAAAGCTTCCAACAATGGATTGGTTTGCAACAATTGGTTTTCTAATTTACCAGCACCATGTGAAGCACCAGCTGTAGCAGTCAAATATTGGATAATCTTCTTGGTATTTTCAGTTTTACCAGCACCTGATTCACCTGTAACCAACATGGATTGATTCAATTGATTTTGTAACATTTGTCTATAAGCAACATCTGCAACTGTGAAAACGTGTGGTTCAGCATCTTCACGTCTCTTACCATTATGCTTCTTGATGATTTCATCAGTATAGATTGGTAAATTCTTGTATGGATTGACGGCAACTAAAAAGAGACCAGAGTATGTGTAGATTTTATCACTTTCATAACGCTTCTTCAAGTTGAAAAGCACAGAAGGTTCATTCAGATGGGATAATCTAGCCATATCTTCAATACCTGTCAATTTTGGAGGATTCATTGGGAAAACTTCTTCAATTGGGAGTGTCTTCTTATCACCTGATTCTGTTTCAACAACAACTTCCTTTCCTTTACGTTCTTTAATTTCACCAACTTCGAAAGCATTAAGTGCTTCACCATTACATGGTACCCACATAAAGTTGGCACCTGAAACTTTCCAGTTACTTTCATCTGATTGAGCATCAACAAGTTTTGTAAAGAGAGTTGCTGAAGCTGCTGATTTGGTTCCAGCACCAGCGCCACCACGAGCTGTTCTACGACGACGTTGGCTTTCGTCACCAACTTCGATATTATCGTTTTCTTGAGACATTAGTGGTTTTGTTGATTTGTTTTTTTAATGTGTGAAAATTTATCAATCTAACCCATCATCCTTCAAATGATTTTACATCGCCTGTCAATCATATTGATGACAGCAGTGAAGTGTAGATGCTGAAGAGTCGTCTATCATCATGCTCGCAACAAGGAAAGATCACACAAGCACGTTCATCAGGAAAGTGGATAGTTGATGTCACTTTGACGAGTTTTGTATCAAAAAGTTCTCCAATACTCAAATTTAATCTTCATAAGATGTTGATTGCTATCATCATAATAAAGGAAACATGTAAACAAAATTTCTAAAATATTATTGTTGTTGGTGAAGTGTAAATATCGTGATGATTGCCTTCTTGTGAAGAAAAGAAGAAGTAAGATAATTTGGATAATTCAGTGATGAAGATGTTGAAGTTATCCGTTTGTTATAAAAGGTTGATTGGATGATGAAAAACTTGTATGACGAAATTACTCGGATACTCTCTTCTGTTCATCCTTATTGTTGGTTCAATCAAAAAGCAGCCATCCTCGCAACCCTTTAAACAATTTTTTCTAAGGTTCTTTCTCCAAATGGTGAGCACTACTGCCAAAGCAATATTTACTAAGGTTCTTTCCAAAGCAAACAATATTTTTCCAGCACAAGCTTTTAAGCCATTTTTTCTTTTGAAATTTACAGCAAAACGGTTTTTGGCGGTTTGTTAACACCATTTGCTATGTAGAATAGTTTGCAAGAAATTGTTCTTAATTGTTGTTGTTTCGTACTTTCATTGTATACACATCGATACAGTGAGTGCTTTACAAGTTACTTTTAATGTTGATACTTTGGGAAATGAACATCTAATATTAACTGTTTGCACTCTATTTAAACTAGAAAAATTCCAAGGCAAGTAATTGTCTGAAAATGAAAATTCAATTTCTTATTTTCAGTTCAATTTTTCAGTTCTAAAATTCCAGTTTAAGGGTCAAAATGTCATGTCACTTCTAAGGGTATGTCAGAAATCATTAATTATTTGGAATGAGTTAGTTATAAAAACCAACAAACCATTGACAGCTTTGTTACACATCTTTAAAAAAATTAGCCATGCCAGAAATTATTGGATCTTCAACTGCGTCCAAGCAATCTCTTGGTTTCAACGTTTCGTTATTAGTAAGTGTCAGTTGACAATCCATGTGGATAATATGTGAATAATGTCGAAAAATAACAATGAAATATTTCAAACTCCACTTGCGCTCTAACCTATTTAATAGAAAGGAGGTACTATTAGTCAAACAATCGTAAGTTTCGAATAATCTTTCGCATATTCTAAAAAACCAAATAGATTGGTGCTATCATCTCTGGTTTGGTTATTGCTTCCACAGTAGCCACCATCTTGATGGTGTCCTTGATTTCCTATCAAAGACCAGTTGCTGTCAATGATTTAGCTTCCACCTACAAGAATATTCCATTGACCATCAATGTTCTTTCCAATGATTATGATCCTAAAGGAGCAAACATTTCATTGGTTCAATTTGTTGTCTATCCAAATCATGGTTCAGCCTCAATTCAGTCCAATAGTCAAGTTCTCTACAAGTCAAATGGTACTTTTGCTGGAAATGACACTTTCAGTTATCAAATTACTAATGGTTACAAGACAGCAAATGCATCTGTTACTATTCAAGTTTTGAATCGTCCACCAGAAGCCGTTCCTATTCGTGTAACTGTCAGTAAGAATGCCAAGAATTCAGTAATCAACATTTTTGATTATGTTGGTGATAATGATGAGAAGATTAATGATCCAGATAATGGTGATTTAATTCAAGCAGTTTCTTTCACTAATCAAACTATTGTTAGTGGAAATAGTGCTGAAACTGGTTCAATTTCTGTTGATCCAGCTAATGGTTTCTATTATACTCCTGCATATGGTTTCAATGGTGTTGAACAATTTGCCTATTCCATTTCTGATGGCTATGACACTTCGAGCTCTATAATTACTGTCACTGTCTCCAACGATCCTCCAATTGCTGTTGATGATACTTACAGAATTCCTAAATTCCGTTCATTGGTTTTGGATGTTTTGGCTAATGACTATGATATCAATGGTGATGATTTCAATATTACAAGTGCTTTGGGTACTGGTTATGGTGCTATCAATGTTGGTGAAAAGAAGATTACTTACATTACAAGTGGTAGTGTCAATACCAAATATTCTGATTCGTTTGAATATACCATTTCAGATGGTGTTGCTACTTCATCTGGTATTGTTGTAATCTCAGTTTACAATCAAAATCCAGTTGTCTATTCTAAAACTGTCACTGTTGCCAAGTCATCCACTAATAATTCAATTACTATTGATTATTATGATGCAGATGGAAAGGATTTGATCGTTCCAAGTACAATCACTCCTTCTCTTGCATCTGTTTCTTCTTCTTTACAAAAGACTACTAATTATGTCAATATTTTCTTTGATTGTTGTGATTGGCTTAGTGTTGAAACAAACAATTACACTATCCTTTTCACACCAGTTTCCAATCAAGTTTACACTCAAACTTTCACTGTTGTCATGTCAGATGGTGAAGGTACAGGAAGTGGTATAATCACCATCAACGTTGTCAATACTCCACCTGTTGCAGTTGATGACCTTGCCGAATGTAATAAGAATCTTCAAGTTTATGTCAATCTCGTTGCCAATGATTATGATATCAACAGTGGTGACACTGCAAAGATCGTCTTGTCAAGTGTTGGTTGGAATTCCACAACATTGAATGGAGGAAGTTTGACCCTCTTCAATGAAACACATGCTCTCTACTCAGCTCCAAATGGTTTCTTGGGAACTGACGTTGCTCAATATGTAATTTCTGATCAAAGTCTTGATGCTAATGGTAATGCTGATCCAACAAGTTTCTCAAAGGGAAAGCTCACTGTTACTGTTATCAATAATCCACCAACTCCTGCCGATGATACATTCGAGATTTCAAAGGGTGTTACTTCCATTTTGAATGTTTTGGATAATGATTCTGATCCAAACGATGGTCTTGGTTCAGTATTTATTGTAAACTTTGTTTCTGCTTCTACAATTAAGAATATTCAAGCTACTATTGTACCTGGCACTAAGAATACTTTGTCATATGCTGCTTCTAATGCTGAATATACTGATTATTTGACCTATGATGTCACCCATCAAGATGGTTTGACTTCAACTTATAGAGCTACAGTTACTTTACAAGTTGTTAACGATGCTCCTGTTGCTGTTGATGATTCCTACTCCACATTGTGGAATAGATCAGTTGATTGCTCTGTAAAGGATAACGATTCTGATAAGAATGGTGATTTGACCACATCCACTGTTCACATTACCACAAATCCAACTCATGGTTCTGTTGTTGTATTGGGAAGTGTTGTCAGATACACACCAACTGATGGTTTTGTTGGAACTGATTCTTTCACTTACAAGTTAAATGATGGAAGTTCTGCTAATGCTGATTCCAACTCTGCTACTGTCACTATTACTGTCAACAATAACGCTCCTGTCACTGTTGATGATTCCATCACAACTCACTGGAGAAATCCTAGTGGTGTCTTGGTTAATCCATTGTCCAATGATAGTGATCCAGATGGTGATGCTCTTGTCTTAGAATCTACTACAGCTGACTCCTCTGTTGGAACTGTCACCTTGTCAGATTCCAAGACTATCAAATTTATTCCAAACACTGTCTCTGCCACTGTTGGTTCAAAGTCATTCACTTACTATGCTTATGATTACAATAAGAAAACTCAAGGAACTGTCAACGTTCAAGTGACCAATACTAAACCAGTTGGTACAGGTGAATCATACACTCTCCATTGGGCTGCTCCTGCAACCTTGTTCTCAGTTTTGGACAATGACATGGATCCAAATGGAGATCCAATCTCACTCTACTCTGTTAGTGGAAGTACTGCTGCTTCTGTTAGTGGATCTTCTGTTAAATATACTGCCAAGAAGAATGGATTGGCTGATACTTTCCAATATGTTATTACTGACACTGTTTCACAATCTGATACAATTACTGTTAACGTTGGTTTTACTAATAATGATGTACCAAGTGCTTCAAATGTTGCTACTTCTGTTCATTGGAGAACTTTGTTGTCTCAATCTCTTAATCAAGATTTCACTGTCATGGCAAAGACAACTGACAATGATGGTGATTCTCTTACTTTGACTGTCAATCCAACTGCTTCAGGATTATCTGGAGCTTCTTGTTCAAAGACTAGTGACACTGTTCCAAAGGTTAGAGTTACAGCTCCACCTAATACTCTTGGTACAGCCTCATGCTCATTCTCAGTTTCTGATGGTTTGGCTTCATCTGGAAGTAAAACTGCTCAATTGACCATTACAAACAGTGCACCAACATGTTCAAACATGACCGTTTCATTCAAACCAATCTATGTTACAAGTGGTCAAAACTATTCAATTTCATCATCAGTTACTGATCCAGATTCCAATGATATTCCATATTTAGTTCCTGGAACTGCTCAAATTATTGGAAATTCCTATCCTGGTGATTCTTTCACTGTAGTTGGTGCATATTTGAACTTTAAACCAAACGCAAACATTGGTGCTCGTACCTATGCTTACACAGTCACTGATGGTTTGACAGCTTCATCAATTTGTTACATTAACATTGTTGTCAGTTCATTGAGCTCTTCAAATTATGATCAAAGTTATGATGTCCACTGGAATGCCAACAATTATGAAGTTCCAATCTTGACTAACTTGCCAACTTCAACTATTAAGGCAATTGGTTCCACTTCTAATCCAACTGTCACCTTGTCAGGTGGAAAGATTTACTTTACTCCTTTGAGAAAATTGTACATTGATACGTTCACTGTAACTGTTACTGATACTGGTCTTGATAGTACTGTTTCTGTTACTATTACTACTTACAATAATGTGCCAACTGCCAGTCTTGCTACTCAATTTATTAATTGGGGAGGCTCAAAGACAGTTGACTTGTTAACTAATTATGTTGATGATGATTATTCTGCTGGTAGAGAAACAAAGGGAACAGTCAAGAGCGTTGATAGCTCATCAACTTTGGGGTCTGTCTCTGCAGTAACTGGCAGTTCAATCACTTACACTGCTCCTACCAAATATGTCGGTCCAGACTCTTTTAAGGTAACTGCAACTGATGGTTTGGCCACAGTTACTTTCTCAGTCACATTCACCATGACTAATACTGCTCCAGTAACCAACACCAAATATTTCAATGTCCACTGGGCTACTCACAAGACGGGTTATCAAATGGACATGAGTACTGGAGTAACAGATGTTGAAGGAAATGCATTAACTTATTCAGTTCAAGTATCTAGTGTTTCTCCATCCGGGGCTGGATCTATTGCTATGCCAACTTCACCAAATGCTGTTGCTACTGCTGGTTCATCTGTTTATTTGGGAACTTTCTCATTCACTTATGGAGCTAGTGATTCAATTGTGTCAACTCCAGGTACAGTTTATGTCACTGTTTATAATAACATGTCAGTTCCAGTTGCAAGCTCAAAGAATGTTCACTGGAAGGAAACTGGTGTTACCTTGAGTCCATTCGCAACATTTGCACCTTCTTTGAAAGATCCAGATAATGACAACTTGTCACTTGTTAGTGCATCAGCTCAAAAGGGTTCAGTTTCAGTTGGAACTTCAACCATTACTTACAATGCTCCGGGAACCTACATTGGAACTGATGTTGTCACCTATAAATTCACAGATGGTGCTCAATCCCTTGAAAATAGCAACACTGTTGTAAATGTCAATGTTTATGACAATGCTCCACAATGTGTTGACAAGACAGCAACTACCAAATGGAAATCATCTGTTTCTGTGGATTTATCATCAGGTGCTTGTACTGATTCTGATTCATTGGATACTGCCTACTTCAATGGAGCTACTTCAAGTGTTGTTGGTGGAAGTGTTTCAGTTTCGAATAAGATTGTTAGTTATACTCCTTCTGCAACTTCTTTAACCTTTACTGGTTCTAATGGTGCTTACTCTGCTACAGGTTCTTTCAAATTCCAATGTACTGATGGTATGTTAACTGCCAATAATCCAGGAACTGTCACTGTAACTGTCACTAACAATGCTCCAACAGGTACTGGAAAATCCACATCAATTGACAGAGATTACACAACCTCTACTTATGATTTCACTTGGGCTCAAATTGCCACAGTTTCAGATGCTGATGGAGATTCCATTTCTTATACCAATTTCGTTTCTTCTGATTCAAGTATTACAGTTTCTAATATTGGAACTGGTATCAGATTGACCACCAGTAACAAACTCATCCTTGGTCTCAAGACAATTCAATTCAGATTATTCGATGGTCTTCATTACAGTACATCAAATCTCACATTCAGTGTCACTTTCCTCAATTCTGCTCCAATCTGTTCTTCAAGCTCAATTGACTTGTTAAAGAAAGGTTCAATTGACTTGGCCACCTTATTCAGCGCCACCGATTCCAACAATGATCCAATCACCAACACCATTACCAATTCCATCTCTTCAACATTTGGCACCTTGACAGGAACTGTTTTCAAAGCTTCATCCACTAACAGTGGAACTTTCCAAGTCACTTACACTAGCACCGATTCTCAAGCTACGAGTAGCAGTGCCTGTTCAGTGACTGTTAATATTTATAATCAAATTCCGGTTGCAAATGATGTGACTTTTACGGTGGTTCCACTTGCTACGAGCAATGTCCATACTTTTGGTTATACGGCCACAGATGCTGATGGTTCTGATGTGTTGACTTTCAGTCAAACTGGTCATAGTTGTGGCTCAATTGTGTCAAGTTTGACTATTTCTACTTCTGGAGTTGTCACTTTTACAAGATTGCCAACTGTCATTACTGGAACTTGTACAATGAATGTTAAGGTTTCGGATAACAATTTACCAACTAATGGAGTTGATACTGCTGTCATTACATTTGTCTTGTCACCATCAACACCAACTGCCAATGATGACAGATTTGAAATTAATCAAGGACAAACTATTAGAATCTACGTCTGGCAAATTCTCCAAAATGATATTGATGAATTTGGTTCAAATACTACCTTGAAATTAACCTCAATTTCTTGTCCAAATTCCAATTACTGTCACAAGACTCCAAGATTAGTGACAGTTAATGGAGTTGCTGCTATCGAAGTTGATTCTGACACCACAACCTGTCAAGCAGATAAATTCCAATACACAATGATCACTTCATTCAACGTCTCTAGAAACGCAACTGTCTACATTGAATTCAAGAATTGTTACTGCACTGCCAAGATTGACTTTGTCTTTTTACTTGATGCTTCTGGGTCAATTGGTACAACCAATTATAATTCAATGAGAACTTTGTGTAAACAAATTACAGGAAGAATGTCCATCTCATCAGATTCCATATTGGTTTCCATTGTAAGATTCCACTCGAATGCAACACTTGCTTTGAAACTTTCGAATGACGGAACAACAATTAATAATACCTTAACTAATATGGCTTATGAAGCCTCTTCAACTGGAACTATTCCTGGATTGAGAGTTGCTGTAGATGCTTTGAGACCTGCCAATGGAGGTAGAGATGATGCTGATAAGGTTATTTTCAGTAAGTTTTTTTTCACCCTTACAATTTCTTACAAATAATTTTTCAATTTATTTTACAATAGTTTTGACTGATGGTGTTGCCAACGTTCCATGTTCATGTGGTGATTGTAGAAATGAATACCAAGCAAGACCAAGTCTCTTCTCCAACTCTATCCAAACCAATATCTTGAACAAGTACACTGGTTCTGCTTTGAACACTCAATTGAATGATATTTGTGCCTACAAGTATAATGATACATCAGTTCTCAATGGAACTCAATGTGATTATTGTAGTACTTCCAAATCTGCTTATTGTTTGCCATGTGCTGATGCTCTTCCTGCAGCTCAAAAGATTAATAGTTGGAAACGTAATGCTAGTGGAGTTGTTCCATATGATTTGGATAATCCTTACAATGGAAATAATAAGGTCCAATGGGTATGTTTTTATTTTTTATTTTCATTAATTTTTGAATATTTCCTATTTTGATAAATTTTTAATTTTCCTTTTATAGAAAATTGTGGCTATGGCCGTTGGTTCTGCCATGTCCAACACTTGGGGTGCTAGACAAATTAGAGGAATGAATTATGATCCAGCGAGAGCCATGACAGTTTCCTGGACTGATTTATCATCAACCATGAATGAAATTGTCGATCAATCTTGTAACCAAGTTTCAACCGTTGTGGATGCTTAATTAGGAAATGATAATAAATTGTTTGTGAGATTCTTTTAGTTTCTAATAATTTAAAAAAATGAATTGTTGGGATTTAATACAAGATTCGAATGATTTCGAATATTTATTCTCAACAATGTTTCTCAATTTTCTTTCTTCCAAATTGATCGTCCCAAAAGTTACAAATTGTTTCTTTCATTGCTTGTTCCATCTTGAGAGGGATGTCAATATACAATAACTTCTCTTCACATCTATTAAACGAAATCCAATTTGGGAATTCTTCTTTTGGATTTTCTCCATCTGGTTTTCCATATTTGATAAAATTAGTCCAATAATAAATCATTGAATCAGATATTTTTCGATCCTTATCTGAAAATTCTAAATTTTGAGAATCAGAAAACATTCCACTCAAATCTGGATTATTCTTAATTTCGTCCAAAATTGATGGAAACAAATAAGGCAATTCAGAAGCATGTGGAGCTCCATAACAAGGACCCAATTTCGGTTGGACATACGAAAATACATACTGATAAACATTCCTTTCCACTCTACTTTTAGACGAAACATTCTTCTGCATCTCTGAAACCACCGATGAATAATATCGAGCTGGACAATAAAACAATGCATCCGTCATAAACACATTAAAGAATTGCAAAATACTCGAATAAGTCCCCTGTCCACCATAGAGAATGGACACTTGTGCCAACAACTCGAAAATTGATGAGAGAGGTTCCATATTGAAGAGAGTTCTGAAGAGGACATATAATTGATAGATATTGAGATTAGATCCTCTATCACAGGTGAATGCAGTGGTTTCATTCCTGGTCGTTCCAACCATCATGGAAATATTGGAGATTGGATTATTGACCTTGTCTAAATTTTGATAAATAGTTTCGGATAAAAGTTGACCATCAACTACTGGAACAAAGGTCATATTTCTCTGAGCTGTAATGAAATCTGCAAATGGTAATTGTCTCAAACAAGCTAGTGTGAAACAGGAAACTCTTGATTTCAAAATATTTGTAAATGCTTGAGCTCCGTCCAAAGTATTTTGTAAAACTGAGCTTGGAAGAATTCCACTTTGAATGATTGATTGTTGGAAGAGGTTTTCTGAAGAGAAAATGGAGGTGGAGAGTAGACATGCTATGGACATGCCACCTGCTGATTCTCCTGCTACGGTAATCTTGTCAGGGTTTCCACCAAAGTTTCGAATATTTACTTTGACCCATCTGATAGCTTCTAATTGATCGTATAAACCAAAGTTTCCATTCACACCACTTGTCTTATCAGATAAGAAACCCAAAGATCCCAATCTATAATTAATAGTTACAAGAACTACTGGAATTCCCATTTCGGCTGCTTTCGAACACCAATACGAACCATCATAGATAGAACCTGAACCACTTGTGAATGAACCACCATGAATCCAAACCATAACTTGCACACTTTCATTCAACATTGGTGTCCAAATATTCAGATTAAGACAATCTTCACTCATGGCCGAAAGTAAAGTTGTGGCAGTGGTTGGTTGTGGACAAACGTGGCCAAATGAAGTTGCATTGACCACAGAGGATTGATCATAGAGGAAGGGTACAGTAATCTTGAATCTATTATTGCCAGAGGTTTCTTGTCCATAACGAATTCCAATAAAGGAAGAAACGTTTCCATTTTGAAATCCTAAATATGTAACGCCATTGGAAGTAACTTGTGTGGATAGACAGAATACTGGTAAGAACAGATAGCAGGCGATACAGATAATTAGAAAGATGTTGAATAATTTCATTTTTTTAGACATTAAATTTTTAAAGTATTTCCATTTTTGCAAAATTACGAAAATAATCGATCTTCCATTTATGGAGTTCCTCTCAAATATTTCCTTCAAGGCTTTCAATTTTAAAGAGCATTAAAAGCCTTCAACATTTACATGTCTTTTAAGGAATTGTTAAGAAATTAAGGCAAAATGCCTCCCTTGGGAATCGAACCCAAGACCTCTGTCTTACTAGGACAGCGCTACTGCCAACTGAGCTAGGAAGGCGCACAATAAGCGTTTAGAAAGCCTTAATATCTTGGAAATCAGATAAAAACTGGCAAAAAACAAAATCTAATATATAGAATCCTATATATATAACCTTCAGCTGTTAAATTCCTTATATACAAAATGATAATCATAAGTCTAAATCAGTAGTAATTGACATTTCTTGAATTAAATTTTCTCCTACAGCTGTCAACAAATTATTCGTTATTGAAATTCTTTTCAAATTTTCCATCTCTCTTATAAATACAACTCCTTCATCAGTGATTTGATTTCCTGAAACATTGAGATAATTAAGCATCTTCAATGAACTAAGGTGCTTTAATCCCTCATCACCAATATCATTAAGGGAAAGAATAAGATCAACCAATTCATTCAAGGAACTCAAATAATTTACTCCTACATTAGAAATATCTGCTAATGATAGGAAGAGATGTTTCAATTTTGTAGATTGACCAATAAACTTGGCACCTTCATCGCCAATATTACTTCCTGTCAAATCTAAAATAGTTAAATTTGGTAATTCACAAAGATATTTCGCTCCCTCTTCATTTATATCATCGTAATCAATAAAAAGACTGGTCAATTCAGTCAATTTGCTTATTGATTTGACTCCCTCGTTTCCAATACTATTTTCACCAATATCGAGGGCTGTTAATGTTTTCAAATTAATTATTGGCTCGACTAATCCTATATTATTAGAGCGAATGTTAAGACGTGTTAAATTTTCCAGTTGACCAATTGACTCTAAACCTTCATTACCAATTCTACTATATCCAATATCAAGAGTAGTCAGGTTTTTTAAGTCACTGATTGATTTAGCTCTTCCCACACCATCAAGAATAGATTCATGCTTTGCCATGTTTCGAATAATTGTGAGCTCACGCAAATACTTGAATTCTTTTAAAAAATCACTTGATATTTCATTATCAATTCCTTCAAATAACTCCAATTCCCGAAATAATTTGATGAAAGAGCTTTTGGTCATTGTGTGAATTCTTTCATCATCCAATTTTCTAATACTAATCCGTAGATTAGAATATTTTTTTACAATTTCGAGCCATTGTTTAGAAACTAGACAACAACTTGTCAGTATAAATTTCCAATCATCAACAAATGCCAAGATCTCTTGGCACATATCATCCGAGAATATTTCTGATCATCAACCTATTAGAAATTTCACAAAAAAATCATCAACAAACCTTTTGTGTGGTTTTTACTCATTTTTTTATTTAAAAATCAATAGTTGATTATTTTCACAAGATAAAGTTCTCCAGTTTTATCATTAATACACATTCCATCAGGAATTGCAATCCTTAAATGTTTTAACTCGTTTCACACTATTTCCCTCATAATCAATAATATTAATCATTGAATCTCCTTCCTCACTAATGAAAATATATCTCTGCACTCGCTCGAACATGAGATAGGTTGGGAAGGAAGCATACAAACTCTTCTTTGTAACGAACACTCACCTGCCTTTTGAAGCAAGTGAATATTGGCTCTCGTTCCTGCATGATGCTCTGAAATGATAATGTCCTCATTATGATCTAAACAAATTCCAAATGGATAAAATTACAATAGAAAAAATGTTAAGCCATCAATCACGGAATGAAATATCCTCTGCCCTTCTCTATTATATTACTAGTAATTTAATATCAATAGAAGGAATTCATCTTCTCATTTCATCAAGTTTGCTTCGTGTATATTTGAAATTATACATATGCCACAACTCAACATGTACTTTATCATCTTCCAAACTTTCTTCGAATAGTACTATTCAAATATATCATCAACAACACTCCGAACAATAGTTTTTGGATATTTGGAGTTATTTCAACAACATAGTATCATTAGTAGGGAATGTCTAACATCACCATCAAGAGAGTTTGAATTTTTCCACTTAGTATTCATCGAGTTGATTTTCCACCTTGATTTCAATAAATTTTCAATTTGTTTTATTCTTGGTGTGTTTATTTCAAACTATATTAATTGCTCATATTCCACCATTCATTGTTTAAATAATAAACTTAGTAGATGATGTCTTTTCGTTTAAGGTTGTGTGAATCCTACCCTTATTTGGACCTTAGGAGAAAATCTCATTTTAAGGAGATTTTCTCCGTATTAAAGTATTAACAATACTTCAAGGTAATACTGTATTTAATAAATACAAGAGTCAGGAAATTATACTCTCTTTGCTTAAATTTTCTACCAACTAATAAAGTTAAGTTATTTTTTTTCTTTTTGGTAGTTAAGGTCCATAACAAACAACAACCGACCATCTTCTTTTACAACAACTCTATCTGGAATACCATCTTCTTTGGTGGTCCTTGGTGATTTTAAAAGAGAGCTAGCAATTATAAACTTTCCATTCCCATTCTTAAATCTGACAGAGTTGACAGTACTTATGTCACACAAAGAGAGATCTTTCTTTTCAAGAATTGGTGAATCGACATCCAATTCTTTTTCTTCCAATGTTAATTTGAAAGTGTTTGTTACAAAATCTAATGTATCCTTTTTGCTGTCAGATACAAAGAATACAGAAAGAGTGTTAACCGATTCTCCTGTTTCTTTTTCCACCGTAAAATTGGTGATTTTGTAAATTTTCAAGTCCCTGTAAGATTTCTCCCATACACCTACTGTTAAATTTTTCTCCTGCATTTGATATCTAGGACATGGCAATCTCAATTCGTCCACCTTCCCATCAAAAACGTTTTGAGCATTCTCTGATGTATTGTTCTTTGCCTCACCTAAATACAAAGAGACTTTCAGTTTATCCATTTTCACCCAGCAAACATCGAACTGTTGCACTTCATGACTTTTCTTTTGTTTGACAAGCAAATTCCCCCACAGAAACATGAAAACAGATTCATCATTTTCAGGTGAGTAACCTGTTGAAACAACATCATAGAAATATGACTGACACAAAGATAAAGATTCAAATATTTCATCTTTTTGTCCAAACAATTGAGAATATTGAGTCAAATTTTCCACTGACTCTGCATTACCATAAGCAAGGGTCCACATTATTTCCAAGTTATTGCTGCAATCTATTTCAAATACATATGATCCACCGAAAAATTCCTTCAAAATTAAATTTCCAATGTTTTTCAAATTATTGGTTATAATATTATAAGAACGACTCAACTCTAAAATTTTAGAAAAACAAGAGCTATGATTGTTTTTCCACATTGCACAAGAGTTCCCTAAAATTTTGAACAAGTGTTGCAACGAGAAACTTTTCTTCAAGAAAAAGAAGACCAATGAAAAATCTGGGTATTGTCCGCCAACCCATTTCTGAACTAAGAATTCATACTCCTCTCTAAATTGATAGTTTAATTGTCTATATAAAGCAAAATCTCCTCCATTGATCACAGGATAGACAACAGTGGCAAAATACTTCTCTTTAGTTTCATGTGTTTCTGATGTCTTTTTGTTAAACAATTCTTCACTCAATTCACATACTTTCTTGTTAGATTTCAAATGGAAAAGCATTTTGGATGCATATTTTTCGTTCATTAAGGAAGTGTTGAGATAATACTCATTTTCAAACTGTAAAGTTCTTCCTCTAAGGTCTGATCTTGTATAAAGTTTTGATATTATATTTTCATCTTTGAAAATGTCTGATAATTTTTCTGCATTCAAAATAAATAAACTATTTTCTGGATTATCACTTAGTAAATAAGCTAGCTGTCTCACAATGAAAAATGATTTAAGTAATGAATTGGTAGATTTTGAAAGACACTCAAAGAAATATTCCCCAATAAAAAGTAGAGTGCCTTCTATTGTCTTGAAATCAAACTCAAATTTAAGTGCACCAGTCATCTTATTAACTAGCCTCCAAATTGCTAAAGCTCTGTGAAAATGATTCCAATCAGAGCTTCGTATGTAATCTTCTGCTCTCTCTCTGCACTTTTCAGGGAAATGCTTTAAAAACGTAATGCACTTGTCTGAAAGATTCATTTGCTGTTTCAAGTGTATGTAGTCTTTTAAGGTAGGAGTTGTTGGCTCCAATATATTGGTTGATACAGAAGAAATGTTTGGAGTAGATATTAACAAGGGAGGAGGTGTGAGTTTTGGGGTTGTGTTGGGTGACTCTGAGGTTTTCTTTTGCTTTTTTTTTGGAGTTTCAACAAGTGGTTTGCTATGGCTAAATTCCATTTGATCTGAGGGTTGTTTTGAATGTTTTGATGTTCTTGGTTCTTCCGTGGGATTACATGTGGCATCTTTTGAGGTTTTGATTTCTTCCCTTGGAGTTCTTTTTGCATCTAATTCAATGCAAGACCTCCATAAGTTGTAAAGAATATTTCTTTCTACAACTCTCTCATCTCCCAAGTGACCATAATTGAATAATAAGAAACATCCAATGATAATCTCGAACCTGGTGATCTCTTCAACATTTTTGGTTCCAATATACTTGTTTTGGTCAACATTGAATATTCTTTCCCTAATCTTTTGATTACTGGCCAAGCCAAGGGTTGGATTCTTTGTAGAAATGAGCTTTCCTGAAATGGTTAAAAAGTTATAAAGATACAACAACCTGGTTTTGAACTCTGTGTTTCCGGTAGCAACCCCCAACAGTCTGATTTCAGATAATCTTTCCAATTCAAGAGCAACAAAATCTTCAAAACCTGCCTTACCTTTCAAAACTTGGCAGTACTCTGTTAGCATTTCTCTGCACTTTTCCTTCAAAAAGTAGTTCTTGCTTGTTGAATAGAGAACTTCTTTCGAGCTATTTACCAGTTTCTTTTGTTCGATTTCCAAAAACATCGGAAAAATAGATGATCCCATGATACTTTCTAAATAGATAATCTCTGCAGTAAATCCATTAAAGATAAAGTGGTGCAACAGAGAAAAACCAAATGCATCCCTTTTATGAACATATTTTCTGCACAGTTCTTGAAATGTTAGGTTTGTTTGATAAGAACTACGAAGATATTCTTTACAGAATTGAACGAGAAGATTGGACATCCCACCAATCTGGTCATTACAGCAGTCTTCAGCTTTGAATTTGAATTCATGTCGGTCAGAATAAGATTCAAAAGAAGTAGAGGTAAGAATAGCGGCAGCAAGAGGTTTGGCTTCAGAAAAGTATGAAACCATTAACAAGGAACCTTCTTGTTTAACATGCAACACATCCAAAGAATGTTCAACAGGACAATTATCCTTTGTTCTTGGTTTAAAAGCCATCCAAAGAATGTCTGAGAAGTGAAAGCCAGGTGTTTCAACAGACATGTGTTTAGTCTCTAATCGCCATTTGTTGAACTTGGATTCACCAGTTTTGTTTGAGATTGTTAAATTGCCTTGTTCGTCAAACGATCTCTTGATGTAATTATTAAAATCTTGATAAGAGGTGTTGTTTGCACTCATTTTTTTGTTTGGTTGGAGTGTCACTTAATTTTCTAAAAAGATAAATAAAATCTAATAAAGCAATGCTTTCCTACATGGTTTACTGTTACAACAAGATTTTAGTCCATTTCAATTCGCCAAATCAGATTTGGCAAAAAAATGAAATTACTGAGGAAAGCATTACTTTTTTGATTTTACCTATCTTCCTGCTAATTACATCCACTCAAATTGGTTCTACCAGGCACTGTTGTATTTGCAAAATTGTGCTTATCTATCCAAAGCAAATGTGTTAGAATTAAGGCAAAATGCCTCCCTTGGGAATCGAACCCAAGACCTCTGTCTTACTAGGACAGCGCTACTGCCAACTGAGCTAGGAAGGCGCACAATAAGCGTGACGAAAGCCTTAATATCTTGGAAAAATTCATTAATTAATCTTGATTATTAGCTAAATACTCTCTCAATCTCTCTTTGGCAAAATCTGGGAGGACTAAATCAATAAATGCTTCAAAGTTGAAACCAGGCGTACCGTAAATACGTCCATAACCGGATAATTCATGTTCTTGAACGAAATGATAAGGTTTGAAACCATTTTCGTCTTCATATTCAAATGTTTCAGGAGCCATTTCAAGGAATGGCTTAATTAATTGATATCTGTGAGGAGTAAAGCAATAGTGGAGTGGAATGCGACCATTTTTTGATTTTTGATAGAGCAATTTAGGGTTTTTCTGGGCAATTTTAAGAATTGTAGAGTTGGGGAGTTGAGATTGAATTGTAGTTTGAAGAAGGGATTTGGGAGATTTCTCATGTTGCAATTCACTCTGAAGATTTGCACTAGTAACAAAATTATCTATAATATGCTCAACTAGAATGGGATTGTTAGGAATGACAGATAACAGAATATTAACCTTATCTCCATTCTTTTGATAAACATCAAATAAATGCTCACTATTGTTAATGTGGGGAATTAGTTGAACTAACAAGTGCAAATAATCACTGTTATGGGCAGCTTGTTTAAAAAAAATTCGCATATGTTCAATTGTGAGATAATCAGGGTCTTTTTCTAACTTGTCAATAACTAATTTCAAGCCAATTTTACCAAAGTTAGTACATAATCTAAGGATTTGTTCTGGGCAATTTGAAACATCAAGACCCCACACAATACAATCCAAAAGGTTTGGTTTGTTCTTTGGTTCATTTACATATTTTGTGGGTGAATTGTATTCAAATTGTTTCTGATTAATATTTAACAAGTAAATATAGTATTGGAAGAGAGATTGATGGATGCTGGTTTTGAGCTCTTCTTTCCAGTTAAAGGAATATCTATCAACAAAATAGTTCAATAACTCCTTCTTTTCCTTAACTGTAAACCAATCATTATTAAAAATAGTTGCAAACTTTTCATCTCCTTGTGCGTATGACCGGGTTCGTTGTACTACAGGTCTATACCATCCATTATCCAATATAAATTTGGTGTTAGTAAAGTTTTGAATTCTACAAGGTATAACCTTCAAGTCTCTAAAATCATTACTTCTATTTAACACTCTACCTTCACAAATTATATTTACATTTGGCAAAGATATGCGTAAATTGCTAATAAATGTTGTATCCATGGCTGAATAAACATAGAAACTTCCTCCATAATCAAGCATTTCAACTTTATCCAGAATAAGTCTTGTAAATGATGCTGGAACAACTCCATAATAAACTAGTACAATCTTCTTTAGCTTGAGATGTGAAATGGTTTGAAACATCTTGGAGAACAAATACATAAAATCCTCTGTCGAAACGATTAAGGTCAGCTCTTCCAGATTGACCAGTCCAGGAATAATGAAGTGAAAATCTCTTGAACTGGAAATGGTGATGGACTTAATGTAAGGATTTTCAAATTCTTCACACTCAAAGGAATTAAATTGTTCATTGATAAATGGTAATGGTGTATTGTCAAATGATTCTTTGTTGGCGATAAAATTTCTCTGGAAAGGACTTTGAGGAGTAATTTCTTGGTTAGCAGATTGAGAATATACCTCAGCAACGTATTCTTCGTCAAATATCTGAGTCTCAACAATATTTGAATTACTTTCTTCATTTGGAGGAATAATGTTTCCATTGAATTTTGGGGCAGTTAATTTTTGTAATTCTGTTTGTTTTTCAGTAATATGTAATCGAATAAAGTCACCATTAAACTGTTTTCCTTGTTTTTCATATTGAGAATGGCTTGCTAATAAACAGGTCAGACCTTCCAATGTTAACAAGCTATCATCAAAGTGAGAAATGTCAATGCCTTCCTTACTAAATTTTGTGAAAATTTCTTGTTCCAATCTTAACTTGAAGGAATTAGAAATAATTCTATACTTGAGAAATTGAGCCCACCAAATTGACTTGTTGTCTACTGGAATGTATGAAACAATTTCAAACATCAAATCAAATGGTAAATTGTGCAATAGTTGATCATCATGCAGTTCATTAGGCATTGCATTCAGTTTAGATTTTGAGAGTTCCTCTCTCCTTCGAGTCAAATCTTGCATGATCCACAACTTGGCCAGCTTGTTACAATACTTGTATTGTTCCATTAATTCTGGAATATCTACATCAGTATTATTGACAGAAGAATGAGTGAACAACTTATTCCTTTCCACCAACTTTTCAAACAATTCATTATTGAATTGGTTAGCTCTCACACTCATCCCAATATCATTACTATCATTGAATAAAGGCCTAACAGTTTGATTCAAGCGGTGTGCTAGATTTGGAGTTGGTAGTGCATTAACATCACGTTCCAACATGACCTCCACTCTGTCTCTAATCGTATCCATAGAAAGGTTACTTTTGCTACTGCATGCATATTCAGCCAAATCTCTAGCAAAATCATCAACAGCTTGTGATTGAATGATCAAATCGAAAATCTTCTTCCGAATCACTTGGGCATTTCCCTGTGTAACTTCTACAATATAATTTACCAATTCAACTCTTGTATTTGGCTTCAATTTGTGATGCCATGGCTTGTCGGGATATTTACGTTTTTTACTACTATTACCTCCATCATAAGTGGAAGGAGCTAAATACTGAGGAGTATAACCTAACATGTTGATACTTTAATACAATATGATCTATTTAAAATTCTAATAAATTTAGAAATATTTCGGAAGGGGATTTGATTTTGTTTCTTGTTGTTGATAAAGAAGTTATTTAATAGGTTCCTTTGATCAAAGTTGTTTTGTTTTTTTGAACGTGTTGCGATCAAAAACTTTTTAAAACAAGAAGAAGCAAAAGTTTGGGAATTCAGCAGCAAGAAAGTTTGTTGAGTATTTTGGCGCCAAATCTTTAAGGCTGATTGTTGCGGAACAGGAATAATTGATTCTCAATGCTTGAGTTATTTGTTTGAAGGTTAGATTCTGTTGTGGGGATTTTGATCCCAACGTTGTGTTTCGTATGAGGTCAATGTATTGAGAGGCTCAGGGAATTTTGTAAAGTATTATATTGAAACAGTCCACCAGTGAAAATGTGATAGTTAAAGACTTGCTTTTGATCCAATAAGAGTAATGGAAAATTTAGTTTTGATTCGGCAAGATTCACCACCTCTCAGTGTGTGATATTACAACAGATCAAAAAATGACATCCCCTGGCTGTACCCACTCACTCGATCGTCTACTATTACACAACGTTGTGCCATCAGAGATGCTCTACGAAATATTTGCCAATTTACCTTCATAGAATTGCTAAATATTTTTCATTGAACAGGGAGATTTATTGTTTATTGATGGAGAGTGAATACTTTTTCATGAAATTATGTAAAATTTATTGTAAATTAAATGATCTTACCGAAAGTGAGTATGGAAAGGTTGTTGAGAATGTAAAAAAGGAAAGATTTAAGAATTTATATTTTTCTGTCATGTGCCAATTGATTTCTTGTTTTGGATATAGGTGGGATACTGAATATCAGTATTACAACAAGTTTGAATTGACATCTAACACTCTTAAAACAATCGAAAGACCTTCACATGGTGAATTTTATACTGTGAAATCGGTCAGATTGTTGAAACCTGGCAGGTATTACAAGTGGAAGATTAAATTGGATAATTATCATCCTGAAATTGTTTCAAATTCAATCAAAATAATGATTGGAATTGAATCTCTCAATTTCTTCCCTTTCAATGATCAACGTAGTGGAGAGGTCATTGGCTGGCAATCAGAATCAAAGGGAATTGCTTCAATTACCGGAACCAAAGAAATTATCCATGCAGTTTTAAGCGACAAACACACATGTTGCAAGTTGGAACAAAACTTTGAAACTGGTGATATCATTCAAATAGAATTTGATTTAACAAATGTTCCAAATGTTATCCCATTCCAACATACTACAAATAGATATTCTGATATAGAGGATGATGTTAAATATATGGGATTAGTGAGGTTTAGTCTAATTAGAGACAAAACAAATCAAGAATTGAGACCTTGGTATCCATTTGGTGATGTGAGATTTGCTCCCTTCGTTCCAGCAGTTAGTGTAAGCAGTGGACAAACTCTTTCATTTGTTTAACATCAATTTTGGTGCACTCAATTTCTCAATGCTTTCATCCAACCAACGTATGACCTTGACAAGTTAAACTATTCGAAACTTGACCTTCCACACAGTAAATCAAACAATACACAACACAACTCTTCCACCTATTTTTCAATAGAAAACCCCTTGGACCAAATATTTGAAAGGCTATCTTAAACTATTGTAAACTGTTTAAGAGATGTTGATCAACATTACAAAAAAATTAATTACTAAAATTTCGATAAAGAAATAATTTGTTGAATATTTACACAATTTGTTCCTTTGGACTCGCAGAAGTTGAACTCGATGACCAATCATCATTTGTTGGAGCATTCACCTTTGGAGAAGTATCTGAAACTGTACTCATGGCAGAAACAACTTTCAATTCTTCCACTTTCTTATTCTTTACTTCCTTACTTTCTGGTTTCTTTCCCTTATACAAGTAATTGTAATACACAAATTGCCACATGATGAAAATATCCAAAAATATATTTACAGTCGATTCCACTAACCAAGGAATACGTGTCATTAAATAAGCCGAATCTGAAGAGTACAACCAAATCGAAACACAATAACAAACATTTCCTAAAATACCAATTCCAAAGTAAATAGGTGAGAGACCATCACATGTTTTTCTTCTGAAATTCAAAAAGATTTGAGGTAATCTACTGCCCATGTAGAGAATGGCACAGAAACAACCCAATGAGAAACCAACAATGGAAACTGGAGTGTTTGGAGGGAAGGTGAAACTGTTGTGATCTTGTTGAGTGGTTGAGTATTCTTGTCCTTCATTAATGGCATGCAATAGTTTTCTCATTGTTTTTTGATTCATTTTCTGTGCATTCTCAACATTATTCGAAAGCATTGTTGAAGTTGTAAAGAATGTAATCAATACTAAAATTGCCAAAATTGAAATCCAAATCGAACTCTTCAAAATTGTTTCCTGCTGCTTTGAATTCTCACATTTTACCTCAACCTTCTCCTTATTCACCAATTCACTTTGAGAATTTGCAATTTCTTGATTTTTTTCAGGTTGAATTTTCCTCGATTTGACTTTTCTATAAATTTTTGGAATGACCACAAAACAAAAATATTGAGCAATCATTACAACGTCCATTAATACAAAGTAAGCACTCAATAAAATTTGAGTAATCAATTGACCACTCATGATACCAGCTGTCATGGAACAGGCATCACCCAAAGTGATTTGTATCAAGTAGCCAGTTGACAGGGAGGAGGCATCTCTATTTTTGAAATTCGCAATGACTTGTGGCAGGAGAGCACACATCCAAAATCCAATGGAAATCATGCCAACTGCAAAGGAAGCTATTTCTCTTGGTTCGTGGACACATTCGCCGAAAATATCCCATACCCAGCCAACATATTCGAAACCTGCTGGATCAAATCTCACACAAGTTTGCATAAAAGTTACATTCGGTGTGAGAGAAGAAGTTTCGAATAGGTTTGTTAGAGCTGAAGGGATGATGTTTGTTAGTAAAAAATCGTTCACGTGAACCATGATGATAAATTAAAGGTTTCGAATAATTAATTTTGGTGAAATTAGGAGTAACAAGAGAACTTGATTCTTGGATATCGATGGTATTCGTTATCTAACTAATTTGAATAATAATTCACCGTCCACAATTTTGTTATTGTTGTTGTTTTCTAATAACTTGGTTACTACAAAACGATTCTTTTGGGAAACTAGACGAAAGTTTAAACATTTAGTCTTCTAACACAATATTTAAAGGACTAGCGAGAGACAATGTTATTCAAGTAATTTCTTGTTGTTGTTTCGTTTAACGTTATTCGAAAGTAGGTGATGTAATACCAATACCAACAATAAACTTGTTTCTTTTTTCACTTGCTTTGACAGTCCGTTTGTCTTGTGCCATCAAATTTATATTTCGATATTCGTTTGTGATGGTTTGGGAATAGATTGCCAAAAGAGACAATTCGAATAATTTGAAGGGCTCACTTATTCGAAACCTCAAGAATTAAATGGTAAGAGCAAGGTGAAATAGTTAACACTTACTGGACTCTCACAAATGAATTTTGATAGCACAGAATTTCAAATAATTAATTTCGTTCAAATATTAAATTCCGCACCAGCATGCATTCTATTCGAAAGTCAATATATTTCTCCAGAAGCATGACAAGTATCGTGATCAAGTACAACAAGACATCAATCGTTCAAGATTGAAAAATGCAAATGCTTTCGATATTTGTAGATGTGATAGAATACGTGTCACTCTTTCCATATTCATCATTTGAATATTCAAGTTCATCACTTTACAATGAAAAATATTTACTATTCCTCATCATTACAGTAATATTATCACCACCAAGTAAGGAATTTTCACCAAACATTGAGGTCCTTCCTCAAATTCCATTTCTGTTCACATCCAAAAAAACCGTTACATTTTAAAAATTAAATTTTAAAAAAAAATTTAGTGAAAAAAAATATTAAAAACAATTCGTGATGGGACTCTATGCAGAATTTACGCTTTTTAATTTGAAGCATTTGGCAGATCGGATCAGAAAAATTCAACAAGCTTCTTCACAATCAGAAGATCAGACCAATGATAAAAAACTAGAGCAAGTTTTGGAGCAAATTTTCTCCGATCAAGAAGAAGAACAAGATCAAATCAATAAGAGAATTAAAAAGAAGTACATTCCGTATGATGCGAGTAAGAGAAAATACAAGGCTTTGGATTTTATAGAGGAGGGTAAGATTACGGATTGGAAACATTTGCTCGATAATTTAAAGCCTTGTTTTCATGTTGCAACTCTTAATTTTAATGCTTTTGATTTGTTTGTTGAATTTGCGAATGAGTTGGATTTGGATGAGTGTTGGTCGAATGAAGAAGAGTTTGAGGGTTTGATTTGTGGTCATACCATATTTAAGAGTGATATGCAAGAGGAGCTGAATAGTAAATATTTGAAGAAGGATTCGAATGGAAAGTACGAAGATTTGAATAGTGAGGGAATTGAAAGAATGAAGAAATTATTTAGAGAGGAACCTTATTTTAGTTTATTGTCGGTGGCTACTCAACATAATTCTAGAATGGATGGCGATGTTAGTATTACTTTCATTCATCCGAATCGATTGAGAGAGTTGAGTGAACATTTTCAACATTCAACTCAAATTCCAAGGTCTATATTGGTTAAAAATTATCAGAATGCATACGATGAATATTTGAATACTCCTGAAAAGAAAAAGTCCAAACAAGAAGAGAAAAAAGCAAAGATGACCATTGAGGAATTTATATCTTCTAAAATGGATATTGACACGTTTGATGACATGCTTCAATATTACAATAATCCAAAGTTTGTATTTTCTTTAATTGATAGACCAGTAATGGATAAAGGTCCCATTCAAAGAATTTGGAATGAGGAGCTACACACTGATTATTGGATTTCAATTATGGAAATAATTGGAGATCCATTCACATTAGCAAGATTAGGAATGACATGTACAAAACTCTACGAGTTGTTTCAAAAGAAAAAGGATCAACTCTTCAATAGTGAATATCTAAAGAAGGATATCGGATTCTTTGTGTATTTTGGATAATTAGTGAACTTGTCAATGATACTACCTGTTTTACATTTACACAATTAGAGAACAAATAATTTAAGAGTTTATATAGGCATTTACTTTGTTAAGTTGGATTTTATTTACTGCTGATTTCATCCACTTGCAACTGATGGGTTTTCAATCTAAAATCAAAGTTGGCAACATTAACAAATTTTCGGAATGCACTCCTCCAGAATTAATGAAATAATTATAGTCATGCTTTGGGAACTTCTCAAAATCCACCTGTAAAGATGGCTTGTCTAGCACCATATGAATCTCTGTTATTGAACATATTTTTTTAGTGTTTGTGTGTAATGGAAATTGTCAAGATCTGTGTTTAGTTTTTACTAAACAACGAATCGTCAATTTGTTAGATTGTGATTTTCTTTGAGGTATCAAACATGTTAGAATGTAACAATCAATTAATAATGACCATGGTCATTTGGAAACAAGATGGAAATATAGGTGGCATTATCTGTTAGAATACAACATTATTTCGAATACAAAGTAAGAAATGAACTGTAGTTATCAAAGTCCAAGTATGAAGTTTTAAACTTGTCAAATCAAACTTTCGCACAAACAATGCGATTGGTTAATAGGTTACGAAATCCATCTTTCATACACTTTCATAATTACTATTCGAAATTGATTTAATTTGTGGCACATGAACAATGACCCAATCAATACTTTACAACTAATATCATTATAATCACTCTCGTTAATTTTCTCTCAATGCCTGGAAACAGAAACCTGCAAACCAAAAGGACTTTTAATTCGAAAGAGCGTTCTATTTCTATTCGAAAATTCACTGAAAAGTTTCAACTCAACATCACGCAAATTCTCGCTTCATATCACAAAAAAACAAGACGAAACCAATCAATATAACAACATCATGAATCAACAACCAGTGGTAGGTAGTGCAATTTTGTTATGAACAATGTTTATTCTAAACTTTAAAATCTAACCGAAACTATTTGGAAATGACATACAAAAATGATAATAATGTTTGGATAATAACAACACATGCAACATTTAAAAACTAATGTTCAAAACGTGATGTTGTGATGAAATTTTACATGTTTCGAATACTACTAATAATGATAGGATCCTAACGTAAAGCAAGAAGCTACCTATGCTCAACCTCCTCCTCAATATGATCCAAATCAACAACAACCACAAGCATACTATGGTCAACCAACTCAACCAAATGCCTATGGTCAACCATATCCACAACAACCATACTATGATCCAAGTCAACAGGTACCTGTAGCTTATGGTCAACCACAACCACAATACTACACTCCACAACCTGTGATCGTAGCTCAACCAACTGTTGCCACCACAACTACTACAACTGTTGTGAATGGTGTTTCTGCAGTTGGAGAAGGCAAACAAGCTGAAGAAGCTTTAATGTTTGCCTTGTTAGTGACATTTGTCATGTGGTTCCTTGGAATTGGATTCTGTTTCAGTTGTTTCTTCTTTGTTCCAGTTATGAAATTCCGTCGTTCATCAGATCCAAGAGCTAAACAATATGGACAATATGGACAAATTGGATTTTTCATTACTTTAGGACTTAATATCTTGTCAGTTGTTGTTGCAGCCATTATTATCATTGCAATTATTGCTTCTTACGCAGCTGCTGCTTCTAGAATTGCTAAATAATAATTGGAATATTTGAAGCTGATGATTCAATTTTATTATTTTCAATTATTATTATTTTGCAGCCAATATTTTGAATAATATTGACAATTTATAAACAATACAAAACAACAATTTATTTACATTTCAATATCATGATATTGTCTGTTATCCAGATTGTGATCTATAGATTTCAATGCTTAAATCAAAGTTAAACGAGATCACTAATTTTTGAAATTACCAAATCTCTAATATTTCTAATATCCTCCTGTAAATTATCTGGAGCTAGACCACTGGCACAATCATTGATCTCCAAAATATATTCTACAAACTTGCCAGGTTCTGGTTCAACTTGAATGGCATCGAGTGTGAAAATTTCCATTGGACTTCCCATTTTGGACTTGACAGCTTCATCAACCCATTTAATCCACTCCTTATAATGCTTTTTCACTTCCACTTCTTTAAGAATTGAATTTCCAACATTGCCTTTCCAATTAGAACTCACTCTTTCATAAACTCTAATATTCTTTCCAATCTTTTGCAATCTGATATCACACTTTCTATTGGCAATAAAAGGTTCACTTGTGAAAAAATCATTATATCTCGTAATGCATCCTCCAAAATCACGTAATGTTCCATTATTGTTATCCAAGAGTACTTTTCCAAATCCAGCTTCTGCACTTCCAACTTTAATGACAACCTTATCAGAGGATGAAGGTGTGAAAAGAATGGAATTTGGTTCACCATGATAATATTGATCAATGAGAGGGAATTTATCAGCTCCCTTCTCATCTCTAATTCCAGATAAAATTCCATGAATGAATGGTCTTTGTAAATTCAAATAAATTGAATGCAATGAATTGATAGAAGGCAAATTACAATGCATCATTCCCAACAAGTGATTGACATAATTATGTTGATCAATTTTCAATCCCTGAACTAATTTCCTAACCAATACAAAATTAGCATGGAAAATTCGTTGTCTATTCCTACGATCATTGAATGTACAAGTTGTTTTCCAAGGTCTCAACGATATTTCACATGCTCTCTTCTTATTATTTCCATCATTGAAGGAGGTGACAGAGGCAATATTCTCCCACGTGGTTTGTTCAATTTCTAAATTATATTTGGTGAGAAGATTATTCTCGGAGAAGAGCAAATCCCAATTGTTTTGTTCACTGTCAATGACTAGAATTGCAAACTTTGATTCGGAAGATGCTGATGAGGATGACATTTTTTTTGATGTGGTAAAAGTTGTGTGAGCTGTAGAGATAATCTTGCTGGTTGTGGAACTAGATGGAACAGTTTCACATGTTCAACATGATGTTCCATACTGTAGTCATTACAACATAGCCATGTTGATCACGGATTTATTGAGGGTGAGAGGTCATTATTCCCATGGAAAACCAAAATCAGCACGTGTTTCATTTACAGGACTCATGTTTGCTGCGAAAGGAGGTGGATTTTGATTACTCTCGATTGCCTTCTTCAAATAGCCCAATATGGTTGATAGGAGAACATCATTAGGGTTATCAGTGCCTGTTCCTGTCTGTACTGGTGGTGCCATATTGGAGAGTGTTTGGATTTGAAGAGCTGTGTGGAATGGATCGACATTGTGCTTTCTTCTAATGATTTGTTCCATTTCATCCATCATTTGAGAGTGGTAGAGGGTTAGTCTCTTATATCTCTTTGCAAGTACTTGTAATGCTCTTAAATCCTTCTGTAAAATGGAAAAGTAGTCAACTGTTATTGCCTTATTAGTTGCTGATGAAATGATTGTTGAATGTGTTGGTCGCATTCCACTCTCTATTTGTTTCACAATGTTTAAATGAAATTTACAAGTATTAATTATTCCTAGAATGACTCCAAGTCCACAATATCTTCATTTTCGGAGGATTATTAGATTGTAAAAGTGAAATACTTACGGGAACAGGTCATGTTCTGTGAGAAGTGTAATTTTCAGAGCGGTTTCTTCAGCAAAGTTTGAGGCCACATTGACAACCTTCTCCAATAGTAAAAATCTAATACCATTGTTAATGAAGGCCCTTTGTAAATCTTGGAATCTGAAGAATGTTGGAGAGTGACAATCCGTTGCCATACCATAAAGGATAGCTCTATATTTTTCGAATGCTTTAGACACCATATCCATAATTTGCATGAAAAGCATGTAATTATCGGGGGTGACGTTCCTAGAATTGAAAACTTGCCAACATTCTGGAGGAAGTTGCATATCTTGTCCTCCAGAAGCCAGTTTAAACATTCGAGGCATCATTTCCACAAACGTGCCCAACGATCCAATATTATCAATATCCGAATGGCATGATCCAACAACAAATACTCTAAACTTTTTCAAATTTTGCTCGTAAAAGTTGAAATCCTTATTCATATTCTCCTCATCCTCAAAGTAAAAATTCACATTGTTCAAGTAAAATCTTGCCTTTTTGTAATTTCCACCACCTGATTCATACAGTGCCATATTGATATAACAAGCAACCATGTAAAAGTTTGTAAAGTGGTCTATCAATCTGGCAACTTCCTTCTCCGCATGCTTGTGGGATTCTTCAGCAAGATCCAACAACCCATATCGCTGTTCACATCTGAATTAAAATTGTTTGAACATTGTTAAAATTATTATCAAAAAACATACAGAGCTTGAATGGATAAATAAAAGGCAAGAATAAATGTTGTCTCTGCATTTTCTCCTTCAGGTATTGGTAACCTCACATTGTAGTCATTCGTCACTAGGAGTGCATTAATATAGGAGTAATTATTTTGAACAGTATATTCTAGCTTTTTCTTTTCAATGGCTGGATGGCCACCACATAAAACTGCAAAGTATGAATCAATCACTGATGGTGGAGGAAGATGGTTATTTGGTTTTTCAGTCCTCACAAAAGGTGGAATACCTGATTGGTTCATGGATGAGTTTCCATTCATGTTATTATTAGTATTGTTATTAACATTATTTACATCAGTTTTATCAGTGTCCTTTCTAGAGACTTTTCCTCTCTTTCTTGGGGTATTATACTATTATCAATTGATTAGAAATTCCAATAAATCCAAAACAATATAACTACATACTGTACATTCCACACCTCTAGAAATACATTTTGAGCATGAAGGTAATTTCTTGTCACACTTTTCCGAGTTAGAATGCATTATTCGAAACTAAACAAACCTTTTTGTGTAAAGACCTGCACTGCACACAGGCAATAGGGTGGTACTTCTTCTTATCGGATTTTGTTTTTTGTGCAGAATCTGATCCATCATCATCATAGTCCTCATCCTCTGAAGTAGATTGATTCTTACTTTTAGAAATATCATTATTTGGTGAAATAATCTTGCTCTTTCTTATTGACATTAAATTCTCGTGACTGATTGGTTCATATTCATCTCTATTCGTAATTTTACTCACTTGGTCAATGACAAAATTTGGTACAATTTCACTAGGGGTTGGAGCTGTAGAAACTTTACCAAAGGCTGAAGTTGATGGTTTGTTGACCATGACATTCGATCCATTGTTGAGTTGTGGAGATGTCCCCACTGAAGAAGGCGAATGCAATACATTTGGAAGAGGTGATGCAATGCCTACCGATGATTGACCATTTCCAAGGCCATAGTTTGATGTAGGTGTTGTAGGTAGAGAGAACGAAGGAGAACCATAAGGAGAGGTTGCAGAACCTCCATGAAAACCATCAAAATGTTGCATCACTCCAGCAGTATAATTATGAAATGAATTTAATGGTGGAAGAGTTGAATGGTGAAGATGATGATGATTATGGTGATGCTGATGGTGTTGTTGATGATGTGATGATGATGGTGGTGGACTCATCATGATGGAAGGAGAAGATGGTGTTGTAGGTGTTGATGATGCTACACTATTCGGAGAAAACAAACTACCACCCCCATTAACATTGTTATTATTATTGCTACTACTATGTGAATACATATTGGAGTTTTATGCAAATAAATTCTCTCTCTATATTCTTCCGCAATGTGTTCTTGTTCTTGTGTTGCAACTTTAATCTGAATTGCTAACAAGTTATCTGCTTCTGGTAATTGAAGATGGAAAATTTCTAGTTGAACGAAGAGAAGAAAAAAAAGCGCGCAGTAATTGAAATTTTTTTAATTGGAAAATATTTTCAAAAATTGTCTTGGTTTGGTGTTCCGCATTATTTGTTATCAATTACTATTTTTCAACAAAAGCTTATTAATAATATATTCACAAACTTTCTTCATTATCAGATTATGATTTTCGTTTTCATGGAGGAATGAGAAGAATCTTTTAAGAGAGGCTCTTGTTGGCCCGCCAAAAAAATAAAACCGTTAAAAAAGAATTAAGGCTGTTTTTTTACATTAAAAAAATGTACAATACCTCATCGTCGGGCATGCCCTCATCATCATCGATGATGCATCAATATAATACTTATAATAATAATCATAATAATGGCTATGGAGGAAGTAGTATGGGAGGTGGTTCTAATTCCCTTGGTTATCCAGGTGGGGGAAGTGGAGGTTATCAGCCAGCAGCAAGCTTTAGAAGAAATCTGTATAATGAACATCAACAAATGATGAATCAACAACCACAGGTTTTTCCACACCACAACAATCTCATGTACAGACAGTTTCCACCTCAACAACAGCAGCTCATGATGAATCAACAAGCACACTACGGTTCTCCTAGAATGAATTCGAGTGAGGACAATACTGAAGATTTACCAATGTACAACAATGAAAAGCTTCAAATTCTCAATATGAAAACAAAGCAAATACCAAGACAAGATCCATTCTATAACTATTTGGAATATTCATTGAGATTGGCTGTTGGTTCTGTTTCAAGTACTGCTTTTAGAATTTACAGTTTGAAGGAGTCTTCTGAATATCATCAGTTTAGATCTACAATTGGAGACGGTGGTTTGATGGATGTTTGGATTAACCTGAACGATTTGGAAGCTATTGGATCTCAGAATACTTTGGAAAATATTGTTTGTGACGGTTTCAATGTTCCAGAAGCTGGTATCAAACTATCTGTTGGACGAGTTAACTTGAGTCCAGAAACCCAACAATTCAGCACCTCTCTTATACCACCTCAAGAGCACTCTAGAGCCAATTACGAAGAAAGTTCAGGATCTCGTCAAAAATTCTATCGTCTCATGCACTGTTTGTTCTATCCAGGAAAATCGTTCTGTATTGAAAAAAAAACTACTGGACCTGTTTCAATTCCACAAGGTTATGACAGTGTTTATTATCAACCTGGTAGGTTATTGTAAGGTTATCATATGTTTAAATATCAATCTTTCAAAATGTAGAGGAACAAGATCCAGAATTCCATCACGAATTTATAATGCTCAATCCAGCTCACATCTTTTGCGATTTTGTTTGTATTGTTGAGTTTGACAATATGGGCGATGAGAGATTGAGAAATCAAACTCTTCAACATTATCGTGACTTTTTCAAAACAAGTGACAAGATTATTGGAAAGGCCTACAGAAAGGCTTTGAACTTTGTAGAACAAACCATGAATCCTCCCACCGATGAGACCATTCTTCTTCCTGAAGTGTTCACACAAATGCAGCAATTCAAGCAAGCAGATCAAGAATTGGCTGCTATTGAGGAAAGAAGACAAATGATTGTCTCCAATGTTGTTGAAATGGAAACTCAACTCAAAGAACAATACAAGCGTGCATTGGTGTCCTTGCACGACATTTCACAATTAAAGATGAGTGAGTTACTCTCAAGAGAAACTGAAATGAGAAGAAGAATTGAAGAGATGGAATGGATGAACAATTTTATTCAATACCAACAAACAATGACTCCTCCACTTCAATTCTTGGATTCACTTGCTCAACACAAGGTCATTTTCAAGGAAAAGCAAGATGCTTTCGACACATGCCTCCTTAGTAATCAGCAAGCATTGGAAACAGTTCTCCCAGATATAGGGTTGGAAGGACAATTACAAGTATCATCAGCATCTCAAAATCTGTCAGGAATTAACTTTAAGACTTTGAATTTGCCAAAGGAAGAAGATGGGTATGATGATAACGAATTGAATGATGAATTTAATTAAATAATATTTTGAAAATTAATCTACCACGAATAACCCAACACTTCACTTGTCCAATTCTTTCCAAATCCTAAAACTGCCAAAGTTGAAAATAGAGAAGCATATTGTTGTTGACTCAATATTGAAAGATAGTACCTTCCAATAAAGTCTTCAGGGTTGGTGATTGACCTGAGAATTAAAGGTTGATTTGAATAATATGAGCTCTTTCCTCCCAAGTATCTAACTGTGACCTTCTCTCTGCTACCGAAACCTCCTTTACTATCTCCAGATCTGTACTCAGCATAATCAAGATAAACTTCCAAGTCAACCTGGAGTGGAGCTTGTCTTGGCCAGAAAATCATTAAAGTTGCTTTTAAGGTTTTGGATTCATCAGAAGAATTATTAACTTCCTTCTTGCTCACAATGTAAGTGTTTGCATAAAAATCAGAAATGAATTGTTTGAAAGCTTCTGATTTTCCAATAAACTTGCTCTTGAATACTTCGGCAAGTCCCTTACATCCTTGACTGGACAGTAGTGGAATTCTATTCAATTTGGATCTGGCTAGGACTTGCAATTTCCAACTCTTTGCTTGGAAAGTAGATTTCACAGAATAGTATTGGGATGGAGTAGGATATCTGCTGAAATACAAATACTTCCAGACATCCTGAATTTCAAAAATTTGATTCCAACTCTTGTCCAATTGAGTAAGATGGATAATATCACTAGCTGAATGGGAATATGATATGATATTCATAATTAAATGAATTGGCAAGTAATGACTGCAAATATAGAGACCATTCAGATGTGAAATATCCTTCACATCATCCTTCTCCAAATCAATTGGATAATTCTTGAATTTAAATTCTAACATTTCAGTCTTAGTGTTAAATAATGCTTCAAGTCTTTCGGGTTGATGGAGCATGTCAAATATTCTCTCAGAAATCTTCCAATACACTTCAATAATAATCATAAACAGATAGGTCTTGTAATTATAATCAAGTGCTTTTTGCATTGATTTGAGGATCAACTTTTCCAATTCTTCAGAGTTGACCACACGGAATATACTTGTTTTGAGAATGTTTCCAGCTATAGCTTGAGACATGTACTCAATAGATTGGGAGCTGTCTCCCAAAAATGATGGATTTAATTGAATTTCATTCACTCCAAAAACAGAAAATAAACTTTCTGAATAACCATCACGAGCAACATGACGGATCTCTTCCTCCCTTATATTGAAACAGTATATGTCAATATAATTATCATACGAATCCTGTTCATCTTGAGCCATTTTTACAATTCGTTTTGTAAGCCTGTCGTAATAAACTAACCAAATGAGCTCGTTATCTTCAAAAGCTGTGCCCAAGTATAAGACATCGTGAGTTTCCGATACTTTTTGAATCAAATGAATCATTTCTATATCAAGAAAGTGCTTCAACCAGGAATCGTTAAGAATATTAAAGAATAAATGAGATCTTTTGATAATTTCCAACAATTCGAGAGGAGCAAGAGCACAATTGAACTCATTCATGAATGGAACTTTCACATTATTAATCTTCTTTGAATTCAAATACTTTAACAGGTGATATTGATGAGTGCAGTATTCAATCTCAATAATTAATCCATTCTTCATTTCTAAACGAAGCGAAAACTCTTTCCATCTCGTTGGTTGACCACCAATGTTCATCCATTCACAATAATCATTCTCACTCACTTCAAAATCCTCCAATTGTACAATATAATTAACACAAATCTCCTCAATCTCTTCATTCTTCAAGAATTCCATCAGTGCTTTCTTATTCAGACAAACTAAATCCCAATCCGAGTCCTTCTCAAAACGGTGATCAACATGATTCTTGATAATTTTCTTTCCAAATCCAGAATGTTTGGCCAAAGATTCCTTCATCACCATCATTGTTGAATTATTTAATTCTTGCCAATGACTCTTCAATGCTTTCGAGCCAATCAAGAGAAAATCATAATTTTGAACACTTGATGAGTGCTGTAAATGATCGTTCGGAGCATTTGTTGATTCCTCTTCATCATCATTGATGAGATCACACGCATCTATCCATGCAATGAGCTCAGCCACGTCATGGACAGGTTCACCAATCTCCAGTTCGAAATCTGCCATTTTTTTCTTCGTCTTCTGAGAAAGGAATTTATTCCAATGAGAATGAATAAACCAATGAATTCCATATCATTTGATTATTTAATTCTTTAATGAACTTTTCTTTCATATTGGAAATAAGAATATCATAATAATTAACATTTAATTATTATATTACTCAAAATATGCAATCTCTCCTATATTAATCTCTTCACCCTCAACAAGGCCCCCAAATTTAAATTATCATCTCTCAGCTAATACTCTTGACTCTAGTTGAGGTTTTTTTTTGGCGCCTTTTTCCAGTCCATCACAACACCTCAAACAATCTTTACCTATGCACAATATCAAATATCGAGTCCTCTTCCGAATTGTTTGTTGGTAGGCAAAATGTTTGATATCTCAACTTCAGTCAACACCAAAATTTTACCTCTCGTTTTGTCCTCTCACCAACCACGATTTTGTAACAGAGATAGAATTGGTGAGTTAAAAAAAAGGTCTCTACATCTGTTATTTGAAAAACAAAGGCAAACAATTTTCTCTTTATCAATTATTTACGAGAGCATAATATTGAACTCGAAAAACAATCACTTTCGAATAGGAACTTTTTCAACAATTCGAATCTCTAAAAATAGATTAATTAGTCTACGGTTTCCTAGTTTACTTTCCCTACTGAGGTCCTCCAAATATTCGAACCTCCATCACGCAACAATTAATTTTCCTAACTGTAAAAATATCTGCCAAACATCCATGATGGCATCAAACTCGACAAACATTTTGCAAGTTTTAAATGCATCAAGCCGAGGTGCAGCACTTTCTCCTCAAACTAATCCTCAAGGATTTCAAAATATGCTAATGCAACAACAACAACAACAACTTTCGTCTCAAGCTCAACTCTATAATTCCTTACTCAATCAACAAGACATTAATAATTTATATCAACAACAGCAACAGCAACAGCAACAACAGCAGCAACAGGTTGTTTCTCCAATTTCTCAATCTTCTAACGGACATTCTAGTAATCATAGTAGTGTAGGTCATAGTAGTGGCAGTGGCAGTGGTTCTCATCATTCACAAGTCAATCAAGCTCCACCATCAAACACATTAATGTTCATTAATGAGACAACAGCTGACGTTCTCAATAGAGGTACTATTCCAACTTTTGATTTAAATGCACCATCTACTCCAACAAGGAATAGCAAGATGAATAGTCATTACTCTACTCCACCTAATAATTATTCGAATCTTAATTCTCCTCTTTTATCTCACTTGAAGAGTCCACCCTCTCTGAAAAAGCACAATTCAGCCTCCACTCTTCACAATACCACAAGTTTGAGAATGAAGAAACACTCTGGTTTGGGAAATTTCAAGGCAAACTACTTTGAACTGGAAATGAAGAAGAAACCAAAAGCTGGTTGTTCAAAGAATAATTTAGATTTGAGTGATTCCAATTCACTACATGCTCAATCAATGATGAATGGAATGGGTCCAAATGGAATTCCACCAAATATGTCTCCTAGAAGAGGTATTGAAAAATCTCCCAGCTTTTCAAAGAAGAATTCCATGCTCAATTTGGATCGTCATTCATTGGCTGCAGCTTTGAGTCAGAATAATATCAATATTCAACCCAATCAGCAACTTCAAGAAGTCGGTAACAAAAAGTTCAGTCTTTCATATAGTGAGACAGATATGAGTGTGGAGAATCAGAAATTCTTGATGGGTATTGGAAATGCATTGTACAGTAATCAACCTGTTAATATGAATACGAGTGGACATACAGTATTGAACCCTGATGCCAATCAACAATTATTGTACAATAGAACAGCCCATCAAAATGGCATTATGGCCCAAAGTACTCCAGAACTTCAAGAATTTCATCAACAAGCTCTCTTTAATAGTATCTTTGCCCAGAATTCAGAGCCAGGAGTATTTCAACAAATGTCAACCTCCTATCCTAACAATACTCCTCAACAATCTGCCAATAATAATAATATGAATGGCCAATCTGATTTTGATGACATGCTTGATTCTCTTCTCAATGAAGACGTCGGTGATCTTTCATTTGATAATGTAAATAATAATCCTCCCCCACAATCCAATGCTCCATCTTCACCTCTATCATTCTTTTATAAGGAAGAAGATAAAGAACAAGATCAATCATTAATTACAGACATGGATAACTTCTTCCTTTCAGGGAATGATGATCATGAAAGAAACGACGATGATCAATTTTTGCCTTTAAGGCCTATCAATCCACACGAGGTCATGAAAGAATGGGAGAATTCCACTAACAATAACTCGTCAAATCTTCAAATAGATTTTGAGATATTAAACCAATTTTGAAACAGGTCCAACAACAACTCTCACTAACATATTTCAAATAAATAATAACTTGTTAATAAATATTATACAAAGTAGCATTGCTCAAAATCATTTACGAGTGGATAAGTGTAAACTGGGGTGAATTGGTAAATGAGAGACTTTTCTAAAAATTGTTCAGATTTGAAGGTGTGAGAGTTCTTTCTGCATTCATTAATAAAGAATTTTCCAAAATATGAATTGACCTTAACGCTTTCTAAAGAGTGATTAATGACTTCATTTGGATTCCACTCAAACATGCTCTTTTCAGGATGGAATTGACTTCCATAAATTGGGTATTTGGAATGTTCCAAAAGACTAGCATATTTCCTTCCATTTCTATCGAGATTTGTTGATATGAGTCTTACTTGTTTGTTTAAATTTGAATTACTGATCCATCTATCTATTGGAATACCATCATGGTGAGCATTGAAAGTAACATTCTTATTTCCTAACAAATAGACAATATCCCTCATTTGAACAGAGTCCACCTCTTTAGGATTGAATAATCTTGTTGATTCTATAATTTTTGACTCTGGCATTGTAAAATCCAATGGAATGGCCATATTCTCTGAATCAAATCCACTTTGCATTACAGAGCTATCATTAGCCAAAGCAATAGCCAATCCCTGAAATCCCAAACAAGTTCCCCACATTGGCATATAATCACCATTCTTCTCATAGGCTTCAATAGCCCAATTTACCAACATTTGTTGTGATTTCATATAGGGAGTCAAATCTCCATTCTTCTCCACCAAATCAACTCCACCTCCAGCAAACAAAATTCCATTCAACTGATCAAAATAACTTCTCATCTCATCACGAGGTAAATCAAACCTCAGAGGAACAACTCGAGCACCCGAACTCTCTACAAACTTTACATAGGCTGCATCAATATAATACTTTCCATAAATTGATATCTTTCCGGTAAGTGTAGGTTGTGCTAAAATTCCAATCACTGGTCGATTATTCATGTTGTTTTTCATTGATTTTCCTTCCATTGTTGTTAATAAAGCAAGGAAAAACAAGAGGAAAATAGCCAAGACAAGTTGTTTCATTTTTTTTAAATAATATTTAAATTAATTAAAGCATTGAAGCATTCAATCAACAGTGAACCCAATTTGAAACCTTATTATGAAGGAATTAAAGTATGAAGGAATAAGTGCAATCTGCAGTTACATTGATAGTACCAACAAGACGTAAATAAAATCAACCATCGGAAATTTAACTTGATAGGACAGATAATGAGCAGCCCCGCTAGCTCAGTCGGTAGAGCGTTGGACTTTTAATCCAACGGTCGTGGGTTCGAGCCCCACGTGGGGCGGTTGACTTTTTGGTATCTGTATGTAATACAAACGTCATCTTAGATTTGAATTTTGATACAACAAATCATCAATAAAAAGGAAAGTATTTTAAATATTTACATTTTTATTATTTCAATTGAACAGAGAAATATTAATCAAATTGCACAATATTGGTTTGTGTGGTGATTTTCAAATCTGTGAAATTAAAACTCGAACAAGTTACTTGTTGATCTTCTGAAATGACCATGGCCAATAATCTGTCCAATTGTCTAAAGTGAACAACTCTTGGATAGAGGAATGGTTTTCGTACCATGTCCAATCCCAAATTCACCTCCATTTCCAAGTGAATATCTGAACATGAAATGGTTGGCAAAAATTGATGAGATTGTTTAAAGTGGTCATGCTTAAAGACAGTTCCATGTGAAAGATTGTGCAATTCTTGACCATTCTTTACAACCAAAAATTCTCCATTCTTGTGATTGAGCAAACATCCAATGACATCTCCTCTACTGACACTTCCTAAATATACACGATCTGCAATACCGTTTGTTGCATCTCTCTCGTCATAAACTCGTCCATTATCAACATGGAAACCAATTGAGTTTTTCATCCAACCGACCATTCCCTTGTATCCAAAAGGTGCAAAACCAAGAGCTACTTCAGGAGCAGATGACTGCGCATTAGAAAAGAGTTTATCTGCCAGCTTTACCTCAAAATAAGTGTATTGAGGATGAGTGTGTTTCGTATAAAAAATGTATTCAACCGAGGTGTTTGGTTGAGTAGAAGCTCCACAGGAGTGAGTCTCAATTGTTCGGCTATGTCTAGTCGATACAATGGTTGAATAACTATTCGAAAGATTAGTGGTAAATTGAATGCAAGGCAAACTATCTGGTGTGAATGGAGCATTAGCAGCTGCTCCACCCAACAAGTGAGCAGGAGGTGGATGAGCACCTCCAGCCAACACTGGAGGAACAATTGGTATGGCAACTGTTGGTGGAGGTGTAATGGTATTGTTTTGTGCTGGATCTGTAGTTGGAGGACTCACCATTCTTCGAATAGTCATGTTTCCTCTCTCTGATCGCATAGACATGGAAGAATTATCAAAATTATTGAAACTTGCTACCAGAGAAGGGTATGAAAGAGGATGAAGAGTTGGTGTTGGAGGACTTGTATTTGGTACAGTTTCATTGGAAAGGATATTCAGGGTTGGAGTGCTGATGCTGGTATTATTGAGGTCTGCAAAAAAGTTATTCGAAAGCGTTTGCAAAACATTTGCAAGGAAATTATTGGTAGTTGATGGTGCACTCATTATTCGAACTTTTTTTGAGGTGATGTTAACGATAATCGGTGCGTTTTGAGGAGTATTGAAGCAAAAGAATGCGAGCGTCCAGTCGACCACAATCTATGTTACTGTTATCTGATTTCCATATTTGGAAAACGAATAATGTACAGAAAGCAACCCAATCACTAAACAGCAACCAAGAGATAACACGATAAACTGGATTTCACAGTGTATAATAATCCACAACAATGGCTAATGATGATGATCAAAATTTACAAAGTTCTCACTGTACACTCATCAAAATAAAGCAAATCCACCATTTCCTTCAATCTATACATAATATCTCTGAATCCAGGACGCTTGCTGTGATCGTTATCCCAACATTCTACCATCAGAGTAAAATACTTCTCTACCACCTTTACAATAACTTTACAATGTTCATCATTACTGGAATGTTCAGGCATGAAAGCTCTAATCCATTTGAGGTGACTAGATGTACTGTTTGGGAGTGGAAGTCTTGTTCCCTCAGCAACCTTCTTCAACACAAAGGCAATTGAACTGGTTGCGAGTGTGGAAAGTTCCAAAATTTGTTCTCTTGTGAGTAAAAATTTGAATCGATCATTGGCATCACCTCCAAAGGATGAATAACGAGTTCCAAAGAATAATTCCCACATGACAATTGAGAAGGAGTAGACATCACACTTCTCATTGTAATAATTGCTGTTGAAAAGTTCTGGTTTTGAGTTCAGTAATGATGAATAATCCAAAGAATAAACTTACCTGGAGCCATATAGAATAAACTGCCAATTTGGCATGTCATTGTTCTCTGAGGATTTGAAATGGTAGATAAGCCAAAATCAGAAACCTTAGCTACCATGTCCCTTGTAAGAAGGATATTCTCAGGTTTCAAATCTCTGATTAGAATTTGTTAAATTAAAATATTGAAATGTTGAACGTACCTGTGAATAATTGGAGGTTTGAGTTCATTGAGATAGCTCATTCCACAAGACACATCAATCAAAATTCTTAGTTTTTGTTTGAGACTCATTGCAATTAGCCCTTTACCAACACGATATAGCATCTTGTCTAATCCACCTCCACTCATATATTCCTCAACCAGATAATTAGTTTCTCCAGTTATTGTACATCCATAAAATGTAACAATATTCAAGTGTCTACAACTACTCAATAAAGATGCTTCATGTTCAAAAGTAGAGATTGAATCTTCATCAACTTTGATGGATTTTATGGCCACTTCTACATTGGTCTTCCACAACTATTATAAATAATATTAAATAATCATTGAAAGAATAAAAAATAACATACTGCCTTGTAAACTGTTCCGTAAGCTCCTTCTCCAATCTTGGAAATAATCTCCAAATCTTTCACTGGAATCATCCACTGCTTATAGCCATCCAATTCTACGTCTCCATGTTCGAATAAGACTTGATAGCTCATCAATCTTTCAGTCAACTCCTTTTCAGCTAGCTCCTTCTTCTTGTAATCCATTACTATTGTAGTAATTCTTCTAATCATTCTTAAAAAGAAGAATCCTACTAAAAATCCAATAAATAACAATAAGATTCCAGCAATAGTTGCTGACAGGGTGATCGTAAGAGTAAGGCTACACTTGTACAATGTTTCATTGTCCTCATCTCTAATGACATAATAACCAATATTACATGTTGTCGCAGTGAACTCAAAATATTGAGCAATATCAAATTCTTTCAATCTCAAAATTAATAGTAGATTGCTTTGGAATGGAAATTCAGCGGTTTTGGAATAAAAAGTATAGTCCAACTTGAGAGTTCTACTAGTGTTGGAAAAAGTAAACTTTGTCACAATAAAAGATAGTCCATCAGCTTGTAACTCCAAGTCCATCATTCCAGGGAAGTATGGAGTTGTTTGGTTGTTTTCATCCAATAGCAACAAGTGCATATTAGTTAGAACGCCACTCTGAGATTCCATGCTACTCTTGGAGTATACCTCCATTCGAGTTGGGAATGATTCAATATTTGAGCTAGTGTACATGCCTGTATTACCAAAACCAAGCTTTTCAGGATCTCCATTAATAACCTTCTTAGCAGCAGGTTTTTCCAAATAATAAATTCCTCCTCCGCTCAATTGTGCTGAATTGAGTCTAAAGCTGGTAAAAGTATCAAAGTACATGACTGGTAACTTTCTCCCAAAGAAGAATCCTCCAAAATACTTTGCCTTATTATTAATGAAAGTAGAATTATAAGTAAAGAAAACTACATTACTACAATCGTTCAATTGATAATCTGTGTAAGCAATAGCTCCTCCATAGAGTGAATAATTATCATCAAACACATCATTTGATGTCTTGACACTACAGGCTGTATTTACAATGATAGCACCACCTAGTCCATTAGCTGAATTTTTAGTGAATAAATTCTTGGTTAATTCAATAAATGACTTGTAAACATATAATGCACCTCCACCATATGAAAAGAATTGACTTTCTCTCTTACTCTCAAACTTGTTTTCCACAAATTTACAGTATTGAACAGTTGCTAATCCAACTCTGTCAATTGTTAGTGCTCCGCCTATATTAAAAGCACAATTAATATTATTAATTACAATTTCATACTTACCATTATCGAGGGCTGTGTTATTCTTGAATATACAATCGGCTATGTATCCAATTTCAACACCATAAATATTAAGAGCTGCACCTGAGGCTTTTGAATAATAATTGCTAAAAGTTGTACTGGTTATTTCTGCCTCAGTTTTAGAATAGTATGACTTGATTGAGAGGGCACTATATTCTGAATAGGTATTGAGTCCATTAAATATACAATTATCAATAGTTATTGTTGTAAAGTCAACTACTGATACTTGATAATATGGCGCTTTTCCAGAAAAATTGCATCCAATCACATAAAGTTTTGAAGAGACAAGAGCTCTTCCATTTCTATAATAGGTGACAATTAAGCTCGATCTCGAAAAGCTAATATTTACGATATAGAATGAAAATTCTGCAAAACCTGTACCAATCAACAAATCACTCGATGAAATGAGTACTGTACTATCAGAAAATGAGCTATCTCTTATTACTACTCTACTAAGAGCATCAAAAGTCATCCGAATATTGGTCATGGTATTTGATTTTATATCTATTGCCCTTGATGTTACAGAAAAATAGCAATATTCCAAAATTGATTGTTGTAGTGTTAGAAAATCTGTTGAAATTGGTGAGAATTTGGTAAAAAATTGAGCCAAGTACAAATCTGAAGCGTAAGATTTGCTGAGGGTGAACCTTCTAAGGTTATTTAAATTATCAAGAAATAAGTTGCAATTCATATATACTGAAAGAAAACTTACGAAATGATAGTGGTATTGAAAAACACACCATCTAGTTTAGTTCCATTGAAAGAAACTTCTCCAAATGAAGAAAATATAAAAACCACATTTGTCAAGCCAATATTATTGAATGAGAGTGAAACATTTGAGGCATCTGAAACACCAGTCAATAAATTTCCAAAAAGTGACAAGGTATTTCCTCCACATATCATCTTATATTGAGCTGTACTACTATAAATTGAAATTTTGATTTGATATAATAAAAGTTGTGGAATAACTCCTTCACAACTATTCACTCCACTTAATAATTCAATTTTTGCCTCACAACTGTTAACAGTTTTAGAGGGCAATTTGCTAACAGAGGCTTCACACAAAGAGAATACCTTATTCACAGCCATGGTCCAATTCTTACAAGGAGAATTCACACTTGTGCATGTATTATTTTCACTTGTCTCATCCAAACTTTCGAATAGATAAACTGTAGGAATGCTTGCTTTAGCAGTCACAGCAGCCGAATCATATAATGATACAGTAGCAGATACTTCTTCGACCATCAATTGTTCCCTAGCGAATCTTCTATCATAACCTCTTGTTTGATTATTTACATTATTTTCTTTATGAACATTCCGTGTTGCTGATGATGAGAGAACACCAGACGACTGTTCTTGCTCTTCTCTAATATTCGAAAAGAACTCTCCATTCACTGAAGTTGTTGTTGTTGAATATCTAGTAGTCGCCAAGGCTCTTGTTTCCTCCTCATGGAAATATGAATTTAATTTCCCATAAATTGGATCATTGTTAATAAGAAACCTTCTACGTTGTTTCAGCTGTTGTTCTCTAGCAAAGTTGTTATTATTATTATTATTATTTGGAATGAATGATGTTCTTGTTGCTTTTTCATTTGCTTCTTCTGGTCCAAGGGAAAGCGTTGCAAGAGCCGATGATGAAAATATCATCAAATTAATGATGACCAACAAGAGTAAGAGAACGATATGAAAATTCATCTTCTCTCTCCTCCGAAGTAGTATTGATAAAAGCAAAAAAGATAATGTTAGGGTAGAGGAATATCCAAAGATTTAGAAAAGGTCAACTGTCATGAGTTGATGATGAGAAGGCTTTTTGTTTTTAATGATGCGACAAAATCAATATTTGAAAAGAAACAATTATTTGCCTTACCAAAAAATCTTTTCTTACCCATCACGATACAATTATTTCATCCGAAAGTGTTAATCTTCTTCATTTCTCCATTCTCATCTCCGAATGGTTAATAAGCTTTATAATAATCAACACAATTTACAATTATTATAATAAATATTTCAATTTTTTAAAATTATTATTTCAAATCATCATCAAGCTGACCAATTATTGAGCAATATTAAGACTCATGAACCTTAACACAATTTCGGCTTCCTCACGTTTCCAGTCAACACACTAACTCTTGTTCTTTTTATTTCGCTTGTCGTCCAAAATCATCACATTTCCTCACAAAATCTTTAAAAAATTTCAAAGTCTTGCACAAGCTTGGTTTTCGCTTCTACTTTGAACGTTCCAATCTTTGAACAATTTTAAAAAACACAACTCTAAGAGGTGCTTCTTTTTTGTTGGAGAATTTGTACAGCTTGATAGAGTAATTAATAGAAGTATTCATTTATATATATAATTTAAATTTTGATCGAAAATATGAGTACATCAACAGATCATATTTCTGGAGGATCGGAGAAGATTTTGTTTGCTGCTTTTAATCAAGATTGCAGTTGTGTGAGTGTTGGTACCGATTGTTCATATAAAATCTTTACATTGGATCCGTTGAAGAAATGCTATTCCCAACGTACGTGTTTTATTATTCCTTTGATATTAATTAATCATATTATTATTATTAATATTTGATGGTATTATTATTATTATTTGCATACTCATCGTGATGACGATGATAATAATGGACTATGATATATATCACATCATCATTCCAATATTCTAATATATTAATTATTAATTTACTATTCATGTAGCTGGAGGAATGAGTCTTGTACAAATGTTATATAGCTCTAGTTTATTAGCTCTTGTTGGTGCCGGACATCAAGCAAGTTTAAGTCCTAGAAGACTTCAACTTTTCAACTCGAGTGAGAACAAGGCAATTTGTGAACTAAACTTTACTAGTACAATTTTAAATGTTAAAGTATCAAAGAGAAGACTTGTAGTTGTACTTCAAGATAAGATTCATATCTTTGATATTTCATCTATGAAAATTCTCAGGACAATTGAAACAAAAAACAATTTAGGATTGTGTGTACTTTCTAGCATACCTTCATCTACACCAACAGGAGTCAGTGGAGGAAAGAATGACGTTAGTTATATGGCATATCCATCACCAACAGAGTCCGGAGATGTTATTCTCTACGATGCCATCAACCCTAAACAAGTCAACTTTATCAAAGCCCATAAGAGTGACGTATCAATAATACAATTCAATCAAGATGGTACCATGCTTGCAACAGCATCAGGAAAGGGTACTGTGATTAGAATTTTCTCAATTCCAGGATGTGAACTATTGCATACCTTGAGAAGAGGTTCAACAGCAGCTCGTATTTATAGTATTTCATTTTCTTCAGATTCTTCAATGGTTTGTGTTTCAAGTGACAAGGGAACCGTTCACGTTTTTAAATTGAATCAAAATCAAGAAAAGGACGAGTAAGTTTTGCATGATAATATATTTAAATATTTAATTTATTATTCAGAAAGAAGAGAACACAAAATGTTGGATCAATTAGTGACACTCTTCACAACATGTGGGATAGTGTCCGTAACTTTGCTCATGCTTCTGTAAAATTACCAGAAAACGAAACAAGAAATATTTGTGGAATTACTCCAAATAATGATGCACTTGTAGTAGTAAGCTTTGATGGTTACATCCATCGATTCTCTTTGGATACTGTAAGTGGAGGCGAATGTCCTCTAGAAAATAAGTACAAGATTTTAGAAACTAGAGATCAGTATGACTCTTCCTTGTTAAAATAAATAATTATTTCTCATTTGTTTTTTGTCAGTTGAAAGAATATTGGAAAGAATTTTGAAAGAACATCAAGATTTTAATCACTTTCATCTTCATCACCATTAGAAACAAGGCCATTTGTGGCAAAGAATGTGAAAAAGCTCAAAATGAATTCCTTTTCGTCTTGGTTTGGAGTGTAGCCTAGAAAATCATTGTATGGGAATGACTTGTTGAGATAGAACATGTCCTCTCCTTCCTTTCTATCCTCCACAACTTTCAATAGGAAAACTTCATTAATCATAATTCCTTCATTGTTAGAGGTCAACTTTAAAGGCTCTCCATCATCTCTGAATAAAACATATTCTCTCAAATTATCATTTTCAAAGGTACAAAACAAGGAATTTGAAAATCTCATTTCCAAAATTTCCCTTGATGACTGTGTTATCAAACATGAGAGTTTCCACTTTCTTAAATGTTTGAATATTTGTTGCACTTCTGGATCTTCAATTGGATTTTCACAATCTCCTGCATATCCTAAATTGAGAAATTGAGTGTAGAGATTACTTGCAAAACTCATTCTTGCATGATTATTATGTGAATTTTGTGAAATCATTTCTATAAATTCGTTCAAATCATCGAAAGGTTCTGTCCAATCTTTAACATTCTTCTTGGCAGTAATCTTGTTTCTCCTAGTAATATCAGCAACCTTTCTTGTTAAATATTCCAAATATTCATTCGAATTGTGAAGAATCAATCTTCCTCTCAGCATCATTAATCTTTGATAGAAATCTTGTGAAATTGGTTCGTCTCCGTCTTGAATCAGAGTCAATCGAGCTTGTTTATAAACATTCTCAATCTTTTCCAATGTAAGATCCATCTCACTCATATTAAACAATTTAATTCTTCGATGATTCACCAAATTATGATAAATTAACAAGTAATTTCTTGAAAATTCCTCCGATTGAATAATTTTGAACCAAAATTTGCAAACCAAATATAATGGTTTAATATCCAAATTATATTCCTCTCTACTATTATCCTTACTCTGAGAAGTACAACAAATATTAAACAAAATTTCATTCACCTCCAAAAACTTCATGATATTCAAAACAATTTTCGTATCGCAAAGTGTTCCGATACAACTCTCGTAATTATTGGCTTCAAATCTTAATTCATTGCTTCCTGTTGATGAATTTGCTTGTTCGTCCGATGATTTTTCTTCCTTTTTCTTCTTTTTTGAGAATACGCTTAAAAGTTGATCGATTTTTCTTTTCATTTTTTTTTAAATTTTTCAATTTTTTTCTTGAATTTTTCTTATTTTTCTTTAAATATTTAAAGACCTTACCTTACAACAAATACACAACAAAGAAGATTTTCTACATGATCAATTTTGAATATTAAGATACCGCCAATCCATTACAAAACTCTCACAACATCAATTTTGAAGAATTCTAATAGAAATGTTTATTTTCTAATAGTAGTAGTAGTAGTTTGTGTGAATGTGAATAATTTTAGAGCTCGTTGACTCGTAAAGCTCTATTTTGCTAAATTTTAAAGTAGGATTTCAACCGATTATTATTAAATTGTTCTTCTATTCGAAACGAGCACCGATGTTGGATTGCTACTTGGTTTCTTTGTTTGTTTTATCGAATAACTGGACGAATATGAAGAACAGAGACAAGAGTTTTTGAATTGGAATAAAACACCTTGCATCCACATATCGTCTTGGTATTGTGAGGAGGAGGAAGAAGTTTGTTGTGTTGGAGTGGTGTTGGTTGAATTATTGTTATTCGAAACAGTTGTGATTACTGATGGAAAATCAACCACCACAGAATTCTTTGAATTCTTTCGCTTCTTCTTGGTGATACCTCTTGGAGACGAAGGCGATGATGCATTTTCAGATTGTTCTTGTTGGCTATAGGTGTGGTTATTGGAAACATTATTAGATGACAAGGCAAAGTTATTAGAAAGGTCAAAAGAATCCTGGCTCTGCACGGATTCTTCTTGCGAATCAACTGTTTCTGTGACAGTAGCAAATGTTCTATCACTTTCAAATTGTGTAATAATTGTGAAGGTCATACTTTCGAATAGATATTTGGAATAATTTAATTGTTGTATTTGTTTTGAATGTGAAAAACCTGTTGAATCATAAAGCATGTATTATTTCTTAGTTGTGAATTGGTCCTATGAAGTTTACCTCCTTCTCAAATTGTATTTCTAACGCACATTTAGTGGAATGCTCGGTGTTGGCCATATTATAAGACATGATTGACAGACGTCAGAGCTCCCGATGAAATTCATCCATTTAACCAGGAAGATTTCTAGCCAAGAGTCAATATTAAACATTTTTTAGAAGGTAAGATAAATAAATGGAAAGGTTTATTGTTTCGGCAATAAGTAACAATGTTTAATTTTTATGAAAGCATGAGAGTTTGGTTACTTGTCGTGTGAGTCGTGAACTGCTTTGAATATCGAATGTACGTGGTTCATTGTATGTGGATGGTATTGATATGGCAATATCTCGTACCAGGTTTCTGAGTTCTGAATCGAAAGGTGAGCTTGTTGCCAAACATGTTATTTCATGCATTTGTTTAATGGATTCTTAATGAAACAAACTGTAGATGAATTGTAAAAGTGTTCATTCAAATATATAGAGAACAATCAGAACATTCATGTGTTTCATTATTGGTGAGATGATAATAGAGATGAATCAAATCTTTAAGATTTCTTCTCTGTATTTGGGAAGCATTTTCAAATTCGTTTTCTGAGATTTTTAATCCATGAATTAAAGGATTGCAGGGCGCAAGTCACGTGAAATTGTAAAAACTCTTTGTTTAGAAACAACATCTAAATGATTTACAATATTACTTCGAGTTCTATTCGAACAGTAGTAGCTGTACTTGAAGGAGGTCAAAAAATCTTAACTTACGCACAATTCCATTTCTTTCTATCTATTGCCAATTTTAAATATTTATCAAATAATAAATTGAATAACAGTAATGGACCTTCCGTCGAAATGCACAGTTCATTTCAAAGATAACAATCAAAGGACTAGTAAGGAGAAATTTTAAATAAATTTATAGAGGGAGGGAATTTACTTGAACAAAATAATGGCCACGGAAACGTTGTCATCACTTCTCTTTTCAAAAACTGCATAGTCAACCATACGTTCAGTCAAATGGATCAACTTTTCACGAGTTGTCTTTGGCACTGTCTTTGGCTTTTCTTGTATTTCATTTCTTTCCATGAACTTCTTTCTGAATTCATCTACAAAGTTTGAAACATGTCTTAAAGTTTCCTTCAAACGATTGAACTTATCTTCTTGTAACATGATTTGCTTAAGGTCAGTACCATTTCTGAACTTGCTTAAGAAATAATTGTTATATGGTACACCTAAACTTTCAATCCATCCTTCAACATCAGCAGCATCCCATTCGTCAACCTTCTTGTTCAACCAGGTAATCTTAATTGGTTGCATCAAATCACTAGAAATTTCAGTTTCATTGAAAATATCATACTTTTCCAATTGTTGTTTGACATATAAAGCAGCTTCTTCATTTGTGAATTTATCCCACAAACCATCACAAGCCAAGATCAAGAAACTTGGAGAAGTCTTATTTCCTTTAGTGAATCCGTCCATCTTTTGTCTGATAATTTCTGGAACACAACAAACAGCTTGATCTTCAGCCTTCTTCTTTTCATTACCCTTATAACGGAAATCACCAAAAGCACGTGCAACAGCAAGATTACCATTAACACGATTCATAGTGACAGTACAATCAGCAGCTTCAATTCTCTTCTTTTCAACTATTATTATTTAGTATTATTGTGAGAATTTTAAACTTACTTTCGTTCATTGGCTTTTGATCGAAAGACATTTCAATAGTCTTTCCATTGTGGTACATGATACAACGAGAGTCACCAACGTTGGCACAAATTGCTTCAACATCACAATCGGCAACCTTGACAAAACAAGTTATACCAGTTGAACCACTTCCATTGAATGGGCTAATTCCTTGAACCTTTTCCATATAAGTTTTTAACTTTTCATCAAGGGCCAAGTAGGCAGCAGTAATCAATTCGTCTGAGAGTTCCAAGTTTGATGACTTTTCCAAATGTTCATCAACAACACTAAGAATATTATCAGCACAGAACTTGGAGGCTTCAGCTCCAGCGTGACCGTCAAATACACCAAAGAAGTTCAATGATTTGTATTGGTGTGGCTTTTGTTTGAGTGTCTTCAAATCGTTTTGAATATCAAGTCTCAAGCAGTGAGCATCTTCCATTTCTGGTCTGCTTCCTTGCATACCTACACAAACACAGTAGATATCTTCGGATTCATCATAGTGAGTATCCTTGGTTGGAACGGCGTGTCTAAGACCCATCTGTTATTAATTGTATACAATTTGATCATCATCAAGATGGATGGCCATCCAATAATAACAAAAATAACAAGTGGGAAAATTGATGAGTTTGAAAATATTCACCAATTATACAATTTGTATGGAACAATAATAATATTATCAACAGATCGGATATTGAACAGATAGATGTTGTTGATTGTGTGTTGGTGGTTATAATTATAGTTATTTTAGCGGTTACAAGTTGTTAGTAGGAGTAGATTTGATGAAGAGAGTAGTAAATATAATGTAGTGATTATGTTGGTGGCAAAGTGGTAGGTTATCAAATAGTAAAATCCACAACAAGGGGATTAATCATCAATAGTATATTAAATAATTAGATCATCAATCCAACAACAAAATAACAAGTAAAAAATCACATAAAACAACATCATAGTAACATCAACACATTTAAAATACACAACAAAACAACAATAACAACAAATAACAGCAGAGAATATTAAGCAAAACTCAAAGGGCAAGCGGTACGAACCTTTTTCTAGTTATTTTTTTTGCGTGAATCGCAAACTTTTGTTTTTTATTCTTAAAAAGATTCACCTTCTTCTTACCGTCACGTTCTGACTTCACTGCAAAGTTTTTACAGGAAATTGATAAGAAAGAATAACATCAATTGAAAAAATTACTCCAATCGAGGAGTATATGAAAACCAGCTTGTAATGAGTACGATCTTGTTGATTCGGCAAGATAAAGACCTCACACAGAGGAAAAATGGAAGTTTTTATTAAAATAGATTAATCTTGGTTTCAGTCAAAATACAAAGAATTTAAGCAAGAATTCATCCAAAGGTTCTTTGCTGGTAAGGGGTAAATATCGCCAAGTTATTAGTCAATGGTTCTTGAACAAACTAATTGATATTACCAGTTCCGCAGGTAACTGGCCTCAGTGCCAAATAATAAGATAAAATTACAGTATTGATTCTCTGAACAAGTTCATAATTGTTGTAAAGTATTCATTTTGTGTTGGTGATACATTGGGTGTTGAAATTAAATAGTATTGAAAAAGGAGGTAGATATTCATATTATAAAGGGACCATTTTCAAAAAACTGAAGTTTGAAGTTTATTACACTTTCAAATCCAATCAAGAATTTAAGAACGCTTCCCTCAATATTTCTTCAAACCTTGAATCAATAGCCATTGTACAAATTCTGAAACCCAAAGAAAGGTTTGAAAAACTGTAAATCAAAAAAAAAGAATGAAAAGCTAAAGGGTTCCAAACTGAATTGCTGCAATGTGTTTTGAAATGACACCAATTGATATTCTCTCCTTTCGTAATGATCGGAATTTGATTATACAAAATACAGCACTCTGCATATCTCCTTATTATTGTATTCTCATTCTCCATCATCATTTCAAATTGATGAAAATATTGTAAATGGTTATTGATAGTCCATATGAAAGCATATTTTGTTCAACACCTCCATAATTGACTCGTTTGATTCCTGATAGAATTTATTCCAACCAATTAATTAATTTTTGAATCAATTTCATGTAAATCCTCAACGTGTAACATTAATTCTATGCAGGAAGGTTTTTCACCATTTAAATACTTGCTATCGAATGTCATGCCAAAAAAGCAAGTTAAAAAACCAATTAAATTTTCTTAAGAGATTCAATCACTCTTGATGCCAAATGACAATGTTTTGTATTGGGATGATTCGCCCACAATTATTATCACAAAATCAAGTTGAGCCAACAAAGATTCTGAATCAGAATGAACACAAAGTAAAAACTTCGCTCAGTGTAGTATTACATTATTATCAAAAAAAAGCGCCAAGATTCCACTCTCAAAACCACGTTATTATACTACGCGTAGTGATCAGAAACAAGCCTTTTTTCAGAATACATCAACAAACACTACTAGACTCTTTCGAGAAGAGAAATCTGAAAGAAGCATCTTCAATAGTAAATAGGCTGATCCAAAGATAATAGGCATCATCTGCTGTTCTTTACCCAATCTCCAATATTGTTTAGTTTGATCAAATTAGTTAGAGATTCAGAATCTAACAATAACAACAACGAGTATTCAATACACACACCATTTTTCAATATGAGAAAAGTACACCAACAACAACCATTAGCCTCGACGAGCAACACCAACAATTATCAATTTTCCCAACAATTTGTTCAACCATATCCAAACTATTACAGAGCTCAACCTTCTCAATTCATTTCAAATTCATTCTATAATCAACCACCAACCAATAGTGGTCCAGTGTACAACAATATGCCAGCTACCCAATACTATTCTAATCCTTCAATGATTACCTATGGAAATCCAAGCTCTAGATATTCCCCTTCCAAAATACAAAAACCAAAGAAGACTTCTCCAATCATGAATAGATACCTCTCGCCCAAGTTATTGGCAAATTCTGGTGTCATGAATAATGTTTATCACCCAAGCTCACAACAAACAATTTCTAACGCTTCAGTTCCAACTGTAATTTACACAAACAATAGCTCTGTACAATATTCAAACAGTCAACCACAACAACAAACCTATGTCAAGCAAACATATAAGGGTGGAATGAAATCATCGACCTCAATCCCTTCCATTAATACAACACAAAACAGAAACTACTCTAATTCAAACAACTCACAACCAATGATGACAACCAATACCAACCAACAACAACAAGCTTACCAACACAGATATCCAGCCAATTCCAATCAAAACATGGCTATGCAACAACCAATCCCAATCAACCAACACAAGAGCTATGCTGCTACAACCAAGCCATTGATGAGACAACAACAAACTGTTACAAGAAATCCTCAAACCAGTAACGACTCAATGTATTCCAGTACTACTACCGCTACCACTAACAATCAAGTTCATAAGCATTATCACCACCACTACCCTTCCAATACCTCGGAAAAGACAATAATGCATCACGTTTTGAACGCTAACAATACCTCTGTTAACTCATCCATTAGCTCAATTGGTTCAGCAGCCTCTAACGTTTCAAGATTGAGTACCAACACAAGTATTTTGAGCAACATGAGCGATGTTTCTGAGCATGACTATTTGTCAGAACAACGCCAAATGCCTCAAAATTCAGGTTCTACTTTAGAATCGAGAACAAGATCTTGGAGCAGTTTTACACCAAGTTCTAATCAACCATCGAATACTAACCCTTCTGAAAAAAAGAGTGAAGTTGTAGAAAGAAAGCCATCAAAGGCTCTCGAACCAACAATGGTCGAACATGATGATCAAGAAGCTAGCTACAAGACCTTATCTCAAAATCGCTCAGCTGCTTGGATGTGGTCACCAACTAAGATTCAAAGAGCACAAGAAAGAACCAAGAGACAAATCATGAGTGTCCTTCTCTCACCATCTAGTTCAGAAGATGATGAAGATGAAGAAATTTTTGCCAAGATTCAACAACGTTACAATGAGGCAACTCTCAGAATTAATTCAATTATCAACTCTGTTCCTCCAACTACCTCAACAAACAATAAGCACGATGCTTGCATGCAAACTGATGAGAGTACCTTCCAAAATACAAGACCAGCTCCAAAGAAGGCTCCTCAACTCTCTGACAGTCACGACTCTGATTCAATTAGAAGTAGACCAACCGCATTCAAATCCCAAACCTTGACATCTTCCATGCAACAACAAAAGGATAAGATTGATAGCTTTTATCTTCCTCCAATTGTTTTCCCTCCAAGTTTGAGCGAAGATATGGACTTTAACATTGACTCTATCAGAAAGTCCTCTCAAAAACAAGAAAGCAATCACAGTTTGAGCTCCTCTTCCAGTTCTGAGGGCACCTTGTTATCTCCAATCAACTATGCCTCTTCTACTATAAGTCTGCTCAACCAATATCAATCTCTGGTGGTAACAATAGATACATTGTTGATTCAATGATCAATAGTGTTCTCGACGAAGAGCTCAAGGATGATGAAGATATGGTTTTGTATGACGACTTTGATTCAGAAATATCGACATCCTCAATTGGTTTTGGGGAGTGCAGCTTGTCTTCATTTGGTTCTCCATGCTCAGTTGGTAAGATTGATCTTTCTTCAAGCCCAGATGGAGTTCTTTCCAACTCTGAGGAGATGAGAAGAATGGTTGAGAAGGAAATCTTCCTCTCCAGAAACAAGCCAAAGGACAGAATTAAGTTTTCTGAAGACTCTGTTGAACTTTTCAGTTTTAGACAACAATCAAGACAAATCTCAACTGTCTCGCTTGTTTCTCATTGTATCAATCAGATCTTCCTTAATGGAAGTCCTGAAACAACTCTCTTCTTGGAGAGAATGATCACAATTGTGTGTGACAGAGCTGATATTGATTTCAGATGTACCTTGTCAGCACTCTTCTTTATGGTCAAGCTCCAAAACCCAACTTTTATCACTGACGAGAATAACTTTAATTTGATCAATGAATTCCAAAGAAAGTCTGCCTTTGGAAATATTGAACCTTCTAACTTTATTTACACTTTCTTTGTTTGCTTGATGATTTCATCCAAGATCAACGAAGATAACTACTACAACAATAAGACCTTCTTCAAGTATATGGCTGTTAATGAATTCAAGCAAATTTTCCATGCTTTTAATTTAGATAATGCCTTCAACTATATGAATGACATGGAATTACTCATGGTCAAAGAAGATGGAAGTGTACCAGTTCAACAAACCCTTAGTTGCAGTGAGCGTGTACATAGTCAAACACTTGCTAACGAAAGGTATAAGAAATATTTCCAACAATTTAACATTACCGAAGTGAATATTACCATGGCACTCAAGTATGATGTCTGTGTCAAGGAAGAATCTCTTTGTAACTTTTTAGACAAACTCGAAAGAGTCAACGAATCATTACTCATTTGCTAATTCAACCAATAATAAATTATTACTATTGGTCAATCAATTACTCATTTTCAGTTTGTTCTTGTACTTGACTTTGAGTATTTTGCAAAGTTAAACCTCCTCTGCTTTCATCAGTGACAATATCTTCCTCTTCCTTATCTTCCATATCACTCTCGTCATCACCTTCCTCACCTCCTTTCATATTAATCATTAGATAGAATTCATCAAAATCAATCGTTCCATTTCCATCTTCATCCACTTCTCTAATGATTGCCTCAATGTCTACCGTAAAACCAAACTCCATAACTGCATCTTTCAATTTCTCTGTACTAATAACACCAGTTCTATCAAAATTACCTCCCATAGCAACAAAGGCACTCAAAGTTTCATTGTCATGGACTGGTCTATCTTGCTTCTTTTGATTTTCAATGAGTGAAACCAATTCTTGAATTGTTATAAAATCTTCCATCTGAATTCCTTGAATGTAATCGAAGAGTTCATCCTCATTGAAGGGAGTTTCCAATTCTTTCAAAACCTTTCTCAAATCCCACAATTCCAACTTGGTTTGGTCATCCTTATTGGCATAATTTGCAAAAACCTTCAAAATTTGTTTGACATCATGCTGAGAGAGAATATGCTTATTGTACGTCAATTGATGAATATCAATCCCACCAACATTATTCATTGAATTCATATTTCCGAGCAAATTAGTGGAAGATGTAGCAACTGGCATTGGTGGTGGAAAATCAAACTCTGTCATAAAAGTTGATGTTACGTTAGGCATGTAGGCAGAGAGTTGAGAAGGTCTGACACCCTCACTTCTTGTTCTTCTCTGGATTGGAGTTTCATTGATTTCATTCAATCCGGGAGGAGACATATCTTCAACGGCCGATATATTACCAAAACTCGAGGATGATGATTGGTGTTTCATCATTCGAGGAGTGGAACTTAGGGCCGGATATGAAGTAACTGATGATGAAAATTGGACAGGCATTCTTAATGGCCTAAATTCTAGTTCTTCTTTTCGTTACTAGTAAGTGAATAAAATTTGCTGCTAAAAGTTTAATGACTATTGACTTTGTTTTTCCTTCTTGTTTTTATATTCCTTAGAGAGAACAGAAATAATTTCCTTGCTGAATGTTGTCTCTTTTTTTTTTAAGGGTTTCATGCAAGAGACAATTTGTAACGGTTTTTTTTCTTCAGTAGATCCAAAAAAATAGATAAGGAAGCGATAATGAAAATTGTGATTGTTAAAGATTGGGTATTGGGATTGAGAAGTAATCAATCAACAGCTTGTTTTTTTTAAATATCAATAAAACTCTCCACAGAACTGGCAACTTTGACAGCTGTCAAAGGTGTAAAGTTTAGCTTTTGAATTGTTCCAAGGGAGTCTAATTAATGAAGTGTGGAACTAGTTCTGAAATAACACTTGCTGACTATTTCTCTATATTTTGTTAAATTTGTTTGATTATTTGGACCAAACATCTTCCTCAGATCAACACATTTCATCCCACTAACCTACAACAACACTTCGGCAAATCATTACAACATATATTGGCTAGAAATAAGCATAGCGCCCCTCAAGTCGTTCAATAACAAAGGGCCCCAGAACTGTAATGAAAGTAGCTTCTCTGATCATTATCAAAAAAAAGTCACCAAATTTTCCTCACTTGTGTGTGTCCTTAATAACTTTAACCAATGAAGATTTCCTTCCTATTGGCATTCATCCTATTGGTGATTGGTTCCTTATTATTGTTAGGAGTGTTGGTAGATGGGGCCCTTCCGAATATCATGTCACAAATGAAGGAACAAATCACTGTTATGGAAAGCAAATGTTTGATAACAATGAAGGGATTGAATTGTCCTACAACAAGTAGTAGAAGAAACCTCATGGATGATCATTTACCTATTATTGCCGGAGTTGGTTATAGCAGAGAGGATCACACCATTCGTCCTCAAATTCTTCAATCTCCCTCCAGTGTTCCAACATCAGGTGAGGAATCTGTGGTAAAAACAATGAAAAGCGCTCAAGAGTACTTTTCCATGTTGTTTCCAAGGGATGGTCAGACAGTTTTTAATGGACTTTATAGTCATGGATCTGCAGCTACTGATCTAATCTTTTCAAGATTCTTTGAGGGTAATTTGTTTATTGCTGATATTCAAAAGCAATATTTCACACATACTGTTTCATTGTCTACAATTCAAGTCACTGATGAATTTCAAATGATTATTGATTTACTTCCTTATGAAATGGATACTGACTTGTACATGCAAGTAATTACATCATTTGGTGATTCTATTGCCACAAATATTGTTTATGGAGGTGTTATTGATTTGACAACCTCTGTCAAGTCATGTTACAATGATCCAAGCATGTTGAGTTACTTGGATTTAGAATTACAATTATCAATTGATGATCAAACTGATACCTCCAGTCTTCCTAATGGTTATATTAGATATCATAAGGTAGCTCAATTGGACATTGTTGGTGGAAATCCTCAAATTTCATCAAAAAGAGAAAGAGTGTCAACTTTTGCTTCCAATCCAGTCCCTGTTAAATTCGAAACTATTCCAATTTGGAGAGCATTCCCTGATGGTCCAAAACAAGCTAATATGAAGATTATTTACAATAATTATATCCAATCAAAGGCAGACCAAGTGAATCAAATGATTAATGACCTAAATGCAAAGATGGCTGCAGATGCTTCCAAACTTCAACCAGTCACTGTTTTTAAACAAGATCGAAAGGATTCTATCATTGAAAATTTTGGTTCTAGAACGAGTATTGCTAATGGAAACTCTGTTGAAATCGATGCCTTTGTAAGAATGGTTTTCCAAGTCAATTTCCCATATGATGATCCAACTTTCATTATTGGATTGAGACCTAAGATTTACAAGAATTTGGATGGATCCTTCTATTTCAATTTCCTCAGAGGAGATTGTGATCAATATAACTGGGATGTTTGTAAATGGACTTCTTATGTTTTAGAAACATTTGGTGGAGTATCTCTCAAATCAAGAACAGGAAAGGATGAATGTATTCAATTGGCATTTGGTCAATCAGTTCAAACAAGATACACAACTTCTTACTTGTATGTTTGCACTGGTTGTACACCTTACATTTCACAAGATGGTAAATCATTGAGTTGTGGCTGTCCGTACATTGAATAAATTTGCTAACCCTAACTCAGGGATCTTCTTCAGAGATTATTCATTGTAAAACTATACTCTACATTTGATGGAACAACTTTGAATTTCACACTAAAATGTGTTGGTGATTATTTAAGCCTCTACACTGTAAAACTAGAAACAAATTACAGAATGAGTGAATATAATTGTCCCAGTTAAGTTAATTTAAATATTTTTAATGGTTCTGACTTTTGTGGATTTGTATTTGACCGTACGTTCTTTTCACTTTAGATTTAACTACCGAATATGTAAAAAAAATCGTTTTGGGGTCATTTATTAAGAAGAGTCAACAACTTGCAAGAAAAAAATGCCAAAACTTCTTAACACTCTTTTATTGCTCTTGCTATTGCTTGCATTTGTGAATTGTGCAATATTACAGAATCTGTTGGGATGATTTCAAACTTAATTGGATTCGTTAAAAATTTCGCGGTCTACAGGATTCGAACCTGTGCGGGTCGCCCCAATTGATTTCTAGTCAATCACCTTAACCACTCGGTCAAGACCGCTTCATGATTTTGAGATCTTGTTTCCTGATATATTCATTATTAGTTGTGTTTTTGCAATTTATTTTGAACTCCGAAATTTCCCTTTTTAAGAAAAAAATTCTAAAAAAATCTAAGCAAATTCGTTGTAAGCGAAGCAGAATAGACGAAGTTGATTTAGAAATACTTTTAAATGATGCAATTTAAAAACTATCCATATCTGAAAAAGAACTGTCTGAGGGAATGTATCGAGATTGATGACTTTCTGGGATGTGATACATTCCATCATCATACTCTTCATCCTCACTGTAAGGATAGTTTTCATCATCATCACCAAATGAGGAGCCATCTTGGTAGAAATGACTATGTGGTACATGTTTCTTCTGTTCCAATTCCATAATTTTCAGTGAATATTCATAACTAGAGGGAAGATCAAAATCAATGGATGGGGATAGATGGCTGATTCGATTGGTTGTGTTTTGCTTATTGGATTTGGGCTTTGGATTTGTTGTGGAGACTTGAGTTATTGGTACAACTGAATCTAAGAATCCTTCATCAAAGCTTAGAGCTGAGGAGTAACTAGAAGTAGAAGGTCTAAAGCTTCTAAACTGTGCAACCTCTTCTTTGAATAGTGACTTGTTAGGTTCAATAATCTTAGGAATGTCTTGTTGATCTACCTTTCGTGGAATGAGTGTTACTGGAGGAGCGGTTGACTCTACTCTAACTACAGGGGGTGGAGGGCTAGCTTCCATAAGGGTTGCATCACTAATGAACGAAGATGGTTCTTGCTGTACTCTTTCACATCTTGGAAAATCTGACATGGTATCAGTGTCTGATTCTTCTTCTTCAGTTGAAGAGTATTCCTCTTCAGTTTCTTCTTCCTCTTGAGCTTGTACTTTTTGATGAGGGTGCACAATCTTTGGTTGTTGTGTAAGCTTACCAAGAACAGGATGATTGTTATCTATATTTCTCTTCTTTGAAATATTGGAATTATTAATATTACGATTTGTACCTGTATTGTGAAGATGGGATTGAATGAGTGGCTTTGATTTTTGAACTCTTTCTGAAATCTTATCTATTGATATGACTTCTTGGGTGAGAGTTGTAATTGGGCCAAAAGAGAAGGCCACCTCAGACATATTCATGGTTTGGTCCTCCTCCTCCTCTTCTTCTTCTTCGGTTAGTCTGTGATTGATTGGGTGAGGCTCCTTCTCACTTCTTAGAGTATGAAGGATGGTCAACTCCTCGCCATCCATATCAATGACTGCTCTTCTTCTGTTATTCTCGAAATGTATTTGGTTGTTGGTACGATTATTATCATTGTTGGGTCTTTGATTTGTGGCAGGTAATACAGGGGGGGCCATATGCTTAACGTTCTTCCTACTCGCCTCAATAATGTTAAATATTGATGGTAGATTACTTAGAGTCTCAGTATGAGCCTCCTCATCAGAATACTCGCCACTATCATCATCTGATTTCCTATTGCCATGTTTTGAATTCACCAAATAGTTATAGTAAGGTATCGTAGAGAGTCTGGCATTCTTGCTGATTATATTGGGTGGTGAATCATCAAATTCAATATTGATTGCACTAGCAACGGTATCAATACTAGAAGGTCTAGGTCTGTCAGAGAATGATGCTTTTGAAATTCTAATAACACTCCCAGTGTCGCTGTTAAGTGAGCCCTCATCATCATTATCTGATTCCATCATCTTGATCTCTTCAAGGAGTTTCTTGGTCTTTTGATAGTTTCTAATGCTCTCCTTCAGCTTATCTCTACACCTCTTCTTGGCATAATATTCTTCGTTAATGTAAAGGAGACTATCTCGTTTGTTTCTTGGCTTTTTCTTTTCATTATCAACTTGCCAATCCATACTATTATCAACATGTCTGTGAATTTGAGTTTCAATCAACTCAATTAGGGATACATATTTCTGACTATTGCAAATAATCGTACCATTTGAGCAACTGGAATTGCTAGTTCGTGTTGAAGAGCTTTCAAAGGATAGCTCCTTGAAGAATTGTACACTCTCACTGAAATTAACACTATAGTGTTTATCCTCATCCACTTCTCCGTTCAGATAATTGGTAACAAATTTTGGTACATCCTTGCCTTTCTTTGATAAAAGTATCTGTGCTGGTCTTTCCTTTGAAGTTTCAGGAATAATCTCACTCTCATCGTAAGTTTCATCAATTGAGGAACCAGAACGAATCAAAGAGGCACATCTTTCATTCCATTTCAGTTGAAACAGTTTAGGGAAAGAGTAGAGCTCGGAACATTTAGTCATGTGCCCTGCCTTAACCCAATTCAATACCTCGACATCATGCATGAATGAGCAAAAAGGTCCATTACTTGGTATCTCCTTGTAATCTTTGAAAATAATAGAAGTTATTGTCATGAGCTGAGCATCTGAGGAAGAATGGAATTGTGGGTCCTTGTGACATCTCTTATCGTATCTGTGTTTGAGTGCCTCGGGTATTCCTATTATTGACCTTTGGGTTGATGATGCATTCGGAAGAGGTGGATCTGGATACCGACCTAAGGTATTTTGTTTGGCTCGCTCATGCTCCTTAGTGGCAAGTCTATGAATTCTACTCTCACTCGAGCTTGGTTCAGTATTATTAGTTTTGGTCTTCACTGATGTGTGGAATAGAGTCTTTCTTCTGGCTGCCTCTAATCTGTGATTAATGGATACAATCTTGTTACCAATTCGATTGACTTCAGTAGTAAGCTCTGCAGAAATTTCCATGGTAACTTTACAAACAGCCCTTAATTGCGCCAAAATACCAATCATGGATTGAAAATGATTGTCTCGTTTGATGGACATTATTTCCATTTCACCATCCGTACTTTTAGAACGACTACCTTTCAAAAAGCTTGAAATGAATCCATTTTTCGATTGTTTCTTTTGTTTCTCTTGTGGGTTGGGAAATGGATATGGAATGTTCTGAAATACGTGTCTATCAAGTCCTTGTTCGTGTCTCTTTCTTCTACTCAGAGCCATACTCGAAAATGTGAGAGTATTTTCCGATTGAGTGGTTGTGTCTGTTGTTTCAGTTTTCGATCGTCCTCTTGAGGATTGACGATTTGGATTTACATTAATTACCAAATCATAATTCTTTTCCTTCTCTTGCTTCTTCTGTTTTGGTTGTGCTTTTGTGTTGGAAACATAAAGTTGACCGCACGATTCATAAGGGTTGATCTTTCTAACAATGAGCACCATTGTCTTATTTTTTCCTTTGGATTGGTGTAGTGCCAGCTCCAACGAATCCAAATCATCTCCCAGTGGAGAACATCCATAAATAACTTGTATCCAAATCTTCAATCGTAACCGATTTGTTCTTTCACAAAAACAAAGTGAAACTCCTTCCTAATAGGTTCCGTATCAATCTAGTTAAATTAGATTGATACGGAACGAAAAAGCTTCAAAATAGATTAACAAAAAGAGCCTCTCAGTTCTCAAACTTTAATATTACTGCGTCATTGTGCAGCGATCATGATTAGAATTTTGTCATCATGCGAAACAGAGTAGATAGCTTCTCTACGGGCTTTTGCATTTTTTCTTGTTGAATTTTAAATTTATTTTGGTTTTTTTATTTATTTTACTGTTTTAATTTTTGTAAAGTTTCAATAGAGCCATCCCAAGGAATGATTGAGGCAGATATTCGGGAAACTATTGAAACTGCTGGTCTGAAATCTGAAATATCTTCACTCTCTTTCAGATCATATTCGTACGATACAATTACATTACCAAATTGTGAGTAGAATTTCATGCTAATTGTTCTCTCTTGTTGAAAGTATTCCACGCCAATTACATCTCCTTCGGAATTAATATTAGAAATAGTATAGGCACATGTTCCATCAGAATGTTTGGAGTGAGTATTAACACAATATCCTCTTCCTCTTGATTTTCCACAACCAAGATAATAGTGTAGAGAGTAACTGTCTTGATTTCTAGGCTGATTTTCAAAGCCATCCACTCCCACAAGAGTTATCCATGCATTCGACACTTCTTCATGGTAATTTGTTAAGTGAATTGCCCAATAATATCTGAAATGTTTCAGTAAATTCTTTCTAGCTCTACAAGTCTCCCAATCACCATTCAAGATCGTGTGGCAAGAATGAAAGCAGTGGTCATTATTTGTGAAATCAACAAGTGAATAATGAACTTCATCCTCTCTCGATTTAAGAGGTATTCTCTTTGGAAATCCACTCTTATCAAATGAAAAGGCTCTAAACAAACAATATAAGAAAAAGTAGGCATTTTCACAATGCTCCTCATACAATGTCTTGAACTCATTCTCATTCAAATAATGTAAAATTCCCTTGATCAATCCATTGTTTTTAAATTCTTTAATTTGATCTAAAAATTCATCGAGTAATTTCTTCAGCACTCTCCCAATATTCATTTCTTTCTCCGATACTGTAAAAGTTTCCTCTTGGTTATTGATCATGGACCGGAGTGTATTTTCCCAAATAATAGATGAAGAAAGGAGAATATCTCTCATCCTCTTGTTGATCTTCATTAGGGAGAAGAGTGTCTTGGTATCTAAAAACTTGCAAACAACAAACTCAAATACTTCTGAGGGAATTTCTACTAAAAGATTTAGTTTCATTTTTTTAATTTTGGTTTCATAATCTCTAAAGATGAGATATAACTTGAATAAATTTACGAGTTATTATTTCAGAAAGTTTGGTAAAATCATTTATTGTTTCTTTCCAGTTTGTAAAGAACAATGTTTAACAAATATTGCTGAGGATTGGTCGGATGGGATAACCAATCGAGGAATGTCCTGTCTCTTGAATCCTGATCTTTTTTGAATCTTTTTTTGTTTCAATTCACTGCTCTTGGAGAGGACATTGCTCAATACTTTTGATACAATGGTAGCAGTTGCTGCATTGATATTTTCAGTTGTTGTGGGCTGTTATTACTGGTTGATGGTTCCATATCTTGTGAAGATTTTTCATTGCTATCCAATGATTTAGCTGAGGAAGAACTGCAAGGAGTGAGAGAGCTCACACTTCTGGTGGCTTCATTGACTTTTCTATACTTGCTACATTTCAAACGAAACTCTTCTTCAAATAAGTCTTTTGCTGAAATGTTTGAGGGAATTGAGGTTGGGAATTGGAATGAAGGTGGAGGAGGCATAAGTTGGGATTCATTAGAATTACTACTAATGGTACATGAAGTGGTGGTGGTTGTGGAGGAGGATAAACTAGTCATATCAGATGTGTTACAATTAGGATTGAGGTTATTATTAGAATTGAAAGAGAGTTGGTGGAGAGAAGTTAGTGACAACCATGTAGAACAAGGAGTGCATGGTGGTTCGTCATTCATTAGTGAGGAGTTGTTTTCATTTTCAATCTCAGTTGAGTGATGAATAAATGAAATAAAATTACTGGTATTATTGGTATTGCTATTCATTACCGGGAAGGGAGAATCAAATTGGGAAGGGAAAAGGGAACAAGATGATGAATTTGTTTGTTGTTGAAGTGGAGGATAACGTAAAATCATTATAAAACTATGGGAAAATGGGTGACAGAATTTGAATGGGAGAGAATGGGAAAGGATGTTGTTCAATATATTTTAATATCTATACTATTGTATTGAAATAGAACTACTAAAAGAGAGGCGACCAATGAATGAAACTGAAAATGATCGTTGTTGTTTACCGAACAAAGATGATGATGGAGAAAAGGCTCTGGAGAATTTGAAAAACGTTTGGCCTTTCCGCACTTTGACAAATCGAGGAGTAGAATTGATAGGTTTTTTTTTAGATTTTTAATCAAATACTTTTCCAGCGCGAAGTGGCTTTATCAGCGGATCTAGTCGTTAGTTTTATTTTTAAACTTGTTTTTTTGGCGGGCCAACGTTGTTTTGTAAATTGAAGTGGAAGCAAGAGGAAAATTACTATTGCAATTCCACGTGTATACTTCTCAAGAAAGTTTGAACAAGGATGGAAATTGATTTTGAAATTGAATTAAGGATCAATGTTGGTCCATTAAATTGACATTCAATTTTACACAGTACATATCTTTGAAAGAAATTGTAAACTAGTTTGCATTTTACAATGAGGTTTTCCAACATTGAAAATCTCTTCAACTCCGATTCAATTTTGATTGAAAAGATGATAATGGTAAAGTTACTAAATTATATTTTTATTCACACATGATATGCAACGTCATCAATAGTCATGCTGATTCATTGATTCAACAATTTTCTTCAACGCCTCAGTAGACTTGCAATTTAAATTCAGATTCAATCAAAACAATGACATTGGTGTTGCTCAGTCAATATTGAGATGAGAATTGAGAATAAAAATAATATATCCGTTTCAATCAGTTTGTTAATATTTACAGTTAATCGTTGCAACAATTTATTTTTGAGATTGTTGAACTCCTTTTTCAATGAATGAAACAATTTGAGATTCCAACTTTGAGAAGATGGCTGGAATGAAATCACAAAAGATATGGAAGCAGTGGAAAGGAATAGTTTCAACGTGCTTTTCTACACTGAAATTATTCTTGTTCAAAATTGAAATAAATTTGTCAATCTCCAAAGTCAAACGTTCATTTCTACTATAAGAAAAGAGGAATCTATTGGTTATATCCTTCATTCTATCAATTCTATCCTTTGAGAAATAGTTTGGAGATAGATTTTTACCTCTTTCAAGTTGATTAAATCCTAATGGAATTCCCCATTTTTTGAATTGATTAAGGGCCTTGTTTGGAAGGGCTCTATCAACATGTTTTGCATCACACATTCCAGGACTTGTCATTGTAACGTCACACCAAGGTGATAATCCAATAACTCCTACAATACAATTATACTTGTCATCCAATCCATTTTGTTGTCTTTCCTGAGCTATTCTATCGACCAACATTGTGGCCAAGTGTCCTCCAGCGCTCTCACCAATACTAATCACATGCTTAGCACCCTTTTCATCAACTAGCCACTTGAATGCCTTGAATGCATCCTCGATAGCATCCTCAATAGTATGCTCTGGATACAAACTATAATCCACTCCAAACAAATCAAATCCATTGGTTGAGCAAATATTCTCCAAAGTATAGCAAGTTGAAGGTTCTCCCATCAAGTATCCTCCTCCATGGAAATGAATCAGTGCAACTCTTCCAAACTTGTTACAAATTGAATTTCTCTTACTCTCTTCAAGTTTATCATGGAAATTGAAATAGATACTAGGATGCTTGTTAGGTAATTCAAAGGTCTCTCTCAAAAAGATCTTTTCATCTGGAAGGTAAAAAGGACCAGCCTTCGATTGATGTATTCCTCCAGGCAAGCTTGTTCTGAATTTGATAATTTCATCAATAATCTCTTCTCTTTTCTTATTCTTATCCATAAAATCATTATCCACATAAAGATTTTTATTCTCCTCCGAATCGAATTTTCCAATCAGTGTATCCATCATGTTCATCAAACTCAACTCTTCCTCCGATAAATTCTTCAGTGATGAATCACCTTCTCTCATCGTTTTAGCTCCCTTCCAATATTTCATTTGCAATCGGAAGGAGTGAAATACTAATCGTGTAATTTGTGCAGGGAGGGATAACTTTTTGAAAATTCGCAGGTAGAGTGACCACAGTGCCATTCCCGAAAGTATGCCAATCGGAATGTAGAATAGCAAAGACATTTTTTTTGTTGAATTTGTTTCTAAAAGGTATGTGGCTTTACAATTTATATTGGGAATGAGTACTGTACAATGTGAATACATGGCGACAATATGAATTAATTTGGTAATTTTGTAGCAACTTGTTGGGTTAGGATCATTTTACTAAATGGCTCCTTAATGATCTGATTTGTACAATGAGTTCATTAAAATTTGTAAAATGGTGTAGGAGGTCTATGGAAGATCTCATTAAATAAGTGAATTATTATTTAAAATTTCAAAAATGTTTTTAATGTAATTTTGCCATGGAGAAAATAGCATCATTAACTGGAACAAAAGCAACAGGAGCAAGTCTCTTATTGGCATCCCATACTCTCACAACCTTATCAGCACCACCACCTGTATAAATAAGTCCCTTATTGTAAACAATTTTTGTAATACCACCACGATGAGCATTCTTAACTTCATCAACCTTCTTTAATCCCATTCTAGTGTCCAAACTACGGATACATCCAGCATTATCAGCACAATAGAGCATGTTATTATTATCGTCCAAAGAAAAGTGCATGACAGTATTTGTTGAAACATTTTCAGCTCTCATTGAAACCTTGTTACCTCTCAAATCAACACATTTAATACTCTTATCGGATGAGCATGAAATTAAAGTGGCCTTTGATTGGAGGTCAGTAACTTTAACGTGACGAACATCACTGGTGTGCAATTTCATTTTGGCTACTAATTTTTGTGTGGTGATATCATATCCTCTAATCATACCATCGTGTAAACATGATGAATAAACAACTGGATTGGAAGCACCTGTATCAACAGTTAAACTCCAAACTCCAATATCTTCCTTTCCTTCACGATGATTCAAAGTTGTTTCATAATTAATTTCATCAACTCTAGCATCTTCAGTAGTTCTCCATTTCCACACTCTAACTGTTGAATCCATACCACCTGTAACCAACAATGCTTCTTCAGCTCCCAACTTGGCATGAGAAACAGCTAAAACTTCCATAGAGTGACCCTTTCCTTTAACTGTGAGTGTGTCATGAGGACTTTCAATTTCTTCTGGTGGTTTTGAAGTATTTTCCAACAAGACAAGACATTCCATACTGTTGGCATCAAAGACTCTAACATCACCATCCCAACCACCACTAACAATACGATGTTTGGCATTCTCCGAAGAACCAAAACAAACAGAATCCAATGCAGAAACAGGCTTGAGATGTCCTACAAGTAAACCTGATGGTTGAATATCTTCTCCGTTATTATCATCAAATTTTCTAGAAAAATGATGGTACATTCTGATGAATGAATCTTGGCATCCGACTGTAACACCATTCACTACTTGGTGAGTTGTTGCTGTTGTTGTTGATGAAGTTGTTGCTTGTTGTTCGCTCATTTTTCTTCTTTTCGAAAAAAAAAACTTCAAATAAAATTTTGTTCATCCATACTATGAAGAGTATACGATATCCTTTCTTCTCTCTGCTAAAGAAGATTAGCATGTGTAATTTGATTCAATGACGCAATCATTTACATCATCAAAATAATTAATTTTTTAAATTTTAAAAAAAAATAATGGTAATGCCTTTGCTTACAGTGAAAATTTTATGATCTTTAAAAAAAAACAGCAAGATAACTCAATAATCCTCCGAATTATTCATCATGATGCGTCAATCACCAAAGGGAATGGAACAAACAATTTGGACTATTGCTGGTAATGGCATTAAAGGTTTCTATGGAGACAATGGTTTAGCAATAGAGGCTAAACTTTCCTCTCCATATGGTGTAGCTGTTAATCCCTATAGTAATGATGTGTATATTGCAGATTATAGAAATCATTGTATTCGTAAAGTGTCTGCATTGGATAATAAGATCACTACTATTGCTGGTACTGGAGTTGCAGGTTATTCAGGTGATGGAGGGCTGGCTTTACATGCTCAATTAAATTGTCCATTATCTGTTTCAATTCATCCAAAGAATGAGGAGCTGTATATTGCTGATTATTCCAATCATAGAATTAGAAAGATTTCATTAACCTATGGTACCATAAGTACAGTTGCAGGTAATAATACTGGAGGTACGTCAGGTGATGGTGGGTTGGCATTATTTGCTCAATTGTATTTTCCACAGTGTGTCAAGATTCATCCAATAACTTTTGATATTTATATTATTGATTTTGTTAATAACAAAATAAGAAGAATTTCTAATTCGTCTGGAATTATTTCAACATTTGCTGGAAATGGAACTGCTGGATTTTGTGGGGAAGGTGGATTTGCAACAAATGCTCAACTTAATGGCCCTAGTGGGCTCGATTTTAATCCAACTACTGGTGATGTTTATATTGCGGATTCGAATAATCATAGAGTTAGAAAGGTTAATTGTAAAAGTGGAATCATTACAACATTGGCAGGAACAGGAAAAGCAGGATATTCAGATGGTATTGATGCACAATTGAATTATCCATATGATGTTTCATTTTGCACTAGAGGTCAAATTATCTATGTGACAGATCGAAGCAATAACAGAATTTGTACAGTTTCACCAATTGATGGAAGAATCACTACAGTTTGTGGAATCAATGAAAAGGGATTTGACGGAGATGGTGGCCTTGCTATAAATGCAAAGATTTCTTCTCCATGTCAAATAGCAGTTCATGCAAAGAATGGAGATGTGTATTTCAGCGATTTTGGAAATAATAGAATTAGGAAAATTGTTGGATCCTATCATGCAACTCTGCTCAAACCACTTTCTTTCAAATTGAAAAAGTATGATAGAGACCTTGTTGATGGAACTAACTTGATATGCTGTAAGAGTGTATTTAATATTTTGGCTCCTCATTTCTCTAAATCTATTGTTTTCAATTCCTTTTTATTGAAACACTTAACTTCCACTCAAATGGAAATCATTCAACATTTAATTGATTCAATCATGTACCAACAATATCACGATAGTGAATGGTTTGACAAGTATGAATTGGTTGATATCTTGGCCATTCTTGGAATGTCAAAAGGATTTACTTCTCTGAAGAGAAAATTGGTAGATGAATTTACAAAATCATTTAGTCAATCTTGTGCTCAACTAGTTTCCAAAAATTTGGAAAAAGTTACACAAGCTAAAGACAGTGCACCTTTGTTCATTGATAATCCATTGCTAGACCAATTACTGGACTACTGTATTGGCCACGCTGCAAAAACAATGCAACAATCGGCAAGCGCAGTTGACATTCCAATATTTCAAAAACATCTTGTGCCGATTGCCAAAAAGCTATCCACTACCATAAATCCAATTACTATCAATGATGATGAAACATCAGATAAGACCACTAAGTCAGTTGAAACACTCTTCAACGACAAAGCAACAAGCGATATTACCATCAAGACGGGCACAAAAGAATTCTATGCACACAAAACAATTCTTGCATCCAACAGCCCATACTATGAAGCACTATTCAATAGTGGTTTTGAATATCAAGACTTGAAGGATGATATTTATGTTATTGATACTGAGGAATTCTCGGAAGACCTACATGAGATAGTTCTGAAATATTGTTATGGAGTTTTCGATGTTTCCAGTGTTCCAATCAATCAAGCTCTTCCACTTTTTAAATGTTTTGCACTTTATGACGTAAAGGAAATGATAGATTACTATTTGAATAATTTACAAATTACAATTGATAATTTTTGCACATTATTTGAACAATTAGGAAATTACAATGATTCAGTTTATGAAAGACTAATCAACTTTGGAGTGGAAAACATTCAAAACCTTTTCAACAATAGAGAAACACTGGCAAGACTTTCAACAGAGGTCAAGGATGAAATTTGTTTCAGAAAGTATAGTAGTAAATAATTTAATAAGTTGTTTTGTCTTTCCAATAATAATAACCTATTCTTCTGCTTGTTCTGTGCAACCAATGGATTGCATTAGCTCATTAGCCTTTTCCTCATTCTTTTCCACTCCCAAACCATTTCTATACATTTCGGCAAGTTCTTCTACAGCATTATCACAGAGGCTTAGAGAAGCCCTCTCAAACAATTCTATTGCTTTCGAATAATCCAATGGCACAGCTTTACCTTCCTTATACCACTTTCCTAATGTACAGATGGCCTCGAGATCACCCTCTTCAATCGCCTCATTAATCCACAACAAGGCATTTTCATAATCTTCAAGTAGATAGAATAATTCAGCCAAAGCAAATTTACAATACAGATCACCAAGTTCACTTCCTCTTAACAAATATTGCTTGGCTTTCTCCATATCTCTGTAGATATCATTACCTGAAAGGAGGACACCAAGACTTAACATAGCCCTTGTACTATCCATACTTGCTGCATTTTCATAATATTGAATAGCTTTGGGTATGTCAACTGGAATTGTTTCATCTCCAAATTCGTATATTCGTCCAACATTACAGAGGGCATGAACATTTCCACTTCTTGCTGCTCTATCACAGAGCATAAGTGCAAGTGGTAGATTTCTTTCCACCTTTTTACCATTCGCCAATAAGGCACCTGCATAGAGAGCAGCTCTAGTATCACCATTTAGAGCAGATTTCAAGTACCATTTGAATGCCTCATCCATGTCATCCTTATCATTCTCATAACAATCTGCAACACACAATTGAGCACTTGCATGTCCTAATTTGGCAGATTTCAGATAGTATCTGAAAGATTTTTCATTATCTTGCTCTACAAACTCACCTGTTCTATACATGACACCCAAATGATGCATTGCTTTGGCACTTCCTAATTTCGCAGCCTTATTAAAGTAGTAGAAAGCTTTCTCCTTATTAACCTCAAAGAGATGACCTTCCAAATAGATTTCGCCTAATCTACAAAATGCATCTTTGTCTCCAAGTGATCCTGCCTTCTTGAGTAGTTTCATTGCTCTATTGATATCTTCTTCTACCCCTTCTCCATCGAAATATAATAAGGAAAGATAGAACATTCCCGTAGTTCCTCCCATTCTGTCAGCCATTGAATAATATTCGATTGTTTTCGAAATATCCTTCTTTACAACAATGCCCTCTCTGTAAACAACTCCAAGATTAACAGCTGCCTTGGCTATTCCATTATTCAGAGCTTTCAAATACCATTCCATTGCCTCCTCTCCTCCACCTTGAAATTGAAGTGGTCCAATATCATACATGACACCAATTGTAAACATGGCTTTGTAATACTTGTGATCTACTGCCTTTTTGAAAAGTTCCGATGCATATTCATGATGAGTAGTTTTCATAATTTCTCCCATTTCAAAATAATACACACCAAGATTACTCAGTTGACCACTATTTTCTTCCAAATACTTTTCAATTTCTTCACAATTTGATTTTTCCATATTCTTCCCCTCAAATTTGAGTTTTTTCAAAGAATTTGCAAAAGTACTTTTCAGAATTGCCTTAAAGCTCGCAACACTAATCTCACTATTGTAAAGATTCAACGATTGCAAATTGGCAAAATTTTCACATTGGGCAATCTTTCTAACAAGCTCATCATTTAGTGAAACTTGTGAAAAATTCAATTTTTTGACACTTTTCAAAGCACTGCACTGACACATGCCAACAATTGCCTTTTCAAGTGCTGCATATCTGCCTTCCTTTCCTACTTTATTACACAATTCAATCTCATCTGTTTCCTCATCATCAATGTAATCATCCTCTTCAGAATTCTTCATCTTGAATGAAAGTTCAAAATTTATAGATGCCATTAAATTGTGCCATTCGTGTGAGAGTGGTGAACATTGTGAAATGATCAGTGTTGGTTTTAGGAAGGAAAAAACCTCGAGCCACATATCACGAGGAAGAAATTGATGCATTTTTTTTTTGAGTGTGAAATAATGAAATTGAATATTCAAAGAATTGGAATATACATTTTTAAAATGTTGAAAATTCAATTTCGAATGAAATGGACTATTGTAATTGGATTCTTTGCCTTTGGTAATCTCCAATAATGAGTATCAACGTTTGTGTAACCAGTAATGAACGAAAATCCACTTGAAACACCATGTCAGATCATAGTGATAATAGTATTATACTGTGAAGTTAGTATTTGTTTGGAATTTATTGAAATAGAATCACTTTGGACTTGCCGTTGAGATTAATTTCTACTAAAGTCATCTTTCAATAGAGTTGGTATTGGAATTTGGCTGTGGATTTGGAACAACTTTTCAATGTGATTTTTTTTGAACACTAGAAGGTATGTGCAAGACCAAAATGAGAAGCTTGTGTCTTATTAGACGACCTTAATTGACCAAACCAACTTGAAGCAGCTTACTCGAGTTTGGCGGTTTTATGGAAAGAATACTGCACCAAATAAATTTCTTCAGATATACAGATCTGGATATTCATGTTCCATTCTTAAATCCAACACTTCATCAAAACTATCGAAAAAACTATTTCGTGGTCTATAGAGCCCATTTTACTTCACTGCCTCAATTTCTACTTCTTTCGAAAGATTTCCACAATATTTCAGAACAAACTCTGCATCATATTGTAAATAAGTACACTTGATTGTCTCAGTATCTATTAAAATACATTGCAACACAAACTCCTTATCCATTCTAATAGTGCTTGGTGCATTCGCTAAATAATGATAGGATTGTTTGACTGCTTCCAAAGTAATTTCCTTATCATTTTTAAATTCTTCAGAAACGTATTGGTATTGTCTTGGACTTTTCTTGATCACCCTCAGAACAAGTTCTCTATCCTGAGAAATGCATGGCAACCAGAATAACAATTCGGAGACTGAATAACAAGGGCAGTGACAAGTTCTATATCATTTAACATACCATAAGGCAAATAGATTTCTAAAGATTCAAGTGCACTGCTTGCCATAGAATTGATACACTCTACTATGAATTCCTTATTTCGAACCAATGATTGATCAATAAATGTGAGTACTGATGCTGGTGAAACTTGCATCACTTTCACCATTAGATCTTTGTTCTTTTTCATAGCACGTGGAGTACTGGCTAAAGCTTTATCACAATGCTTTGCATAAAAAAGGTTAATTCTGAAATCTCTCTAACTGCTCTCTCAATAAGCTCCTTATTTTGACTATTTTGTGAATTTTGAAAAACATAATAAAATCCATTATTCCTCAAACAAGCCAAACAAATATCAATATCGTTTTTTAACGTTTCACTCAGTTTTACATAGTTTACACAATATTCCTCTATCAACTTGAGCGCTCTCTCCTTTGATTCATCCTCTTGTTGTTGATTCACAGTTTGTTCAATTCCATAATTCTCTGGAGTATTCCGATAAAGATTATGAATATACCTTTTTCCATTAGCATAGGCATGGCCAAGAATGTATGAATTCTTCTCTACCATTTGCATTATAAAATTCTGATCCTGTCTCAAACTGCCCGTCGTGCATAAATTCGATCGAAATAAAGTCTTTGTTAAGGAAAGATATTTCGCTCGGGAGAGACTGGTATTGTGTAATTTATTGGTGAGTGATGATGAAGCCTTTAACGGTGGAAAATCTAAAGTAATAGCAGCAGGTTCTCCACACCATGAAGACATTTTTTTTTATAAGGATTTAATTATTGAACTATCGTTTTAAGTAAAAGACCAAGAAGGGATTCCTTGGTTCGATTGATTCTTGTCACTAATCTTTCATAAATCAGAAATTTAATGTTATGTACATTCGTAGTAGTTTAACTTAAAGCCATTCCTCTAACAGTATAATGGTAATATTGCAACAATGCATATTCAAATTCACATTCATCAGCATGTGTTGGTGAGTGTTTCAGTGTGAGAGCAACAAAATAAAAAGTGTTTGATTGACCTCCAGAGTAACCTGAACAAGGTTTCTTAACATCTAGATAGGTATAGAAAGTTTCAGAATCTCCTTTTTCAGAAGAAAGGAAAGCTTGAACTGTTTCAGACACGTTAGTATCCTTCATATTATCGTGAAAATGGAATCTATGAAAGTCATATATTTTGTGGTTTTCCAACAAGTAGAGCAATTGGAATACATAATTTCTCACTGGTGCATAGTTCAGCAACCCAGACTTCCATATCTTGAACAGCATCTTTCTCAAACCAGAATTGAATTCCAAAGTTACCTTTGCTTCTGCCTCTACTGTTTCCTCTTCATCATAAAATCTGTCATGCGCAAAATCTTCAGTCAATTCTTCCAAAATAAATTGAGACACGGAGCTAGCACTAAATTCTTTGCTTGAGCTGGCTCTATATCTTCCTATTGGCGTCTCTGGTTCGTCAACTTCGTATTCACCTTTGACGGAGATATTCTTGGTTATTTCTTTTGATTGTGGAATAGCTTTATAAAACTCTCCTCTAAGGTAAGCTAGAGAAATGAAAGAAAACCTATACTGAAATCTGGATTGAAATGCCATAAATATGCCAAAGCTTTCGTCTTCGTCAATATTCCATAAAGGGGAAGTGAGAGAGTACCATGGATCTTTTTCTGCAAGTTGATCTGGAATAATTACTTTGATGTCCTCATGAAATTGCTTGTGTCCTATTTTCTTTGGATCTATTGACATGAAATCCAACAACATTGTGGTTGAGCTTTGTGTTATTCCATTGTTGTAACCAAAACGGGATGATTCAAGCCATCTCATTGAATATTTGGAAAAGCTCACAAACTCTTGTAAACTTTTCAACCCTTTTCCAACGACGTGACTTCTTTTCATATTTCCAGACAAGTTCACACAAACTGGATAACAATCTTCCAAGCTTTTCAATACCTTTTGAAGGAACATATTATAAGCCGCATTGCAATCAATAATTTCTTTCCATTCCTTACAAACTCTCATACAACTCACAATATCCCTCCAACGCAAATAACCCCCCATGGTGATCGAATGATTAATATCTTCCATCCTCATCAAATCTCTGTACTTTCTAGCCTCATCGGAGGTCAATTTTATGACCAGAATTTCCTCTGAGGAACATTTATAATTTAATTCACCCTCTTCATCATAATCATCGTCATCATCAAAATCAAGAGGTTTCATTTGTGGTTTTGATGATGGAGATGAATTTTTAGAGTTCCTTCTGAAACGGCCCAATAGTTTTTCAAACATTTTTTTTGAGATGAACTTTTTTATGAGATTTGGATGACTTTACAATTTACAATTTCAATATCTCTTCCAATGGTCACGCAAATCTGATGCTGCCTCTGAGGAAGTGAGACAAATTTTTGGTTTACAATGTGTTAAAACAATGAACTTTAAGAAAACCAAAAAGTTCTGGAAATGCAGAATTGGGAACCCTTCAACGTCTGGACTAATTGGAAGAGTTTATTTTCTTGATGATCATCATCAGTGAACTATTTTAAATCTCACAGGAAATTTCAAAATATAATGCGAACTAATCTAATTAAGGAAATGTGTGATTCAACTTTCGATCTCTTTGAACATGCAAATACGTTGAACAGCCATTTTATGCAACTTTCGTCCAACGCCAAAACTTTCAAAAAAAATGACAACTGTTGGACAAACCATTGTGTCCTGCGTCATCTTTCTCATTGGCATTTGTCTCTGTTTTCTTCCATTCACACAAGCCAAAGCAGCCGTGGCCACATCCATGCGTCCAAGTTATAAAATTAAAACCGTGGTTGGATATAATATTACTACAGACACGAATCCATTAAAACTTGCAGCACTTGGTCTGGTTCAGGACATGGCCATCTTTAATAATTCATTGTATTTGTTGTCAGAGCAGAGATTGAGGAGGATTAGTTTGGACGTGATGAATACAGATACGAAACCAGAATTGTGGTCAACTCTGTTTTTTGAAACTGTGGTTGGGGCCGATGGAGAGGATGCCACACAGGGGCCACTATTTGGTGCCTATTCTCTTGTATTGAATCCGAATGATAATACCTTTCTTATTGGAAACAAGCGATTGAACAGAATTTCCAAAATTTCACTTTCGGATAGAACAGTCGAAATGGTTGTTGGTGGAGGTGGAGAAGGGGGTATCGATGGTGATGCTTTGAGTATTTACATATTGTATCCGACTGGTGCTGCTTATGCCAATAATTCTTTGTTCTTCAGTGAAACTGGTTTTAACAAGATTAGAAAATTTGACCTGAGCTCAAAACAAGTGACAAATATAGCAGGAAATGGACTGAACTCTTTGGATTTAGGAGCTACTATCAATAGTTTGGCTACATCAACTGCAATTTCTGCTGTTTCAAGATTAGTTGTGGATGAAGCAGGGAGTTACCTATATATGGTAGTAAATGGCGCAGGATATTCAGCTATTTTCAGCATGAAATTGGATAGTAATCCATTACTGCAACTCATCAATGTATTTGCAGGAACCCCAGAGAGTGGGAAAGGTCCAGGATATGGTTCAGATAAGCAGGAAGCTTATTTTTCAACTATTAATGGAATTTATTTGGCAATCAATCCAATAACTGATGATTATGAAATGTATATTTCAGATTCATCGTGTATTCGGGTGATTAATATGACTACTGGTATTATATCTCCATTTGCTGGTGTGTTTGGAAATCCAGGGTTTTCAGGTAAGTCACATTTCAATAATTTAATAATGGTCATATTAAATTTTCTAAATTTGAATCTAAAAAGGTGATGGAGGAGATGCCAAGGTTGCACAATTCAACAACCCAAGTACAATGCTATATTACTATGATCCAAACACTAGTGAATACTCAATGATTGTTAACGATTCTGGAAATAGGCGATTAAGAAAGATTACAATGAACTCTAATGGTGTAAATAACGTAATAACCATTGCAGGTATTGATGAAAATTTTAAAGATAATGTGAATGGTAATGAGGCAGTCTTTAACAACGCAACAGACTTGTTTCTGAGACGAAATGGAGAAGATACTAGTTTAATATTTTTGGATAGTCTCAATTATCGAATTCGAAAAATTGATTTGCACACCAATTTAGTTCAAACTATGGCAGGAAGTGGTGATATTGGTTATGATAATGGTGCTGCTTCGACAGCCTCTTTCACTCATCCCACTGCCTTAATAGGAGATACTGTCCTGGGTCCAAATGTATTTTTGATATATGACAGTTTCAAACATAGAATATTGGACACGAGTTCAAGAACAGTTTCTGACTTTGCTCTTCCAATTTTTGAAAGCCAATATCAAGGAGTTAGATCATTTGCATTTGCTCCAAATAATCGTGATACCTTTTACTTTACAACCTTTTACAACCAAGTTAGAAAATTTAACATGACACAAATGGCAACTATTGATCTAGTTGCAGGACAAGGAGGAGCTGGGGATTATTCAGGAGATGGTGGAGACCCAACAATTGCTAAATTGAATCTTCCATACGATCTTTCTTTCAATTCGAATGGAGATTTATTTGTTTGTGATTATCAAAATTCAGTTATTAGAAAGATTAATGCAAATTTTGTAAATATTACAAGATATGCTGGTGTTGTAGGAGGCCAATGGACTTCTGGAGATGGTGGCTCAGCACTTGATGCTAATATTGTCAAACCTGTCTCAATTGCAGTTTCAAAAAAGAGTGGTGACTTATTTATTGCTCAAAGAAGAACCATTAGAAGAGTTGACAGTTCCACCTTACAAATTGAAACAATTGCTGGTAGTTTAAATAGGGACGGAATCATTGAAAATGGAGAAGATATTGATGCACGATCAGCAAGATTAATAGGTATTGAACAAATTATATTGGACGAATTGACTGGACAAATTTACTTGTCGGATGCATCTACCAATTTAATAAGAAGATTGACACCTGTTTGTGACAGCTCAAACTATGCCCTGAAACAGGATGGATCTCTATGCTTAATCAAATGCTATGAAAAAATTGGAAGTGAAGTTTGTTCCAAAAGAGGAAATTGTGTGAATTTTGACACTTGTGCTTGTCAAGAAGGTTTTTTTGGCAGTGAGTGTCAATATACTAACTGTACAGTTAGCCCATGTTTGAATGGAGGAAGTTGCATTCCTGAGACTGGAAATTGCTCATGTCCAACAAGTTACAGTGGAGCTAAATGTGAAATAGCTCCAACATGTTTTGGAATTGAAGCAACAAACCCAACAGTTTGTGGAGGAAAAGGATCTTGCACAGGATTTGATTTTTGCTCGTGCAGTGTTGGAAGTTTTGGTGATGTGTGTCAATATTCTTCATGTTTCTCAAGTGGCAGCTTGTCATCTTCTACCACAACTCGACCATTATCAATGGCAGAAAGATTATGCATCAAAATCAATAAACAACTCAAATAATAATATTTATCTCAACAATTTTACGCTCAATTTGTAAATTGAAAATTCATTTTTCAAAAATCACAAAAATTTTATTTTTAGATGCAAAAAAAAATGGGCAAACAGAAGAATAGTAGCAAACTCAGCGGAAAACAAGCCTACGAACAATCAAAGAAGAAATCTCATCATGGTGGGAGAAGTGCCGATGAAGAAGATCCCTTCTCTAAAAAAGCATCCACCATGAAACAATCCGAATATGATGATCCAGAAATTTATAACAATAAGAAGGATAGAAAAAAGAAAAAGCGAGGGGGCGGAATAAAATTGGAGGATGAAGATTTCCAGAAAATGAATCAACAATTGGAACCTTATGGATTGTATTTGAAGAAGGTTACTGGTGATGGAAATTGTCAGTTTAGGTCTGTGAGTGATCAATTGTATGGAGATCAAACTCAGTACCAAAAAATTAGACAAGGAGCTGTGGAATATATGATTACCAATCCGGATATGTTTTCTCCATTTGTTTGTGATGAACCATTTGAAGATTATTGTAAAACTATGAAGAAGGATACAGAGTGGGGTGATAATCTCACTTTGCAAAGGTTAGTTTATTTTTTGACTTGATTAATGACTGATGTTTTCAATCTTGTTTATAGTATTTCACTGGCATTCAATGTAAATATTCGAGTTCACCAATTAGGACAGCCATCATTTGATATTGTTAACTATAATCAACCAGAGAGTAGACTTATTCAACTCAGTTATCATATGGGAGAACATTACAATTCTGTTCATTTCATGAGTGACAGTGTTCGAGAATTATATCAAAGGGCTAGCGAAGGTAAATCATCATCAGGTGAAATCTCTAAAAAGGAACAAATAATTATTCAATCTACTGGATGTACCGATTTGGAATTGATTAGAAATACTTTGGCAGATTTTGGACAAGATATGGACTCAACAATTGATTTCCTCTGCCAAATGCAATACCTTGAGAGCTCATCAGCATCCAGCACCAGTAGTAATAGCAAGAAGAATTCAAAGAGCCAGTCAAGCAATAGCTCTGTAGGAAGTAGTAAGAGCCATGAATTACAGAACACAGCCTTCTCTTCACCAGCTGCTTCAGGTGATGGAAATTTGGATTTATGCTTTGATATGGTCATGTCAACAATTGGTTATGAGAGCGGATTTGATTTGGAAATGGTGAAGGATATGATTATTCAAAATAATTTCAATACTGAAATGGTTATTGGAATTTTATTAGAGTTGGGCTCTGAAAGTAATCCACCTCCATCTTCCAATTCTAATACTATTGGTTCATCATCCTCAAGTACCTCAACAGTAGAGGACTCGACATCGAGTAGCAAGACAAAAGAAAAGAAACTCACCAAACGAGAAAGGAAGGACAAGAAGCAACGTGAAAAATTGAGCAAGGTTGAAGCAATCAAACACAGAACAGTTCAAAACAATACAGATTTTGATGAGGAAGCTATCAAGAAGATGGAAGTCATCAAAATATAATACAATTCAAACCTCTTTATCTATTGAACTCTTCCCAAATATATTTTGCAGTCTTCTTCTTGATTGATTTTGGAATCCACAAACATCCTCTCAAAACTTTGAGAATTTCCAAACCGTACAATGTACCGGTCATACCTGCAAGCTGACCCAATAATTGGAGTATATTGACAGTGTATACATCTGTCTGCTCTCTAATATTCAATGAGTTATAAGCCACCGTTACAGTGATGTAATCAGTTCTATTCTCAATCATGTCAATGGCAGAATAATCTGAATCCCAATAGATTTCAGTGGTTGGATTTGGAACCAATCGTTTGTTCACCATCTTTCGAATGGTAAATGTATTATCCAATCCTCCAGATGCTGTATTCGTTTCATCAGATAGATTGGGCACTGATCCCACTTCATGAAATGAAACAGTTGCTCCAGCTCTAAATCCAGTCATATCATCCTCACCAAAAAAATCAAAAGGAAACCTTGCCTTAAAAACCAACGATCCAGTATGTCCAGTACGGGAAGCAACAGCAGGTGCACTTGTATCATTGTTAAAAACAATACAATTCATATAGTACACTCCAGAGAATATTGTCTTCTCATAATAGGGAAATTCACATGGTACATAGCTCACATTATTAGGTGACACTACAGTTCTATAACATCCAACAGCTTCAAATTTACTCCCCTTATTTCCTCCTTCCTCATCATCAGGATTCCAATTACACAAAGTCACTGCAGGGAAATACATTGGCGTCTTGGCTTTGTAGGAAACTGTGGTGGCAGGATTTTGAAAAGCCTCCACAGTTTGTGTTATTGAAGAGTAAAAGTACCAAATGAATACTCCTGTACATGCAATCCAACCCAATAATGTGATAAGGTCCTTAATACTATATCCTATACGTTTTTTCAATGGATCTGAACCAAAGAATGAATCAACAGAGCCCTCCGATGATGAATGATCATCGGAATGTTCTTCTTCATCATTAACCTTTGGCTCATTTTCCTTCCTTAATTCCATCGCTGATGGAAAGACTTGATTATTGGTCGATTCAGGAGAAGATATTTTCATTTTTTCTCTCTCTTGTGTGTTTTGTATGCTTTTATACGACTTCGTTGGCGTCGTTAGAAAGCGCGTGTTGTATTTCTCTCCTAGATGCAGCAGGTATCTACAATTAAGATGGCGTGAACTTGTATTTGGTTTGAAAAGCTTTTTATTTTCCCTTAATAACAAAATAATGCAACAATCACAGCAGCCAGTTCCTTCATCGTCAATGGAACTGATAGAACAGCAACAGAAACAACATCACTCACATCAGGGTGGAGGTAAATCATCGGGAGACCAAACGATTGTCGAGATGCAAGAAGATAAGAATAAGGCAGAAAAGAAGAAGGATAAGAAGGATAAAAAGGATAAGAAGAAGAAGAAAAAGGTGAAACACTGCTGTAAATTACCAACAAAATGGTATCACATTATTACTCTGGTAGGATGGGTCGTAATGATTGGATTTTGCATTTGGTATATTTATAATTCTACTATTAATTACTATGAAACACTTGCAAATCCAACTACTTCATTATCCTATGTAGCAAAATTGCCAATGGCTTTTCCAAGTAAGTTGAGACAACTGTGCTTTAACGAAGTAAACACATTTGAAAGCAATGACAATTTGTAATTGGAATTCTGGAGGTGAAGATTGTGAATATTGCGATATTAAATTTAAATATATGAGCTTAATGAACGTAGATGGTTCAGATGTTTCCTATAATGAAACTGGTAGACTTATTGAAGAAAAGAGAATTAATCAATTGGGATCGGATTTTAATTGTTATGTCATTAATAATAGTACCACGGACCCATTTTCAACACACAAAACTGGATATATGGGATCCATACAACTCTACTTTACAATTACTAGACCAGACGAAGATGTTACAGGGGCTAGAATTGGGCTTCAAATCTCATTCCATGAGCCAGGAACCGATCCTGATTTATTAGCTGAAACCAATTATGCAATGCCTGATATGGATAATGTATTCATGTTGACAAAGGTTTACACAAAGAGATTGAAACCATCCATTGAAAATCCCAAATTGGAAGAAACTAGGTGGGATTCAAAGTATACCAACATTGAAATTGTTGGTAATGATGATGATGGAGTTTATATTACTATTGCTTATTCATCACTCGTTCAAAATAATATTGTTGAAATTATTACTGGAACAATTGAAGGTTTATTAGGAGATATTGCTGGTATTCTAGGTTTGGTAAGTTTTAAACATTTTAATATTTAATTGCAATATTTTGAATAGACAATGGGAATTGACTTGCTCAAGGTTTTGAGAGGATTTTTGGATATTCCTTATTCTATTAAGGATAGAACTCTGAAGAATATCTATGATACATTCAACTAGGACTATTTCTCAATTATTATGCTATATTGTAGAAAAATCAAAGAATAAACCAGTTAGAGAATAAAAGTTTAATATGTACATTAGAATTCGTCAATATTAGCAAAAATATCAGTATTTACAGTATCCATTTCGAAAGGGAAAAGATCGTCATTCGAAACATCAAATAAATCAGATGATTGGATTGGTTGATGGTTAGCTCGGAAGGTAGCGGTTGAATCAACAGGAGAACTTCCCACTGGCTCAACATCTTTACCTGATTTTGGTTGAGGCTTTCCTTGTTGCTCTTGCTCAGGAGTTTTACTCTCATATCTCAGACTAGGATCAAAAGGATGGGTGCTGATAAATGTCGATTGGAATGCTGATTTGAATGGAAAGTGCTCGTTCTTTTTTGTAGGATCAGAATTTACAGGTGATTTGCCAAACTCGAAACTCTCAATCAAATCAAATTGTTTCTCCAATTTCCACTTGTTAATCTTCTCCAAATCAGCAATTACTCTCGAATAATACTTGTCAATTCTCTTATATCTCAATTTGAGCATTTGCATAGCCCTTAAATCTTTTGCAATATTCTCAAAATATTTCTTCACATAAGGTTCTTCTAAAATTGTCAATAGGCTTTTACCCATATCCAGCCGTTCCAAAATCATCTTTTCAACCTTTGGGAAAATCTTGATATGAACTGATATTGGAATTATAATGAAATGTGTCAAACTGCAAGGTAACATTCCAAACAAATCATGCTCTGTGATAACAGTAATTTGATCAGCAAGAGATTCCAACATTTCTCCTTCATATATTCCAACAGAGAGTAAGATGGTAACTTTTGAGGAAATGTAAATAATTTCCTTCATCAACATTGAAAGTGTTGACTGAATGGTGGAAAATCTGCTGTGAACAGCATAATTCTCCAAAATAGATTTGATGAGTTCTGAAAGACTCATCAACTTGGGAACATCCGAAGGTGTAATTCCATTCTTGAGAATGCTTTCTAAAGAGTATGGCGGCTGTTTTTGGGTTTTGATGTTGTACAGCGTGTTGAAACTATCCCAAATATTCAAATTATCCACGTTATCATATTTCGAGCATAGTGAGCATTTCATCATGAATGCCCTAATCATTTTATCGTCATCATCCTCTGATAAATCGCTAGCTGTTCCAATATCTCTTTTAAATGCCTTATCAGATGGTTTATCCAATGCATATTTCAGATTATTCAAGTAAAATTGAGATGTAACGTCATCACCCTCACCAGCGAGAAATGAAGATAGGTTACCATATGTCAATTTAATATATGGATTATCCAAATCATCAAAAGAATTAGCTAAATTTCTTTTAGCTTCCCTATATGCAGCATTGGCCGATTCAGAAAATCCTCTTCTTTGTTCACACAATGCCTGCATTGAAAAGAGAAGAGCTCTTATACTAGATTTTGTAGATGAAAGTCTGTAGGAACGAGAGTCATAAAAATGGTCTTCACCACTTGGTTCATCATCATTGAGATACTCAAATGCCAATCTTTCCATCTTTGGTTTTGGAACAACACTACATCCCATACCAATAATGTCATAATACATGTCAATAGTCTTCCTTTTGAGCATTTCATTTAACAATTGTTGATTTGAAAGAGCATATGGTTGTGCAATTTTTCTAGCTGTTGCCAATGTTGTTGTTCTTGGTTGTTGTGTATATCCCTCCAAAGGTGGTGAACCACTGTGTGATGGAGGTGATAAATTATTGTCTGAATCGGAAGACGATGATGAAGATGACGAAGAAGATGAAGAAGAAACCACTACAAGTGTTTTCTTGACCTTTTCTTGAAGAGGTGGTTGAGTAGGTTTTGGTTTGTTCTTACTACCTTTTGTTCTTCCCTTCTTTTTAGGGGTTCTATAGCAACATTCCTTTCCTCTTTCCAAACATTCAGAACATGAAGGATATTTCTTGTCACACTAATTGACAAATTAGCAAATCAACATGGTAATAATATTACCTACTTTTCTGTGTAGCTTTCTACATTGCAAACATGCAATGGAATGTAAATTAGGATTTATCAAACCTTCGTCTGGAGCGTCAAAATTAAAATCATCAACTTCCGAATTGTCTATCACCACTGGTTGTTGGTTATAAATTGTTTGTTGTGCTTGTTGAGAAGATAAAAAGGATGGTGGCGATGTAAAATTATTATTCATATCCAACATGTTGCCAAGTAAATCCTGAAAAAGAGAGGAAACACTATCATTCATTCCCAACGGTGTTGTTCCTTGCAAAATGAAAGGATTAAATTCGTTAGTACCACTAGGAGTTGTCATGTTGATTTTTTTTAAAGTCTTTTCATGAAGTTTTGTTTTTACTAAAACCTCCAAAATTATCTTCCAAAATATTAAGCGAAAACAATGCTAAAATTCAACGAAAAGGCAACAATAAAAGTACGTTTTAATACAGTAAAATTTGAGTAATGATGCAACTCTGAGATGTTTTCGAGCCTTTTTTTTGTTTTCTACCCAAGTGTGGAAGAGAGAGAAAGAGCGCACGATGACCCACAATAAAGTTTGAGGTAAGTTTGTGCGTGCGCAGCACATTATGATATTGAGCGTTGATTTCGAATTTTGGTTGAAATAAGCTAACTAACATATTTTCTTAGCAACATGAAGGATCTTCTTCAGCAGCAATAATCAAAACCACCAATGACCTTTAAAAAAGAACAACAAAAACTGGTTCTTACAAAGATGAGATGGTCTTTTAATCAATCCTTAATTTTCAAATGATGATGCCTCTCATCCATTAATATATTGCTTGGCTCTTTTTGTTTTGATTTATTTGATGGGGAGGTTCCTTGTTCGTGAGTGTTTTTCCGTTTATTCTCTTAAAAGAAGGCTTCTGTCCATCAGTGTAAAGAGAACTTGGGCATTTTTTTTTTCAAGAATCAAAAAAATTCCCTCTCATCGATATTTATTTTTCTCTGTATTGGAAACAGTCAAATCATAGTAGTTTAAATATTATTCGAAACTTAAGAAGAAATAATGGACAAGGCTGTAAAATGTGTAGTTTGTGGAGATGGTGCTGTCGGAAAAACTTGTTTACTGGTTAGTTTTGTAGAGGATAAGTTTCCTGAAGATTACGGTAGGTTTTTTTTGTATTGGAAAGAGTTGATTGATATCATGTTATTGTCATCAATTTCGAATATTATTGTCATCATACAAAATTTATCTTGTTGGAATGTTGTTATTATTATTATTATGATTGGATCTTGATATGTTTCGTCTTGTAATTTCGGATAATCAATAATCTTTAGTGCCAACTGTCTTTGATAATTACAGCACAAACATGGTAGTTGATTCTAAAGTACAAACAATAGATTTATGGGATACAGCAGGACAAGTAAGTAATTTACAATATAATTTATATTCTAATCACTGATCATTTTCATCAATTATCAATCAATATTATTAGGAAGGTAAATATTTAAATCTATCAACATATTATATTCATACATGATAATTCTCACACAATTTCAGAGTAAGTTGTCCTCTCATAATTTCCAATGAAATTTATTCACACAAAAAAAGTTATGATCGTTTACGACCTCTCTCTTATCCAGATACAAATATTTTCCTTCTCTGTTTTTCAATTGTCCACAGAAGCTCTTTTGATAATATTCAAGTGAGGTGGCTTCCAGAAATTACACATTATGCTCCTGGGGTCCCTATCCTATTAGTTGGAACAAAAGTTGATTTGAGAGAAGTTCCAGAAATGCAAAAGAGTAAGGATGGACCACCTATTACAAAAGATGAAGCTGAAAAGAAGAGAAAGGATTGGAAGATTCATCGTTATCATGAATGTAGTGCTAAAACTCAATATGGTGTGAAGGAAGTTTTTGAATCGGCTGTAAGAATTGCCAGAAATCCAGACAAGTTTAAGGATTGGGTTGATGACAATTCAGCTGATGAAAAGAAGAAGAAATGTCATCTCTTGTAAAGAGTTCAATAGTGTTAGAAATGAAATTGTATCATTAATCTAGGAAATGGCCAAACTTTCCCACTTCAAAACCAATGTATTATAATAATATTACTTAGAATATTCTATTTCTTTAAATAGAATAAAGATTTATCTACAAACTTTAATGTAAGGAGAATAGGATGAAGGAACACATTTTGAACACAACTTTCCAGCACAATCAACTTCATTTTGACAAATAGAATACTTTCCACAATTACAAACATCCATCACACAATGATTTTCATTGCAATTATCTTTTGGACATTTCAATCGTGGATTATTGTGAGCACTGCATGTAATAATATTACAAATTCCATGTGGAAGAATACCTTCAAATTGATTGTAACTGAGATCAATATCTGTTATGGTTGTGTGCCCATACTCTTCTGGAATTTCCCCTCTCAGTCCATTAAGAGCAATCTCAAATACCATCAAACTTTGCAATCCATCCACAATTCCAGTTGGTAATGATCCAGTCAAATTGTTATTAATCAATTGCAATGCAATCACATAGTGTCCACTTCTTTCACATTCCACTCCATACCAAGTACAATAGTCAGTTTCATCTCTTGTTCCCATAGTATTCCATCCTTCGTTTTTCATCCAAGATCTTCCTCCTGTGGCATTGTAAAACTTGGCCAAGAAATCTCTTTCAATATTTCTTGAATCTTTATTCACTGCTTTGAATCTTGTGATTGGTAGTTGAGATTGCTTCAATTGCATTGTTCGTTCTTTGAAACGTTGATTGTTATCATATTTGTTTCTTCCAGCATTGGTGTCCAATATTATTTTAGCTTGGGCTGTTTTAATAATCATCATGTCCATCATCATAATCATGGACACAATGACCATCAACGAGATTGCAAGCAGTGATCGAGCCATTTTTTTTTCAATGGAAAGATTATACTAGTTAACTCCGAACAGTCCACTTAATTATTTGGAAATTTCATAATCTAGAATCAATTATTAATTTGATTTTAATATTATTAAATTGTTTATTAAAAAAATGATTTCACTGAGTGATGTGGTAGTTGTCTGTGTCACAGATGAAGAAATTGATATGTACGGACAAATAAAATCATTTTCCTTGATGAGCCAATTCCAAGAAGCTCGGGAGAAAGTTATTCATGACAATGATGAACTGTATGAGAGGATACAAACAGAAATGACTTCCTTTGGTAGAATTTGGCACAGGAGAGCTTCACCACCACTATTGGAGAGTAATAGATTAATTCTATGTAAATATTTACGAAAGGATGGAGATTATTTGAGTAGAATACCTGATGAATTAAAGAATGACAAGACTCTGGTTAAAATTGCTGTGATGAGCAGTGGACAATCCATTCAGTATGCTTCGGAGAAATTACGAGCCGATAGAGAAATTGTTTATCTTGCTGCCTGTAAGCATGAGCATGCACTGAAGTACGTTGATCCCGATCTCTTGAAAGACAGAGATTTTGTTATGACACTTGTGTCAGCAAAGGGAACAAGCGTACTTGAGTTTGCTTCTGAAGAATTGAGGAATGATGATGAAATTGTTAAAAAAGCACTCGAAATATGTCCATATGGATTCCAACATTTACCAGATCAATTTAGAAACGACAGAAATATTGTTTTGGAAACAATCAAAAGATATCCTAACTGTTTTAGTTTTACTTGTCCAGAATTACAAAACGACAAGGAGATTATATTGGAGGCTATCAAACGAAATAATTATCAGCCAGTGATTTCTTCAGATTTGAAAAATGATGTAGAATTCATGCGAATGGCTATTAAGTTGAATAGTGAACTATTTCAGTACGCTCCAGAATGTTTAAAAAATGACAAACAATTTATTATGGAACAAATTAGAACAAATAGCTCCACTTTCAAACATATTTCACCAGAGCTAAAGGATGATAGAGACATAGTTTTACTTACTTTGTATATGCGTGAATTTGATGCAATGGAAATGGTTGGAAAAAACTCAAAAAAAGACAAAGAAATTGTCAAGACTGCGCTTATTGACTATTCTGCATTCTCTATAATGCGAACAGTTTCTGAGGAGTTATTATTGGACAAGGAATTCTGTTTGGAGCTTTTGGAAATAGATCAGACAGTAATTGATTATGTTCGAAATACTGAATTGTTGAATGATAAGGATTTAATAATGAAATTAATTGAAAGTAACCCTCGTTCGTTATACTTTGCAGGAGAGGATTTGAAGAACGACAGGGAATGTGTTTTAAAAGCTCTTCACTATGGAGCAGACATTTTAGAATATGCCACATCTGATGAACTGATTAATGATAAGTATATTGTAATCAAAGCAATATCTCAGTATGGTGGAAATATAAATTCAGTCGATGAAAAATTCCAGAATGATAGAGATTTTGTGCTAAAAGCCATTAGATGTGGAGGATATGTGAGTTGCATTCCTATAGCTTTCCAAAATGATAGAGAAATATTGGAGGAGGCTTTTAATTATTTTGGGCATCCTGAAATTCCTGAATCAATGTTGAATGATAGAAAGCTGTATCTTACACAAGTAAAAACGTATGGATTTAGACTAGAATCCTCTGAAATGAAGCGTGATAGGGAGTTGGTTTTAGAATATTCGAAAAATTTACCAAACTATATTCCAGAGCTATACTCGGATGACAGAGAAATAGTGTACGAATGCGTAAAAAGAGATGGTAAACTCATTGAATTGGCCTCTAAGCGTCTCAGATCTGATAAGGCATTATCTTTTTTGGCAATAAGCAACTATAACCCTGTTTTGGTCAAACTTGATTGGAGAATGGATATGGATTTTTTGGAAGAAGTACTAAGAAAACATCCTAGTAGTCTTTCATTCTTTAGAAATGAATTTTCCAGAGATAGAGAATTTGCTTTATTATCTGCTAAATATGGAGTTGTTTTGGATCACTTTAGTGGAGATAGAGAAATAGTTTTATTGGCTTCCAAAAATGATGGCTATTGCATCTTTGGTTGTGACGTTTCTTTCAGAAGTGATTTCGAATTTATGTTTAATGTTGTTACAAATAATTCACATCTATTGGTACTTGCATCAGAGGAGTTGAAAGATGATAAGGAATTGGTACTTCATGCTATGAAATCAAATGAAGAGCCAACATTAGACTGTCTCCCTCATATTTCAGATCGTTTGAGAAATGATTATGGATTTATACTAGAAATATCCAAACACATAGCAAATCTTTTTTGGATTCCAGAAAATTTAAGAAACAATAAGGAGATAGTTTTGAATGCCATGAGCAAGAATGGAATGAATTTGAGATATGTCTCATTGGATTTTAGAAATGATAAGGAAATTGTGCTTGTTGCTGTAAAACAGACAGGGGATGCTATCAAGTTTGCATCAAAACCTTTACAAAATGATAGACAAGTAGTTTCAGCAGCTATTCCAACATGTACATCATTTTACTTTTTATCAAAGGAACTTAGAATGGATCGAGATTTTATTTTGGAGAATATTGAAAAGAACGGTCAACTACTTGATGCTGTGCCTCATTTCCAATCTGACAAGGAAATTGTTATCAAAGCAGTAATGAATAAGGGGAATATTCTTAATAGAGCATCTGATGATTTAAAGATTGACAGACAAGTTGTAATGGCAGCTGTCACCAATTCAGGAGAAGCATTGACTGCACTTGATGAAGATCTCAGAAATGATAAGGAAATTGTTTTGGCTGCTACTACATCACATCCAGAGTCATTATTACATGCCTCATATCAATTAAGAACTGACAGAGAATTTATTCTTCAAGCAGTCAAGAAAAATCCAAAACTTTTCGCTCACCTTGAACATAAACTCCAAAATGATGAGGAAATTGCAACTGCAGCCATCGAGTTAGATGTTCACCAGATTGCTCATGCCTCCTATCGATTGAAACACAACGTTAAATTCCTTCAAAAACTCAATCAACAAGATAATATTCTCATCAAGCACCAACAAGATTTGTGGTATTTGATAGACATGCAAGGATTGAAAAACTCCCTCAAACAGTAGTGTACTGTTTCATCAAACTATGCCATGGTGATGAAGACACTCCCAGGACTGAATGCCAAATTCTTGAAATCTATTGGCTGGGCGGTATTTTTGCTAACCCAACTAGCGGACCTTTCAAGATGATGGAATTTTATAGACGACACAGCGGAGTGGACAACACTAGACAATCAACCAACGCACATTTCAATAACTGTGAGCTTTTTGATATAAATAGTTGAAATCACATCAATCGATGGAATCAAACAAACAAAAAAAAGAAACAACAATGTTCAATAAGAAAGTAACAATTATCGGTGCTGGTCCTTCTGGACTCTGTCTTGCAACCCTTCTCCAACAAGCAAACATTCAAGTGAGTGTTTTTGAGAGAGATTCTATCACTTTAGGAAGAGATCAGGGCGGTTCTTTAGATATGCACTCAGATTATGGACAAATTGCCATTAAAGGTGCTGGATTATATGAAGAGTTTTTGAAAATGTCAAGAGTTGAAGGAGAGGCCACTAAAATTCTCGAATCAACCACTTTGAAACTTCTCTTCGAAGATGGTTCTGCACAAGATTCCACAACAGAGAATGAAGATGCCTTTTCCAAACCGGAAATTGATAGAATGGATTTGAGAAATTTATTCCTCAATGCATTGAGTCCTGGAACTGTAGAATGGAATAAGGCAGTTGACTGTATTAAGAAGATTGAATCCTCTGAAGGTCAATACCAAATTAACTTCAAGGATGGAAGTAGTCATGTGACTGATTTATTGGTTGGATGTGACGGAGCTTGGTCAAAGGTGAGATCCGCTTTCACACAAACTAAACCAACCTATTCTGGTGTTTACTTTATCGAATCAAAATTGCAATTAGATAGAAATGATGATTTGGCAAGAAAGGTCATTGAAATGACCGGAAAAGGAAGTCTCTTTTCATTGTACAATAACAAGGGTCTGTTAGCACAGAGAAATTCAAATCATATTCGTTTCTACTATTGCCTCAGAATGGATAAAGAATTGGTTGAGCAAACTATTCACTTTGAGAAGGGCCCTGAAGTTGTAAAGCAGCAATTATTAGAATTATTCAATGGTTGGGATGATTCACTATTGGATTTCATTAGAGTTATTGAATGTAATGACGACTTTTCATTCATCAAGAGACCTCTTTATTCACTTCCTCCTGAATGGGATTGGAAAACTCAACCAGGAGTTACAATTATTGGAGATGCTGCTCACGTAATGACACCATTTGCTGGATTAGGTGCAAATCTTGCCCTCCTAGATGCTCATGACCTCGCTCAATTTTTAATTCATGGAAGGGATGGAATAGCAAGTGAGACTCAATCAGAAGTATTAGATTGGAATGGAGTAATTGCAAGTTTTGAAGCTAAAATGTTTGAAAGATCAAAAGGTGCAGCACAACAAACAGAATACTATCTCAATTCATGTCTTTGTGATGGAAATCCAGATAAATTCATTGAGGCAATGCTTGCTCATCATACAGAAGATCATAATCAAGAATAAAACAACTTTAATCACAACATGTCTTTCCTTGTATCACTAAAACAAAAGTAAATAAATGTATGGGTAACGAGTTAGCACGTATCTTATATAAATATGGACTATTTTCATAATGAATGTCAAGCAGGGTTCCCGAGTGGTCAAAGGGGGTAGACTCAAGTTCTACTGCGCAAGCTTCGTGGGTTCAAATCCCACCTTCTGCAGCTTTTGTTTCTTCTTCTTTTCGCTTTCTGACTTATCATTATTTTTTAATTAGAATATCTTCTCTATTAAGTTTTCCTTCTATTATGAAAAGATGGATCATTCTCTTGACACACACATAAAGTTAATCAACAAAGACGAAGTCCACCCTGAATCTCAGTATTTTTTAAAACAAAAAAAAGAAAACAAAAAAAAGTTCAAAACTTCTAATTTTATATAAAAAATGTCAGATGATTGTGTGATACTTTCTCTCATTGATTTCAAAGCCTTGTATAATGATGAAGATAATTCTACAATAAAAGAATTTGGATGGCTTCGGAAAATGTTTAGAAATCCCAAAATTCCCTTCTCTTATAATTTTATTAAATCTGGATTTTTTGATTTGGAAAAGGTGGAAAATGTGGATGCAGAATTTGTTGATATCATAATTTCATACCAATATAATTGTTTTATAATTTTCACCAATGACAAGATTTATTTTGTGGATAGGAGTAGTAATTTATTGATTCATCAGATTGTTTTCAAGACTTGTGTCCCACTGCTGGATGAGAATAATGATGAGCTATACACAACTGGACCGACAGGTGTTGTGAAGTTTAAATTGAGTAAATTGATGAGAACAAATAGGTGGCAAGATTGTGTGGTGTGGGATAAGAAAATAATTACCATGGATATGTATGGCATTGATATTTACACAACAAGCTCACAACGTTTTTTGGTCATTAATGAAGCTACCACAGATTATTTGACTTTCATTAATTGTGAAACAGGTGATTTGGTTGAAGATTTCAAACCATTGATAAAATTGGATGGATGTTCACTTTTAATTCTAGAAAATCAGGAATTGATAATTCCATTTAGAAATGAAATTGGAATTTATCAAATTGCTCACGAATCTACAGGGATGCCAAAGGTCAACATCTCAAAATCAAAACCTTTACCACCAAGTGACTTTTATGGAATAGTTTATGACTCATCAAGACAATATATTATTCTTACCAATACCTTTACTGATAGCGTTTTAGTTTTGAGAAGAAGCGATTTGGAAATTGTAAAGGAACACAAAATGGATGGGAAAATTACTGGAATTTGTTTGGATGAACGTTCTGGCGAATTATTGATTGCTAGTTCAGGACGAATTATTAAATTCAAATGAATTATAATCATTTAACAACCCACCATTAAATACCAGAGATGAATCAGATTCTAATAGCAAAATTATTGATGAAAAGACATTTTCCAAGGAATCAGCCCTACTTTGCTCGTCATTATGCCAGCAACCAACCATTTCAATATGGAGATGGCACTTCCATTAAAGTACATTTAAATTACAATTTGATTTTGAAAAAAATGGAAGAATTTAAACAAGAAAAATCTGGCATCACATTACCACATCATTCAACATGGCTAAATGGTGCTGTCTTGTTCAATATTTATTCCTTTCTACCACTGCATGAGGTTTTAACTTTCCGATTGGTCAATCAAGCAATTTCTGAAGAATTGCACATTTCATCTTCATCCACCGATCCATTATTCTTCATGAATAGATTATCAAAAATCAAGATAGATCTAGAGGATAAAAGTTGTGAATTTTTTCATGGTTGCCTATTGAAAATCAATGCCGAAATTAGAAATTGCATGATTTGTACTAATGATGATTCGTATTTTGATTATTTGTTTGAAAATGATGAACATTTTGCAGAGTTCTTCGTTATTATGGAAAATTGCGACTTGTTCAAGAGTGGAAGAGTTTCGTTTAATTCATTTATTGGTGGAATTTTTTCACAAGCTCAGGGAGGAAGAGCAGAGTTGAAGATTTTGAAAAAATCAAATCAACAAGAGAATGATATTAGGGAATTTATGATATTTTCTCAACATTTTGTTTATGGACCGAATACTAGAACCTATAATCTGGAGAGATTTTATGAATTGACGGTGAGAGATTCGAATAATGAAGAGAAGATTCTAGTTCAATATCAAAACAATTACCATTCTTATGAAGCTATTGGAAAAATTGACTCTGAAGCCATTACGGAAGTAATGAAAGAGTTGGATATTCCTATCATGTGGAATTGGGAAGATTTCCTCAATTTTTTAATGATTTGTGCTGGCTCCAAAACATATAACTGTCTGGCACCGTTTGCTAACAATAATAGTAATGTCATGGAGAGTATGATTAAGGAATTGGGATCCATAGAAGAAATATCATATGAAGAGGACGAAGAGGATGATAATAGATTGAAATCTGAATCAGATACTGTAAAGGAAGGATTGAAATATTTAGAGGAGGAAATTCTAACTCCAATTATTCAATCTGATTTGAGACACTCTCAACGAATGGAATATTTCCATTACATTAGGAGGGAAATCCTTAAACACTCGGCAAGAAAATCTCAGAATTTGTTCTCGTTCGATTCAGTGATTCAATCGCCAAGTTACGACATTTCCATCAATGAATTCATCTTCCAAGCTCAAGTATTTCACACTTCATGAAGCTTACAGCATTGGATTTACAGAATATATTCATGAGGAGAAGATATTTGCCAATGCCATGTTTGAGATGGCAAATGGTACTTTATCTGAGCTTTCTTTCAAATTAGAAATGTTGTTCACTTATTCTTATCCATCCAAGAAAGTAATCCTCAAATTGGATGGTGAAAATGCGAGTATTTCCAAATTAATTTTGGAAATTTTGGATATTAATTGGACACTACTAGACGATGATAAAAAGAAGACAACTAGCAATGATTTTGCCAAATGCATTCTCAAACTCTTTGGTCCATGTCACAGATCACAAATTATTCAATGCACTGGAATGACATTTGAATCCAAGTTCTACCCAACCCAGGTAAAGGAAATTATTGAGCTATTCAACAACAAATAATCTCGAGATAATTACAAACACACTCAAATTATTTATAGAAATATTGAGTGTTACCACTTTTAACAAGTCAACCAAAAAGAAACACCAAAAAATCTCCAAAACCAAGAAGGTTTCATTAAACTCTAATGAATTTAACAAGAAAAAAATGATTAATCACACAACAAGCACCACCACCACAACCACAAGCATCAAAACTCTGAATAATTTCAACTTTCCCGATGATATTTGTTCAGAAATAATTTTATATCTTCCACATGAATTTCTACTATGGAGTGGTGTTTTAATTTCTAAACAGTGGAAGCAAATTATTAAACAATTCACCAAAATTAATTTGCACTTTACCCAAAGTATCACTTTAGAAAATAGTAGACTAATGATGCAAAGTGAATTTTTGGAAAATGTTATTGGTGCGAAATTTCAATTAAACACATTGTTGGAAGATGGAGTTTTGGACAATGTTTTGGATGCTTTACAAAAGATGAGTCAATTGACAAAGCTTGATATAGGAATGAACAAACTTGGAGTAAAAGGTGCCAAGGAGATTGGTAAATTGAAACAATTGAGAGAGCTCAATATTATTTACAATAATATTGGAAATGAAGGAGCTGAATATATTAGTCAACTTGAAAATTTAACATATCTTGATATTGCTTGTAATAGAATGGATGTCGAGGGAGTCAAATCAATTTGCAAATTGAAACAATTGACCGATCTCAGTATTCACAGAAATAGTATTGAGAAAGAAGGAGCCAAATATTTAAGTGAACTAAATCAGTTGACTAAACTCGACATTGCCTGCAGTGATATAACTCACAACGGAGCTAAACACATTTGTGAAATGAACAATCTGACAGCTCTCAATATTTTCGATAATCGTTTGAAAGCTGATAGTGCAAAATTGATTAGTGAAATGAAGAATTTGAAATATCTCGATATTCATAGGGACGAAATAGCTAATGGAGGAGGAATTGAATATATTAAACACTTTCCAAGTGTTCCACCTAGTTTTATTAAACTAAATTAAAACAATTCATTTTCCTATTTCACTATTCATCATGTTTTTACTATTGTGAATTCACTTGAATTTTATAACAAAAGCAGGAAAACTAGATGGATTCACATTCATTCTTATGTTTTGAATCGTCACTCGAATGTTTGAACTCTTTAAATCTCTTGAAATTCCATTCAAAAAACTCTAAAACATTACAAAAGACCTCAATTTCCAACTTAATTAAGATCAAAACTTGGAAAAGATCAAAAAAATAAGAAAACCACCAAAATGCCCACAAAAATTATTCTCATCGATTTTCAAAGTCATCACCATGATGAATCGACAAATACAAATAATTATTCTTCTGAATTTAATTTGCAACAAATGTTACGGAATGAAATGATGAAGAAATCACAAGAACGAACAAATTTGCTCTATTCAAAATTAATGATTTTAAAGCAGATTAGACACTCGAATGTTCCATTTGTTCCGAGTAGAAAACCATTCGATTTTGGTTTGGATAGAGATGTTGCCCTTGCTGTGGTCAGTAAACATGGAAGTGATGCATTGAAAATTATTCATGAAACGTTGAGAAATGATAGGGAGATTATTTTGAAAGCCGTTTCGAAGGATGATTTTATGAATAGTGGATATATTGGAAAGACATTGAGAAGAGATCGAAAATTTGTCAAGGAATTAGTTCAGGAAAATTGGATCTTGTTAAAAGATATGGATTTGGACATTAGGGAAGATGAGGAAATTTGTAGGGCTGCTCTGAAACGAAATCCAAGAGCTATCAGATATGTTCACAATCAAGATTTATTGAATAATAGAGAATTCATGTTGGAAATTGTGAAACAGTATGGTTTATCATTGGAATATATTGGAAAATCACTCAAGAATGATAGAGAAATTAATTTAACTGCCCTGAATCAAAATCCTAATGCATTTCGATTTGTGGGACAAGACTTGTTATATGATAAGAAAATTTCCATATTTTCCACAAAGGCCAGCTCTATGGAATTGCACATTAAATCAATGGCTGGAAGAGATTTGAAAGTTTATGTGAATCCAGAAGATAGTTTCAGAATGATTCGTCTCCAGGTAGTAGAGGCATGGGGAAATTTGGATGGTGTCAGAATTGTTCACAAGTCAAAACCAATTCCAGAGGAAGATGATGAAAAAACATTGAAAGAATTGGAGATTAACAGCGATTCTAAATTGACCATGATATTTAGATTGCGTGGAGGGTAACCATCATGATCACTTCAGCTCATAGTTTACCTTAAGGTGAAACTTTCATTGCAGACAAGATTGAGGATTACACTTTCAAATCTCCCTCTCAGTTCATTCGAATTGGAGATATTCCTGTGGTTATTTCAGTGGAAGTTCATGTAATGAGAATCAATGCTGAAAATAATATACAACGTTCCCATAAAAAGTCTTATATATAATCTCAAAAATTTGGATAACAATCAACCATTTTCATTTACCATAACTGAGACTGTCATTACTTAATACTGTGCATCTTTCATAATTCTGAGTTTTGAGAAATATGGACTTATTCACAGAGATATTCCAAATAAGGTGGAGACATATTTCCTGAGTTGTCGTAAACCATTACCATAGTAGAGGATCTTATTATTTTGCTATTAATACACGTATACATAGTGTTGTAGATTAAACAGCTCAAAAAGAATGCTTCCAACCAATACAATACACGAACAGACACTTTTATTCTTGTTACATCTGCTGTTACAGAACTCTAATGATGATTCATTCCTTCCGTGCTTGGAAAACGATGATAACAATTATTGTCCAGTGAATAATACTTCCACTAATAATACTACGAATAATACCTATGCTAATAATAATATTGTGTTTGAGAAGGTAGAAGAATGCAAATTACAACCATCCAAACTAATCGAGATGAAGTCATCCAATCATACTTCCAACAAGAAGCATTCAATGAAAACCCTCAATTATAACTCCACCACCACTCCAAAGATCAACTCCTCTTATCCTCCGCATGTAAATACTACTCCGAGCAACATTAGCAAACCTAATAATGTATTCTTCATCGTATCGACTCTGGAATCTATTAAGGAAGAAGAAGAATTGAAGAAAACTCTTCCGAAACGACCAAGGGGACGACCTCGTAAGAATAGTTTCGAATCAATGAACAATTCTTCTTCATCTAATTGTGTTTCTTCTTCCAGCAGCAGTAAACGAATCAAAATGGATTAACATTAAAGAATTTAGTTTAGTTTCAACAATAATTTGTAATAAACTTTATTGAACTTCAACATTTTTCATGCATGATCTATGAAGAATATTCAAACATACAAATATTTTGGTATCTTTGAACTGGAATGTGACCTCCAAACTTTACCATGTTACAACAAAAAATATCCAATCGCAATCGCAACATTTCTTTAGATATTTAACCGATCACAACAAAAAAAACAATTCAAAAAAAACAAAACAATAACACTCTGTAATCAGATCTTCATCAACATTAATAACTTATATTCAGAATAAAAAATGGTCAAGGTAAACAGTAAGAAATTATCAAGTACTAGAAACAATGCTTCCAATAATAAGAAACAAGCACAGAATAACATGTTGTTGGCCCAGAATGAATTTTCCTCTGCATTGTTTGGTCAATTTGTGCAGGAAAATGGAAATGGAAATTTGATCATTTCACCATTTTCGATTTATATTGCAATGATGAATTGCATGTTGGGAACAGGTGGAGAAACATTGAGGGAAATGATTGATGGCTTGTTTTTGAGAGAAAGTTTTAATAGTTGTAAAATGGAAAATGCAGTTGAGCAATTCCAAAAATGGAAGGAAAGTGAATTGAAGCAATATTCGGGTATGATTAAGAATATTGTTCAAAATGAGAGCGTTTTATCAATTGCCAATAGAATTTATCTGGAAAAATCTCTTGGTGTTAAGAATGAATTTATTAATGAGTTGGTTGACCAATTTGATTCTCAAACTCAATTGGCAAACTTTAAGGGTATGGCCAATATAGAAGTGAAGAATATCAATGCATGGGTTGCATCCAATACTAAGAATAATATCAAGAATTTAATATCTAAATTGGATTCAGACACACTTATGGTCATTGTAAATGCAATTTACTTTAATGGAAAGTGGAAACATCAATTTAACAAGAATAGAACTATTGAAAAATCATTTAACACCTTGAATGGAGAATGCAACTGTCAAATGATGAGTTTGGAAGATTGCAAGTCAAAATTCCTCTATGAAGAAATGGATGATTATCAAATTTTACAATTACCATACACAGATGAAGAATATTGTATGACATTTATTAAACCAAATGATGATTTAGAGATTGATGAAGAAAACGAAACAGAATTTAACAAGTGGCTTCAATCCAAGTTGACCGATATTAGTCGACTCAATCCAAGTGAATCAGTCAAAATGAACAGAATTCAAATTCCAAAATTCAAATTTGAAAAGCAATTTGACAATATCATTCCAACTATAGCCAAGAAACCATTCGAAATCAATAGATTGTTTAGTCCAACCAATGCTGATTTTTCCAATATGCTCTCCAATCCACAAGTTGATGGTGTATGTGTCAGTCAAATAATTCACAAGGCATGCATTCAAGTAGATGAGTCAGGAACAGTGGCAAGTGCTGCAACTGCCGTAGCTTGTAAACGAAAGAGAAGGGCTGCATCTGAGGAGGTTTATGAATTCATTGCTGACAGACCTTTTGCTTTTATTTTGCATCACGTTCCAACTCAGAGTGTTCTCTTTGTTGGTAAGATTAATGAAATTACAAGCAATTAGGAAAGTGTAAATAAATTAATGTTTGAGAGTTTTAACATTCACCTTAATAACATCACTATTGCCGTACTTGGATTGAATGGCAACGTTGACAAATCCTGGTGCTCTATTCATGGCATTGACTTGAACAATAGGATTGGTTCTGGCATCTCCTCCATAATAGACAAAATCAGCATTATTTGGATTTGGATATTGAATCAATTGGTTAGAACTGTAAAACACATGATAGAACATGTAGCCCTGTAGTGAGATGGTGAACTGAATATCTGCATGAATATTAATGTTGGAATATTGTAAAATAACCTCTCCTTCAAAGTTGGTATCCAAAGTAATGAAATTGTCTCCATCGTCAACCTTCTTGATTTGATCGATTTTCATATTGTAAAATGTGGAAGTTAGTGTGAATGGTAGTTTTTCTGGATTATCAACAATAGTAATGTTCAAGTAAATTAGAGAAGTGGTATCTGCCTTTCCCTTAATAGCTAAAGTGACATTCTGCCCAAAACCAGAATACTCATAATTTACAGGGCTAGGAGATCCTGTCACTGATGATGCATAAACCAATAGATTGGTTCTATCCTTACTCATCAATGTAAGTTGGGTCATTCCTCTTTCAGTTTCATCAGTATTGAGGAAGGAAACCTCAACATAGGAAAATGTTTGCTTTCCTCCAATTGTTAAAACATTTCCAATAAATGGAACAGCATTAAAAGGAGTATTTGGCAACAAACAAAAAGTCTCATCAGGAGACATTCTTCCACTAGAACATTTTGAGCAATTAGTATGAGCCGGATTCGTGTTGTATCCACTAGGACAAGGACTACATGAAACAGATCCAGTATTCGGGGCTATAGTACCAACTTGACAAGGATAAGCTCTATCATCACCAGGACCTTTTACAAGTTAACAATTATTTCATAATAATTAATAAACCTACAATATGTTCCCGGATCACATCCAAAACATCCTCCCCAAACTGATTTCTCAAAGAAACTACCTGGTGGACAATGTGTACAAGACACTCCCAAACAGCAACAAGTGCAAATAACGAGCAATAAGAGTAGCAAGGATTGCGGTGAAATATGTAGCATTTTTTTTAAATATTCTCCGCATCCAAATGGCTCCAATAGTAAATTTGTACTCCCAGTAATTGCACTCCTACTCTACATCATCTTCAAGGAGAGTCAAATCGTGTAAGGAGTTTAAGAATGCAATGTTCTCCTTGATTTCAATTTTGGTTTGCTTGAGGAGTACTTTTTCAATTATTGCATTTCCATTTGAAGATTGGCTGAGGAGAATGTCAGAGTAGAAGCCCGAAACTTTCTCGACCAAATGGTCAACATTAACCTTTGTAGCAAATGGGATAGTGTAAATTCTCTCATTCGACTCTATAAATTCCTGAACTGGAGCACACGTTTCACATGAACATGATAGAATAATATGGGAAATCTTGCTATTGAGAGGTTGCAGGTGTTCGATAGCAACCTTGTTTTGGTTATTGTAAAGTTTTAAGCAGTGTTTTGCAATTGATTGAGTAGCACTTTTAGATAGAGCTTCCTTATTGGTCAATTGTTTGAGGAATGGAATAACTAGGTGATGAACAAACCTAATTGTAAAATTCGTACGGCTGATAAGGTTTCTTGCTAGCATTGACATTACAAGATTGCAGGAAGCATCGTTTGATGAGTTGAGAATTTCCGAGAATGATCCAATAGTTTCTAGGATTTCCACATTTTTATGACTTGAGCAGAATGAATCAACTCCGTCCCTCATTAAATCCCTAGATTCAGTCAATCCTATAGTACCCACACATTCAACAATCATTTTAGGATTGAGTGTTTTAGATTTCCAAGATCTTTGTAACGTTTCCTTAATACAACTCTTATTTTTGATCTTTTTAGATAATCTGTACATATCATCTGGGTTTCCTGATAGCTTGCTAATGTTTTCAGGTATTTGTTGAATGACAATATCAAATTTTGAAGCCAAATCCAAAACCTTTTCCAACTGAGAGCATGTACATGTTTGTTCACTCAGACTACATTGAGGTAAAACTGAAGCAGAAACTGTAGGACAATTAAGAGCCTCCAATACATCCACACATCCATCCAAATGATCGATGAAACAAACTGATAACACCTTGATTACTTCTGTACGCAATTCTTTGAGTGTGAAAGCTTGTACTAATTTGAAAAGAACCTCATGATTGAAATTATGGCATAATATTTCTCTCAACAGTAACTTTGCTAGCTCCAAATCGTTCAATTCTATTATATAATCTACAATCTTCTTTCCATCCAATTGTTTGGAATACTTGTCAATTATTTTCTTTAAAAAGTTAATAATATGTTGAGAAGTGGCACCATTGAAAACTCTCTTCAAATAATCAAGAGCAATCTCCATGCCCAAATGTAAATATACTTCAGTAGTGAAATGTTTTGAAATGATAATAATACATTCAATATTTTCTCGATCTCCTTTAGAGAAGAGGAGTGATTGCGAATTAATGTCTAAATCTGCATTGATTCTACGAAAGTACAATACATCATTATTCAGCGTTCCAAATTCAAATTCTAAACTTCCTATTGGCATTTCATGTACGTACCAATTCAATATGCTTGTTATTGATTTATAATAATCAGAATTCTGCTTGTACTCTATTACAAAGTAGGGTGATTTCTCCCAATTGTCCATAAATTTGCTAAATAGCTCTTTAGAATTAATAAATGTTGGTGTTTCACATCCATCCTGATGACAAATATCAAACACCAAATACATTGCACAACCTTTGGTGATTCCCTTGATAGTGGCATCAATGTTAGAATAGCAAGCAGTCAAAGTACTGGAATAGCACGACCCCTTAGAGAAGTTGTAAGAAATCTTTCCCGAATTAACTACTACATGACCACCCTCACAATTAGAAGGCAATCTCACAACCAACTTGACAAAACAATTCTCTCGTGTACTCGTAATGGGAATATCCGAACACCCTTCACTAGCAATGATGAGTGAATTCTTTCTAATCAATCCAGATATGTGATTTTCAACTTGTAATTGTGAAAGAACGTCCTTCAGTATTTCCTCTAATTGTTCCATCCAATAGGGATTTTCAATGGAGAATAAATCTTCATCATTCAAACAAATCATCTTCTCCGATAAAGTTGATGATGAAGAATTTGACGATATTAATTGCAAATTAGAATTTAAATTATTCCGTATGGATTCAAGTTGTTCCGAACAGAGAGGCAATCCAACATTGATGGAAACATCATGATCGAAATGAATTTTCAACCCAGGAAAGCCTAACAAGCCTTCCTTTTCACTATTTCTTTTGCCATACGAATATTGATGAGGATTGGAGCCAATTTGATGTAAAACGTTGGCTAATTCGGAACGTTCCACTCCATCCCATTCTACATTAAACGGAGAGTAACAGGATGAAGATGAACAGCAAGAATCATATTTGGTTTTCTTGCTGGCACAGCACGTTGAAGAGTTGTTGCTTCTCTTTCCAAGCATTTTCTAAAAGATTTTTTAACGGTAAGAAATTTTAATTATTTTAAAAAATAAAAAATAGCGCCAAAGGCTTACCAATAATCACAAAATATTCAAGCGTTTTATTATTATTGTTGGATGATGATCTTATATGATCTTCTCACCATGTATTGTGGAGGGTAACATTCTCAAAGTGTCTATGTCTTGGATAGGCCCACTTTGGATGATCTTCACTCTCAACCTTCTTCTTGTGTTCTTCCATATCTTCTTGTGAGCCTACTTGCTCAACAGTATCCTTGATGAAGGGAACAACATGATTAATCATCATGTCCTTTGAGCAGAATGGACTCATAGGGAAGACCTTGAGAGCAGAAATTGGACAGCCATTCTTGTTCTTTCTAAAGCAACGTGTATAGGATAGAGCTGGACCATCTTCTTGTACTCTCTTCAGATGGAGAACATTGGCAATGTGCTTTTGATATTCATTGTACTTGTTAATTTCATCATCGGAGAGTTGACCATTCAACTCCTTTTCAAATTCCTTCTTGGCATCAACTCCTTGTGGATAGACTCTGAACAAGGAAACAAAACCATTGTCCAAATCATTAACAATGGCCACATTCTTCATCTGTTCTGTGAGGTTTGTTCGAAGAGCATGTTGAACACTTATCAAGTGAGCTATGAGTGATTGATAACCTTCAACACCAAACAAGTGAATGGTACTAAATGCAGCGAGACAAGATGCAGCTCTTGAACATTCGAGAGTGTATGTTCCTGGTTTGTAAACTGAAAAGTTGTACAGATATTGAGCAAAGTCTTTCGGTCTGGATAGGTTTTCTTCGAACTCTTTTCCATCCTTGAACATTACACAGCTACAAATGTAGTGGCAGAAACCAGTCTTGTGGAAATCTAATCCTACAGCATCTGCCAATTCTAACTTTTCCATTTTGGAGAGAACTGACTTGATTGCTGGCAAGACATAGTCAGCTTCGATTTGAAGTGGATTCTCTTCAAAGTTATAGGTCTTAAAGAAGAGCCATGGCCAACCAATGACTGAATCAGCATAGACAAATGGTTTGTAATCTAGATTATTCTCCTCAACAATTCTATCTCTAATCTTTACAATTTCTGAAACATCATCAACAGAGAATGGGTCTGTGGAACCACAAGTTGAGACAATGGCAGCAATCTTTTCACCATTCTTGACAGATTTGGATAATTTATCATAGAGATCATCATAATTCATAGAGTTATCTTCTGTAATACTAATTGGAACAACATTGTCCATACCAATGCCTAGCCAATCTGTAACATTGAATTTACAATAGTGGCCAATTTCTGAAACGAAAATCTTTACATTTTCTCTAATACCCTTGTAACGGTAGTCCATTCCCAAGGCTCTTGTTAGGGCAACTTTGATTCCGTACTGTATTAGATAATCATCATGGTGTTAGAAATAGATTAGTCATTAAAACTTACCAACTCATTTCCTGTTCCACCAAAGGTAAATACACCATTAGCTTTCTTGGCATCCCAACCAATCAATTTAGCCATCATTCCAATAGTTTCAATCTCTGTTAGCACAACATTCCATGAAAATTCATCTTGTACCATACCAACATTGTACAGCGAAGCAAATAGAGTTGAAATAATTGCTGGAATATTTGAAGGAGGATGAACATTCTCCAACATGATTGGACTTGCATTATCTAACACACCATTAAAGTAGGAAGAAACTTTTGAGATAACTTCCTGTGGAGTTTTACAGGATTGAGGAATTTCTACCTTGGATCTCTGTTCAACAATATCCTCTTCACAATTGAGTATTCTCTCAGGTGTTCCCAAGAATGAACTGTGAGCCTTTTCTTTGTGTTTGAGTTTGAGAATTTCATCAAGTGAATGTTTTACCAATTCCTCAAAGTTCTTATCCTTTCCCTTCTCAATAATTGGTGATGGATAGGAAGGTCTGATCTTGTGCTTTACAATGTCTTCATACTTTGGCACAGATGATTGAGAAGTCTTCTCCAAGAGTGGTTGCTTCTTGTGCTTCTCATGTAATTGATGAGATTGTTTTGACTTCTTTTCCTTCTTTATTTCTACCATTTTTTAAATGAGGAAAATCCCCACGTTTGATTTGGAAGAATTTATTGCTTTTTTCAACAGCCAGAACAATACAAATACTAAAGTGGGTTTATTTCTTTTTTGGAATTGAATAATAACAGTATTACCATTATTGTCTCAAACAGACATGATAACACTTTTCACAATTGCCCAACTGACTTTGTAAACTTTGGAGTCTACAAGCTGTAAATTGACCAACTTTCACTTAAAAAAATGACGATAGATGATCCACCTTGTTTGTCAGTTGCATTGTTCGGACTGCTTGGTGAAATTGATTATAGAAGAGGAACAAGCTCTGTTTTTGCATATGATCGGTTTCTAATCAACAAATTGCAAATAAATTTTGCAATTTTGGAACGATTGTCAGTACCAAGTGCCTTCCGATTATGTTGCATAGCAGATGCTTGTATTATTGCAATTAATAGTCATAATAATAATTTTGAAATGTTTCAGAATATTCTGTTAATTATCAACAATTCTACATCGATCAGAAATGTCCTTGTGCTAGTTCATCCAACAATTCAAATATATGATTTTGAGAATGAATTCGATAAACTAATCAAAAGAAATTTGATTTTCAAAGTAGTTTCATTCGCTGGCTATTCAAGCGACGACAATTTATCCAGATATTTGAAAAGAGTGGAGACTTCTAATGAATCAAATGAACTATTGGAATGGCTACGAAGTTTAGGTCCAAACTTGAATTATGAAAATTTGAAAAATCAGCCACCTTTATGTTCTTCAATTAACTCATTTAAGAATTATTATGGCACAAACGTATTGGTGAAAATCGAGAGTGGATATTTAACACATTTGGGAACTGTTGACATTAATTCTGAAAATCCAACTAGTTTAAAAATTGAAAGAAATCCATCTTATGGATATTCTTCATTCAATGATGCAATAGACTGGGAAAGAGCATATGCTGGTCAATTAGTTCCTATTAATTTACAATCACTGAAGTATAAAACTCGAAGTTCGAACGAAATGAGGTTGTTGAGAGGAGCGTTGTTAGGAAATTGGTTTGATAAATCCAAAGGATCTTAAGTAGTGGTGGACTCCTTTTGGGTCGAGCTCACAATTCACAACCCTCTTTCAGCCGTTGATTTTTCTAAGGAAAGAGAATTTAAAATTTATTGTGGACAGAGAGCATTAATATGTCGAGTACTCCAAACTAATCCATCCAAGTCAAACCATGAATCACTTCTAATTGAATTCAAGCCATTCAATGATGTGCTTTTAAACAAACCCAGTTTGAAAGAAACAAGTTTCCAATCAACGCGACAACCAACCTTTGTAACAAACTTTGAAAAATGTCAAAGTAGTGGGCTATGCATGATCAAGTTCAGGAATATGGTTGTTGCATTAGGAAAGATAAGAAAAGTGAGGTATCTATCAGATACAAACACTATCTGGATTGAAAACTCACTACCATTCTTTTCCAAATATTCAGACCTGATTCGAAATAGTTCATTTTCTGATATTTCCATAATATTAAATATTTGAAGTAATCTACTAGATTTGGAAATTATTCCTATACTACAAGAAGATATCTGAATTTTTCGCTTTATCAATACAATTTATTACATTAATCTCGATATTCTATTTCATTTTACATTCGAAAAATCTTGCTATTTACACAACATGTAACTTAATTCTCCTCAAGCTACCAATCACCATTAAATTTCCACGTTCATCCAATCACTTACTACTCTGAGTTTCATTATTCTGTTCTAGAATGTGCTGTGGAATACTTTTCAATACTCTACTCTTTCCTCTTCTACTACTAGCACTTTCTACTTTAATTGCTTCCTCCACTTTTCCATTGTAAATCATTGAATAGGCGTGTTCACTAAATTCCACTTTAAAATTTACTTTTGGTGGCCTTCCTCTCTTCTTTTTAATGAGTGAATTGAAGAGTTTGGACATGTCTTGTGAAGAATAATGTTGAGATTTGGTTTCTTTGCATTTTCTGTTTTTTTGAAGTTTAGTCTCAGAAGAAGATGAAGGAGAAATGTTTCCGATAGTTGGTGATAATGCTAGCTTGCTTGATGAATTGAATGAATTAGAATCAGTAGATGTCGATTCACAATTACTATTTCTAATTATTGCATTCGAATTTTGTTGATAGGCCTCAATATTCTGTCGACTAAACATTGTCTCATTAACAGAGGAACATGCTGGACTGATATCACTTGTTAATAATTGAAGCATGTTTGTTTCATCACTTCCAATAGCAGTGCATGTGGTGATTTCTTCCTCTTCCAACAAAAATACATCCGAGCAGCATGTATTGTCATTTAGTCTACTTTCCAATAAATCTTCAGGTTGAATTGCTTTCAACATGGTTTCAGAACCATTATTAAAACACAATGGTGCAGGAAAGAGTGATTCCAATGCAATTTCATCATAAACATATGCATGTGGCGAAGAGTCAACTTGGCATGTTTGAAAGAGTTGCAGGTTTAGTATTTGATACATTTGTTGATTCAAAAGCATGTAATTATACATGATGGTGGGAAGCATGTCAATGCTTGTGTTTCCCACAACACTTGCTGAAGGTACTGTTGATGCTTGTTCGTTGACTGACAAATAAGGAAAGTGATAAGTGAATGGTGGCATGTTGATGTTTGTCTTATTGTTGGGTATAAGTTGTTGCGTTGGAAACATGTTGTTGCAGAATAGTTGTGGTGTACTTGGTAGGTGAGACATGGCACTGTTTTTTTCTGATTAGTTTGCATTCCAATTCGAAAGTTAGTTTAGTATAGGTATCCAGCTGAATCAACAAATACCTAGAGCGAATGGGTCAAGACAGGGTGGACAAAACCACGATATAATGTTCGCAGGCAAAAATCACGGTTGCATGGTATGATGAGTGTTCTAATCACACACAATGTTTGACATCTATTTCAGGTGTCAAATGTTTCTAAAAGAAAGGGCGAGAACACGGAAAAATGTCGATATTTGGACGAAATGATTTGTTCAGGGCTTGTTGTTGAAGAGATAAACGAGTTATTTTGATGATTCGTTGCGTCAGTAATAAGAAACTAAACTAAACTTTTCCCCGTTAAGTAGCTCTATACTATCAATTGAGGATGTTGGTTAAACATCTCGAGATTTGTCACTGTTTGTCCATATATAAATATTGACAAATCTATTTAATTAGATGGTTAGACGAATCCTTTCGAATTGGTCGTGATTCTAATTGTTGCAAGGTCAAATCATGCAAGTTCTCAAACATATCAAATAAGCATTCTAACCATATGTTTGATGGTTTCAATTCTCTAAAGAGATTTCAACATGTTCACCACGGTTACAAGGGCAGTCGTGGGTTCGTGACGAGTCGAGGCACTTTAAAGTTTTTTGGGATGTTCATCGGGGTTACTTTGGTTCGTCCATGTTCGTTGAACATAATTTGAGAAATAGCGTTTTACAGTGTACATTGAGAAATTTGATGAGTTCCTATCACTGTGACCTTTTCTGAACTAAATTCTGCTGCATTTTTTGTTCCTATTATTCTGATGGTACTTAAAAGGTTGGTGCGTTCGATATTGAGAACAAATTGACGAATTCCTTCTTCTAAAATACAAAAAAAAATGTTAGTAATTGACGAGGAATCACTTTCATGCAAGTTTTGCTTTGAACTTCTTCAAGATCCAAGAGTTTTACCTTGTGGTCATTCAATGTGCACCCGATGCATTATGGCAAATATCAATTTTAAAAAGTTAAAACTCAAAGAACCATTTCTTCAAGCTCCTGTGCTGGGAAATCAAACAAAGATCAACAAATTGTATGGAACAACAAGTGATCAAAGTAACAAGAAGGAAGGAATTTGTTTCAATTGTCCCTCTTGCAACAAGGAATGTAAAGTCAATCATTCTGAAGATGTACCAAGTGTCTTTCCTATTAATTACGATCTCAAGAGTACTGTAGAAAATTATATGATGGAGAGGGAGAAGGGAGAAACTTGTGCCAATTGTGAAACTAACATTGTTCAAGTTGAATGTGAGGATTGTAATAGTAGATTCTGTGAGGAATGTTTCACATCCATTCATGCTCCCAAGTTCTTTGCTTCTCATAAAAAAGCTCCACTTGGAACAATTCTAACTGTTGGAAAATGTAAGAGACATAAGTTTGTCATTTGTGTTCTTTATCAACTAATCATAGTAATCATACATGTGTCCCAATTGATGAACATATGGAAGAGGCTAAGGCAGGAATGTCTAACAAGATTGAGCAAGTTGATCAAGATATTGAATTCTTGTATGTTGCATTGGAAAAGATTGGCTCTCTCCAAACTAAACTAGTCAGTAATCAAGAAACTTACGAAATGAGGGTTAATACTATGATTGACAACTATTTGGCACAAGTGGAAGACAAAAGAAAAGAAATTCTTGACAAAAGCCAATCAGAACATCAAGAGAGAATGGCAATTGTTCAAGATCAATACTCAACCATGTCAGGTCTCATTGAAAACATGCAAGGAATCAAAAATGCTTTTGAAAAAGTCATTCATTTCAGGAATATTACATCCCTTATCACTGCAGAACATCAAATTGAATCTACCTTACAAGATTTGAATTGTAAACAACTTGACACTAGTCCAATATTTTTCACCCAGAAACACAATCCTTCTAATTTAGATTTTAAAGAAACTACTATCAGCAAAGCTGTTTCTCAACTTGTATTTGATTATCCACTAGATATTAAATTCAATATATGTAAGGAATGCATCTCTGCTAAACCCACACCAGAAGAAGAACCGAAAGAAGAAGCTAGTTTGGCTCCTTCTTTGTCATCCTCTGTACCAAAACAACCTGAATCTATTGTTCAGTTTGAGAAATCTTTCAGTAATATTGTTGCAGAATCTTTGAAAGATGAAGTTCCCTTACTAATGAAAGAGGATGACGATGAATATAATGTACCTACTACAAAGAAGAAGAAAATAAGAGTCAAGAGACGCTGAGTTGGTTAACCCTTGATATGACATTAATACTTTACAAAAGTATTACATTATTAACAATTATGTAAATTAAAATTGATAGAAATTAAATCAAAAAAAAATGCGCAACATCAAGCACAATTCACTTCTCTATCGCTTGAATACATTATCATCCACTTCAACTTTACATCATTTAAATAGTAATAACAATAATATAATTAATCATATTAAAATTAATGGTGGAAATAAATCATTCCCGACAGGATCTTCATCAGCCTTGTTGAAAACCAATAACTCTACTTTATTGAATCATGTAATGATGAGGAGATGTTTTTCTCAATCTTTGATTAATAATGCTACGAGAAGGAAACAGACTTTGAAGCAACAAGATGATGAGGTGAAGGAATTATTTTCTACTCACCAACCTCAAGAAAAGGAAGAAATCATTAATGCTATGAGTAATGAGGCAATTAGTTTAATGCCGGAAATTAATTTTGGAGGTGATGAGGAAATTTCAAAGCCTGTAAAAAGAGTAAGGAAGAAGAAGGAAATTGTTTTTCCATCCGAAGAGGAAATTATGAAAACATTTACAATTGATGATGTACAGATTGATTTGAGTGAAGAACAAAAGCAAGTTGTTTTTGGAGATGTGAATGATGACTTGTTAGTGTTGGCTTGCGCTGGAAGTGGAAAGACAACAACCATTATTTGTAAAATTGTTTACATGATAAAGTATTTGAAAATTCCAGCTCATCAGATCATGTTGACAACATTTTCAAGATTGGCAGCAAATGATATGAAGGAAAAGCTTGCCAGTATTGGAGTTAAGAGTAAATTTACTATTGGAACCATTGATGCATTTGCTTACAAGACATTGAAGAAATATTGGCAATATTTTGATTCTCAAGCTTGTGTGATTGAATATGGATATAGATTGAGGAACTTAATGAAGAATTATCCAGAAATTGCGGATGAAATTTGTAAAAAGAAAAAGTATCTCATAATTGATGAGTATCAAGATATTGATAATTTTCAAGCAGAGATTTTTGAAGAGTTTCACAAAAGAGGATGCAAGATAATTGCCGTAGGAGATGATTCGCAAAACATTTACTCATGGAGAGGATCCAGTGTGGAACATATTTTGAATTTTCACTCAAAATATCCAAACTCTAAGCTGTTAACACTGACTAGAAATTATAGAAGTACGCCAGAAATTTTGCAAGTGGCAAATGCAATTTTGAGAAATAATCCAGATAATATTCCAAAAGAAATGACAACCACAAGAGAATCTAATCTTAAACCAATCATTGTAAATGATAACCAGGGTTTGTATGTTGCTAAGAAAATATCAGAATATTTGAAACGTGGAGTGCCAAGAGAAAGAATAGCAATCCTTTCTCCAACAAATTATGGTCTCTATAAGGTAGAGGAACAATTATCTAAATTCTTCATTCCACATATTACTATTATGGAAAAATCAAAATCTTTAAAGGAAATGGAAAGACACACAACAACTGGAAAAGTTTGCCTATCAACCATACACAAGTCTAAAGGTTTGGAGTGGGATATTGTTTTCTTGGTGGATTCATCAAATGATAAATGGAAAGGTGATAATGATGCGGAACTAAGACGTGTATTATATGTGGCTGTTACCAGAGCAAAGGATGAGTTACACATTGTTCTCCCCAAGACAGCAACTTGTTTGAGTTATATAACAGAGATTGATCGTAGCGTATTCAGATTACATAGTCCCACAGACTTGCGTATTTCAGAACAGCCAAGATCAGCATCCGACTCATCTATTAATCCATACACCGTAACAAATATGGTTCGTAATATTGATGGAGAACTCATGACAATACTCAAGGAAGAAGGATGTTTGCCACAAATCGAATTTACGAAAACCAAAATTGTGGATACAGACTTTGCATACTGTGACGTGGTTTACGAAAATCAAATGTTTACAGACTTTGGAAACTTTATTGATACTTTATTTTGTAGAATGATTTCTGAGAAAATACCTAATGGAGGAGGTTTTAGTCATACATGCACTGAACTCTTCATTAACGAGGCAATCGTATTAAATACAGGCAGTATCCAGGTCTTTAATAGATATGCAAAGAAATTGAAGCAGTTGATGAGAAATGGAAAACCTCCAAAAGCTTTGTTAAAATCTATTACTGATGGCTATGAAAAGATAGTCATGACTGAGATTATTGAATCTTTCGAGAAAATATTGGAGAAGGGACAATTTTCATTCGAGGTTATTCCAGTAATGACAGAATATGCCTTCCCACCCGGTTATGTAGACAGTTTAAAAACAGCTTACAGAATTTTTACAAATCCAAATTATGAGTCAATTGATATTCTAGAAAGTGTATTCGAAATTTCCAAACTTGATGCAGTTGTTAAAGAGGGAAGAACCAGAATGCTCTATCTTGGCAATACCAATCTAAAGAAAAAGTTTGACTTTATTAAGGACATTGCTCCAAACTATACAGAACTGTTCAATAATTTACAAGAGCACTTTGTTCCATTTATTGTAGAAAAAACTGAAAGCTCAGTTAATACCCATAGAAGTCTCAGTTATGGAAAACATGTTACTGGAGAGGCAGATATCATCATTGATGGCGAGACCATTATTGATATTAAATGTTCGGTATCCCAAGATATTGAAGTTGAGTGGATTATTCAATTACTCTGCTATGCAGCCATGGCTAGATTGGATGGAATGGAAATTAAGAATATTGGAGTTATCAATCCACTTCGTGGCACCTATCATGAGGTTGATATTTCTTGGTGGGATCAAGGTCGTTCACTCTTGGACAAACTCTACAAATTCACCAAAGCCAGAGTTGACAATCAAAGTGGCCCTATGATTGTAGAAGAAGAAGAACCAATAGTGGAGGGAGTCGAAGAGGTTGAATCAGATGATGACCTTTAAATGCACCTTTGTAAATATGAACTTTGGATTAGTTCGACACTGAAAAAAAAATGTTCACATCACAACAACCCCATCACCCACACTCTTCCTTGTTGGATATTCCCACAGACCTGTGGAAATTTAGTATTTTTGAATATCTTCTAGGACCTATCAGCCGCTTTGGTAAAATGTATCCGTGTGTCTATTTTCGATTTTACGACCAATACTTATTTTCGTATATTAAATTGACACAGGTAAGAGCAGTTCATGCAGTTTGTTGTTGTGTTTCTAAATCTCTTAGGGATCAATTATTAAACGATGAGGAAATGCAAGAGTTTTGGCTGAAAGTTTCCAACATATTTGAAATGACTCTGTATTTGAGAAGATATGACTCTTATAGTGGGCTTCAACTCGCCAGGGGTGATATTAATGAAGAAGAGACGTTGAAAATGGCTAACTTACAAAAGTTGATTGAAAGAACTGAAATGGGCGTAAATAGTGAATATCGCAACATTGTTGAATTAAACAACATTTTTAGCACGTATGGTTTTACAATAGATTTCAATCAAATGGAAAATGAATATTACGACTGGGATGTTGAGGAGATATTTGATCATAGATTCGCCAAGTTAATGGTGGACAATGAAAAGATGCAAAGGATTGAGAAAAACCTCTCCCTTGGCAGCTATGAGTTGTTTCTACATAAGGCATTGATTTTATCATTGGAAATGATATCATACTTTGATAGTGAGAGAAATTCGAGTTATAATGAGTTTTCTACTCTTGAGGAATGCCAACTAATGAACCTAGGTTTACTCACATCTCTCAGTAGTACTCTGAATAGCAATGCTATTGGATTGATGGTTTCCTCTTCAGATGCAAAAGATAATTTGTTGTTTTCAAACAGATTTATTGCCATGTCAATAGAAATATCACAGGAGGAAAGTGAAAAGTTTCAAATACCAAACAGTGTCCTTTTTCTATCCTTAATTTTAGGTGGAGATAGTGATTGGACGAATGTTAAATTTTTAGAGGACTGTTCTTTCCAAAACGTAATTGATTTGACAATCAAAATGCCTCAATTTTTAGATGATACCGCAGAGAAGAATATTTTACAAGGAATTACTAGAAGCAGATTTCCAAAACTGGTAAGGTTATCTGTGAAATATGTGTCATTGTTGGAGAATATATTTACATTGGATATTGTTGGAGGTCTTCTCTATTTAGAGATTTTAACACAGTTACCACATAATAGATGGGATTCAACAAATTATTTCAGTTCAGGAATGGTTCACAAAATGATTCAGGACAATTTAATAGAGAAAGACTCTCTAATGCATCATCTTATCACCAATGCCAACATGCTAGCAAAAAATCCTGATGCAGATTATAATTCTGTCGAGTCGTACTATGAAATTACCAAAGAAAAGTTTGTGGCATCTATTTCTCACTCTTCCATTAACGAATTTTACAATCCAAGTACTGAATAAAGAATCAAGCTTAAAAAATACAATACTTCATTGTAGATTACTTTTAAAAATAAAAAACGATTCTCCCATGCCGGGAATTGAACCCGGACCTCCTGGGTGAAAGCCAGGTATCCTAGCCATTGGACTACACGGGAATCTTGTTCTTAATGCAAATATTTCTCATTTACGGGAAAAAACGACATTATATTTGGTGATGTCTAAATGTTTCATCAGTTTTTATTTACTCAACACTTTATTTCCAAAAGGAAAATAATGACTTGACAGTACTGCCACTTGGACTTGGTTTCTTCTTTTTAGATGCGCCAATCTCATCATCAGAATCACTATCACCATCATCATCTCCAGAATTAATGCTTGGTACTGGTGAGGCAACAAGTAATTCATTGTGTTCCACTTTGAGGTTGTTTTCTGTGCCTATTGGTGAAGGTAGTTTCTTCTTGTTGGTGGAGGAATTATTTGAGGTATTTCCACCAAATACTGATCCAATAAACTTTAAAAAAATAGAAGGTCCATCGTCCTTTTCTTTCAGATATCCTCTAATGTGGGCAAGACCTCTCTCACACACATCAGAAGGAGGCTCAACAAGGGAGATGCAACGACTGATGTCAAACTCTACAAGATTGACAAGCTTGTCAATACCCTTAATTTCTTCGAGCAAGGGACAGTCATTCACCAAAAGTGCTTGTAAACTCTGGAGAGAGGAAATATCCTCAGGAATGCTCTCTATCATTGTATAGCTAAGACTCAATCTAGTAAGGGATTTCATTGGAGAGGTAGTAGTGATAGTGCTACTTGAAACTTTTTGACCAAACAATTCAATAGGGAACTCCTTGATACCTCTGCAATATCGCATATCCAAATTCCTAAGGTTGATAAGCTGTGAAATACCCTTTGGAAGACCAGTTAGTTTGGAGCCATACAAATCCAAGTGAGTCAAATTTCTTAATTTTCCAATATCATCCGATAAATGACTAATGGTTAGATGGCTCAAACAGAGTGATTCTAATTTGGTTAAATTGTAAACAGGAGGTGGAACCACATGGATATTAGGATTGTGACCCAATTCCAAATGGGTCAAATTCTCTAAAAATTCCAAATTTCTATTAATATCAAGAGCAGTAACTTTGTTTCCATTCAAGAAGAGTATTGCTAATTTTTTGAGATTTTCAATTTCCTTTGGTATCTCGTTAATTATTCTATTGTTGGACAAACTCAAAAATTCCAATGATTTGCAATTACAAATTTCTGAAGGAAATCTATTCAATCTATTTCCAGACAAATTCAAGTACTCCAAATTGGTCAATTTTGGCCAAAAATCATTCAAGTGTCTGTCTTTTCCATGTAGCAAGTTGAAAGTGTTCAATTTGTTAAAGGAAAGTGAAAGGTAGGTAAGCTCTACCAATTTGTTAATTGATTTTGGTAGAGTCTTAAGACCCATATAATCGAGAGAAAGCCTCTGCAAATGTGGCATATGTGAGAAAATATCCTCAGGCAGTCTTGCTTTAGACATTCTATTCGAAGATAGATTCAATTCTGTCAAGTGTGCAAAATTGGTAAAATGTTTAGAATCTAGAGATCTAATCTTGTTATTGTTCAATTTGAGTTCTGTACAATTTCTACATTTTTCCAATTCTTCAAATGGTATATAGTTTTTTGATTTTTCATTTTCCTTCTTATTGTTTGAAGTAAGAGAAGATTTACTGATCCTTTGTTTGAATTCTAGTTTGTTGGACCAATAATCACAATATAAATGTCTAATATTGAGTGGATTATATGAAGGATTTGAAAAATCTTCAAAAGAATCAACAGTAATAAAACTATCTAAAATCTCGAGACTAAAAGTGGTTGATTCAATATTTACAGTAGGAGAAGAATCATTTGTACAATCTTTAAGTATCCCAATCTCCGAAGAAGGACTTGTTATATTTACAATTTGCTGTACAGAGGACAACTCAACAACATCCAACACATTATAATGCATGGTTGGTATCAGATTCAGCTTGCTAGGAAAAGTATGAATATCGTAGAGGTAGGAAAGATTTTTGTTCTCCTCAATGTTTGGGCTTGGTGTGAGTGATGATGGTGCACCAGAGAAGGATGCAAATGAAGTGGAGCTTTTGGTCGATGAAGTTGACTGCAAATGCTTCTTGTCGAGGTTGGGACTAATTGGCGAATTTAGTTTCGAGTCAGATCCGAAACTTGTCAATGAACGAGCACTGTCACCACTCTTCAGTGAAGAATTGTCAAGAGTAGCACCACCAGCCGAACTTGGTTCAGTGTTGGTAGTATCCATTGTCGTCCTCTGCTGTAGTTCCTCTTCATCCTTCATCAATTGATTTCCGAACATGGCCAACAATTCCTCATCATCAAAATAAAACCCCAATCGATTCGAGAGATTTTCTCGATAGTCCTTCATCTCCTCTTCCTCTATTTTTCTCCAACAAGCCTTCAAAATTTCCACTTCCGCACCAGCAAACTCACTAGAGCCTTGTTGTTGCAATCGTTTGGAACGTTGTTTTAATATGAATTTGATGAGTGGTCGTTCTCGGAAGCCTTTTCTAGAAGTAGTGCTCAATATTGGTGATGATGATGATTGAATATTACTAGTAGATAATGAATTAAAATTAGATGATTTAATCAAATCTCGATGATTGATTGTGGTGGAAAAGGTTGAATGTCGTTTTTTCATTTTTTTTCAATTTGGTTTGTTGTGATTTATTGGGATGAGGTGACTAATATGCTAATTGTTGTACAATGTGATAATTTCCATTTATATTTAAATTGGATTCTGAATGGTTTGATGGATTGCTTGTTGAAAATTAATTTTCATTTATCTGAAATCTCTCATTTATTTTGAAAAGTACTCTCTGACTTCTCCATCCTTGGTCAACCGAATTTCACCTTGCCATTCACTTGGTAAAACAACTGATCCGTATAATGTTGATGCTTCCTTATACATGTTGCATGCAGCTATAATGGTATTGTTCTTTGTATTCTTGAGAATTGTTTCTGCGAGGGCAAATGATTCGGTAAATTCACTCCTGGAGAAGAGATCAATAACTTTGCTTAGTAAAGCGAATTCTTTAGCACTACCACTTCCTTTCCATGATTTAGAAGCGATATTGTAAATTTGATGAGGTATGTGTTTTCCTTTCAGCATGAATTTACCCAACTCGGTACTTATCACACTGTGTGGCACTGTAACAGCATCCATAACTGGTTTAGTAACTAGAATATGTGAATGAAAAGTTCTTGTGAGAGATTCACATCTGCTAGCTGTGTTCACAGTATCTGAAATAACAGTAGCATCCAATCGTTGCTCATATCCAATCGTACCAAGTTGAACAATACCATGATGCAAACCAACTCCCAACTTTACATTGGTATTATTTCTACTATTGAAAACTTCCAATTCTGAAATCATTTCTAAAGCTGCAGTGACAGCTCCTTGCGGTTCAATAAACAATGCCAATATTCCATCACCAACAAACTTGTCAATAAATCCAGAGTTTCTTGAAATTGGAGGTGCAATACTCTTCAATAGTAGATTAATAAAAGCAAAGCCATCCTTTGCAGAAAGTCCCTCCATAATCTCTGTAAATCCATAAATATCACTGAAGAGCACTGTCATTTCTCTAGAAACTGCATCGCCCAACCTTACCTTAGTTACGTGACTCTTTCCAAGCAACTTTAAGAATTCAGCAGGTAAAAACCTAGCATAGGATTTGTTAATAGATGTGAAAATTCCAGCATTGTCCAAACTGATCGAGATGATAAGTTTGGCAAGGTTAATTTTTTCAGTTGTGAATACATCCTTCGTTTCCTTATTTTCCAAGTATATACAACCTTAATACATTAAATAATATAAATAAAATAATAATAAAAAGCATACCTATGACTGTCTTTTTCTTCATGATAGGAATAGATAAAGCAGAGGCCACTACATTCTTCACAAAGTAATACTCTTTCTCATTGTCATTCCATACGAGTTGTTGCTCTGTTCTGGATCTTAGAGTTCTGTGAATCATCTTGAGAGGGAATAAATCTGAAAATTTGTCCAAATCACTATTTTCGAATTGTTTGGTAGACGAAAGTGCTTCAATAGAATTCAGGTCTGCATTAAATTCGGCATCTACATAAACTGTTGAATCTCTCTTCAAAATCAAACAACATCTTGGTGATAACGTTTGTTCTGAAAGAATTGGCAGAATTGAAATGAAAATCTCTCTAAAATCCAATTCTGTTGATTCAGAAATTCTGCTCTTTGTTACTCCAGCAAGAGAGTGATCTGTTGTTTCATCAGATAGAGAAGTGTTAGAGAATACTTGTTCAGGATTTCTATTACTAAATGATGAATAGCCATCGATGTGACCTGAATAATTCTCCAAAATATAATCAACAACGATGGAAGCACCAAACTGTTCAAAAGATTCCATAGCTCTAAGGAAGTAGTTTCCACTAATACCATCATCCATACCTAGACTGTTGTAAAACTCTCCTGTTCTCAAATTAATCAGCCTAGCTAAAAAGGTGTTTCTTTCCTTTTCAGCCATAATATAACTCTTTCTGTAGTGAGAAATGATTTTTCTAGTATTTTCGACACCTGTTCTACAATATTCTGAGTACAATGTCTCGGCTCTTATGAACTCCAAAGGAGCAAGAAAAACAGAAGAATTAGCTTGGGAAATCATTTCCAATCTTTCTATAGAATATTTCAGTATTTCTTGGGCTTTTTCAATCTTTTCTTGAGCACTTCTCAAAAAGATAGCTGAGATTAAACCTAGGAAGATTAAATCAATCCAGCTTGAACACATACCAACAGAGTCTTCTCTAAAATCATACGATTTTTCCATACACTTGAAAGATTTTTCAATATCATTTTGGAAATAGAGTGAAATTCCCTTGAACGAGTAGTGCATTTGTCTAAAGAATGGATATTCCTTCACTTGGCTTACATACGTTGGCAGGTAATGGTCTACATCTCCTGAAAGAACATATTTCAATTCCAGTATCATTTTACTGGCATCCATCAACATAACATTTCCATTTCTCTTGAAAATCTCAATTGAATTCAAGCTCAATCCAATAGAAGTCTTTACATCTCCGTGGCTATAGAATAAGTGATGGAATGGATACCACAGAATAGAGAAACCGCCATAGTGTTTGTTCTTTGATTTCACAGACAATAAGAAGGCTTCCTCGGATATATTCCACACCTCAAGAGGGTTAATTGTTGGCGAAAAGTAATAACTCATCAACTTCATCAATGTGCAACTTGCCAATTCATGCTCATTCCTGAATCTAGTCTTTTCCATCTCTAATCCTGCCTCTAAGAACATGTTCATCTGAGGATAAAACTCAAAATTACACCAAGACCATGCAAAGACTGAAATTAACAATGGGGAAAGAGGAGTAATGCCATTATTTAAAACTATATCAGACGATATTAATATCATAATCATAAAGTAGTGTTTGCTGAGTGAGTTATTCATATGAAAAACAGCAGGACAGGATTGAGTGAGCAAACAAATAAGATGCCACTTTTCCAAATCATCAATATCTGGCAAATTGAGAATGTCAGATTTTTGAGTAAAATTAACGAGCACATGTTCTTTCATGTATTTCATCTTGTTAAGTATCCATGTTGTCAAGGATTCAACAGTATGCTCCTGAGTAAGGAAATTCAACTCTTCATATGTAGTAAATACATGATCAGTCAAAATTTTAAACACATCTTCATATTTTCCTTGTGAAAGATAGGCCATCAATCCATGGTTGCATGCCTCATAAAGATCTGTCTTGTTTTGAGCTTTTTGAATAGCTTCCATGAATAGAGAGGTTGCCAATTCTATATTTACAGAATAGTTACAATTACCAACAATTAGTAAACTCTCAAAAGCCAACTTATAAGTTTCTTCACTCCAACAGTCTGGTTCGTGTTCTAGAATTTGCCTTGCAATATAAACAAAGCCAATGGCTTTATCTGTAGATGATGTTTCCAAAGCCTTCTTTGCAGCTCTATTATTGAGGTCAATGAGTAATCTTCTCTCATCTCTATTCTCCAAGAAAGCAGGATCATTATGTTTGTGATTTAACTGTACAACTATATCAAATAAACGTTCCTCCAAAGAATCATCTTCTTCTGCTTTTTTGAGAAGCTGCTTACCATAGGTATAGTGAATTCTCAACCTTTCATTCAAAGGCAGTGATTCATAAGCAGCTTGTTGGAGTCTATCATGATTAAATCGTAAATTACCAGAATTGATATTTGAAATCCATCCCTCCTTCACCGCATAGTTCAATCTTTCTTTAAGTTGCATCAAGTCTATCTTTTCTTCTTGTTGCTGATTGAGTAGGTGGAGCATGTCTTCATTGGAAAACTTATTTCCAAAGCAAGAAGCAAATGCAAGAATATCTTGTGTTTGTTTTGGTAATTTTTCCAAATGTCCAAGGAGATAGTCAATAACATTTTCAGAGTATTCTGCATTTTCTATTTTCTTTTTATCCCATGTAATAGTATCTGTTTGAGTATCGAAATAAATAGATCCGTCCTTAAATAAACCAGCCAATAACTGCTTTAAAAAGAAGGGGTTTCCATTCGTCCTAGAGAAGAGTATTTTGGTTAGTTCTTCTGTTTCAGCTCTATTTTTCCTTAAAGACTCTGAGACAATCATGTTAGATTGATCTTCTGTCAACTCAACAACTTCAATTTCTTCAATGTTCACTTTAAGTTTGAGATTTTCTAAAAAGTAAAATAGAGGATGGTCCTTTCCCACTTCGTTATTTCTATATGCTCCAATAATTAAAAGAGGAACAGTATCACAAGAACCAGTTCCAAGAATTTCCTTCAATAGCTTCATGCTATCAAAATCAGTCCATTGCAAGTCATCCAAGAAAATGCATAACCTCTTTTTCTTTAAATGAGTATAAACACTAAAGAGATGAATAACTGAGCAATATAATATTGTTATAATGTTAAATTCAAAATATTACTTACTTCCTTGTGAAAAGAGCTTCATACGCTCTCCATTCTGATCTCCCATTGATGGGGAGGTATGCTTTTTGGTTGCATTAGTTGTAAATAAATATGACATGTCAGGAATTGCATCACTCAACATTTCTAATTGATCTGAATTGATAAGTGTACCAAGTTGGAATCTGAAATCCTTAATCACTGATTCAGATTCTCCAAGAACGTCGCCAATAATTTGTTTACATATGGAAATAATGGCATAGTAAGGTACATTCATATGTTGATCGTATTTTGCCTCAAAGAATTGTATTGCTGTTTTACTTCTTGTCCTAAACTCCTTAACAATACATGATTTACCTATGCCACTATAGCCCCCCAGAAGGACAATCGTTGGCTCACTAGATTCCATCATATTTTCAAGTTTCAGTTCCAATTTTTTGAAAATTTCCTCTCTACCATATACACCATAAGGTATGGATAAAGTTGTTTGAACATCATTCATACCAGCTTGAAAATTTTCAAGAGCTTCCATATCTTCTAGTTGAATAGCATTCTGTATGTAGACCAAATCTCGTTTCAATCCAAAAATACTCAAATAACGTTTCTCAATAGATTTTTGAATTGCTTTGGTAATTAGTCTTGAAATTGCTTTAGTAGCAGCTGTGAATAGGTTTCCTTCATTGGCTGATATAAAAGACCTTCTCGCTAGATTTTGAAACAAGGACTCTGGCTGTTGAGTCAAATGTTGAAATACGAAATCTAATGTCCTAAACTTGGTAAATGGATGTTCTTTGGAAAATAACTCAAAGAGAACAAATCCAAGTGAATATATATCAGTGTGGAAACCTATTGGTTTTGGAATCTTTCCTGTTGCCTCTGGAGCACAATACATTTGACTACCAATAATTTTATCGGTATATAAAAATGGATGCTCCAAAGGGAGGAATGTACTCTTTCCAAAATCAATCAATCTTATATTGCATTTAGGTCCTTCTACAATTATATTTTCTGGCCTAATGTCAGCATGACAAACTCTTGAGTGATGCAGTTGAGCAACACTCATACAAATAGAAATAGCAAGTGTTAAATTACTTTCCAATATTGTAATGTTTTCTTTCACTCGTTGTTCTTCATTGAGAAGTGTTACAGTATCATCTGTTAAGGTTTCAAAATTCTCATCAGTAATTGGTTCTGCTCTAGCATATGTTTTCGATCTATCAATAAATGATCTCAACGAAACACAATCAATAAACTCCCTCACGAGAATAAAATAATCAGACAAATAGGCCTTAGTACTGACAATAACCTGTTGTGCTGGATCCAACACTTGAGAAAATTCATTGGTCAAGAATCGAGAAATTTCTGCATCCCTTTCCAGCTTTGGAATGGATGGTTTGTCCAGTGAAACTTTCAGACAATAAATCTCATTCTCTATTAATTCTTTTTGAGAGGAAGGTCTCTCCCTTCTTGGAGAATTCCTAGTTTGTTGTGGTGTGTATCGACAAATAATCGTTAGAGATGACTTCTTTTCATAATGAAGAATTGGAGAGAAGGAGGTTAGTGATAAGGGATGTTCTCCCCAATAATGTTCTGAATAGTAATTGAATGATGCATGAGGTGGCACGCATGGAGTAAAGAATGGAGGGAGAACATTTTCTAGGGATTTTAGAGTTGAGTGAAAACCATCAGAGGGTGAGGAAGATGTGGTTAGATGATGGTGATTATTCAAGAGTGAATAGGAGGAGCTATCCATTGAAGTATTGGAGGAGCTTCTCGAAATGGTTCCACCACCATGTGATTCACTTGAAGAATTAAATAATGTTGATGAAGTTAGCAGTAAGTTAGTCGATGCATTGGCATGAATATTGGCCAGTGAAAGTGGTGTAATAGATGAAGGAAATTTGTATTGTTGTTCTTCTCCGAGACCCTTGTTAATATGATGAGGCCTTTGATGATGTGAGGAGTGGTTAAATTGTGTTGGTTTAGCTTCAGATGATGTCTTGATTCCATCTTCATTAACAGTAGATTGATTATTCTCCACCATCTCTTCGTCCTTCATTCTTTTCGAATATAATGTTGTGAATGGCTGTTGCGGAATGTAAGAGGAACTTGTGGATTCTGAAACAAAATTTACAAAATCTTCTTTAAAAGCACTGCCTAATGATGAGGAAGCCTTGTTCTTCTTGTTGATGATATTGTCTGTTCTTTTTTCATGATGAAAATTGTCGCCTTGTTTGTTAGATGCATACGACTTCTGAATTAGTCAAATCGCCCAAATGGCACGTTAATTTACATGTTTGATGATAACTTACGTTGTGATCCATTGTTGATGTTGCCTTCTTATCAGTAAGCAGTAGGAGAATTGGTTCCGATTTGATATCGGAAGGAAGATGTTGTTGCGACATTGGATTACAGGTATCCTCTTCGACTGCTTCCTTCTCTTCGAATTTAAGACAATCAAAGCTACAACCTCCACTGCAACTTTCTATTGTTAATAATTGAAGAATATCATTCACATCATCATCCAACAGTGGTTGTGGTTGTTGCATTAAATTTGTCCCTTCAAGATGCTGCTTACCATTGTTGTGATTATTACATTTACAGTTAGAGGGATTCTGAATCACAAGATCCTCCTCTTTTTCATCACCACTTCGCTCAGATTTATTGTTCAACATTGATTTTAAAAATAGTAATTGAATAAAAACAATATTATTTTAATCCTCTACAATGATTGAGATCAATTTATTTGTTTTTTTATCACTTGATGGATTCTTAAGAGGTTCATTGCATGTGGTAAATAGATCAGATAATAATGAACGAACAGATATGTGAGTAAGTCGGAATGCACTTTAAAGGACTTTCATTTTTCCTGGGTAAAAGGAGCCAAAATTCAACAAATGTTTTTTTGGAAAGAAAATTTTCATTTAGGAATGTGGTAAAACTGCCTCATTTGCGAATAGATTACTTTTCAGAGCTGTAGTCAAACTTACTTTCTCTTACTTATAGTGAACAAGACAAGAACTTTTTGCAGAACCACGAAAGAAAAAAATGAGTAAACGAAAGCAGCAGAAACTTCACAGTCAAGCTATTGATACTGCTTTGAGACGCAGAATTACACCATGCAAAAAACAAATACTAATTCTAGGAGCATGTTCAAGTGGAAAGTCAACCTTTCGACATGGAATTTATCATCTATCGAAAGAAACTAATAGCATGATGAATGCGGAAGAAAGAGAATTGCATATTCGAAAGTATGTCATTCGATGTTTGGACATCTGTTGGCAAACATTCAAAATAGTCGATTTTAAATTCAGTAATTTAAATGAGGAAATTAAAAAAGCTAGGAAAAGTGGAGTTTTCACATCAAGCATGATCGAATTTATGAAATATTTAACAATGCTAAAGAGTGAGGAATTGGAATTCATTTCACATCATTTCAGATATATGGAAAATATTCGATACTTTTTTTCTGAGAATTTCATTGCCAAATTACAAGCAATCAATGCAGATTTTACAATTCATGATCTTTTACAAACTAAAATACCTCATTCCAAGTCATCAATTTATGAATTTTCATTTGAAACAAGTAAACTAATTGATCCTAGTCCACAAAGAAATGAGAAACGAAAGTGGATTTCTCATTTTGACAATACCATGACACGAGTAATTTATTTAATTTCCCTTGCAGATTACAATTTAACAGACTCAATTTCTGGAGCTAATTGTCTTTGGTTGGCTTTACAAAATTTTAGTGAATTTGTAAATTATTCAGAATATATACCAGCGGATGTTTCAATAGTTTTTACCAAGCTTGATCTCTTTAAGGAAAAATTGGAAAAGTATCCCTTCTCTGATTATTTCACAGAATATACAGGACCAAATGATTCTGAAACTATTCTGACATTTCTCCTCTCTCAGAATACAGACCTTACTCAATTTAATATTGGAAACATGTTATCAATGAATAACATTGATAATATAAATTATTTAGCACAGGAAAATGAGAACGTACCAAGATTTGTTCTGTAATCAAAGATATTCTGCATGTATTTAATATTTAATCAGTATTTAGTTCTCCACTATACATAATAAATGTATGTATCACAATATTCGAAAGTATTGTAATCAAGCTTGTCAGCCCATCAAACAATTATAATAAAAAATGTCTCAACATACTGTGGATGACATGACACATTTAACATTTCATTCGATAGGAGAAGAACAACAAACACCACTCCTATCAACTCTGTTTAATTTATTTGGAGATTTTGATACGGAACAATATCAACCATTATATTCAGGAGATTCCTCTAATTCATCTATTCTAAACCCTTTCGGATTTAAACCAGTACCATCACAAACACCTGCAGATATTGTTGCTTTTTCTGTTGGTTGTTTCATGATTTTGTGTAATTTCGTTGCTATGGCTTTGGTTTTTACCAAGTACAAGAAGATTGCTGTCCGTTCGAAACATCCCTTTCTAATGGCAAAAACTTTATTCTTCAATGCAGTCATGTTTATTGGATATTGTGTAGGTATTTCATATTTTTCAGTATTAGAAATGATACATTCTTAATCTTTCGAATTTTACAGTTCAATAATGGATTACTCGCAAATTCAACAAAGGGATTGTGTGTGACATTTTCAATTTGGTTTTTCAATATTGGATTTGTAAGTATTTTCTTCGCAATGGATTATTCTAAAAAATTGAAATAGTTTGGTTGGATTTGCACATTGCTCACAAGACAACTCATTGTCTTGATTGGATTTAAAACAAAGAGAAAACTCAAATATATTAACATGGTTTTCATTGTGCTCTTGCTGATTCCTGTAATAATTTACTGTATTATTGCGAGTGCAATTGAGGAAATTTATATTAGCAATGACAAGTGTAGATATAGTGTCACTTCTGTTGCTGTCAATTTTTCATTTACAATTTTTTACTTGGTATTGATTGTTATTATGATTATTCTTAGTAGAAAGTAAGTGTTCACTAATAATTTATTTACAATATTCACTTTCTCCAGAGTACTTGAAGAGTTCAGTTCTGCAGCAACTGAAACCAGTGGACTCATTCTTATTGTAGCTAGTATTATTATTGCCTTACTGACATGGCTCTTATCACTTCACAGAATAATTCCAATCAGAATTGTCATCTCCATGACACCAATATTTGTTGGCAGTTACTACTTTTGGTCCTACTATAGAGGAATAGTTTTCTCAATCCTCACTTGCTCCAGTGAAGAATACTTTATCAATTGGTTACAAAATCAGAATGCCATCACTGAGGAATCCTCAAAGGAAATTGAACAAGAATTAGAAATCTCCCTCAGCAAAATGCAAGTTATCAAATTGAGTACACTGAGCTCAAGTACCTTTGCTGGTCTTCATATACAAGATTTATCTGACGAAATAGATGATCAACCACTCTACTCGAGACATAATCACCCTGAACATCAAAACTAAGCTGTTTAGGCAATAAGCTTTGCTTAGCTGTTCCTATATTATAGGGAACCAAGATTAGATATGAAAATGAGATCAAGCTCTAGATAGTTATTCCAACAAAAGTGTAGTGAACCAAGAAGTCCTATCATGAAATGTCATTGAGGATGACAATTGAAATTATATCCTTAATAATGCTCACATTAATATTAAACAATTAACAATTACCTAACTCACATCATTATGATAATGTATTTATAAACACGTTATATTTCAAAAACGAATCATTCCGAACCATATCATGCAGATCTTGATCTCCATGTTCATCATCACCATCATCAAATATTTTATTATTATCTGTTATGCATTTCTGAGCAACTTCAACAAATGTTATTGCAGAAATAAATTTGAACGTTTTTTCGTCTTTAAAAAAATACAACAATAACCAAAATGTCTGACGCTGAAATTACTTCAAACAAGATTCGTGAACAAGTTGAATTCTACTTTAGTGATAGTAATCTTCCAAAGGATAAATTTTTGAGAAGTCTCGTTGCTAACAATCCTGAAGGATGTAAGTGTTTTATATTGTCAATATTGATTAACCGATATCCCATACATTGATATTATTGTTGATGATGATGATAATTTGATAATGATGATGATGAATAGATGTTGAACTTAAGACTATTGCTTCCTTTAATAGAATGAAACAAATTTCTACTGATATGGATCTTATTGTTTCTGCTTTGAAGAAGAGTTCCATGTTGGAAATTGATGCTGAAGGAAAGTTGGTTAGAAGAATCACTGCTCTTCCAGAAGTTGATACTAGCAATGCTCGTACTTTATATGCTAAGGGATTCCCACTCGATGAAAGTGTTGCTAATCTCGATTCAATCAAGGCTCTTTTTGAACCTTTTGGTAAAGTTGTCTGTGTTAGAGCCAGAAGAGAAAAGAATGGTACATTCAAGGGATCTGCTTTCATTGAATTCGATTCTGAATCTACTGTTAATGAATTGGCTGGAAAGTCTGACTTCAAGTTTGGAGAATCTGTTCTCCTCTTGGAAACCAAGCAACAACATTTTGATAGAAAGAGAAAGGAACGTGAAGAAAGTAAGCAAAAGAAGAATCAAGAAAAGAAGCAAGAAGATGTTTCTAATATGCAAACTGAATTGAAGCAAAACTTTTTCTTGCACATTCAAGGAATTGAAGGTGACGAAAAGTTCGGATTTGCTGATTTCTCCAAGAAATTGCCATACAACAAGAAGAATGGTTTGAAGTTTATTGATTTCCCACTCGATGGTGATAAGACCAAGGCTATTCTTCGATTGGAATCAAAGGAAGTTTTCGATTCTCTTAAACAACAATTCGATGAAGGAAAGATTGAACTTCCAGGTAAAGCTGTTGCTTCGGAAATGGCTCCAGAAGATTTGGAAAAGTATATTGCTAAGACCTGTGAAGCTAAGTTTGCTGAAAGCAATAAGAATAAGAGAAAGGGCTTTGGTGGACGTGGTGGTAAGCCTCATTGGAACAAGAAGAAGAAGACTAAGACTGAATAAATATTCAGAGAACCAGCACTAATTTATTATTCACCTCCTAGGATATTAGAGTCAGTTGCGATATTTTCTCAAGATCAAGACGATGATGACCCAAGCACGATAATTCAACCATAATTTAATAATATATAAATATTTAATAATTATTATTTAATTTTATTATTTAAAGTATTAAAATTATCAAACAACAATTGTTTACACAACAGAAACAAAACTAAGATAAAAAAATGTTAACAGATATTCACTCAATATTTGGTTATGTCATTTCGAGATACTTGTTTGAGAGGAATTTTGTATCGGATAAAGGGAAGAGATTTCGAATGATTCCTGAGAGTCCAATGGTCAAACACAGTGAACATTTGAAACACACCTCCGATCAACAACAATTTCTCTACTTGATTGGAAAATCACTTGTGGATGGAGGAGTAATGGCTGCTAATGGGTATGTTTGATGATCATCAATTTAATTTATAATATTATTATTATTATCATCAATATTATTATTTAAATTTACTATTAATTGTTATTTAAATATTGTTATCGGATAATGATGACAATGGAATGTATTGCCTTGATTGGAAAATAATGATCCAAATATTATAATTGAAACTCTATAGAGCAAGTAAATTAATGATGGGAAAGGATAAGATACAATTATTGAGAAAAACATCACTCAAACAATTCTTTAAAGTGTTGAGCACGAATATGTTTAAATTTCTGAGGAGAATTAAACGATTCTTCTCCCATTTGACTTTTGAACAAAAGTATTACGTAGTTGGAATGATTTTGGCTAATTTACCTGATGTAGATATTGCATTATTCATCATTTCGTTTTTCTTGTCATTCTTCAAGGGATTTTCGAGAATGATTGACAGAATTCATAGATTGTGGGAGCTTTTTATTTCATTAACAAATAAGAAACAGGAGGAATCTTCTGGTGGTGGAATGACTTCAAGTTTCAGTAGTTCTTCACTTAATGCAGCACAGACTCCTGCTGGTAGCTCTAGTAATTTATCTCAATATGATTCTGATTCTGAGGATACTCAACCAACAGTTACTAACGCAAGAAGAAATTGGAAAGCCATGCTTGAAAGACGTGACAAGAATAGTCTTACATTTAGGCGAACTATTTCACATTCTCTGCCTATTAATTTATTATTATCCCCACTCATTGGTTTTGGAGTTCAGAAAGTGTTGGGCTTGCATGGATTTAACAGCTTTACACATTGTACAACATTATCTGCATGTTGCTTGAGTTCTCATTTATTGTTGGATTTCATGACTAATTTTGGTACTGCACTCTTGTATCCAATTTCATCAGAATTATATTCATTTGGTATTGTAACGAGTTGGGACTTTACACTCATTGTATTTTTCTATTCTTGGTTGACTGCCAGTAGATTGAATAGATGGAAACAAAGCAATGTTTTCTGGATTGGTCTATTCTGTTTGGGACTCATTTTCATTTGGAAGAGAGCCATGATGTCAGAAGTTTATAGTCGTTATTATTTTTTCATGGAAGCTCAAAAGAGAAAACATACAAAGAGTATTCAAAATGCTCCTTCAATTTGGTTACAACCTTCAAACTTTTTCAATGGACAATATACTGTCATGAAGTATGATCCAAAAACAGATTTAGTTTCAGAGTTAAAAACAGTTCAGGCAACAAAATACATTTCCTTGATTAATTGGATTTTGACAGCATTTGGATTTAGTGTAAGCGATGTGAGGCAAATTCAGATCAATGACAAGTTGGGAAAATTCAAGGGTCAAATTGCTCCTAGACAATTCCTTATGGTGATTTATTCTAATCTTAAGAATAGAAAAGTTCTTTATGAAATGATCAAATCAAGTACACCTTCGCTGATATTTATTATTTCCTACATTATGTACTTGATTGTATCAGATGATTAGATAATGGCGCTTTCAGAGATTAATTTCTTTTGAATTAACTTTCTAGCCAAATTGAGTGCTGTTGGAGTGATTCGGTTGAGCTTGATTCTTTGTGAATTTACAAGAATCTCACTATGGAGAGCCATTGAATTAATATTTTCCAATAATTGAGAAAGTATATTTTGGAATTCAGCAGAGTTTGTTAAAGCGAGCCATGGAGACTCACTATCTGGATTAAGGATGCATCTTATTAACTCATCATTTGCCAAAATTATTTGAACTAGGGCTATGGTAATTAATGATTGATATTCCGCTTTTTGGTAGGAGTCTTCTTCAAAGTGTGGCAAACCTGAAATGTTGCCATGTATGGCTTGTTCGGCAATGGCAATAAAATTAATCGGATTGCTTGCTAATATTTGATGGATAATAGTTTTTAAAATTTTGGGAATATCTTGGTGGATGGTGTTAATTTGAGGATTTGGAATTGTTGCGGTAGAGATGTGTTCTATTTTCTTAATGAATGAAATGTAGTGGATGAAAAGGGATTTAAGTAATTGTTGGAAAAAGTCGAACCATTTCTCTACCCAATTCCTGAGTGTTCAGTAAGGAACTTATTCTCCCAAATACAAGTTCTATTATTTTGGACAATCTATTGGTGTCTGTGGTATTTGAGAATTTGGTTTCATCTAGATAATCAAGAATTGTTTGGGAATGGATTGATATCTGAGATGGCAGCTGTTCAATTGTTTTTTCTTTCAATTCAAAGAATGGATCCAAATATTTCGAAGCTGTTGGACTAATAAATAGTGAAATCAACATGTCTGAAATCAATAAACCTCCAAAATTGCAATCAATTTTGTTCAACATTGTGTTCAGTAAGGCAAGAGGAGTTTCCTTTACCAAAAACTTTAAACCAAAATTATAATCCCTTTCCAAATCTGATACAATTTCCTTGAGTGTTTCCTTTGAATTATATAAAAGTTCTTCCTTGTTTGTTTGAGAGTTTGAAAAGTAATTGAAAATCCAAGTCTCCAAATTTGATACATGTAATCCTAGATGTCTTGTAATATTAAGTTTGAGTATTTCGTTTTCTGTTATGAAATTTCTGAACAACTGTTTCAGTTCCCTAGTTGAAGTATCTCTCTTTGGTATCCAGGTTAGAGAAATGGAAACTAGTGAAAATAATCCTTCCAAAATCTTTGAGGTAAACAAAACTGGCCAAGGATGCAGATGTGATATTGGTATAAGGCAAGATTTTGAAAATTGAGAAAGGGTATTTTTCAAAACCTTGATATTCGAATCAAAATCTTGGGAGAATACAGAGAGTGAATATGTTCCCAAATAATAAATAATTGGATCTAGATGCTCGGTAAATATTACGAAATCATAGAGGCATTTTCTCGAATGTTCTTGACTTGATTGCATAGCTTGTAGCCATGATTTAAATAGCCAAAATTGGTCTTGGTTGGAAAATTGGTCATTCGTACTGAATTTTGGAATCAAGCCAATCAGGGATTGTATCATTATAGAATGATGCTCGCATTCCCTTTCAAAAGACAATGCCTGTGAAAACAATGTTGAAAGCATGAACGGTAATGAGTTTTGGGACATTTTGGATGAGAGTAGGGTATTATATTGAAGGAATTGATTCTTATAGTAGGAAGATAATACCTTGTGGCACATTTCATCCTGGATATTTAACTCGAAATATGTCCACTCATCAAAGTCAAGTAATTGAATTCCATTAAATAGATTATCAATAAATTCATTATTAAAGGATGAGTGTATGCTTTCTAAATGATTTTTCACTTGCTTGAATTTAGACTCATCTTGCTTGGTCAAATTTGAAAATTGTTGGACCTTCTCACTCTTTCTTGATGAAATATCCACCTGAGAAAATAGTAAAGAGTATCTTGAGCTAATCCAAAAGTATAATCTTTGCATTTTGGCTGGAATAAAGCAAAAGAACTCATTATCTCTAGGTTGAGAGGAAGTAAAGTGCTCGACTATAGATCTTTGGAAGGTCTCTTCAAGAATATTATGTGAAATACAATCAATTACATTGATGGATTCACCAAAATCAGAGTTATAGTTTTGAAAATGGTGGCACAATTCTAAACAGGAGACTATCAACTTGGCAAATATAATTGATTCAACAAAATTCTTTGGCTTGATTTCATCCCAAATGAAAAAGCAGGCTTTAATCAAAGCCATTCTTTCTTCAAGTCCATTTGCTAATACTTTGTGGGAGGATTGATCTTTTCCTTTGTTGGTCAATTCTATAAATTCTTGAATAATTGTAACTTCATTAGTAGAAACAGTAATTAATGATGACAATAGCACTGACATTGTAAATATCAAATCAGAGTTAGAGTCTTTGGTATTGATATTTTTCAGCAGTTTCAGTATTCTATCTTTGATCAAAGAACTAACATTAGCCAAAGGCATCAGAACTGAAACTTTGAATAGCACTATCCAATCGAGATGGTTTTGCTTTCTTTGACTTGACGAGGTTTCAGATATTTGAGAATTTCCATCACTCAAAATAGTAACAAGTAATCCCTCGTGTTGGCTAAATGATCCCATTACCATACAACATTCATAAAATGATTGAAGTACTATTTCCACCAGTTTGCTTTGAGTAGAGTTCCTCACTTTCACATCAAATGTTTCTGATTTTAAAATATTAGTAACAGCTGTAATAGCTGTGTGGCATTCAAAAAAGAGTGCCAAGAGTGAATCAATGTTAGTTGATTGTTTCTTGATTTGATTTTCAATTTCAGAAACAACTCGTAACAAACATCCCTCCACTAATGAAACTTTGAGATGGAGTGTTGAAGAAGCGCTTTCCACACCTTGGCTATCCTCTTTTGGATCTGCAATTTGTATCATATCCTTTGGAATTAGCTTTCTATTGACCAATGATGAAATGAGAGCTGACTTGAGTTTCTCAAATTTTGTTCTCATTACTCCATCATGACTGTCCCTTAGTGTGAAGGAGAGAAGTTGGGGAACAATCACATTGCACCATTTGGTCTTTTTCATGACTGGATAGTAGGAGAGGGGAAGAATTGAGGACTTGGATGATGTGTTATAGGCATTCTCTCCATATTTTTCATACTCCAATAATATTGTTTTTAATTCCTCATAGTCGGAGTCAGCTGTTGAGTCTTGATCGGTTTCAGTTTCAGATTGTTGTGCCTTCTTAATCTTATTCAATAAGGTACTCACTAATTCATACCTAGAATTTACAAGGTTATTTAAAACCTTTTGATACAATGTCAACAGAAGGCTATTCTCTAGTGGAATAATATACTCTATCAATTTAGTCACAAAGGACGCCTGCCTCGTATTTCTTTCAATTCCAGTATTGGTTCCACCTGAAGAAAGGTATACGAAAAAGTTGTCCTTCATCCACTGATCAATGGTTGAAAGATGTAGGTTACCATTGGAGACAGCATTTTTAGGTTTCATTGTTTTTGGGATTGGAAAGATATTCCTTCCAATAATTAGGCAATTTACACATCCAGGAATGTCCTCTCTATTGATATATTCCAAAACTAATTCATCCAATAATTTAAGAATAGTATTCTCTTGTAGTTTTAACAACTTGTTAACAAAATGTGTCATGACTACAAAATCAAGATTCTGAAAGGAGAATAACTCTCGCAAAATGTCACACATTTGCTCATTAAAATTCTCCAAATTATCCATATTCCATTGAAATACCTCTTCTAAGATCTTGTCAGATCCTGGTTCTACAGTCAAGTAGATTGGCTCCTTGTTCTTTTTAAATATTTCCTCTGTTGATAATTTGTCTGAAACTTGGAATAAATTATAAAACTCGCTAATTACAAAAGATTGAAATAGAGGCTTGTCAATAATCTTCTTTCCAGATTTTAACAGTGTCATGTATGATTTCAGCGGTAAAGGATTGGATAAATTATTAGAGAGGTTTTCCCATATCATTAGAGGTGAATTCTCCCCTTGTCTAACTTTCCTGAAATTCGAAATAAATCTCAGTAATTTTGATGTGTCTCGTTTCTTATCATAGAATGTTATAAACCAAATACACTGATATGAAACATTCTCAAAGTGTTGAACAATATTTGGATTGCTCTCAAAGTTATGATTTTCCAATATTGTCCTATGTGCCAAATTATCTATAAAGTAGTCGGAGCATGTCATTATAAAATTAGGTATTGAAATAGTTTGAGATTCTTGTAGAAGTGACAGAGTTGTAATGTGCAATGTGAGAGTATCTTCACTTGTCACATTAAACAACCTTTGAATCCCCTTTGAAGTAAATTGTAGAAATTCCGTGCTGGACAGCATGTGTATCCACACATTTCTATCTGCCAACTTGTTAATAAATTCACAGTTTAAAAACTTGAAGAATCTATTAAAATAATACTCGATAATATTGCTATTAGAATTTACAAAAGCCAAAATGCTCTTCAATCCAATTTCTATTAATCTGTCTCTAATCACAGCCTCACTTTTACTCCTCAAAAAACAAAGGAAAATCTCCTGTGAAAGATAAATATGATATACAATAAATTGATTCATTAAATTGGCTTCATCCCGATACTGATCAGAATGCACAATATACTTTTCAATTTTCTCTCTAAATATTTCCAATGAATTCTCACATTTCGACAAGTCGGCTAATAAACCAATCGTCACTAGATTAAATAAACTCTGTACTTCTGATGAAGCTGATGATGATGTATTCTTCTTTTCCGAATAAATTCCATGCAATGTATCCATAATAAAAAAGGCTGATGAAGTATTTTCCTGTTGTTTAATCTTTTTCCGTCTCTCCTTCTGACTCCTAATCATTTCCATCATTCGGGAATTGGACGATGAAAGAGAATTTTGCTGATGATGATCAAAATTTCCTCCCGAATTTGATGAAGATGATGATGGGAGTTTTCGTTTCATTTTTTTTACTCTTAATTTCCAATCAATGCTGGAAATTGAGAAAAAACTTTAAGTGACAGTGTTTATTATTGTAAAAAGTCAAGGTATTTGTTCTTGAACGCCATTTACTTTTTCTTTACAGACTTCTTTTTGGAAGTCTTCTTCTTATCTGATTCTTCATCTGATTCAGTACCATCTTTCTTTCTCTTTACAGACTTCTTTTTAGTCTTCTTCTTTTCAGATTCTTCACCAGGAAAATAAATCCTTTCTCCCATGATTTCTGTTGCCTTGTTACAGTATTCACGAAGGGATGTACAACAATTTTCAGGATTAAAATCACAATGTCTAAGACGTTCTCTCCTTTGTGGAGGGACTAAAACATCAGCCAATTCACCTCTGAATGGAGCAATATTTTCTTTTAGTAATGCCTCTGCAAGAGTCAGTTTCTTTAAAGGTTTACTACCTGAGCCCAAAGATGATAAGGGATTTGAAAGTGGTTCTAACATGGTGTTCATGTTTGCTATTTTATCGGAAAGTAACACATATTGTTGTTTGAGGTTTGCATTAGATTGCTTTAAAAGAGCATTCTCCATAAGAAGATCATTGTTTGGGAGTTTAGCTTCCAGTTCTTTGATTCTGTCTTTCAATGTTTCTATTACTAATTCATTGTTTGATTGAGTAGATAGTAGGAATTTCTGTATGTCTTCCATGATCTATAATAGCACCTGGCGATTTTAAATTGTAATGTGGCTTCTTGTGATAATTTGTTGAGAATTGTAGTTAAACGAAGCCTTCTTTCTATTAGTGAAGATTGTATGATGATAGTAATGAAGCCTTCTTTGAATCAGTGAAATAATGAAAGATTGTGTGATTGTTAATTAGCCTTCTTTCGAGTAGTGAGGTGGACGAAATGATTTCAAAGACTGAATTGACAAGTTGATAATGCAAGACTTTAGCCTTGATTGGATTCCTTACAAGCTGTGTTGACAAACCGAGTTGAGGTATTTTTTTTGTTGTTTCAGTTTCCCTCTCGATTTCTTTACAATCCATTCTTAACTCGAGTGATGAGGCAAAAACAATAAATATCGGAACAAGTATTTTACAATACTAATATGATCCATTGTTTACGTGTTTTAGATGAAGATTTCAATTTTATCAATATATAGCCACTACTGAGAAACCATGAATATTCTGACATTCTCTTAAGAAAAGGCTCCTGAAGATCCACTTCATTGTTTATTGGAAATGGAATTAAGACAGTTTCACAATTCGTCTATGTCAGAACAATTGTCTTTCCACACGCAACACATCCTTATTCTTATTGGAAAAATTGTAAATATTCAGTTCAATAAAAAATTAGTTTAGTTAAATGACTGGAATTTCATCCTCGCTATGTGAGTATTTCATACCAAAATCCACATGGCAATACGTTCTTGCGTAGTCGCAAATGACTTTCATTAGATTATTACTTGTAGAGGCAAGTGGGAAACCTTTCTCTTCTTCTCCTGTAAAAATTTCAATCAGAGATGTATAGAATAAACCCATCTCCTTTTTCATATTGATAGAAAAGAGGAAGGTCTTTTTCAAAAATCCTGCAATTCTACTAAATCTCACTTCCATAACTCTAATTCTGTTATTGTCAACTTTGGTTATATATCTGGCACCGATTGAGATGAAACGTGAGGAATCCGAGTCCTTTGAATTATTGCCTTTCAAGATGTTACATGACTTGAAACAAAAGCATGACTCGACTAGCTCTGTAGTGGATTCATTACCAATGAATTTGGTCTTTCCTGAAATTACCAATTCCATTGATTGTTTCTTGTGTAGACCACTTGTTTCATTCACACAAGACATGAGCGCAGTTGGAAACTTTTCGAGAGAGCTTGACATGCTTGGCTTACTATACTCATGCCACACAACTCTGTTATTGTAAATCTTTTCTAGTGATACATCGTGACTCAGTGCTCTTGTTGCATTCTCAATCGAACAGTCAAAATAGCCAACAAACTTGGTCAACCTCATATCAGAAATGTTGCTATAGTTTTCGTTAGATGTCCATGCAGAGACAAGTGGAAGATTCTTGCTTACAATTTTCCAATCTGGAGTATATTCACAAAGTCTATCTAAAAACTTCCAATCCTTCTCAATGACATACTTGAGAGCGAAATCCTCCTCACTGAGTGTGTGATCTGTTTTCAATCCCTTGAGGCATTCCTTTCTCTTCTTCATTGCATTCAGTGAGTGGAATGGGAGTAAGCATTTATCTAGAGCTTCATTATACCACGATCTGATAAACTTTACCTGCTTATCGTGGAATACAGCAAGAATATCATCCATTTCAGTGAGGAACATGTCGGTCAAAATTCTAATATCGTTAGAAAGCTTTTCTCCAAGGTTTTCTTCAATGATGAGGATCTTTTCGAGGGTCTTTACTGATTCCTTCCTCACCAATGAAGAATTGAACAGGGAGAGACTTGAATCTTCAGTAGATTGCAAAAGTGATGTCAAATTAGTGGAATTTCTCCTAGAGTTATTAAATGTATTGTTGATTCTCTCAGAGTCAACAACTGATCGTTTGATCTTGGTATTCAAAAGTGTATTCAATTTGTTCTCGTTATTATCACATTTGGTCAATTCTAACCAAATACCAATAATAAAATCTCTCAACCTCTCATGTTGAAAACAAGGTGAGAGTTTGTTTTGCTCCATTGCATTGGCCAACTCGTTGATATTATTATCTAGGGATGATTTCAATAGGGCTGTAGTTGTGAGTGGTGAACCGCTGCCCATATCTTCAGAGCTGGGATCTCTACTCAAGGCTCCGGTCAGTAAATTGCCACTTCCACTCTTCTTTTCACCCACTGAAACAGTACTCAACCCAGTGGAGGTTGTCATTCGAATGGATTTTCTTGAGGAGGAAGAACCATTTGATTCTTGACTCCTAATATATCCAAACTTTTCATGTGAAAAACTGAGAATATTTGAACAGAAATTATCAAGAGCCTCGACCACATCCCTCACACAATCAAATGTTCTCACTCTCCCATTGAGGGCATCGTAGAATTCATCCAAAAACTTGAGTTTGCTCACACATTCCATCACAAATTTCTGTTTCTTGACTTCAACTGAGTTTTTCTGATCTGCATGTTTGGAGGATGATGCCTTCTCATTCAACCAATTCATTGTTTCCATACTTTCGAATAATTTACTTCTCAATTTTTCCACATGTTGAAACCTTTCTCGTTGCTGTTTCGTCATGGTCCATCCACTTTCTCCATTACTTCCAGTTCCACTTCCCTTATTCGAAATAATTGAAGATGTTGTATGAGCTCCACTGCATGCAGAGTTTTGACTTGACAGTAATGAATTTCCAGAATTATTAAATGAATTTTCAATATTAGAAACGGCCAACAATTTGTTTTGTTGAATTTCTCCTTGTGGAGGTGTTGGTGGATTCATCGCTAGAACAATTGAAGAAATGGATGAGTTACAGTATCTAGCTGATTGTGGTCTTGGTTTTTGAGAAGTTGAACTTTCGAATAAATTGAGTTGACCAGAACCAGATGCTGACTGATTTGAAGAATTATTTGATAAACCTGATACATTCATAAATTGTTGATTATTCGAAAGTAAATTTGTGGAATTGGATTGATTAGTAACCAAAATCGGAGTAAATGAAGTATTCAATACAATCGCACTAACAGGTATTGAAATTTCGTATTGATTAATTTCATCATCATTATTCGAATCTCTAGCTTTACCTCTGTAGTCCACTTCATCTTCCTCAAATCTTGGTGAATGCATCATGTCTTGTATGTCTCCTCCATCAAGTGCATGTGTATTCGAAGTGGTCGGTAAATTCTGAATCATTGTATTCGAATGACTAGACGAAACTGAAGCCGACTGTTGTTGAGAACGAATCTTGGCAGGTGAAACAAATCCACCATCCTCATTGCTATTAGACCTCGATTCACTTGTGAAACCAAACATTTTTTAGTAAAAAGTGTTGACTGTAAATTTCAAAATCTCTGGAAAGGAGGGAAAATGTGTTGATGATGATTTCAAAATTAGGTAAATTGTGTTGGTGGAGTTGTTGTGGAATTTTGTGTTCTTTTTGTTTCGTCTACAATAGTTCTGTTTAGTTTATTGGTGGTTGTAGACAAAACTACAATGTTGTAGGAAATGATGATGATAAAAGAAAGTGCTGCAGATTCCTATTGCTCTTTTTTAAATAATTTAAAGTTTGCAACTCAATGAAACTATCCGAATGCATTATGCATCACTTCTATTAGCGGAATTGTTGAAAAGTCAACATTAAATCTGGATCAATGTGTCAATGTCGAGTTTTAAGGATTGTAAAAAAGGATGTTTTAGCAGTAATATGCAGTGGTTGCCTTATCTACCCTTTCGAATAGTTTCGTTTAATGTCTTGGCAAGTTGGGACCTTGTACTGAAATAGGCCGCAGTTGTAACTTCAGTGCGTTATTGTGTTGATTCTTGGGTATGATACAAGAAACATTCTCTGACTTTATTTAGTTGGAGTATAATTTGAGTATGCTTTGTATGAAGCAGGGTTCTGCAGTTTCGAATAGTTTATTGTAAACAAATTTTAAGGTTCATTAAGACGAAACGAGTGGTGATATAAACTTTCTTTTTGTCAAGGACTCCTTCCCCTAGCACCTTGCCTTTCGAATAAGATAAATAATTAACAAATTGCCTTTAGTGTAACATCGTACAAACTATTCTTTGTAAGTATCAAAATCATATTGTTTCATTGTAACCAAACCTTTGAATGGAAACAAATTTCATTAGTTTGGAAATTGCTTGCATTTGTAGTTTGTGCTAATTTGCAGATTTTCCCTCCAAATCTTTTTTTCCATTTAAAAAAAATGAACAATTTGCTTACACAAGGAAACACAAAATCTTTGGCCGCAGCACAGCAAGAAAATTGCGTCGGAATGGAAGATAAACAACAACTTCAAGGCTTTGATTCTGGTTGTATGATGATGAGTGATAAAAATTTGAATCAATTTACTTCTTCTGAAAATGTTTTAAATACTGATGAAAGAGTAAATGATGATAAATATTTGGTGATTGTATTGTTTGGAGTTTGTGGTTGTGGCAAATCGACGATTGGAGAGGCTTTGACTCAATATTTAAACGAATGTGGTGGAGAGTGTTGTTTCTTGGAGGGAGACAAATTTCATTCAAAGAGTAATGTGGAGAAAATGGCAAAGGGAATTCCATTGAATGATCAGGATAGACGACCTTGGTTATTGGCCATTCATTTACAAATTATGAATGAGATTAAACATTCGAATAGGAAGATTGTGGTGGTTTCTTGTAGTGCTTTGAAGAATATTTATAGAGAATTACTTGTGTTGGGTGACGCACAACTATGTGAAAATGAGGAGGAACTTCTGGATAAGCCAATTCAACACAATGTTAATTTGGATATCAACTGGCTATTTGTCAACTTGTCCATTTCTCAAAACGAAGCACAGGATAGATTAGAAAATCGTTCTGCACACTTTATGAATAGTAGTTTAATTCCTAGTCAATTCGAAACTCTTGAACTCACAATTAATCCAACAATTAAGAATGCCAAATTAGTAGTGGTAGATAACCAAGAAAAAGATGTTGCCAGTGTTGTTCAGCAAATAATTCAATTGACCAAACAATAATCAGGCCGTCTCTTATCTTGTCTGTAACACCATAAAATACATCAGTTGAATTGCAAACAAACTTCATGACAATAGAAGAACATTAGAAACTATTATCAACTGGTGGACATCACTTTAATTATTGGAGTTTTTGCATCCACGCAACCAATAATAGGAAGTACTCAGCAGAGAACTCTCTCACTTCAAAATAGGAACAATTACATTCTGATAATATCCTATTTCAATTTGACTGTCACTTTGAATGTAGGAACACCAACAACGAACCTATCCTTTATCTAATCGAAATGAATCATCCTCTCCCTTACTGTATACAACGATACGTCCATCTACAATTTAACAATGCAATAGAGCTCTGCATGCTAGATAATCTAATCGTGAATATTATTCCTGCTGTTGTGTGCATACATCCCTTAATACTTCCAACAACATTACATAATTTTTCCAAATGGCATGTAAATTAATACTCTGTCATTCAAGTAAATACAATACTCTTACCAGCATACAATGTTCTTTAGAACCTTAATCTTCTTCATCTGGCTCTTCTGAAAAAGTCCACAGCGTCAAGTTATCCCTCAACATTTGCAGTAACATCAAAATTTCACTGGTAACTTCCTCATCCAATTCATCAAATAAAGGAACAGCAGCGTTGAATGCTGATTTTGCAATTTCAACTGCTTTTTCCTGATCATTCATCACTTCATAGTAGAATACAGAGGCAGCAAGAGACGTCCTCAATCCAATAACATTAAGAGGAGATACCTTCTCCAACGAATCTCTACCATCCTCAAAACTCTGACAATACAACAACTTCCACTTGTCTTGTTCCCCATCAATAGCAAACAACATTTTGTAGTAATCTCCTTTAAGGTGGCAATAATATAAACGATCCTCATCATCCAATAAATCCCTCTTTAATATTTCATCTATTAATCCAATCATTTCCGTTGAATCATCAATAATTTCTTTTGCAATTTTGAATAAATAATCATCAATTAATTGTCTATGATGAGGAGAAGAAGAGGCATTCTGTTCTCGTTGTTGTAGAACTCTTATTGATCGATAGGAACATATCTTTGCAGGTATGGTTCTTTTAAAACAACCACCAATCCAATTTCTCTCCTCTTTGGTTGGGATCGGCAAATCGGAATCAAGAATTTCAATAATTGATTTTTTTGTAAATTTTATAAGATCTTTAATAATTATTTGCAAACCATTGTTTGGAGAATAACAAACCCTCAAATCGTTCTGCCTCATCAGACCAACGAATAAGATTTAATCTATCTAGCCTTGTTTTCATTTTTTTACTGTTGGTTTTCATCATGAACTTTGGAATTTGGCTCCTAGGAGCTCTAAAGGGATGGGGTATTATTTGTAAATTTCTTTGATATTTTTGATGAGCAGCCCTGCTAGCTCAGTCGGTAGAGCGTTGGACTTTTAATCCAACGGTCGTGGGTTCGAGCCCCACGTGGGGCGGTTGTAATTTTGTGTTTTAATATCAAGAAACATTCTGCACTTGTTTTCTTTTTTAAAGTGCTTTGGTTTTGTTAATACCATTTGGTAAATTAGTTTTATTGATTTAGTTGACAGGATTACTATTTGAAATTAGTCAAGTTCTGGATTTTATTTGAAGTTTTGATGAAGAAATTCAAAAATTGAAAAAGATGTTGTTTTTCTAACTGATTGGTAAGTGTTGAGTAATGCATCTGCAACTTGACCAAGACTTAACTCCTTCTCCACAATTAATGGAAGTATTTTTGTGTTGAAATCTTGTTCAATTTTCTCATCCTCAGGTGAAAAGAGATGAATAGTTAGAGAAGGTCTATTACATAAAGTAGCACTCAACCATTGAATGATTGTTTTCAATTGCTTATCACCTCCAAACATTCCACAGCCCCAGAATCCACTTGCAATAGGTTCGTTTTCTAATGTTGGTAAATCAGATGATGAATCTTTGAGGAAATCATTCTCTTTTGATGTGAAAGCACAGGTGGTTTTGAATATTTCTCTAAGAATGAATTCTTTTTGGAATTGGAAAATTCCCACTCCTTGCAGAGCATCCATAGCAATTAGTTGATTCTTTCTTACGTTCTCGATTACTGGTTGATTGTCTAGATAGGTCTCATAAGTCATACTCTTAATGTATCCTTTCAAATTTGAATATCTCTCAAATCCTGTGAACTTAATAGTTTCATGAACTTGCATTTGAGGGCAAATTAAAATGGATGCAAAAAGCTCTGGACATTCAACAAATAAAATCTCTTCTTGTGCAACTGCACCACCGAGCACATGTCCACCAATCATACAATTTGCAAAATCAACCATCAAGTGATTAAGATTATCTTGAATCTTTCCTTGTTTGAATAATAAAGGGCACATCTTTTGTTGACTCTTGCAAATTTCCTCTTCTATGAATCGCCTATAATTGTTCTTTAAAACCTTCCTTTCAAATAAAATTATTTCATCCAAAGAACTGCTTGTTGAGCTATCATTGTCTAATTTATACATCCTCTCAAAATAGTGAAATAATGACATTAGGAAATTTTGTGAAGCAACACTCCAGAATAATCCAAACTCGAAAACACCCATATTTTTCTTTGATACATCTCCTCTTTCTCTGAATAAACAACAAAATGCACAACTCATAATCGACCTGATCTGTCTCTTGGTCAATCTCACAACACCAGATGCATTCATCATCAAGACTGGAATTTTTCCACTTGGAAACTCTCTTTCCAAATCCAAAATCCACTGAGCAATCTTTGGAACAACCTTTTCCATAAATTCCTTCTCACTCATCAATGAATGTTCTTTTGCTTCCTTCTTGTCCGAAATATTCATCTTTTTATAAAGGAATGATAAATTTCTAAAGTGATAATCAGTTGATCTGGAAACTTCTTGAACACTACCATCATCGTCATCATCACGATTATTATTCATACAATCATCAACAATTTTCTGATCCAAATCCTTTACAAATTCAATCCAAGCTGCAATCGATCCAAACACTTTTTCTCTATTTGCAATTTTCTGTAAATTTTCAACGATGATTGGCCACTCCCGAGAATAACCATTCGGAAGAGTTGTTGTTGCTGCTGCTACTGATTGAGTGGAGACATCTGTGGAGGGAAGGTTGTTTGAAAGCATTTTTTTAAAGTTTGAAAATTGTAAATTAAGGAAGTTGGAACTAAGTTTGATTACTATTGATCTTCTTCTGACACTTGAAGGTCTAATTGACTTCTATTGAATGGTTTACAAAGTTAACTGGATCAAGATAAAAATGTTAAGAAATGACATGTAATACAATTACAATTTTTATATTACTAGTAGAAACCTTCTTCTTCGTCCATATTTTCCTCTCCAAAGAATTCATAATTTACAATATCAGCAACACTACTATTAGGTGGCCAAATCTTTGATAAATCACACGAGTAGGCTTCCAATTTAGTTGTTGGATTAATTGCCTTAACACACAAACTATCTGCCTCAAAAGTCAACCCATGCATGTGAATAATATTCACATCAACTGATAAATCAAATATTGGTTCACTCTTCTTGTATGGAATAATTTCAACTCTACTATCTTTACTGTCAGTAATTCCAAAAATTACCAAACCATTCAAAGCAGCTGTCAATTTAATGGTCTCTCTCACTAAATACTTTCCAGGGAAAATCAACAAGACTGGAAAGAGAGCATGAGTAGCCACTGGAGAACTTCTCTCTCTAATCTTCTTCAATGCCTCAATAGCTGGCTCCAATCCAAAGAAATTCTCCATTGTCATTGGAATAATGACAACATTTCTCATGGCATCAGTTGGTGTGTGAATAGATCTGAGGAAGGGCATTATTTTAGAGTGAACCTCAAACAAACGTTGCTCAACTCCAAATCCAATTGCTTTCATCCTCAAGTGAACAACTGCATTCTTGGTATCGTAGAGTTTGAGTTTACGTGTAATTTCCAAATTCTTTGGTAATGATTCAAGTGAGGTTGTGGTCATTCCTCTAATTTTCCAATATATATCCATTTTCATCATTATCAATACATAGTATTATTATTATTAATATTACATTCAATTGATCGATCATTCGGAAATAAATTTGATCATCATCAATTAAAATAATAAATTAATTCCTGATGATGATGATCATTGCACGACATTAAAATCATATCAATTAATAATATAGTAATGAAATAAATCAATTTGATTAGATAAGTTGAGATCCATAAAATCCTTACATTAACTTATCCGATTGTTTATCCCTCACTTCAATTTTGAGTCTTTCATTGCAAAATTCTGGAATTTCCTTGAAGAGCACATTGTTATTGTCAGACCATTCGTAACTATTCTTTCCTTCGAGGTTTTTGTCGGCTGTTGAAACTTTCTTTTGGACCTGATTGAAAGTTAGGATGGCATAGACAGAGCTGTTGATGTGGGTTGTTGGCAACTTTCGAATAAAGCAATAAACTTACTTGGGATCTGTTTGGAGATTTTCAACCTTGATGATGGTTGCTGAGAGTTGCAACTCATCTTCTGCTCTCCTTCTTAACATCATTTTTTATTGTATATTCTGATGGATCCATCATCACCCTTCTTAACTTTTCTTCACAATCCATTAGTCTTCTTTAGCACTATTCGAAACAAAACAATATTTCATCATCATAATTAAAATTATTTAATAATATTTATTGTTGAACATAAACATTAACAGCAGGTTGTTGAGCATATCCTTGTTGTGGAGGAACATAACCTTGTTGTGGTGGATAATATGCTTGTTGTGGTGGGACGTATGGTTGTTGGACTTGTGGTTGAGTTTGATAAGTTGTTACGTTGGTAACAGCAGTGGTAACTTGTGGAGTACCATATTTACGGTTACATTCATCGACCATACCTGGGATGAGGACTTTAGAATTAAATTGTTATTCGAAAGTTGATTTTCGTAACAGAGAAAGTTGGAATGTGTGTTAGTGTGAGTAATAGATAATGGTTAAATCATCATATATTAGAAATAAGATTACTTACTAAGATCAATCAATTGACCAAAGCCGAACAAACCAGCAGTACAGAACCAGATGACACCCAAAATGACAGAGTCCAAATAGAAACGGTGCAAACCGAAGAATCCAATACAACAACCTAACCAAAGAAGATAAGCCTATTAATAATGATCATCACAAAACGATATTGTTATTATTCGAAAGTATATTAGAAACCATTTGGGTAATGAGAAAGACAGTTTGTGAGATTGTTTTCACAAGATGCAAATACTTACTACGCCACTTTCTCTCATTTTTTTTTGTTTCGAATTGCAATGAAAAACCGATTTACTGCAACCTCTAAAAGGTTCAAATGAAGTTTAGTTGACTCAGAATTTGACAGGTTCCCCCAGCAATTTGATTACCCAAGGTGATTAGTTTACTTCTTGTTGGGTTACATAGATGATGAAAATTAGAAGGTGTAATTGGTTTTAGATAATGGAAGACAGATAGAAGATTAAAGGAATGAACTTGAAGATATTGATGAGTGAGTTTTGGTTATTGTATGGATTGTGGATGTGTTTTTGATGAATAAGAGGTGAATGAGATTTTGGGAATGAGCTAAGAAATTCAGTCATATTATTCGAAAGTTGTAATACTCAAGGAGTTTGTGCATGGGTTGGACAAATTTTGATTGGTCTGAGAAGGGCAATGATTACAATGCAATGAAGGAAATCAGATTTTTTGTTTTATTAATTGATAAACCGAATTGATTATATTTACCTCTTTGGCTGTTAATTCCAAAAATGGAAAGAAACAGTTTTTTCCATCGAATATTATAAATATTTTTTATTGCTGAATGTATCCCCCTTAGCTCAGTCGGTAGAGCGTCAGACTGTTAATCTGCAGGTCGATATTCAACCCACCAGGGGGAGAAATATTTTTAAACATTTTTCTTGGTTTCTAATTGATAACAACAACATGTGAAAGCCCAAGTTTATTCGCATTCATACATTTTAGTTAATTATTGGATTGTTTTGCTTGTTGATATCCAGTGGTTAGATAAGGAATTTTGAGTTGACCAATAGCTTTCAATCCTTCATCATCTATCATATTACTTCTGACATTGAGAGAAGTCAAATTTTTCAATTTGCGAACAGATTTAGCTCCTTTTGAGTCAATACTGTTGTAACCAATATCAAGTGATGTTAATTGTTTCATTTCACTTATTGATTCAAATCCTTTCGAAGATATTCTATTATACACAGCATTGAGAGATTTCAATTGTTTCATTTTACAAATGAATTTGGCTCCTTCATCACCAATATCATTGTTTCTGATAACTAATATTGTTACGTTATGCATTTCTCCAATAAATTTAGCTCCTTCACCTAATAGTCGATTGGCTGAAATGTTTAGTGAGGTTAAATTTGACATTCCACTGATTAACTTTGCTCCTGATGATCCCAAATCATTACTACTGACATTTAGCGAGATTAATCCTTTCATTCCAATAATTGATTCAATTCCTTTAACTCCAACATGATTACTTCCAATATCTAAATGTGTCAGATTTGACATTTCACTCAAATATTGTACTCCTTGATCAAGAATGGAGTTTCCACTAACATCAAGTGAAGTCAACCCTTCCAGATCTTTCATTGTACTAATCCACTTTGCTCCTTGATGTCCAATTTGATTGGTATGAATCAATAGAGATTTCAGATTTTTGAGTCCACTAACATGTCTTGCCCCTTCAGCTGTCAATTGGGTGCTACCAACATTGAGATGTGTCAGATTGACCATTTCACTTATATAGCTGGCTCCTTTATCACCTATAAAATTACCATGCAGATTGAGAAATGTTAAATTTTTCAATTCACTTATTGCTCTCGCACCTTCTTCTCTAATTTCACAATATTTCATTTTCAACAAGGTCAATTGTTTCATCGTTCCAATGAATTTAGCCCCTTCATCAAGTATATAATTATCATTAATATTCAATGTGGTCAATCCAACCATTCCACTAATTTTTTCCGCACCTTCCTTTCCAAACTTATTCTCACTCACATCGAGTAAAGTTAAACCTTTCATTTCACTAATTTCTTTCAAATGTTCATCCACTAATCCATTACCAACAATGGAGAGTGATTTCAAATTCTGCATCATTCCAACAAGTTTCAAAACTTTTTCTCGATCATGCAAAAAGCTTCTTTCTCTAGTTTTCAACGAAACGAAACGTTTCAAATAACTATTTTTCATTAATTTATCAATAAATTCATTCGTCACTTTTTGATTATTGAAAATGACTGATAAATTAGATTGTACATTGATGACATTCTCCCACTGATGAGAAATTAAACAACAATTCGTTAGAATAAATTTAAAATCAAGAAATGATAAAATTTCAAAGCAAATATCATCGGAAAAGATTTGTTTTTGCAATTGTTGTTTGATTGTTGGTGAGCGAGTCGTGAAGGCAGTAGTAGAACTGATTTTAAGCATTTTTTTTAATGATTTTTGGAATCAAGTTCATGGTGCTGGACATGTGAATAGTGAACTTAATGACAAAGATTTTTAGAACGAATTGAAATTCTATTCGAATTTGTTTTCCTTATTGAATTCGTAAAAATTGAAAAAGTTTAAATGTTATGGTTTTGAGAACTGAATATCTGTTAAAAATAGTTTACTAAAGATGTTTGCTTGTCAACTTAACAGTGTTTGGTCATCATAAAAAAGCCCTGTCACAGATCCTCTCACCCTGAATATCACAAGACATTCAAAAAAAGACTAAGAAATTGAGCAATAGTATTGAGCATTTGTTCAATTTTTAATACCAGAACAATAAAACAAGTTTTTGGTTCAATAATTATTTTAGAGATAATCGTAAGGAATTGTCAAAATCTTTCACTGTTGTATGTAGATCAATCAATTGATTGAATCGATAGAGTTAGAGTGTAAAACTACACTGAAAAACAATTCTATGCAACAACAAGTAGAAATTAATGTCACAACACCTCACTACTTTTTGGACGAATTCAAAACACATCAATACAAATATAGTTTTCAAATTAATCGCTAATTATTTTTTGTGAAACACAAACAGGCTTGAGAAAACGTAATACAACATAATTTTTGGCAAGTATCGTAGCCTAAACGAATCTTGGGGTCTAAAAAAGTACCAAACAAAAGATACTGCTGACATTGACACCTCACCTTCCTATCTCTATTCCACCATAGTGCTATTCGAATGTTGTTGAAAGGCAGCTCTCAGGTTCATCAACATTATGTTGTAAATATCAACAAAATAAATTCCTTCTTACTTTTCCCCATTAAAAAAAATGAAATCAATTCTCGTCCTAATTACCAGCTCACTAGTTGTGTTATTACTCCTCGTGTCAGGTGCCAAAATCTCTGCCCGTTTGACAACTTATGATGATAATTCATTAAAGGGGGAACTTTCTTTCTCATCTCTCAATGAAAGCCAAGTGTCAGCTGTTCAAGATAGTATTTGTTGCTCAGTGACAGGTTCCACTAATTATGTTTATTGCTTATCTGGACAAACTTGTTGTAGAAAATCTGGTTATTCAACATGTATTGCTTCTAGTTATGCATGTTGTTCCTCTTCACAAACTTGTTCTTCCAATGTTTGCGTTTCGAATAGTTATGGAGATTATGATGCTTTAGGATATGGTTTAGGATTTGGAATTCCAGGTTTCATAATATTTATTGCAATTATCATTATTGTTAGTGCTGCTTCTAGAAAGAGAAGACTTATGATGATGAGAAGAGCTCAAGAACAACAAGCAGCAGCTGCCGTTGGAGTAGCAACAATGCCTTCTACTCTTGTCACTGCTCAACCAACAATGCCACCTGTCAGTGGTGGTACTACAGTTGTTATTCAAAATCCTGGACCTGGTGTTTATTATCCACCTCAACAACAACCTTATGGTCAACAATATCCACCACAACAACCATATGGTCAACCAATGATGACTCAACAACCTTATCAACCACAATACGGTCAACCAATGATGGCCAATCAACCACCACCAACCTATGTTACTCCACAACCTTCTTATTATACTCCTCCTACCAATGGAAATGGTCAACAAACTTATGTATAAATTAAACATTAATCAGTCAACCCGATAACAACATTCTTAAGAAGAGAAACGGTTTCTTATAATCTTAAAGTTGAACTAGTAGCAGCATTGACATTTTTCTATTTATATATACAATTAATCAGTTCTCATAATAGAAGTAGTTAAACCATGAGTAGCAAGGCCAATTCTACGTTGATATCTCAATCTCACTTTTGAATTAGGCACCCAATTACCAGCTGTCTCAAAACAACTTTTTTGTGTTTTAAAGTTCTTTATTTTGAAACAACACAAGAAATCAAACATCAATCTTTTGATAATTAGCTGAAGATTGAGCCAACTTTGAAATCTTTTCAAATAACATCAAGTCTTTATTCAATAATTGCCAAATCCTTAAAATTTTCATCTCACGATCTGGCATAATCCATGTATCTTCTAAGGTTATAAACTGGACAGTATTTCTTATTTCCTCAATAGGAGTTTCTTCATCTGTCAAATTTTGGTCTGTTTTGTGACCAGAAAGATCAAAAGAAACCCAACTGATAAAAGGAGTATCAAGTGTCAATATCAGCTCGTGAATAAAACTTATTCAAACCTTGTTTGAATTCTAGAATTGATTGGAATAATTTACGGATCCATCCTTCCAAATTTGAATAGAAATCTAACGTAGGTTTCAAATTATTCAACCTGTAGAGCTTTTTGTGAACTGCAAGAGGGTGGGGCTCTAATTTCTGAATGTTTTAAAATAATGGAGTAGACAGAAATAAGAAAATTCTGAATAAGTTAAAGAATACTTTTTGACTGTGGATTCTGCAAGAGCAGTAGATAAAGCCTGAAATCTCATTGAAAGGAGAGCATTCCATTCACTTTGACTGCCATGAACTAAAGATTGCCTGATAGTTTGTGCAGTTCGTTGTAATGCTCTGTTATAAGCCATTGGAGCGGAACACTTCTCTGTTCAAAAGATATCTTTAGCAAGATCAGTAAGCTGTTAGCCAAAAAGGAACTACGAATGTTGCTATATCCTTTGATGGGATCAAGTGAAATAGAGCTTGTGGTATCAGACCTATTGGAGGAACACAATAATTGATTGAGTTTTGTTCCCAAAGTTCTTGAACCGCATCGTTTTCTAACCAAGAGTTGAATTGGATTGTCGTTGCCTACTCTGATGTTGCAAATCTGTCGATGGTGTGGTTTCCGCATTCTTTTTCTACCATACTTATCAATTCTGGTGATGATTTCCAATCGCTTAAAAGGCTTAGCAAAGTTTGTATGCAATTGAATTTTTCTCTGATGGAATGAAAAATACTTTTGCAATTCTCCTGCCACATTCTGTGAATTCATTATGGGAAGCCACGGAATCAATATAATTCTTAATATCATAAGCTGAAACTCCATTTATTTTTTAGTTTCTTTCTATCAACAATGTAGTAACCCTTATGAAAGTCCTTTCTTTAGTCTAGCAAAACCATTGGGAACATTAAGTTTCCAACCTTCAACGTCTACAAAAGATTGAAGAGCTGGCTTCAAATTGTTTAAAACATACCCTTTCTGAAAGGTAAGTTGCAAAGTATTCTATTGTATGAGGATTGGATCTTGGAATATTGTGAATCACTACGAACCATTGGAAAGCTCCATAAACTTCGAATTTGTTGAACAATTCGGTGTATGGATCCACACTAAGCATTCTTGGAACCTTTCTCACTTTTAAGGAAATCCTTAATAGTATTGAGAACCAATGAGAAGTTGGCCACTACAGCACTTCAAAAGTTCCGTTCGCTCTCGATTAGATGGAAAAGAGCTTGGGGGATCAGACCTAAAGGAGGCACACAATAATCTCAGATAATTCAGTGAGTCTTTCTCCCAGAGTTGACCGAATGCATCGTTTTCCATCCAACTGTTGTAAGTTGTTGTCACGAATCTGTTCTTATCTTTTCGAAAACCTCTTCTGCTGTGTTCTTTGTTGTAAATATTTAAAAAAACCTCAAGGAACCAAATCCTCTACCAAAACAAAAGCAGGCACTCCCAAATGTTTCCACTGCACCTACAATAAAACACCTTACCTTCGCTTCATGAATGCCAAGAGCTATTTCCATCAAGAAATTACTAAAGGATATATTACCTTAGTAGAGATGGTAATTGGTTATACACTTTTGTAAATAGAAAGGAAGATTAATCCACAACAACCAGCACGATACAATTATTTTGTACTTCACCCCATCATAACAAAGAAAAAGTGAAGAAGACTTTCTCAGCAACGATAATTCCATAGCCTTAACAAGAGAAGGAATTGGAACAAGAAGAACCGCTATAGAAACAAAAACGTGGACCAAAGAATTCACAATTTGAAGAAGCAGTAAAGAGAAACTCTAGTAGAGCACGAAAGAAGAAATAAATAAATAAATAATGTTGTTTACCCCAATTATTTCGCAATTTTTTGATGAACCCTAAATTAAAAGTAAGATTTCTACCCCTGCTCCTCGCTTGAAACTGTAATTTGTGTCTTAGTCTTTTTGACTTTTAAGGAAGTCTAATATCTTAATTTGAGTAGCATTATTTTCCATTACATCCAGCACAGTAAAGTACATATTTGTGAACAATTTAGAAATCCATCTTAATTTGCAATTTTTTGTTCTTAAACAGCAAATTTTATTGTTCCTAAAAGGCAAAACACGGAAATTAAACATGGCGCCAATTGTTCAACCAATCAAAAAAATTCTTAACGATACAACAAACACCACACAACACACCAACACATATATCTTGCAATAGAACCACAAAACAACAATAAGGAACAATTCATCAACAACAAGCAAAAAAAATAGAATGAGTTATACTCCACTACTCTCAAATATTGAGCACCAAGATGTGTTCGATAGAATTTGTAACCACTTACAACGTCCATGGAAGGTGCACTCTGTTCATGAAGTGACTGAGCAAGCTTCTTTATGCCGAGCAGTTATGAAGGACAATATGATTTATGAATTGAAAGACATTTACTCAGAAAGAAAGGAATTCAATAAGTGTGAAGTAGGAACTCCTCAACTTTACTACTATATTTCATGTCAATGCAATGAATTTTGTAATGTAAAGTTGAAGGTAATTCATCACCACCAAGCAAGGTGCGATATTCATCAAAACGAAGCACTTCATCCTTCATCTTCAAAGCCAGATCCAACCAACAACAACCTTCTTCCAAAAGTAATTAGTTTCATCAAAAAGAGTGCTCCAACTTTGAAAAGAACTCAAATCAAAGAGCAAATTAGAATATGGGTCCAAATTGCCAGCTCACTAGTTGTGTTATTACTCCTCGTGTCAGGTGCCAAAATCTCTGCCCGTTTGACAACTTATGGTGATAATTCATTAAAGGGGGAACTTTCTTTCTCATCTCTCAATGAAAGCCAAGTGTCAGCTGTTCAAGATAGTATTTGTTGCTCAGTAACAGGTTCCACTAATTATGTTTATTGCTTATCTGGACAAACTTGTTGTAGAAAATCTGGTTATTCAACATGTATTGCTTCTAGTTATGCATGTTGTTCTTCTTCCCAAACTTGTTCTTCCAATGTTTGTGTTTCGAATAGTTATGGAGATTATGATGCTTTAGGATATGGTTTAGGATTTGGAATTCCAGGTTTCATAATATTTATTGCAATTATCATTATTGTTAGTGCTGCTTCCAGAAAGAGAAGACTTATGATGATGAGAAGAGCTCAAGAACAACAAGCAGCAGCTGCCATTGGAGTAGCAACAATGCCTTCTACTCTTGTCACTGCTCAACCAACAATGCCACCTGTCACTACAGTTGTTATTCAAAATCCAGGACCTGGTGTTTATTATCCACCTCAACAACAACCTTATGGTCAACCATATCCACCACAACAACCATATGGTCAACCAATGATGACTCAACAACCTTATCAACCACAATACGGTCAACCAATGATGGTCAATCAACCACCACCAACCTATGTTACTCCACAACCTTCTTATTATACTCCTCCTACTAATGGAAATGGTCAACAAACTTATGTATAAATTACAACATTAATCAGTCAACCCTATAACAACATTCTTAAGAAGAGAATGTGTTTCTTATAATCTTAAAGTAGAAGTGGTAGTAGATTTAGCATTGAGATTTTTCTCATCATTGGATATTGCAATTTGATTCCTCTGATAATATGAATTGTTATTGCCAACATATTTCTCGATAATTTTCAAAAGATTTTCATTAATTCTATCTGGAATGTATCTTGCTAACATTTGATGGAATAGTGGTGGTTGTTCGAATAGGAAGGTGATAATCTTTTCATTGGAGGTATATCTGAAAATAAAAGATAGGTCAGTTTCGGGTAAATCGTCAATCTTATTTGAAACCAGGTTTTGGAATAGTTCAGTAAAGATTATAAAACGTTACTGCCATTCATATGAATCTTCTGTAAGACCACTGCGGGTGAAATTTGAAAACAATGTTATGATATTTCTATAAATTGAATAACCAAAATTTTTTCTATTGAACCTTTCGAATAATTTCCTAAATTTCTCAATGTACTCAATAACAATCATGGAACTTTTCAATGGATCGCTTAAATCTTCCATCATTAGGGCACCCTCTATGAAATAAGTCACTACAGGGCACTTTGAGAAGTGTGAATCAATCACCTTACTATCCAAACATTCGTCCATATAATCTAAATGCATGTCAATTATTTCGAATTGTAAATTTAAAATAGAGGAAGAAAGTAGTGAATCTCTTAAAAAGAGATTTGCAAGAAACGAGTTTCTTTCCTTGTCGTTATCCTTAATTCATTCAGTTTCTTTTCTAGAATTTGTTTAAAAACTGGTGTGAATGATAACAGAGTAAACAACTTGTTTGAAATTATAGGATTAATCGGAATATTTCTGTCAAGGTAAAGGAATTTGGCAAGCTCAGTAGTAAATTTTGAAATCCTTCCTAGATCTTTTTCAAATTGAGAATTGATAAAGTCTACATATTTGGAATCACTTAAAATAGTTGGATATCTGTTAAAACAATCCGAAAGAAACATCAAGAAACCTTCCCAATGATTGTCAGTTGCCAAACTCGTCCAATCTTTCTTTTCCACCAAAACATCCTGATACAATTCGTGTTTTTCACCTTCTTCTAACTGGTAATGTCGTAGATAACTTTTGAATCCCAAACTATGGGCATCTTTAGATGAAATTTCATTGAAAACAAAAGTTTCGAATAACCAAACTGGTTCCTCCACTGCCTTCATCACATGCACAATAATATTATCCAAAATATAATCCTGAATCATTGGCAATTCCAAATTGTAATATTGTTTAAACTTCATACTTCCCATAATAATAGGAGTATCTCTAAATAATGTGAAATAAACTTTCCCAAAAAAGTTGAACTATTGGAATGTGACTTTGCATTAAAATTTCATAGAAAAGACCATTCTTTGCAATGAGTAACCAATTCTTCACTTCCTTAACTAAATCCTCATAAAACTTTCTCAAATATAAAGCAGGAACATAAACATTCGAATCGTCGAGCGATTTGTAAAAGTATTCATTATAATTCAAATTGGAAACAAGTTTAATTCCCATAATTTTAGAGTGTTTACCACGAAAATCCAAAATCCAATCCTTCCTCTCATTATTTCCTTTCATAATTCCGAAAATTATCTTGGCTAAATATTCTCGTTTATGTTGAGCTTCGAATTGTTTTCCTCCTACTGCCTTGACATATTCTGAAAAGAAGGGATAAATAAAATCGAGAATATTAAACAGATCATCGTGTGAGAGGTTTGTTAGTGTTGCTGACATTTTTTCTTGAACAGTCAGTTCACCTCTTACGAAAGACTGATCATCAAAAAATTTGCAAAATCAAATCCAAAATTGAAATGACAAAGAGATTTCAAAACGCATATTTCTCCAAAAGAAACAATAAAACAATCGTTGATAAACCAATGGGTAGAAGCTCACTCAACATATTCTTCATCCAAAGGATGAGGTATGTTGCTCAGAAATGCTGCCTTTTAGGTCATTGACTTTATTCAACGCAATAGAATAGATCATCACCCACAAATCTATATAACCAGTGGCCGGAGATTCAAATAAACTTAACCTTAATGGTAGGAAAATGCAATGATCTTTATTTTGGAAATTCTGTCATTAAGAAAAAGCTCAATAATAATACAATTCACTAAATTACATTTTTTTCTTGAATTTCGTCTCAAAAAAAATGTCATACCACTCAGTAACTACACTGTTGACCCTGAGACCACAGTGTGTTGCCGCAATACTTACGTCGGGTCACCGTACCCTATACTACCCGGGGTTCCAGCATAGGGTGTTCAAGCCAAGTATTTGTGTCCACAGAGTTACAAGAAATGAACAAAGCAATCCCAACAAGAAAGAATTTATTATTTAATATTCGTAATATCATCAAGACGAACCCGTCGGGTTCATACGATTAATAAACTTTTAAATTTTTTTCTTGAATTTACAAAGTGGATTTATTGACAATTGAGAAGAATAATCATGCTAAATGAAAATCTTTACCTGGAAGTTGTAGAAATTCCATAAACTGTATGATCTCGTGTATCATCATCATCATCGTGGTGAGAGTATGAGTGATAGGTTTGATTTTCATAATTTGAATAATGATTTCCATAATTTCTGTCATTAGAAGAACTCTCAAAATATGATCCATTTCCTCCAGTAGCACCACTATTTCTTTGTGAATTATAAAGAGATGAAGCTGCATAACCGGCTGCTGCACCTGCTAAAAAAGTAGGAATAGTGGATGAGGTTTGGGATGAGGAACTGGAAGGAACGAATGTTTGGTGAAGATCTGGATTATAATTTGGGTTTACATCTGGATACATGGAAGGATAAGGTTGTTGATTATTACTTTGAATTGTTGATGATGAATTTTGTTTGGACAACCAAATACAGCCAATAACAACCAGTACAATTATTACAATCCAAAAGGATCCTAGAGAGCTAGGATTTGAAGGAATAGGTTCATGTCTGTAGTGTTGTTGTTGTTGATTTGACTGTGGTTTTTGATTATACTCCAATGTATATTCTAATCCACAACTTCCCTTCAATACAAGATCATCACCCGAATATCTGTAACCTTCACAATTAACATTCATTTTACCAAATTTATAATTTGATCGCAATTTGGCATTACACCTCCATCCATTACCTTCATAACTACATTCAACCTGATCAGGTTCGTAATTATCTGGTTTGCTAATACATTTTAATTGTGGGACTGGATGAGATCTTCTCGCTGTTGTCCATGCATTCTTGTAAAGTGTTATCGATTTTATCTGTGTTAAGTGAATGGCATCATTTCCGATATTGGAACCCTGTTGTGTTGATAGAGTGATGCTAAAAATCAAGGCAATAAAGGTGATGAGTAAAACTTTTGATGACATTTTTTTTGTGTATTGGAAATTTGGTAATTGTCTATTTTTATTTTTATCATAATTAATAAAAGGAACACAAAATCCCAAACACGTGTTGTTTAATAACTTAAGTGAAGAAACGTGTCTCAGCATTTCAAACGTGTCTTGTTGGTTTATAAACCTTACCCATGCACTTACTCAATCAAAAATGTTGTTTTGAAGTCTATGGTATCAGTAACAACTGTGTAAGAGTTTGATTCTCCATTATATTGACATTGTTTGATACTTTAATTACCTGCAAATTCAGAGAAACCTATCTCATCGAAAGAACTCTACAATTGGTTGGTGATCAGTTAGAATATTATCACAGTTGTTGTAAACAAGATCTTGCTCAATATTATTCAACCAAGGGATATCCCTCAATCACTATTGCAAATGCTAAATGCAGTTAATTGCTAATTTGGAAAGTCGTCCAGAGTTCTAAACCGTTTAATTTGATTTTGTAAAACATTCCAGCATTCACTGCCAATGTACATTATTATGATCATTCTTCTTTAGAGTACTCTCAAGCCAATCTTGATTTCAAATTGAGAATTTCTTTACACTCAATCCTTCCAATTAAGTCAGTCATCAATTTTGAGATAACAAACTTCATTTCCAAAACCTTCAGAAACAATTTTCCAAAAGCCTCAATCCATCCAATTCGATCAAGAGATAAAAAAGCTGCATTAACATTAGCAACGGAAAATGCAGCACATTAAACCTATTTTCAAAAAAAACAGACAACTGTTTTCATTCTCTCAGCAGCTTCCTGGACCATTCGGGATTTTTAAAACGTCAAGTGGTGGTGAACACAATCTTTATCAGTAATAGACAATAACAATAACACAGATATTACACTGTATGTGTTTGATTGAAGAAGGATGGGACAATCACCAAGTGGTAGAAATGAAACTGGCGATGGTAAGTAATAACACATATCCCATCACAACAATAATAATATCAACTTGTCAATTATGGTGGTTGTTGAATATTTGTGATTTTATATCATTGTTAATGATGATCATCATCTTTGATCATCAAACAATTACTTGAATCTATTAGACATTCAAGTTTTTAATGATTTTGCAGAAATGATGGAGGGATCATCACCCGAAGTGAGACAAAAGAAGAATTTTCTTCTAAAACTCTTCAAACCAACAACACTCACACCAACCACATCAGCAACACTGCGAGCATTCACTAGTAATTTATCGGATAGTACTAAAACACAGTCATCAGAGTCGTCGACGATGAGAACTTCATTCGATAATGTACAGCAGGATACTAGTAATGATTCATTGGAGGATGAGGAATATCAATTGACTTCTATTGGATCCTTTGTGAGGAAGGAAAAAAGAACAGAACCATTGATACCTAGATCATTGAAAGATTATAAGAAATTTAAACATTTCTATAAAATTACATGCATCAAGGTTGAAAATAATCGCATATGGACAAGTTCTTTGGATAAAAACATTTGTTGCTGGGACAAGGAAACAGGAGAATGCATAAAATTGTTCCAAGGACACACGAAAGCTGTCACTTGCCTAAAGATTGATATGAAAAATAATTTATTATATTCTGGTTCATATGATAGAACTGTTCGTGTTTGGGATATTGAAACTCAAACATGTAAACAAGTATTTGATTCCAATGAAAATTGGATAACATGTTTGGCTGTTAGTAGTGATTACCTGTTTTGTTCTGGATATGACAGCTCGATATCAGTATATGAATTGAAAACGGGAAAGAAAATTGCTAAACTCAATGGACACGTTAAAAAAGTAGAAGATATGTTTTATGAACATTCTGAAGGTATACTCTATACTTCAGGTGCTGATTGTACAGTGAGAATGTGGGATATTTCATCTCTCGAATGTATCAAAGTTCATAGTTGTCGGGAGTATTCACACTACTTTTACAAAGTTGGTTCAAATATTTACATTAGTCAACCACAAAATATTTATTCTTACAATACTGAAACTAATAAGGTTAATCCACCAATAGTTGGAATAACTCAATTTTGTATATTTGAAATAGATGAAGATTCTTCATATATTGTTGGCTGGAATAAGGATAAGAGACAATTTGAATTTTATGATACTTATGAAATAACTCTTGTTCATACAATTCCTCAGGAAACTATATTGGATGCTTCTAATCTTTCAGTAGATGCAAAGACAAAGAAACTATACTTCTCCTCGGGAATGTTTGTCAAATTTATTGATATTAGTTCTGTTTTCTCATTGAACTTGAAAAATGGAGCTTCACGTCCTGCCTACATGAACTATGAAGAATTATTCAATTACTTGGTTGATATCCTTTTCTATCCAGTGACTAAAGTTGCTGAGGTAATTGAAGATCTTCAAAAACACAAGTACTTGGACGAGTGCAAAACTCTGGACGATCAAATAGAAAAAACAATTAAATATCTCAAACAGCAACAAGATGATGAAAGTCTTGGCTCTGATGTGGATATTATCGAGGATATTTACTACATTACAAAGAATAATGAAGTCAGACTTGTGAAAGACAATCAAGATCTGTCAGATAGAAATATCTATTTTGAACTCTCCATTGTTCCAAATACTGTCCAAACTATTGAAGAGAGACTGAAGGCCATTTCCACCTTATCAATGACTCCAATTGGAGCTGTAGAATCATTTTCATGTATTTATACAGACGATGAACGTGAGATGGATTACGAAACGAGAAAAGACTTATTCTACAAAAAGCTGAAAGCTCTCAAAGGTGATGGATTATTACAACCAACTGTTGTAATGGTCAGAAGAGACCAATTGGTATTTGATGCTTGTAAAAACTTCTCAGTCCTCAAAGGTGCCGATTTATTGAGGCCAATGTTTGTATATTTTGCTGGTGAAGAAGGATTTGATGTTGGTGGAGTAACAAGAGAATTTTATCATTTACTTTCCCAACAAATTCTCAATCCAAATAATGCACTTTTCATCAAAACAGGTCCTAATAACACCTACCATCCAAATCCTGCTTCAGCTGTCAATGGAGATCACTTACAATATTTCCAATTCATTGGCAAGTTGATAGGTAAAGCAATTTCTGATAACAAGATTATGGATACTCATTTCACAAAAGTAATTTTCAAACTTATGGCTGGAAAACCTGTCATGTTTGAAGATTTGGAAGCCGTCGATCCAACCATGTACCTCTCCTTGAAAAAGCTTCTCCTCTTGGAGGATATTGAAAATATTATGGAAATGACTTTCACTGCCGATTTGAATGATTTTGGTGAGAATAATGTTTACGAACTTTGTTTTAATGGAGCAGAAATTGAAGTAAATGATGGAAACAAACATGAATTTGTTGAGGCATATTCCAAATGGAAACTGGTAGAATCAGTTCGACCACAAGTCGAAAAAATGCTTGAAGGAATTTACGAAGTGTTACCTCCAGAATTTTTAACTATATTTAGCGAGACTGAATTGGAACTTTTATTGTGTGGTAGTAGGGAAGTTTCAATTTCCCAATGGAAGGACAATATTTCATATGAAGGAGGATTTGATACAGATCATCCAACAGTTCAATATTTCTGGGAAATGATTGAAGGATATTCGCAAACACAAATTGCTCAACTTTTACAATTTTCAACAGGAACATCATGTTTACCAAGTGATGGATTTGAAGGATTGACACCTCCATTCACTTTATGTTTATTAAGAAATGTGTCGACTGATCATTTACCTGTTGCTCACACATGTCTCAATAGAATTGATATTCCACCATATGAATCAAAGGAAATTATGAAAGAAAGATTTGGAAAAGCTATTCGATATGGTTCACAAGGTTTTTCTCTTCATTAAACTTACAACATTTCAAATAATTTGAGTTTTTCAATTTGTTATTATTTCAAATATGTTTCTTTTTGTTGTTTTGGACGAATCATTTGAGAGGAAAATGTCCGAATAAGTTTTTAGATTAGAAAGTATCCAATGACAGGAAACACGAAAATTACAATCAAAAAAATGGAAGAACAAACAACAAACTCTCATCCACTCATGAATGTTGGTTCTGCTGAAGATCATGATGATTCGGAAACGTTACATACAACAAGTGATCCACTCCGAGCAAGTAACGAAACTAAACAAGATGAAGAAGAATACGAAACTATTCATCTGGTAAAACAAGTTGAGACAAAACAAAACCAATCATCTAAAGCGACATTAAAAAACAAACAAAAAGAAGAAATAGAGGAACATATCAATCAACAAGACCAGCCGAATGTTGACTATTTACAACATGTTGATTATTTTAAACCTATTCCTAAATATGTTGTTAATTTAAATATGGATGCTAAAAAGAGATGGAAACATATTGTGATGGATATGATTGAACCATTGAAACTTTTAGCAAAATATCTAACAAATGTATATCAAGACGATTCTGATTCGTTTGCACCTAGTATGACTGATATTATTTCACAAATTTACACACCTGATGATTTGGAGCAAGAAATGTGGGGAATTGCTGATATTACAAATAGATATGGGTTAACTTATGATTTAATTTATCAGTTTAATATTTCGTATAATGATTTTGGTGTGAATAGCAGTGTGGCATTTAGTGAAATTAATGAAGATGGTGTTTTTCAATTGAGACATAGTAATTATGAACACAATTTAGCCAAGATATTGAGATTATTGACAGTGGATATTGATTTTATTAAGGATGGTAGATTAATATTCAAAACAACTACCTTTTTACCACTGGTTGGCGTTTCTAATGGTTTAAGATTTTCACAATTCACACAAAGGAGTAGTTACTCATTCTCCTACAGCTTGAGAACAGTTGAGGAGGGATTTTTAGGTGATGTTGCAAGCTGGTTTGGAACCATTCTTGCATTTTGGAATACTGAATTTCTTCTCAGAGAAGTCATGGAAAAATGTGAAAAGTACAAGGACGCACTGGAATATATCAGAACAAGTAGGACCAATAGTGCCTCATATATTTTAGTCTGTTCTGGGGATAATGCCACATTGATAAGTAGAGGAAGAAGTAGTGAGGAACAATCATTACTCCTCCACAAGGAATCAACAACTCATGATGATGGATCAATTGAATTGGAAACACAGGCCAGAAGAAGAATCATTGTTCAAGGAGACACTGATTGGTTTAATCAGGAAGACACCAAAATTGATTTGAAAAAGAAACAATTAACCAAATACCTATTCAAACACTCTCCAAAACCAAACATTCCAAATCACATGTTAGAGTATTGCCTCTCATGTCTTTCTAAGAAAAATGTTCTCACTCAGGGAACAATCTTTCAACAAGTAATTAACACTGTCGATGGAACATTCTTTTCCAGAACATATAATCCACCAGTGCCATCAGCAAACTCTTCCGATTCTCAATATTATATTAAGAAATAAATTGGAGTATTAACACTTTCAACCTTTCAAATGCAAATCTGATATTTCTTGATTGATAGATTAAATATCAGAGTTAATGACCTAAAGTTTCAATTACTGAATAGAGCGAGAAATCATACCAGATGAGTCCTCACAGGAAAAAAATTGAGAAGGAGGGCAACAATCACTTTGATCATTGACCAAATTCTGGACTCATCCTCAGAGTGCAAGGAGGAGAGTTTCCAGAGTCACATTTCAGTCTGCATGATCACTGAAATGTCCTTCAAGGTAAGTATGAAGAAACCAATCGGTGCAAATCAAACTCTCCTTAAAAACAATTGAGATTGGTTGGTAAAACAGTACAGAAATTATGGTCTTGTGTTGTTTTTAATGAAAATAAAGTACTTGAAATTATTGAACCTGAAGAAAAAAATTTACTTCCAAAAATGGTCAATTACAAAAAAATTAAAAAATTAAAATTTATAATCTTTGAATCCTGCATTTGTTTTTAATTTAACCACAAAAGAATTGAGTTCTTTCTGAATATTATAATCCGAAATCACCCTTCCATCCTCCATTTCATTGTTTTGAAAAAATAAACTCAATTTCTCCGAAGTAAGTTTATCATCATTTAATAAATTTGCAATTTGTTTCTTTACATCTTCCACCAAATCACTCGATTCAAACTCGACAGTGAGGGTCCTTCCCGAAAGGAGTTTGAGAAATAATTGCATTTTTTTTCTGTAATGCCCAAAGTTCATCAATACAAAGAAGATTACAATAATCTCTTCTCTAACTATTGGGTTTGTGAACTGTTTCTGATGAATGTGAATATATCAAATAAAAGATATCACTCTTTGGGAAGCAAATCTCTCTTACTATGATACATTCACTTAGCATTTTACAACATCAATGGTTGATGCTAACCATTTTCGCTATTCTTTCCTTTTGCATCATTCTGTTCTCCTATCTAACAATCTCTGTGTGTGATTTTGGCAATTCCTCAACACTTTCAAGTTGAGAATCTGTTGTAAATTCTATTTCTGTTGCTAATGGTACATAAAAACGATCGTTGTTGGCGGGAGATTTTTCTTAATGAAGGGCCACAAGAACAAAACATTAAAAAAAAAAGACGTTAAGACACAAACGGGCAAATCGATATTGTGTGTTATCATTTAAAAATTGTATATTATTAGATAGAGGAGATTTGTAGGGGCTTTAACAATTTTCGTCATCTTTGTATTAATAATAGATTGTGGTTTATCCAAAAACTTTAACTTGTAAATATATTGCTAAACGCTAGATTTGTAAAATTACCTTTTGTAAATATGTCTTCCGAGCTATTTATTATTTCCACTCCTATTGCCTCGTCTATGGCGAGTCTTGATACTGTTGGAGGCGGTGCTGGTTCTACTTTGAAACCTTCTTCAACAATTTCTTCTTGTTGGAGTCATGAAGATTTGAATCAATACTTTACAAAATCAGTCAACGTTGTTCAACCAAAAAAATCATTGGATACTAATTCAATTCATGAAAGAGATATGCATGCTAGAGTGAATTTGAACAAGATTCCAATTACTTTGGATACTAATAACCTTACTAGAAATAGAGTTTCCTCTATTTCCATTAACTCACCATCATCCTTAGCTGACCTAACTCCAATTGTTGAGAAGGAAAATAAGAGAGCAAAGGCAAAAAGAATACTCAACCAATTACTCTCAAAGAAATCAAGAATTATTGTAAAGAAGCCAGTTACAAGAAAGACATCAATGATTATCAAATTTATAGTAACATGTGCAGCTCTGAATATTCTTGGATTTATCACATTTGCAGCCATTGTTACATTTGTTTTACCTAATTTATTCATGCACCCTGCTGCCTATGTCTCTGTTTCTGCTAAACACCATTTACTTCACGAAGATGCAACTTTGTATAGAAAATTGGTTCATACAGCAAACATTCCAGAGACTTTGGTAACTTTCCCTGATAATACCATTACAAGTAATACTGATGATAATGGAGAAAGTTTTAATAGAAAGGCAGGATTGAAGATTGATGTTTCAAGATTCAATTTACTGAAGAATAATGAAGAAAAGAAGGAAACCCCTGTTGACCACGATATTCATCCACCATTTGCTACTATGGATCATGTTTCATATATGAAGGGTAATCATCGTGACAGGTTGGTTGATTATATTGAAGCGTTACCACATAAGAATGATCCTCTCATTGATTTTGGTTTGGAATATAAGAATATTTCATTCTCATCTCTATATGAGAAGAATAAGATGTTGAGAGGATGGTATGTAGAGGCCAATGATAAGAATTCCAAAAAGGCTGTCGTCATTGTTCATGGGGCCTTTTATGACAGAAGAGACGTTTTAGAGCATTTACCTTACATTCACAAATTAGGAGTTCATGTATTATTATTTGATATGTTGAATCATGGAGTTAGTGATGGCGATGAAGGGTGTTCATTGGGATACCGTGAATGGATGGGTGTAATGGGAGCAATTGATTATCTTGAAGGAATAGTTCCAGATGTAGAAGTTGTTGCATTTGGAAGCTCAACTGGTGCCGCTTCTTCAATTGTTGCCGCTTCTCAAGATCCAAGAATTAAGGCAATTATTGCTGAAAATCCATTTGCTGAAAGAACTCTTCAAATTAAGGATGTATTAGAGTCAGCTCTTTATAAGAATGGATGGTCCCATCAGTTACCAAGTTTGTTTGCTGGTATCATTGAAAGTTACGGTAAATTCATTCCTGAATTGTTAATTCGTGGTGTGTCAGTATTGGTTAATTGGAGAATGTGCGACTTCTCTGTTAATCCATACCATGCATCTGATGCAATGAGGGAAATGAGTAAACCATTACTATTGATGCACTCCAAAACAGATAAGGTTGTTGATTTCAAGCATAGTCAAATCCTCTCTTCTTTAGCTAGTGGACCAATTGAGTACTGGATTGTAGAAGATGCTCCTCATTCTTGTATTCACAGACATTTAAAGGATGAATTTGAGGAAAGAGTTATTTCCTTTTTACAAAAATATTTATTAAAGCAATAAAGCTGTGAATTTAGTACAAGTATGAGAAGGAGAAACTTGATGAATAAGAAAATCCATCCCGTGGAGCTTGGCAATAACCAATCCAAACAACTTTCAAAGGAGAAGTAACTGTCAAATCAAATTTTGGAACAAAAACAGCATCGACAATATTGTTTCTTGTTACCGAGAGTTCAACAGTAACATTCTTATTGTGATCTGTACCATACGCAATTGAGGTTCCCCAAGTATAAGAAGTTAAAGTGGCCCTCTTTTTAGCTTCTCTAAGTGGTGTTTCACGAGTGTTACCAAGTTTTTGAACAGCCATTCCATATACTTCCAATAAGGTTTTTTGCTTATCACCAATTGATACGAAGCCAGCTTCCATCAATCTCAAAGCAGTTCTCTTACCTGTAGTATGGGAACTGATCACAAATGATGTGAATGCGCTGTCCTTAGAATGTACAACAGGTACAAGCAAGTAGTTTCCTGCCTTGAGAGACATTCCCTTTGTATATGAGGATCTGGATGAAGAGAAAGGCGAGCCACCAACAATATTACCAGTGGTCTTCTCCAAAACAACAAATGCCATTCCAGCTGCAGTTTTTGGGGCGTCCTTGTAACGTTGATCTTTTTGATGGATACCAAAATAGCATTCGTTTTGATCTTCAGCTAGTTCAATCTCAGCAACTGGATAAGTTGACTTATCTTCCAAATTACCAGTGTTTGGACTACAATGAACCTTAACTTGATTTCTTGAAAATTCTTGATTGTACTTGCAAACAGTAACACTCACAAAGTAGTTGACAAATTCAGAATATGGCATGTAGAAAACACCATCATCTGTACATTCCATATGATTGAATGCCTTCTTTGCTTGTAATGTCCATCTAGTATCATCGTCACACCAGTCTCCTGTCCATTCAGTCTTTGACCATGGATTTCTCAATTTGACTAGTTTAACTCCCATAGCCTCTTTACAACCTAACAGAGAATAAAAGTGAGAAGATACAAGTCCAACCTTTTCCAAAGCTGGATTTGCAGATGTGGAACAGCAGAAGAAGTAATTTTTCTGCAACAAATTACATAACTCATTCCAAGTGTTTTGAGCATTAAATGAGCTTTCCCTAGTATTAATTCTAATTGAGAATGTTGGATATCCAGTAAAATCTTCGAATGCATCTTCAGCAAATCCAGAAATGAGCTTTGAATAAGATCCACAAACCTTGGCATAAGCTAATAAGGTTTACACAATTATGTTTGTTCTATTACTTACCCTTTTCTAACAACATGACCCACAATTCGGCAGAATGATTGTGAGCAAATAGAGAATTATTATACTGATCTGTAGGGAATAAATCATCAACGACTACTCTTGTCCATTCACCTCCAGTGCAAATATTCAATTCATAAATACCAGCCTTGTTAACTGAACGAGTGGAAAATAATCTTTCAATTAAGTATGGTTGTGCAGCAATAGCAGCAACTGCAGACAGCATCCAGCAGTCACCCAAACAACCTTGTTTTATGTCATCTGCAGAAATACCATCACAGAAAATTTCGTAATTATGCCCAAGAATTTCAGAAGCTCTGGACCATTTGATATCTTCAATTCTCTTTCCAGAGAAGCTTGATTCATAAACAGATACATCTGTCTCTGCAGGGAAGTCAGGATCAACAAACACTTCACCTGATTCAATTTTAGTCTTTACAAGGTCACTGACAACAGACATATATTCAATACCCGTCAAGGTTGCACTTAATTCCAATTCTCTTTCAATATTAGCTTGTGCCTGAAGTTCAGGGGATTTTACATCATTTGAATCTGAACTAGCCAAAATTGTTTGCTTATTGCCTTGATTTGGATCATTTTCATCTGCAACTCTACTGACTTGATAGGCATATGAGTAAACGAATGGTTTTGTTACATCGGTCAAGAAAATACTAGAATACAATTTTGTTTGATAAGGTTTGACCATCATTTTGTTTTGATCTGAATAATCAGTATCCATTGTACAATTTTGCATTTGTTTCATAAACAAATAACACATATGAGCCTTCTCGCAATTATTCTTGACAGCCAATAATAAGCTATTAAAGGTCTTGAAGAAGTAAGCATAGACAAAGAGAGACGGTTTGACTTCATTCTCTTCAACAAGTTTTCCTTCAGAAACCTTACATTCATACGAAATGTCGAACACTCCCTTTGGATGTTTGATATTTAAGAACTCTTTGCAAGTTTCATTTGGGAAAACAATTAATTGGGGACTATTTGGATCTCTCCCGCTGAGGTTTGCATCCACGTATGAAATCTCACCTCCCTTTACTACCACATCTGTAATAATGACAGCTGTCTTGTTGTTATTTTCAAAACTAAGCACTGCACTACCACTCTTAGTCAATTCCAATGTTCCAAATACTCCAGGAATGAGTTCTCTTCTTTCAACCAAAAGAGAGGAGAAGAGAGAAAAGTTAGGAGAGTAGTGAGTTAATAAACTTGAGCTTATTTCTTCCAAAGTTAGGGTCTTTTCAGGTTTTTTGATAAAGTATTTGTACTTGTAAGTTGTTTTTTCATTCTTATTATCTATTGTCAATTCGTTTAAAACTCTAAGGTCATACAAATCAACAAAATCTTCATAAGTCTTTGTTGGTGTCAAGTTTTGGAGAGTTGTATAATTAATCTTAACCTGAATATGTTTTTCTCCGTTTAAATTTTGCAAAACATTGTTGTTTTTCAATGCAACAACCAAACTTCCGAATCCCATATGGAATGTTTCAAAGAAGACACCATCATAAATTTCTCTTGATTCAGTTGGTTTATCAGCAATCGAACAAGCATAAGTATAATTGTATTTCCAACTCTTATATCTATCAAGGACTGGGAAGCTGGTTAGATAGACATGTTGATCTGTTGGATACAACAGTACAGAAAATTCCTTTGTTTTTCCAGACTTTTCTCCCTCAATGGTTGTATGGAACATGTTATTGAGAGTAAAGTTGAATTTAATGTACATGTATTTTCCGGATAGATTATCAACGTACATATGGGCCAACTTGATGTCTCCCATATAAGAATTTTCATAGGTTATCTTGACCTTATTTTCTGACATTTTTTAAGGGTTTTTAAATACTTCAGCAAACCTAAAGGTTCATCATAAAGGAGCTCTTCTCATTGGTACGAATTTTAATATTAATATTTACGATTACAGTTATTTCTAAGGTTGCCTCAAGTTCAATGTTGCTTTCTTAAAACATCTATCAAGCTCTTTTGATGCTCCTCCTACTAAATATAATCTACACCAATATAATTTACAAAATATTTAATAGTACAAAATTTATTCTTGTGGTTGAGGAGCTTGTTCTTCTTCCTTATAGATACCACTGTTGACAATCATGATATCAACAGCTGGTTTGTATTGTTCATTGACTCTAATAAGTTCCAATCTTTGTAAAAATTCCCATCCTCTCAAAACACGTCCGAAAACAGTGTGCTTACCATCAAGATGAGGAGTAGAAGCCATAGTAATAAAGAATTGAGAATTGTTAGAGTTTGGACCCTTGTTGGCCATAGCAAGACAACCCTTGAAGGTTTCAATACTCAAATTTTCATCATCAAAGCTTTGTCCATAAATTGAAACACCACCAGTACCATCACCTTTAGTGATATCACCACCTTGAAGAACAAATCCACGAACAATTCTGTGCAAGAGTGAACCTCTGTATCCAATTTGTCTTTCATGAGTAACTAATGAACGGAAGTTTTCAACAGTCTTTGGTTGTTCATTACCGAACAATCCAAGAACGATACGAATAGGTGGATTTCTCTTTGATGGCTTACCAACAGCAATATCAAAGAAAACTTTATCGGTAACTTCAACGTTAGCTGGATATGGAAGACCTTCTTCAGTCTTCTTATATTTACGTTCACCGCTGAATGTGAATACCAAGCCTATAAATTATTATTGATGATGATCAATCAAATCATTTTACACTATTACACACATACCTAGTAAAACAATGAAAGCAACTAAAGCACAACCGAACAAAACAGCGAATCTGAAAGCACTATCTTGTGGTGCTGTGACTTGTTCTTGGAGTCTTTCATATTTCTTCTTCTCCTTTTCTTTTGGATCTTTAACCCTCTTTTGTGGTGGCATTTTTTTACAAACTTTTGGTGTGAAACAATGCTCAGGTGTGTGAGGTTAATCAGATGACGTGTACGACTTCTTCTATGAAAAAGATTTGTTAAGAGTACCAAGAACATCCCATAAAACGATAAACCATTACCAGCACGTATTTAAAATATGAAACACATTTTCAAATTTACAAATGAAATTATGAATAATTTAATGATATACTACAGGAATGATTATTTTTGTTCAGATGGAGGCACTCTTTCAACAAGGGCAACACCACCAAGACCACCAGCTGCACAGACGGAAAGAATTGCATATCTCTTATTACTTCTCCTCAATTCATTCATTGCTGATGTCAAAATACGACCACCAGTTGCACTGAAAGGATGGCCAAGAGAAATTGAAGATCCATTTACGTTCAATTTTTCAGGTGGAATAACACCAAGAGCCTTACTCTTACCAAGTCTCTTTTGACAGAATTCATCACTAGCAAGACATGCAGTGGTTGACAAGACTTGAGCAGCAAAAGCTTCGTGAATTTCAAACAAATCAACTTGATCCAGTGTAACACCTGCACCATCCAAAACCTTTGGGAAGGCTAAAACTGGAGCAAGAAGAAGTTGTGGATATGGATCAACGGCAGTTGTAGCATATGATGAAATTCTGATATCTGTTGGATAACCCAATTCTTTGGCTTTCTCTTCACTCATAACTAATACACAACTAGCACCATCAGTAAGAGGGGATGATGAGGCAGCAGTGACAGTACCAGTCTTTCTGAATACAGGTTTCAATTTACCCATCTTTGAAACATCACTATCTTCACGAATAAGGTTATCTCTATTTACAATTTTACCATTCTTCAAACGGACTGGAGAAATTTCTTCCTCAAATTTACCTTCACGTCTTGCCTTGGCAGCATTCTTATGAGATGCAGTGGCAAATTCATCTTGTACATTTCTTGTAATCTTATTCAAATCGGCCATTAAATCAGCATGATAACCCATAGTCTATAATTTAAATGTCAACAACATATTGAAATAATTATTAACATACCTTTCCAGTTGATCTTTCGGCAATTGCAGGAGCAGTTGGAATCCAAGATAATGGTGATCCTGCATCTTTAAAGAATTGAATTAATCCCTTCATAGATCCTTTATCCTTTCCATAACTGTATTTTCCGAGAGCTAATGTCAAATTTCTAACAGTAAATTAATTGAAAATAAATTCATAGTTCATCAAATAAATACAAACCTCGGTAAGGCCATTTCACCATTAGACATAGAGTCACTGCCACCAGCTACAACTACATCAGCAGCACCATGTTCAATCAATCTAATTCCTTGTAAAATTGCTTCAAGACCAGACAAACAAGCTCTACTGACAGTCACACCAGTAATTTTCTTTGGTAAATTTAAATCAATGACAATTTCTCTAGCAACATTTGGTGCTTTAGTATTTAATACAACATTTCCCCAAATAATTTCATCAATAAGGTTTGGATCCAATTTTGTCTTCTTTAAAAGTCCTTCAACAGCAGAAACTCCCAATCCAATAGAATCAACCTTTAAAATTGTATCAAATCTTCATTAAAAATCCTCATCACTATCAACCTACCTCCATTAAATCTCCAAAAGCTTTAACAAAAGGTGTACGGGCACCACATACAATAACTGCTTTTCTCTTTTTTTGACTATCGGACACTGATGAAGTTTCATTAAATCCAACAAATGATTCATTTAAAAGAGTTTCCTCCTTCAAAGATGATCCAAATTGATGTTCTCCATTACTACTATTCAATGATGAAGGAAACAAGTGTTGTTGGAGCACAGACATACGTCTTGCTGAAGACGAGCTTTGAGTTGATTTCATTTTTTCCGTTTGTTATTTGATGAAAATATTTTCCGTTCGGCATTAAAAACTCTTCATAAAATTGCGAGATGAAAAATGCAAGCCTTCGATAGTGTTAGTCGGGATGTTGAGAGAAGTAATTTTGTAAACGAGAAATAAATAGGAGAATATTTAATTCAATGTAAGTATTGAATTAAGATTATTAATTGAAAACTAATTTAATGAAATGTTTAAAAGAAGAACAAATTGATAATGATTAAATGTAAACTTACAAAAAAATGTGTCTATCAGAAAAGTGTTGTTTTTACTTTATTGTGATGATTGTTGCTGTGGTGGGCATCATCACAATGGATTTTAGTATTTTAATGTCGGAATCATCGGGAATATATGCAATCAAGGAGAAGAATGAAACAAAATTATTCGAGACGAGGAATGGACCTATTCAATTTCATACTTTAAATTATGAGGGAAAATCCAAGTCGGAATCGAGAGAATTGTTCTTATACATGTAGGTTTTAAATTGGTGGATTGCCATATATTGAATTAAATCATAGACATGGAACACCAGGAGGCTATGAAGAAGGAGCTAATTTTATGAAATCATGTCCAAAGGATTGGATTGTTGTTTCACCTTCTAGAATTGGATATGGTTTGACAAACTATTCCAGAATCAATAAGGATGAAGTTCGTGCAATGAGATTTTATTTTCCTGTCGAAGAAAAGTTTTCTCCATTGATTAATGCTTTTGATATTACCAATGTTACACACATGTTAAATATTTATGAATTGGAATCATTGAAAGAAAGAAATTCATCTTCACCACCTTTATTGAACTTTTTGATTGAGAGAAATGGTGAAATGATGATTGATTTAATGAATCATCTCTTTGGAAGTAATTCAAAATTTAATATTATTTCAGTTTCTGGAGGTGGACCATTTGGAATGCACATTGCTAAAAAGTACCCAAGCAGAGTGAAATCTCTGCAATTAATTGCACCTGTTACGAGAAATTTAATGATTGGAAGAGGAGAATCACCAAAGAAAATTTCAAATCTTGTGAATTTAATGAATGAAAAACAGGAAACTAATGAGGAGATTATAGTATCCAAGATTGGGGACCAAAGCGATGATTCAAATTTGAAGAGTAAATTTTTGGGTATGGATGTAGAGGAGCCAAAGCCATTTAATGCCAGTATTGGATTTGGTGCTTTTGCTATGGATCCATCTGTAATGTTCAGAAGTCAAAAGCCAATTTTAAAGTTGATGAGCTATATGGTTGTAAGATTGGTAAAGTTCTTCCCTGATCTAATTCTAAAGTTCTCCGTTGTCAACACTGAACCAGAAATGTTGGACATGAAATGCCTCGAGAAGACTAAAATCACATTTGAAAAGTATCAATTAAGAGAAGGACTCGAGTACAACATTGCCACAATTCACAATAAGAATATTGGATACATTACTGATTTGCTTCTCTTTTTGCAATTTTCAAAGAGTAAGAAGGACTATTTACAATCCATCAAAACTCCAACTCTCATCCAGGCCAGTATTTTCGACAAGACTGTAGATTATGAGGATCAAATCATCTACGCATTCCAACACCTTCCAAATAGTAAGCTCGTTACTTATGGAGATTGTGGTCAATTATTCTTTGCCAATCGTATTGACAAAGTATGTCAACACATTAATGATTTCATTCAAAAGCATACTCCTCAGTAAAAGGACCTGTTTATTATTGAACAATTGTTTTGAATGTATGAAAGATTCTGTAATATTCATTCAATAAAAGTTTATGTTCAACTATGGAAAAAATTGATTGAACATAAAAAATGAAGAATTTCATTCAACACACATTTTCCCATTGTCAACGTGCACATATTTCCTGCCACCACAACAATATTAAAGGAACCATACTCAGAGCAGGACAGAGTATCCTAATTTTAAATCATCAAGAATATGGATTCGGAAGATTGCAAACTTGTTCGGAATATCATCAAAGTCTTTCATTATTGAATGATGGAAATAATAATATTGAAAATAATATGGAAATGTTGTTGAACAAGTTTATTTCTAATAGTAGTATGGAATTTACATCAAGTAACAATGCTAAAGAAAGGGATGAAGTTGAAATTTTGAGAGCACAAATTAAAGAAGCCTTTGGTAATCGTAGAGGTATTGCAGTTATTTTGAATTATTATTATAGATTGATTGATTTATTGATGGATTTGAAGGAAATTGAACAAGCCAAGGTGGAATTGCAATATTGTATTGATGTTACTGTTGACTTTTTAGGAGAAAATCATATTAGCATGTTTAAATTGAGGGAAAAGTTGGCACTGATACATTTTTATAATAATAATATGATTGAAGCATTGAAAGAGGTTCATAACATGTACTTTATGGCCTATAATTTGGTTGAAGCTCATGATGATCGATTCCCTCTTGTGAAGGATTGTATTTATTCTATTAATTATGTTTCATTCTATATTGATTTCTTTTATGGAGTTTTCAGTAATTCAGAAATGAAAAATTCCCTATTCAAACTCTATACAAATGGAACAGAATTGAGTAGTCAATTAACTTTAACCTCATTGGCTTCTCAATTTCCTGAATGGAGAAGATATGAAATGGCAGAAAGATTTTTATATGACAAGTTGAAGAAGGAGGAAAATGTTCTAGCCAAGCTCACACTCACAAGCTACAAATCAGATACAAAGGCAGAGATTAGAAAACAAAAGGATTCAATCTTTGAAATAATTAAGAGAGTTGCACAATTATTTGAATCTGAAAGAAGAATCAAATTAGCTATCTTGCAATATGAAAAGGCTCTCACTAAAGCCATTTCATTCTACGGCAAAAATTCAATTCAAGTCGGAGAAGTTTTATCACCTCTATCCTCTCTCTGTAATTTGGCCGAAAAGTATGAACAAGGTTTATCGTATGCTAAAAGAGCTTGTGTCTTGCTGAATGCCATTCCAGACAAGCTTAACAAGAAAAATCCAGAATATGAAGTGAAATTGGCCAAGGCTCTGATTACTATTGGTGAAATTCACTCCAATGCTGCTAAAAACCTTCCACCAGACGATATTCAACCATACATTGATGCAGAAAAGTACATCTCAGCTGGTATGAATATTGTAGATAAGCATTATGGTAGAGACAATCCAGTTTGGATCTTGGCTGCCTACAGTTTGGCAAGTAATTATGATTTACTTTGCTCATGTTTGCAAGAACAAGCCATGAATGATAAAGTTGGACAAATGGGAACTGAAAATATCAAACAAGAACAACAAGAATTGGACAATATTCAAATTGAACTCTCTGAGGAAAATCAAAAGAAATTGGATGAATGGAGGGAAAAGGCCAATAATTTGTTTGAACTCATTCGTGAAGTTATAGAAATGAGTCCAAGCAAGTATTTGATAAATATTCCTTTAACAAAGGGTTCAGTTGAAGTTGAAGAAATTATGGGAGAAGATACCAGAATGTTCAGACAAACAACACTCAACAGTTTCCCACCAAATCCAACAACTATCAATGAATTGTACCTTTCCAGCAGAGAAATTCACTTGACAGGTTCAGTAGACTCAGGTATTCAGCATCTCCAAAATGCAATGAGACTTTTCGAACAACAATATGGAAATGAATATCTATTCGAAAGAGAATTTGCCTCAACAGAATTGGCAAATCTTTTCAATCATAGTGGAAATATCGATGAAGCCATGTCATTATTGGAAGCAAGCTTACAAAGAGTTGAAAAGGCTCTCGGAAATGAATCTAAACTCTATCAAGAAGTTTCTCACGCCTACAAGAATATTTCCTCACTCAAAGGACTTTCAAAAGATGAAAAAGAAGAACGATTCCAAAAACTCTTAGAAAAATACGACAAGGAAATGGATCAAGCCAAACATGAGGTTGCAAAAACCAATCAACAAGTTTCACAAACCTTAAAACCAAGCTCCTCTTCTGGTAGCTCAATTATAACCAACAACAAATCAAAGAAAAAGAAAAAGAAGTAAATTCATTACTATTTTTCCAATTCAATGATTCTTATCTAATATCACGTACTAACAATGTAGTAATCATCAGTGACATTGCATTTAATTTCACCGGAATAGTATATTATATCAAGTTATGGAAATATTCAACTCATCCCAATTGGGAAAATTAACAAAATTTAACTGTGCCAACAGGTGTATTCCGTCTTCTTATTCGTTAAAAACGGAAAATTTAATGGCGAATATACCTGTAGGGTTGTCCTTTCTCTCTTCTTGTTTCTAATAATTACCGTACTGGGAAGAAACTTGATCAAATGAAAAAATAAACTTGACATTGAAATTTTGAGTCAATGAAAACTGAAGCAAGACATCAGTTTCGTTAAACTCAATTTGTCAAGCAAAAGTGAAAAAGCCCTCATAAGAAAAAAATGTTAAACATTCTACACCACAATGCTTCTTCACCATCAGCAGCAACAACCTCGTCCATGAATCATCAGCATGTGAGCTCTGCATCGCTGCTGTCACCCACCACTGCTACTGCTTATCAACAACCTGCCAATTCGACCACATCATCTGTGGCAATCGTAACAATCAATAACAATGCTTCACCACGTGGTTCTCTACTTGTTGGTGGGAATAGTGGTGTGAATAGTGGTACTTGTCGATCATCATTGAATTGTGCTGATAAATTAATGCAGAGAAGATCAACGAGTGCAAATTCCACTACATCTGATTCTGATTTTGCCACCGTTTCAGAACTATTGAAAACTTACAATAACTTTGAAAGTTTTATTCAACAAAATGATGGAAAGCAAAGATTGAAAGAATATTTGGAATCAGCTAGGAATGATGAGCAATTGGTGTTTATTGAAGCTTTGGAACCTTGGTTCTCGAAAAATCCTAAAATTCAACACAGAATTAGTTCGTGTGATGAAGAGCTTGATGAGTCAGATTCGAGTGATTCGAACAGTGTTGGTTCACTGAATTCTAATCTGTCAAATGTAATGATGACTTGTTTGGAAAATGATGAAATATTTGTAGATAAATTAATGAATATCAAGGTTATTGATAATGCCACTGAGAAAGTGTTTGGAAATGTAGATATTCAACACTTGTCCTATCTTGACATTTCATTGATTGTAGTTGAAAAATTCTTGAATGATGATTCTCAATTCGAATTAAATGTTAGCTCCAAAACTAAGGCAGCTGTTAATAAGGCAGCAAAGGAGCAAGATGAATCAGAAGCAAAGAAAGTTTTAAAAACATTGTACCAATCTGTATTATCACAAATGAAAGAAGAGGTGTTCAACCACTTACGAAAGACTGAAGATTTTAAAATTTGGGTTCTCTCCAAAGCAATTGAATTCTCTCAGAAGGAGGAACAGAAATCTGTGGAAGAATTCCTGAAAGAAAACCACATGGATGAAAATTGGAGTTTATTCAAAAAGAAGAAACTGCTGGTAATGAAAGATATAAGAGACATGACAGAAGAAGACTATAAGAAATTAGGTGTAAAGAAACTTGGTCATGTGAAACGTTTGGTTAGAAAGACTGCTGAACATTTTCAAAAATAAATTGTAATATAGAACTAATTCAATAATAATTTACTCGTTAAAGTTTAGGTAATGGTACAGAGTAGTTACTAAATTCGAAATCTGTGTGAATATTGTGTTCATCAGTGGAAAGGAAGGCATTTTCTAAAAGACCACTTGGATTGAACATGGCTTTACATTGATTGTCAACCATGAGTGGTTCATTTTCCATTCCTCTTCCATTTCTTTCCATATCACACCAAAAACCTCGTTCTATCATTTGTAATTGATACTTTAGCGTCTTATAGTACTCCAGATATTCAGAATCAAGATGTTCCTGAATAATTGATGTAAACTCGTTGAATACTCTTTGATTGGTAAATGTTATGGATGCTTGCAGTTGTTTGTGGATAAGTTTCGAACGAAGAGATTCACTGCCATGTTGCTGAATGCATTTCTCAAGTTGTGAATTCAAATAGATGGTATTTCCACAAACTCCTCCCAATTTAAATAGTTCTATCAAATCTTTGATGTGGGATGGGAAATCATTCAGACACTCAATATTCTCAAAAATAGTTTTACAAAATGTGTAAGAGTTGGCATGTAAAATATCAAAATCTTTTTGACCATTCCAATAACAAGCCCAAGTTGACAGCTTGCTCAAAAGTGTTGTAATTTCATCGTTTCCTTTAACAACTTTAGCATCGAAAAACAAAACGTCATGGCTATAGTGCTTATTTCTCACTGTTGCAATACCAAATCTGTTCCATTCAATGTAGAATGGACCAATAATAATTGCCATTGCGAATCCTGCATATGGTATTCTAGCTGAAAGAAGATGAAGTTCTTCAGTTTTGTCTTCTTCAGGTAGTTCAGATATCATATTAACATAATCATTAATTTCATCCGAGTTCATTACCCTGACACCGATTTTAATTCTCAAAAAGCTGATGGTATTCTTATTTTCCAACAATACACTCTTCAGCAACCGTTGTGGATTTAAAAATTGATAGGAAAATCTTGCTTGAATGATCAAGTTTTGTGTGATTTCTTGCAATTGATTTTTCGAAATTGTGTTCAATCTCACATTCTTTTCAATTTTAAACTTTTCAATAATTTGTTCAATTTTTCCATAACAACAATTGTAATCTTGTTTTTGATTGATTTTCAGAGATTCAATATCCCAAGCAGGGCAATTATCATTTGATTGAGTGCTAGAATTATTAATGACAGTACCCGAACGAGCCATGTTAATTGGTGAAGTTGATTTGTAAGCAATTACTATATTTCTCATATCATTAAAGAGTTCTACAAATTCATTTGATGAAAGTGGATTGTTGTTTCCATTATCAACAGGAATAGGAGTTGCTGCTTTAATCATTGATCCTTCCCTAGATCTTATAGAACTTGTTGTACTGAGAACAGATCCGACATGTTCAGTTTCATCATCTACAATATTAACAGGTTTAAATGATCGAGATTTCCGTATTTCGTCTGGTGTTAATTTCTCCGTTTTCTTTTGACTTTCCTCAGCTTGTTTTGTTTTTAATAATTGAATATCAGCAAATATTGATTTGGCAACACCTGAAGGAATTTTAGATTGTAAATCTCCTTCTTGTTTCAATTCCATTAAAGAGTCACCATTCCACTTTTCCTTTTTCAATACTTTTTTAAATCACAAATAAATATCATGATGATGATGATGATGAAACTAACCTTTGATGATTTTCTTTTTGTAATTTTTCTGTAATAACCAATAGGCAAAATCTTCAACACTCCAATCTCTAATATCAATATCCTCTACATTATACATGTGAGTATCAGTCTTATCGGATGATACCGATTTAAAAAAACTTGGCATTTCAAATTTGTCAAACACTCGAGATAGGTTGATAGCAAATCTTCCAACAAGGATATGAAAATTTAAATTTTCTTATTTTTTGCAATTTTTTTTTAATCAAATTTCAGCACGCGGAAGTGGAAGACATTGACATTGTTGTTTGCAAAATCGTAACAATTCTGCAAGGAAATTGTAATCAGGAATGATAATCGAGATGTTTTGATAGGGAGGTAGTGTGGATACGTAATTTTGTTGAATGCTTGTAGGAAGATGTGAATAGGAAGGAATATGAAGATCGTTTGGTGGTTAGGGAGTTGAACTGTTCCAAAAAGCTCACGGATATCAAGATATTGCACACTGTAATCTAAATCTAAAAATCTTTTATTCTCCTTCAAGTTTTGGACCGATTCACAAATAAATCAATACACTCTCCTTTATTGGTGAAATGAATTTTGACCATCGAATTACAATCTTTGAATTTTCAATTAGGAAGGACAAATCATTACAAATATGAAATTAATTTATTTTCCAAATCACTTCCATTAAATATAATTAATTATTTAATTCAATAATTGAACATTACAAATTCTCATATTGGCTTGGTAGAAAATTTGATCATCAAATATATATTTTGAACTTTTTAAAAAAATATCATCACAAAGCAACAATGCCAGTCATTGAAGAATATGTCGAGGAGGAAGAAGTTATCACCATTGTTGGAGGTTTGAAAGAAGAAACAAAACCTGAGGAGATAAAACCAATCGGAGAATCACTTGATGCTGTGGTATTGAGTGATGAAGAATTGGAAAAACTTCTTGCTCCTCTTGAAGAGGAAACCAAGAATGAGGGAATGTTCAGAACAATTGATTTTTCCTTGTTGTGCATTGGAGAAGTTAGCGAATTTGTAAAAAAGAGAAATATTGAACTTGTCGAAAGAGACAATGTTGCTGTACCACATTTTAGATTCAGAATTCCATTGACCAAGAGAAGAAGTGAACAAACTGTCAAGTTGTCACTCTCTAAATTATTGAATTTACCATTGGATGCTTTCGTATTCTATTATTTGGTTGAAAAGAATCATCATATTTCTTTCGAAACTGGATCCCATCTTATTGAATCATACAATCCTTTCGTCGTTGCAAATACTACTTTAGGTTTAAAGGAATTCGAAGAATATAAAGCCAAAGTTTTGGCTCTTTCAAAGAATACTGGTTACTTTGATTTAGATAAAGCCGATCAAATCATTCAAGAAAGTGAAACAAATAAGACTATCGATTGGAGAGCAAAGAGCAAGGAAATTTTCAAATTGGAACCTTCTGCTGATGAATTAACACCTGAAGAAAATGAAAAGTGGCATCAATATTTTGTTGATCGTGTTGAAAATCAAAAGAAACATAATAAGTATGCAGAAGAAGAAGATGAGGATAGCTGCGAAACTATATTGAAAACTACATTTTCAATTATGAAGAATGCCCTCTCTGATATCAAAGATAAGTCCATTGTTGCTGATTTCTGTGCTCAAGCATGTGTAATTGATTTCAGCCCAGGATATATTGATGTTGGAGCTATTGGAAGCTTGGATACACTTGTTAGATTCCATTCTACAAAATCATATGAATGCATTGAGCTCAAATATACCTTCTTCCACAAGGCTCGTTATCATAGTCACGACTTTTTAACTAAACTCGATTATAGGGTTTTGCCATTGGCAACAAGCGATGCAGAAAGTTTGAAATCAATCCCATGGACATTATTCTTTGAAAATTATTTGGATGATGACGATAGATTCCAAGAAAGTGATTGGATAGCTATTGAAAAGAGAAATTTCAGAATTTTCTTGAAACAATTAAGAGAATTTAGAACTGTCATTCTTGGAAATGATACCAGATACTCAATTATTAGCGATTATCAATTGTTGAGAGCTATTTATTTCAGCTCTACAGTTCATAGTGGCGATACAACCCTTTGCAATGACGATTGGATTGGATACAGAATGAGAACCATGTGTGGTTGTCCATCAGAAGCAGATTATTCTTTCGAAGAACATGATTTTGATAAAGATATTGCAGATCAACTCAAAAGAATGAGAGAAGAAGGTGATGATGAAGATGATGATGATGAAAATTACGAAGATGTTGAAGAAGGTGATGAGGATGATGACTATGAAGATATGGATGAATTTGCTGAAGGTAATGCTAATGAGGTGATGAATCAATTCCTTCAAGAACTTGCCTTTGGTGGCCAAAAGAAGAAGAAGGGAGGAAAAGGTGGCGAAATGCCTCCAGGTTGCCCACAACAATAAATTATTACGCACCTTACAAGCAATGCTTGATTTTATTGAGTGTGGTGGTCGTTATTTGGCGGCTTCAGTGGCAAATATGGCGACCTTTACAAAAATCTGTATAACTTAAATTTTGCTATTAAAGAAATCCCTTACCTTATTTGTTTTAAGGAGTGTTACTGTTGTTTCCTTTGATGTTCTATTCAATAGTATTGATACATCTCAGCACGCTCAATGGAATATACCACCTGCCAAAGATACTATATTATTTAACAACATCATACTCTCCACTATTACATTACACAATAGAATAGTAGTAACAATGGTACATGGTTATTAACTAACTCTTACAACTGCGAGCACCAATATCGAATCGTTGATGGAATGGATAGTGGAATGTATTTGCCTCCTCAAGTGTTTGGAACAGAAAATACCTTAAAAGAAAAGCACGACTGAGGTGTTTGTTAGTTTTCCCCATTTTGAAGATACGATAAGAAGGAAGAGAAGGGACTGTCTTTAGAAACCAACAACAACAACAACAACACCAACTCATATTACCAAAGACCAAACCACCAGCAGACTGCTTTATACTTTCATGGAATCCTAATGAATCCTTCACAATTTTCCATGCTTAATGATGTGTCCAATGGTTTTAGAAGAAGCCTATCATTTGATAGTGTTAATCATCAAGCCTCAACAAATCTTGCAAATAATACATCATCACCATCACCTACATGCTCCACTTCTTCACCATCATCCAACATGAAACAGCAAACCATTTCATTCCACTCACAACCAAACAATGCACCACAACATGCTTTCAACATGAACAATTCGAGATTACGCCAACAACAGCAACAACAACAACAATTCAATAATAACAGTCCAACCATGCCATTATCTCCACATCCAATACATCACCAACAACAACAATCGCCAGATCAGGCAAATATTCAAGCCTTAATTAATATTGTGATTCAACAACCAGAGAATATGAGAATGATCAATAATACGAATAATGATTTAATGATGGAGTCATCTCCGGGCATTCCCAATAATGAATATGAATCTTTTAATAAGGTAGGTAAAAGCAATTTGGTCACTCTCATATTCATCACACACATGTTTAAAGATGCAAATTGATGATATCACATGTACAACATCTCCAGCACTTTCTGATCAGAACAATACTAATAGTATCAACAATACATCACATCATAACAATGTTAATGGAACTTTTGTTTTAAAGGAGGAAAGCTTGGATGATCTCTTAGAAGAAGGATTGAGAAAATATCGACATGTCAGAAAAGCAAGATCATTGGATGAATCATCAACATCTTTCACTAATTTAATGCTGCAGACTTCAAAACAAATTCCAACTAGTAGTAGAAATCAATTAATGGAAGAACCTGCAAGTCATAGAATGTTTGATCCTCAACTTAATCTACCATTCAATACATGCAATAATTATAATAACAGCAGCAGTATGAATAATTTATCAATGAATATGACAAACCCTCCTCAACATGTCAAAAACATGTTAACTCCACCAGAGATAAGTGAATTTTCTCAAAATCTTTACCATCAACGTGTCTTTATGAGTCAGAATCCATTGATTTCCAAAACACATTTACAACCATCCCAATCCTATCGAAGAAATTCAATGTTTGAAATGTCACAGACCAATAATTCTCTTTCTTCCTTTAACAATTTTCATCTAGGCAGTATTCCATCTCCTGATAATAATAATACCAACAATAATATGCAATATCAAGGAAGTGATTCGGATTCCAGCAGTAATTTCCAATTAACGACACCAAGTATTAGTGTAACCAATCTTTCAAATAATAATACAGGAAAAAAGAAGAGAATTACAATAACTAATAGTAACGTGCCTCAATCATTTGATTTTAATCAACGAAGAAACAGTTCATCATCAAACTCATCAGTGACATTTAACACGAATGAATATCAGGATTTTTATCATGGCATTCATGAAACACAGCAAAAAGATAAGAAGAGAAAAGCTCTGAAATTCACAGAATTTACTCCTAACAATTTGAAGCGTTGATAAAATTACAACAAGAGAAGAGATTATTCTTCCTCTGATTCTTCTTTTCTTCCACTCTTTTTAACTATTGCATTAAATGTATATGTAACTGGAACTGAATGTGATCCAACATCAATCTTTCCTGCTCCACTGTTTTCATATGTGAGTCAATTGAGATTGAAAGCTCAAAAACTTACCTGTAATGCCATCCAAATGAATTGTGAGTTTCAGATTTCTTTGCAGCTGTGTGTTCCTTTCCATCAACAATGAATTTCAAATCATCAGCATGTTTCATAAAGTATTCTCTGGTGATGGAGTCGTCTGATTTTGTTTTCTTACTTGATGTATCTTTTTCTGTTTGTTTTCTCTTTGCAACTCGAGGAGATTTTCTGAATGGTTCTCCAGTTTTTGGATTGACCTCTTCTTCTTCCTCTTCATGAGTGTGAAGTTCTTCACTTTCAGTGGTGGTTCCCTTTGCAGTATCGAATGTGAATTCCAATTTTGAATCCTTATGTTTCTCAATGTACAAGTTGAATAATCTATCAATTAGAAGGGCCTTCTTTCCTTCTGTATTCAACCCTAATTCAAGACACATTTCTTTCAAACCCTCCAAGGTAAATCTCTCCATTCCTTTTCTATTGAAATTTGGAAAGTGATTAATCAATCTGGCCAACTTGGCAAACTTATTTCCTTCAGTGGATTCTCCATAGTTTTTACAATAATTGCTCAATGGTTCATCATTCAGTGCATGAAGGTGATAGAAACTCTTATTTCCATAATCACTTCTCAATAAATCCTTATCCTCCTCAGATTCGTCCACAATCACAGAAACCATCGTTGTGGTTGGAGCAATTTGCTGAGAGGATGAGGAGCCAACAGAATGTTCACCACTTCTAGATGCACTTGTTGTGCTCATTGCAGGTACTTGATCTTGATGTTGATGGTGATGAATAATTGGAATTTCATCTGTTGATGAAGGTTTTGTTGTTTCGTCTGATTTATTCAACAGATTAGATTCTCCACCAGCTATGGAGAGACTTTCTTGTGGTGGTGGATTGTCAGTTAATTCTGGTTTGTTGGAGGTTGCAGTTTCCTCAGCATTGATTGTGTTTAGAGCATTGGAAGAAATGATTGGCGAGGTGGACATTATTTTTGTTTAATTTTTCAAATTTTGATTAAAACTAGTAGTGGCTTAAAAATCATCTTGTGAATTTCAATTAAAATTCCATTTTTGGTAAATTAACAATTTTTTAAAAATTCCTATTTTAGAAAAAACAGTCTTCCTGCTTTATTTCCTAAAGTATTCATAAATAGTTTATCGAAAATTACTCTAAGAGCTGATATGATCTATTTTACAATTAATTTATTTATGGTTGTTATTCTTTTTCAAAACTTGTCGCCAATCAAAGGAATCTGAAATTTGTTTTCCAGAACTTTCCTTTTCTGATGGAGAGGAAGTCTTTTTGAGATTTTCTCTAATTTTCTGATAGAGAATATCAGCAGAAACCCACGTAGAAGTTTGAGAAGATTTTGGAGAATTCTCAAGAGAAGTTGATTTGATTGAATGTTTGGTTTCACTTGTGGAAATACGTGGAGAAATGTCAAATTGCATATTTTGATTTGATTCATTCGAGTTGATTGAATTATTTTCATTGTCATTAGAATGCTCTGTTGCTTGAGATGATTCTTGAGTAGAATTTGAGGAATTTCCATTTGAGGATGCAGTTGTGTTTTCAGATGATGAATTTTCAGTTGTGGATTTTTCAGATGATGTAGCTGCAATGTCAATGATTGGTTGTGGTGGTCGTTCTTGAATATTGAGCTGGGCACTATTGACTGTTCCTCTCACAATGTCAATGGATGAAGTTGCTGAGGAATTGTCTTGTGAATTTGATCGAGGTCGTCCAATAATCTTATTTTCTCTCTGTTGAGCCGTTTCGTAATTTGTATTGATGGCAGTGTTGCTGTTTAGAGTTTTGTAAGTTGTTGTGGCATGTGGACTTGACTCGATATCAAACTCTTCTCCAATGACCTGAGTTCCAATATTGGTATTTGAGGCAGGAGATACTGATCCAATACTAGTTGAGCTCGAATCATCTCCCTCGCTTGTTGTTTGCATTTGTGGAACGTCCATTGAGGAGAATGATCTTCTGTGTCTCATTATGGATGATCTCCTCTTTGGTATTGCTGAAATTTGATTTGTTTCAGGAGAGAGGCTTGTTGGTGATTCATCGACTGCAGCTGTTGGTTGTTGTGTTGTCTTGACCTTTTCCAAATCAGAGTACTTTTGATTCCATTCACGATCTAGATTTTCAATCTTGTTGTGGAGAGATTGTCTCAATTCTTCCATTTCTGAATTCTTTTTTGCAATTTCCATTTCTTTAACTTGATTAATCTCATGAATAGTGCTTTCCAATGTTTTAATCTTCTTATTGGTGACAAGTTCATATTCTTCGAAAAGTTCCTTATGTTGGGAAATGTATTGCTCTAATCTTTGCTCAGTTTCAGTGTCCTTATTTCTGAAATAGGTTAATTCCTCTGTTACTTCAGCCAATTGACTCTCCAAATTTGCCTTTTGTTTTGTGAGATTTTTAATCTTTTCTTGTACATTATTCAATTTTTCCTTCCATGCATGAAGTAAACCCGATTGTTTCTCCACCAAATCATTTTTCACACGATTCAGCTCTCCAACTTCAATAAATTCAATTTGTTCAATCTTGGCCTCGTTGATTCCAACTGGTTTTATCAAGTGATTTCTTGGAGTTCTTGGTGACCTTGAAGAATTTGGAGTTAGTGAATTATTCACTCTCGGAGAAATGGCATCCAAACTACCAGAACTTGAATTACCAATATTAGATAAACTCAAAAGTGGAACTTTACCACTTGTTGGAGTTGTTGGTGCATTTCCATTTGTGCCTCCATTAGTAGTCACTGAAACTGGAACATCATTATCATTTTCAAAGAAAATGTCACCTGCATGTGGATCAAATGAATATTTGAAATTTGATTTGAATTGTTTGATAGATTGAACATTATTATTACTATCTACTATAATCTCAAACCCGTGATGTAAAGTTCCTCTATTCCAACAATATCCAACTGTTATCACAAGTCCAGTAGTTACATTTTGAGGACTCAGAATTTTCTTAAAACAAGTTCCACGACCATGAAGAACTCCATTCAAAAATTCTCCGCTGATTTCTTCTAAGAGAGGATCTCTTTTATCTTGAAAATAATGACCTCTTCCTGTCATGTGATCTTGGACGAAAGATCCTTCCTTTTATATTTGAATTCGAATAATTATGTCGTTCAGTAATTGATTCAATAATTATTGAATAAATTATTTTAGAGTATTGTAATAGTACTTACATAGAGTCTATTGTCTGGCCATTGATATTTTCCATGACCATTCATTGAATCGTCTTTAAATTGACCTTCCTATTGCCATCATTATTTCGAATAATAAATCGAATAAATTTCCATCACGATGCAAATTTAAATTACATACATAAATTCTATTATCTGGCCATGAATGAATACCAAATCCATGTCTTTTATTATTACTCCAATCTCCATTATATTCCTCTCCGTTTTTATATTTCTTTTGTTTTACACCCATTGCAATGATGATAATATTTAGATATGCTAATTAAAAGGTGTGATGATTGTTTTCAATGTAGATTTTGTTCTAGTGTGCTTGAATTTCAAAAGGTATGATGATGATTATCCGATTTGTTAATTGGAAATTTTTTTATTTTGAAAATTGTCATCTGTCCAGCGATTTTGATCCTCTTTTGAATTATTAAATTTGCTAATAGTTCATCGTTAATCTCTTTCATCTACTAAAGAGAACCACATAATCGAAAAGAGAAGAGAAACACAATGTCCCGATCAAGCCTCATCATCACAAAATATTAATTAATTAATTTTTACATGATGATGACGTTCGGAATGGAAAAATTAAAGTCGGACCATTAAAAATGCGAACTAGTAATTTTTTTTGGCGCGCTAACATCATGAGGATTCTAAAGGAAAGCAAAAGCAAGCCTGTTTTCTAATGTTGTATGGAGGTAAATATTAAAGAATATAATATTAAACAATTCATGGCCAATAATATACCCAAAGATGATGAAGATATTAATATTTTAATGATTCCTTCATTTCGACACAGCTAGCATTTTTTCGGGATTGTAAACTACAATAAAATTTTTTAAAAAAACGAAAAAAAATCCACCACGAAAAATGCTTCGCAAAGGTTTGTCTCTCATCAAAAAGAGAAGCACTTGTGCTGTGTTGAACAACATCGCTAAGAGAAGCGCTTCCACAGCTAATCTTCCTGATTCTGAACCAACTGTTTATCATGATGACTTGATCACTACTGAAAACATTGTTAAGAAATTCGAAGAACTTTTGCAAGATGAAGATGCTAAACTCTTCAAACCAAGATTTGAAACATCTTTTGAAGAATTCGAATCACAATTCAGAGAACTCATGAACAAGACTACTTATCATGATGATGAATTTGTTTCCTTCATCAACAAGACCTTGGATTTCCCAAAGGAAGAAGTTGAAGAAATCCTCAGAGGTAAAGAACCAAAATTCTATAAAAAATCTGACAATGGTGATTTGGATGTTGATTGGATTGAATTTGCCAGATTGTTCCAACGTACTGAAACTGAAAAATCATTGTTGCCACAATTTGAAAGAGAATTCAAGGAAATGAAGCAATTCAAGATGGAATTGGAAGAAGAAACCCACAAGAAGCAAGTTTCTATTGATTGGGCTGAATGGGAAAAGAAGTTGGGTACTTCAACTGTTCAAAAGATTAAGAGAGATTTTGAATTGGTTGTTGAAAAGACTCGTCCAAGAATTGATACCAAGGTTATCGAAGAAAAATTAGACGAATTGTTGAACCCTGTTTTGGGTCAATTAAAGGATGACTTGGTTGAAGCTTTGCCACAACTCAAGCTCGTGACTGAAGAATTGGTCCGTGAAACTCCTCTCCTCAGAAGAGAAGAAAATGGATTGACTCAACAATACATGGCTCCATGGTTCATTGATAGATATTTCCCAACTGAACGTGATGAATTGATCAAGGAAATTGAAGAAGATGACTGGGATGTCGAATACACTGCCCAAATCAAGGCTACCAGATTGAATCCTGATGAAATCCTCGTCCGTAATAAGGAATGGATTACCAAGGAATCATCCAAGATTGAAGAAGATGAATACAGATCAATCTCCTCCAAGGCTGCTACTTTGTCTGCCAAGAAGAGAGAAGAACAAAACTTGTACCATGGTGTTATCGATGGTGCTCGTCGTGTTAAGGAATTGGAATCTGAAGTTGCTTCTTTGAGATCATCATCTGAATCTGCTGCTGAAGAAGGTAAGAAGGACGGTGAAAAGAAGGAAAAGAAGGAAGACAAGCTTGCTTTGTCTGACGAAGAATGGTGGTCATTCTTGTCATCATTCGGTGTTGGTAAGGGCGCTAAGACCAAGAGAGACTTTGCTCACTTCAAGAGTGAAGAAGCTGCAAGAGCTTGGGAAGAAGGTGGTGAAAAGGAGAGACAAAGAGCCGAAGAAGCTTTCTTCAAGACTGAAAGACTTAAATAAGTTAATTAACTTGTATTTTGTAAAGATTAGGGTGTTTTTCATTTCCACAGACGCAATTTTTGTCGGCCAATAACTGACACATAATAAATAAAAAATTAAATTATAATATTAATATTTTTAAATATTATTAAATTGTTTAAAGGGTTAATATGTGAAAAGCAAAAGGTGATGAAACTTTTAAATATCAAAAAAGGAAAAAGATTGAAATTAATTTATCGTTTCAAATAGACTTCAAGTTCTTGATCTAATTCAGTCACTGCATCTTCATCAAAACCTTGACTTGTGGCATTATTTCCTATCATTTCTAACATCTTAGTGTGATTATTGATTGATTCTTGATGTGGTTTGTATTCCAATTTAGTTTGTGAAGGTAAATTCAATAACTTCATAGCGTCTTGTTTTAATGCTTCTTGAATTTCTTCCTTTTCTCCATCTGCATTCCAGATAGAAATAATGTCATGGTTTTCTCTGATGGAAATCACAACTCCATTAACATCATTAGTATTCTTGAATTGTTGTCCAATGAATGCCAAAAGTAAATCCTCCCAAATACGAGCAGAGTAGCCACTCTTACATCTTAACATTAATCTTCCACCAGTTTTGTTTTTATCATCTTCCCACATTGGTTTAATGCCTTGTTTAAAAAGATGATAATCCATAGAAACTTTAAGTTCATACGGTCTCTTCATGTGAGTGTAAAGTGCCCAGAATTGCTCTACAGTTGAAAAATCACCAACATTTTTCATACAATCTTCATAATCAATACCCTTTTCCTTTCTGAAATATGAAAATGTGAAAGTATCACCAAGAGGATGAACCTTTTCATTTGTTTCTACATTATTTGTCTTTTTCTTTGCTGATGAAGTATTTGATGTTGTAGCATTATTTTGTTGATTTCCACCCAAGGCTACAGATGGTGAATTTGTTATTGTTTGTGAATGATTTAAACTAGTGGAAGTAGTAGGATTAGTTGGAGATGAAATATTGATATTATTGGAGGAGATGGAAGCACCGGATGTGTTACTATTAGAATTGGTAGTAGTAGTGGTGGTTGTTGCAGGGGTAGTGGTAGGAGATTGTTGTTGCTGTTGCTTTCTTCCGCTTCTTGGCTTATTTTGAACGGATTTCCAAGAGTTTTCATTACTCATTTTTTGTTGTTGTTGATTTGTTGTGGTGGTGTTGTGAAGAAAATTAAAAACCTCTCTCTGATGGTTTTGTTGTATTTTTTTTTAATATTTTTTTTTCAAGTTTCTACAAAATTACAAAAATTTGCGTTTTTAAATATATTTAGGTTAAATAGAGAATATTGTAAAAGAGTATTTAATGTTGTATTAAAAAGAGTTCGATGAAAAATATATTTCATAAAAATTGTAGAGTCAACATTCCATATTTGTCAAATTGATGTTTGGAAACCAAAATAAAAAAATGTCAGAAACGACAATTGACACCAGAAGATACAAGGTTGTTTTTGTAGGTGCGTTTACATTTCATTCTCACATTAAAGTTATAAATAATATTATTATGCAGGTGATTGCGCCGTAGGAAAAACTTGTCTTTTAATTTCTTTCACAGGTAAGAAGAAGAAGAATTTTATTCGAAACTTAGATTAAAATCGGAATCAATTGTAGAAAATGAATTTGATGAAGATCACGTACCTACTGTAATTGATAATAGAATTCAAAAAGTTAATTATCAGGAGGAGCAAGTAATTTTGAATTTGTGGGATACAGGTAAGAGATTCGAATAGTTATTTACGATATTTACAATGTGTTAACATCATTTTCGTTTGTGTATTGTTTGTTGTTTGTGGAAAATAGCTGGGCAGGAAGGTGAGTTTTTAAAATGTGTTCTACATTGATTCGAATATTATTATTTGGACGAATTGATCATATTTAATGTAGATTTTGATAATTTGAGATTATTGAGTTATCCAGAAACTGATTTATTCTTTGTTTGTTTTTCAGTAGTTTCTCCATCAAGTTTGAAAAGTGTGAAAAGACTTTGGATGAGAGAAATTTCAGGTACTGGAAAGGCCTTTACTCCAAAAGTTCCATGCATTCTCGTTGGAACAAAATCTGATTTGAGACAGGATGAAAGAACCTTAAATGATTTGAAGGAAATTGGTGAAGAACCAGTTTCATTTGAACAAGCTCAAGAGTTTGCAAAGGAAAATGGATTTTATGCCTATAGAGAATGTAGTGCATTGACTAGGGAAGGAATTGAGGAAGTTATCATGACTGGTATTGAATCAAAATTCAAACAAGTGGTTGAAGTTTCATCTGTGGCCACAACAGGTAGTAAGAGTAGCAGTGTTGCTTCTACACCAAATGCTGAGGAGAGTGTTACTCAAGAAGTAGTTGCAGAGGAAGTTAAGGAAGAAACAACTCAACCATCAAATAATTCCACCACACCAACTAGTCCAGAATCTTCTTCTGATGAAGGACAAGGAGAAGAAGCAAATGAGGGAGCAGCAACAGTGGTAGTTCAACAACAACCAGATCATAACATGTGGTATCCTTTCATTGCACTTCTTTCCATGCTCAAATCATGTGAAATTTTATAAATATTTACTTTTTTATTTTAAGCTTCGAATAATAAACCTAACATCTTGGAAACCTTTTCTCTAATGAGAGGAGAAGGTGATTTTAACAAGTCAGTGAGGCCTTGTGTAGTGTGTCTAAGATTGACTCTTGTCTTTTGCTCCTTACTTAAATTAGCAAGCAAATAACCAAGAATCAAACAAGCTGAGGCGCAACAATTTGACCATTCACTCTTATAGAACACAACCAAATTCATGACCAAATCACTAATTCTGTCTGGGAACTCTTGAATCCAAGTTTTGGCGAAAATTTCAGAAAATTCATCAAATTTCAATGGTTGTACAGCTTGAGGAGCAGTGGTATCTTCAACCTTAAAGGCATCAATTTGGAAAATTTCAGTAAATGCTTCACTCTTAAGTGTTGGAACAAGTTGTCTTAAAGCAAGTCTGCATGCAATACTGACATTTTCTTCAGGATCTTGAACGTGACATAACAAAATTGGCAAATTATTGAAAATTGTTGAAATGAGGGTATCTCTCATAACACCATCACAGAAACGATGCAAAGCACCAAATAATTTGATTGATGCTTCTCTAATGAGTGGATCTTTCTTTTCAAATGATGGCTTCAATCTAACACACAAGTTCATTAAAAGTGGTGAAATGTAGGCGTCTTCAGCAATCTTGAAAATATTCTTTACACTTGTCATAGCTTCCAGAATAACAGCTTGATTCAAATCTTCCAAATTGGAAAGAAGAGCACCAATAACAGGAGTAACATATTGATGAAGAATATCCTTTGGATGGATGGACAAACTAGACAAACCACGCAAGGCATACAATTTCACAACGACAACTTCATCAGTACCACTTCTGCTGAGTAAGGCATTGATGCAATTGTGGACTAATTCTCTATCATTTTGGATAAAGTTAAGTAATACAGAAATAATACAAGTAGCAATAACTCTTTGACCAATGAAGGTTCTGCTAATGAATGGCTTTACAAAATCAAACATGGCTCTAACATGTTGTGGATAAGCTTTACAAATCTTACTCAAAACTTCTTGGACAGAGTCACCATAAATCTTCTTTTGGAGAAGACCTTCCAAGATAGTAGCTTCAAACTCGAGAGGAGTACTAGAAATAATGGCTTCCTTACGTTCTTCAAAGGTTTGTTTGTGATCTTCATGGCTAGAATCGTGTGTTTCTTCCAATTCTTCCAATTTAGCATTACGAATTGTTTCTTGTGTGAGCTTGTAGAAGTTAATGATACATTGTTGAGCATACTTAGTTGGAGGATTTACAGTCATTTCGTTAGCAGTACCAACTCTAACGAGTGCAGTAATTATGATTGAGGCATAATTCTTCATGGCAATTTGGGCAAAGTCTTCAACAGCCAAGATTTCATAAAGGGCTTGTGTACAGGAGACTGTATTGTGTGTTGGAATCAAGTCCATATCAACTTCTGATGATCTCTTTTCTTCATAGAGTTGAGCATTATTGATAATGTCAAGTAAGTGATCTAACAATTGTTGATTCAACATTGGATCGGTAGAGATAATTTGGAAGCTCTTGGTAACTTCAATGGTATGAGGGACTGGATAAGCAATCAAGGTGTTCATAATCAAAAGTGGGAAATGTCTAGTGAAACCTCTAATACCATGGAGCAAACCACTAACAATTTGTTCTCTTTGATTGGAAATGAATTGAGGAATTAGCTTGATCATCTTCTTGACATAGTTAGCAGCTTCTTGTTCGAGTTCTTTACCTCTAAGTCTAATCAAAGCACTCAAGACAATACATGAGCTATTGGCACCATCAACTTCAGGATCGACCAAGGTATCAATCAAAGTATCGATAAGATTCATCAAGTGAGACTTGTCCTTGATGGCTTCGCAGAGGATTTGTGAAAGTTCTTTGGTAACTTCAAATAATTCCTTAATGTTACTAGCTTCAAAAAGTTGGTTTCTGAGTGGACCAATTTGTTGAAGATATTCTGGAAGGTCTTCATCATCTTGGGATTTAATGTTTTGCAAGAAGTGTTGAATTCTCAAAACAAGATAAATTCCATCAAGACCAGATTTTCTAACACCAATTGTAGATTCAGTGACTCGAGGAATAAGTTGACCAATAATACGGCCCAAACTAATCATGGATGTACCAAATACGTTAGCTGATTGAGATTCTGAGTCATATGCAGAAATAAGCTTGGCAAAATCTTTCAAAAGGGAAACATAAATGTTGGCAGATCTGTCTCTTTCCAAAGAATTTTGAGAGTTGAGGTGATCAGTTTCCAATGCCTTTAAAATATCATCAAGAGTACCTTGGCTATTATCAGTATGGAGAAGTGAGAATAAGACATTACTAACGCCTTCCAAAATTGAATCATCAGAAGTTTGAAGTTCTTCAATACCAAGTGGTTGTTTTGCATCTGTTGGTTTGATAGCACTTTTAATTTTGATTAATCCTAAAACGGTGTTAAGAACCTCGTTTTGTACGTCAACTTCAATCTTTGGTGGCAATTTAATCAAAGTAGAAATGGCATCAAGACCCAAAGCTCTTAACTTGTTAATAGACAAGTATTGAGGGACAGTATTAACTTGTTGCAATAATTGAGCAGATGGAGTCATAATTTGAATAACAAGTCTAACAAGTTCATCTCTGGATTTCAAAATAAAATCACTCAATCTACTTGGATGGACTGATTTACCAATCAAATCAATAGCCTTCAATCCATTTTCTTTCAATTCATATGGAATTGGTTGAGGTGGTTGAGGTTTCAAAATTGGAGTCATGTTTTTAACAACGTGAACTTCGACACGAGATGTAATGAGATTCAAAGGAGTGAGCATAGATACATAACCATATGAAAGAATAGCAGTAGCTCTTTCTTCTGGACCAACTTCCTTACCAGTATTTCTGGCGAAGAAACCAGTTTTCTTTTCTGGAGCCTTCATAACATTTTGCAATTGTGTTAAAACACTATCACAATGATTAACAGCAGCTTGACCTAGACCACGAGCGCATCCCAATCTTTCTTCATCACTGGTGTGATCAGTAATCTTGAAGCATCTTTCAACAGCAGAGTGAATAAATTGCTTAAGTTGACTCTTTTGAATAATGAGACCAACAATTGATAACAAGGCCTTTTTCAACAATCTATTGTTCTTATAGAAAATGTCAGCATGATCAAGCAAAGCTTCACCAAGAGCAACAGCCCATCTATCATCTTGAACGCTGTCAATACTGTCACGAACAAGGTTCAATAATTGATTATCCCATTCGTCTTGGTTGAAGGAAGTAAGTGAGTCACATGTATCAATATACTTCTTCAAATTTGGTAATTTCTTACCCCACAATTGAACAACATCTGGGTGAATATTTGGTGAAAGACAATAGAGAGCACGAAGAATGTTAACAGCAGGTTGATTTCTTCCAAAAGGAGAGGTAAGCTTCAACAATAAACGAGCAAAGATAAAGTTTTGCTTTGGAATGTTGACTTGAGCATCGAAATCAATAATGAAATCATCATCGTTCTTCTTACGTTTGCTGATATCGGCAATAGCTCTACACAAAACTGGGAAGGCGATATCATAACTTGGAATAACAAAAGATTCAAGTAAGAATGGCCACAAAACCTTATCCATTTCTTCACCAAGTTTAGTTGTGAAACTCAATAAAACACGATCACATCCTTCTCTAACTTGGTACCAAGTTACAACAAGTGGAACATTTGTTGATGAATCCAATGAGTCTTGTGGATTGGTTGTTTTGCTACCTTCGGAATCTTCACTGCTTAATTCCTCATCTTCAGCAGTTTGTTGGGCAGAAATTATGGTGGTATCTACGAAAACACTAGCATCTTCCTTTTCATATCTGGCAATCATTGATTGAGCAACTTTTTCTTGATCATTTCCATTCAACAAGGAAGGTGGTATTTTGGCTTTAAGGTCATCGGCAATTTTTCTTTCTGAAATAGAGCAACCTCTCAAAATGACATGAACCAATTCAGTACCACCTTGTGAAATCATATATCCAGATTTTTGTGCCATGGTATGGATGAGAACACTGAATTCGTAGTGAACTTCTGAGTCATCAGCAATAACAATCATATTACCACTTGGGTCTTTGAGAATTTTCATCAAACCACTGACAATTACATCTCTGTAAGAAATCAAATCTTCATCATTATTTACAACTAAATATCTTAAAATTTTGAGAGCACTAACACGTGTAATAGTAGTACCAGTTGGTTGTTCCAATTGAGCTTGGAGGAATGAAACTACTTGGTCAGTAAATCCTCTAGTCAAATAGTGGAATGTCTTCAAAGTTTCAGCAATATTTCTTTGACCATTCTTATAAGAACCCTTTCTGGCAATTGTTGTGAGCAATACAGAGTACAAAGTTCCCAAAGTTGCTTGTAAATGTTCATTCAAAGAGGTTGGACAATCTCTTACAACAACCTTGACAATATATTGAAGACCAACTGTAACTGGCAATGGGTCATCCTTGATTTCTTTTCTGAGTGATTGAATATAGTTTGGCATTAATTTTGGAAGTAATTGATTGAGTTGATCTGTTTCAATAATATGACACATGTAACCAATTGATTGAGCAGCAGCAAGTCTGATTTTAGGTTCTCTCAAGTTCAACCATTCCAACAAGATATGTTTCATAGCAGTTAATACTGAAGAGTGATATTGTGAAATTGTTGTCTTATCAATAGGATTTGAATGTTGAGTTGATTTTTCAGATAATTCCAAACAATAAATAGCTGCTTCCGACCATCTACCAAGGGCTGCACAAAAAACCCATCTCAAGTTATCGTGTTTAATCATAGCCAATAAAGGTAAAGTTCTTGAAAGTACTTCCTTCAAATTACTAATAAATAATAATGGATAATAAAAAGCAATGTCACTCAAAGCTTTGATAACAAAATAATGTGGTGGATTTGTACTACTAACAGGGAATCTTTCCAATAATTGTCCAGAAACCATATCTGGTGAGAATCTAGATAATGCAATTAATAAATTACAAGCACTGGCTTGCCAATCGGAATTCACAGATTTTTCTTGTACCATTTCTAATACAGCCATATTAATCAATGCACGAGAAAGATCATCCGGAAGTTTAAATAATTGTTGTGTTGTATCAATTTGAGAACTGAGAGAAGTACGAACAACAGCATAATCATTGCTAGATGGTTTCTTATTTAAAAGTTCAGTAAGAATATTCATAACAAATACTCTGTGTTTCTTGTTTGATTTCGGGCAAGTATTATTTAAAAAGTAGAGTGATTTACTCAGTAAGAGCAATTCGCATTCATTACCAATTTTTAGAAGAGATTGGTGAATATTCTTGTGTACGTTAATATCACTATCATCCAAAGCAATCAATAATCCTTTCACAATATCTAAATTAATTTTAAATATTATTTGAATTGATGATCATCAATTTACATACCATCAATATTTCTACCAGTGTCATAAGTTGGAGAAGATAATTGGGATGAATCACCAGATTGTCCCGAAGAAGAAGAAGGAGATGTAACATTGCTGCTACTACTACTTCTACCAAATCCAAAGAAAGACATTTTGATGATGATTTATATATTAATTATTTCCAAAAAACCCAATGATAACAACAACTCCTTAAAAAAACTATATTAAATTCCAAGTGTTCCAAATAATCTATTTATCTTCCAATGTTTTTAAAACACAAAGGGCAACAGTGGTGGTTGTTGGGCTTTTTTTTTGAAAATTTGATTAAAAAAAGATTTTTTAAGTTAATTTTCATCAACATATCCGATTATGAAGAAACCTTCAAAATTAATTGAATTTACTAAGAAGGTTGCTTCACTCTCAAGGTTATTATATGAATTGATTGGCAATATTAAGAAATTCAAACCTCTCACAGAATAACAATTAACATGAACCATTTGAATCTACGTAGTGGGTAGCACATGTTTTTGTTCATGTTTACTGAACTGTTCCGGTCAAATGAAAAAATGGCACCAAAGAAACAACGCTCAAACAATAAGAGAAAACGTGTGGATGAAGATGCCGAGGAGAAGAAATCCAAAAGATTCACTGTCAAGTTTCGTGATATGTTGAAGAACTTTATGGACAAACATCAGAACGAAACAAAAACAACAAACCTTACCAATTTTGCTAAAGAACACGGATTTACTTTTTCCCAGGTAAAACATAATTGGTACGATGTTATAGTTCCGGCATTAAGGGATGAACAAAAAAACGTGGACAAAGCTGCAGAAGGTACACAAGATGACGAACGCTTTGAAGAGGAGTCAGACTTTGAGGAAGATAAAGAACCTCCAGTATTTAAAAGTCCAATCAAAGCGTCCAAAGTTGTTGAGCAATCTGAGGTATCCTATTTGAAGCCGTTTAGATTTGAGACTCACAAACAACGTTTCTTTGTGTTCCGCTATCCAAACGATCACCTACTGTTCGAATTTAAAGGTGTTTCCACCACTGAAAGAACGTTCACAATTACTGTGACAGTTCGTGCATTGTTTACAACGGAAAACTTGGAATACTGTTTTTCTTCTTTTTTCGACCTAGCTGGACTAACAGAGAACACACAACATTCGTTAGAAACATTCTCAATAACAGAATATCATCTCCCGAAAGATGTTGACCTAAAATCTGTACAGTATGGAGAAAATTTCGATCCTAATATTGGTTCTGTTTTTGTGGTAGTTTTCGATAAAAAGGTCAGTACTTTTATTCCTGTCAAAGAGGCCTCGTGGAGCATTCCAAAACAACCAAGGATAGGTAATACCTCAAAACAAACCAACAAGACTAGTGTAAGTCAAGGTTTTGCACAAAGTTACAATAACTCGTCTGCTCCAACACATAACGCAACACAACATGAAGAGGAAGAATCTGAAGTTGAACAAGAAGCGAGTGAACAAGAAGAACAAGAATAAATTTTAATTAAGGGAGGATAGAACGGAAAAGAATGGAATTACACAGACTCTGAATTCATTTGAAAATGGCAATAACAAGAAAATGGAAGCAAGTTATAGGTTTGAACATGCGCAACGAAGGTTGTAAAAAGGGAGAAGGGAGGGAATTATTGTATCACTCATTAAGGATCAAACAACAATTCATTTCCTTCTCATCATGCTTAATTCCCAAGCCAGATATTGAGAGTTCATGATAAGCTCATTGTTCTTGCTTTCTTATGGAAAATTGAACTCAATTTAAGATTTTTGCTAAGTGGAAAAAACAAACAAATGTTACTGGCTCCATAATGGAAGAGGAAATTATTAGGAAATCCTCCAATAATGATTCCACCATTTGGAAAATAATCAAATCGAAAGTAGTCTAGCTAGGAGGCACAATTAAACAAATATATATTCAATTCATCATTTAAAAAAGAATTTTCCGCTCAAGTCAATAAGAAGAACATGTATCCTATCACAATGAAAATAATTCAATTGTTGGTGGGGTTTTAAAAGGAGGAGGGATATTGGAAAATTATAAAACAAGCCTTTGAAAAAATGTCTCGAACAAGGAAAACCTTTCACTGCTTGCGAGCTTTGATTAAATTTTCGCTCAAGTATTCGACACTAATCTACATGATGATGATCGGAATGTTGTTTGTTTATTCATTCTATACGAGTTATGTGGTTCCATTCAAATGGAAAGGAGAAGAAATTGATTTGGATGGAGATGGGACTATTGACCAGGTTAGGTTTGATGATGTTTTATTATCATCTGTCTCATTGAGTAATGATTCAGTGGTTAATGATCCTTTGCATGTTGACACGTTTAGGACATTTACAAAGACTAATTCAACACATTTTCAATTGCCAATATTTGGATACATTTATTATAATACTGATTTGGAGTTTTATTATCACCAATTATTTAGATTCAAAGTGGAGGATTCCAAGACAAGTTACCTCTCAGAATTTCATCATTTGGTGCATTTGACCTACAAGTTGTATTTGAAATTTTTATTCAATGTCATGCAATTTGCATTCAATATTGAGTATTCAATTTTCAAGGAATTGGAATTGTTCTTTTTGAGATTTGCTGCACCATCTCAAATGAAAATTAATGTTTTCATTCCTCTATTGAATAGAAATTTTACTCTCAAAAGTGATGAGTATGGATATTTTTATCATGAAATTGCAATGGAAAAAAATAGATATAAGGAACTATTTTGTGATAACAAGGTGGAATGGATGAATTATACGGTACAAATATTGGATCATATCAAGAATGGACAAATACTCTTTAACTGTGATGCATTTTTGGAAGAAAGCTCTCTTTACTCTGTTATTAGTGATATCGATGATAGTATTAAAATCACTAATGTAACATCAGGTTTATCTGAAATGATGAAAAGAACCTTCAACCCATTCAGGGCTGTACCTTACATTAACGAAACATTTGTAAAACTCAAAACAACCTATCCATCAACAAATTTCCACTATGTTAGCAGTAGCCCATTCGTATTATACAACAAATTGGAATCGTTTATTTTAGATAATAGATTTCCAATTGGAAGTTTCCACTTACGTGTTTCTCACCTAGATAATTACACATTTTTTACCATGCTAAAATCAAGCAAGATATCCAAACCTGAAAGTATTCACCAAATTATTAGATCTTATCCAAAAAGAAAGTTTCTTTTTTTAGGAGACAGTGCAGAGCAAGATCCTGATATTTACGCAAAGATTCATACTGCCTATCCAAATCAAGTGGAGAAGATAATTATTAGATGTGCCTCCAAAACAGTAGCTGCATGTATTGAAAAAGTGGAGCATGCAATTCAAGCTAATTCAGTTCCTAGACTGAAGATGAGCTATTTTATTAATGATGAAGATATTTCAAAAGTAATGCTATTTTAGTTGAATCTATGAGATATAATACCTGTCTCGTAATCAAAATTGAAATTGCCTTCATCAAATGGTGTGTTGCCAAATATGTCTCTATGATTTGGATCTGCATCAAATTTGTGAATCAGGTTGTAAATTACTGGAATACGATAGTAATTATCTGCTGTAAAGTTATGAAGAATTGTGCTATTGTAATTATTTACAATTTTAGCTAATTTGGGTTGTTTTTCTAAAATCATATTGATAAGTAAATTATCATGAGCCAATGGAAAATGTAAAATTGTGTCTCCCAACTCATTTTGAAAAAGCAACTCATAGTCACTCATTTCATTCAACAATGCAACACCAAGTTGGAAATTGTTGAAAATTAGACCCAGGATAGGAACGGTAACAGAAGGCAAATACTTTTCAGCATTTTTGTTTGAAATGCATTTAACATGTTCATATAATACATGTTTCTCTTCTGTGGGTAAAACCTTCTTAATAACTGTATAAATGGCAAATAATTCATTATCGTTAGTGTTGTGTCCAAAAATCCTCTCAAGCAATAAATCTCTCAAAAATTGGGCAAATATTCTTACAGATAGTTTGTTTTTCATATAGTTCAGTGCTAAAGGTAGGTAATCTGATGTTAGGGTGTTGAGAGTGAGTTCTTGCATCATTTTTGTTGGTATCCATCCATATTTTAAGCTAGAAATTGTTCCATCAACGGTAGGCGTTTGCAATCTACCATTCTGATAGGTATTAGCCAAATAAATAATATAACAGTAAATGAGATTTGGCTCATTATTTGCTATCATTGCTATGGAGAATTCTATTGGAATCCTTTTCTCCTTAAACATGAATTCAGAAATATTTTTCTTTTGTTTGATTGGGAGGGCATCTTGGAATTGTAAGAAATTTAAAGGATGATTTGCACCTGTGCATCTGAAATAATCATACGAAAAAAAAGTCTTCATTCTCTCGTTCAAGATGAAAGTGTCGTTTGAGTGGGAATGAATCACGAGCTTCTCATTATCATCACCAATTGATTCAGTTTGGAGTTCATCATTGACAAAGTATTTGAACTGGCCATCAAAGTCACAATGCTCCTCCTCATCATTAAGAAAGCTTTCTATTATACAAGATCTTGAAAGAGAGTTTGCAAGATTTTCAAACTCGTCTATAAAAACATTTGCACAATTGAAAAAAGATATCCTTTCAATATTGTGCAAATTGCCTTGATCGGTCACAAAGTAAGGCGGTACAACACAAGATACCATGTCAACTGTTTTCAACCCTTTGAGTGATTTCAATATCCAAGTAAGAAATGCCGAATCCATTCCACTAAATACTATGTGCTTGATAGTATTATTTTCTCCTAAATATTGTGATACCTCCTCAAGAAAATTAGCATTCAGATGGTCTAAAGTAATTTTTGTCGGAATGTTATCTGCTGGAACTAGTTCTTGATAAAATTGAGCCTTTTCAATAGCTTTTGTGTCCCTTTTTTCTACAAATTGTGGTTTACGTCTTCTTCTTGTAGGAGTTACGTAGATGGATAGTTTTTCAGAAAGCAAGTCTTCCAATTTTTCATCTTCAAGTTCAGTAGTGATTGTTTGAAAAGTTTCCGAGCTTATTGGCTCATTTTGATCTGTAGAAGGAATATCCGTGTTTTTAGGAAATAATTCTGGTTCGGAAATGAATATTTTCTTGTCCAACTTTTTGATATTTTCAACTCCTTCATATATAAACGGATTATCTAAGGAAATTTCTTTTCGTTCCAATAAAGATTGTACTCGTATGAACTCTAAAAAATAGTACAATGACCTTTTTCTATCAACTGAAATCTCATCGTGAAAAGATGACAGATCAAAGCTGTCAGTTGCTAAAATCTTTAAATTCATTCTTCTGGCACACTCCTTGTTAATTATTCTCATCTTGTGATAGGTCACAAAAGGTTTATCCAAATAATATAAACATTTCTCATTCACAGACTCCATTAAAATATCTTCTCCCAATTTTTCAAGTCTTCTTCTATGCATTTGATGCAAACTACGGGTTGGAATAAAATCAATAATTTCCAATTTTAATTCATTTGGTAAATGTTCCAACAATTCAAATGAACCCTCCCACGAGATTTCTTGATCAACTACTTTTGGCTTTCTCTGATCTTGAATAATCCAAAGTTTGGTAATATCGGGACAAGCCTCATACACAGTCATATCAAATTCATCAGGATTACTACTGAGTGCTTTTTCAAACCTTCTCAAATATTCTTTTATTGGTGGTTTTTCTTCTAAATATAATTTACGAGGAGCCATTCTAGTAACATCTGGATAGCCATTATTTCTAATGCTACCTCGTGTACGCGCCATTTTTTTTGGTTTATTTTAAATTGCTAACATTACAATTCCACTAAAAGTTGGCAAATCGGAATACAGTAATCAACTCCATGAATAAACAAGGAAGATATTAATGAACGACCAAGAGAAGGACTCATTAAAACAAATATTTCAAAATTTTACCCTGCTATTTAATTGAAAATATTAAATTAATAAACAAATGTAATATTCAGAAATAATTTCAAAAGAATGCTCAAAAAATTCCTTCCCGCTCTCATGCACAACAAGAGAAATAATTTTCAAAGCCTTCCTTCTCTATTATCAATAGTACAAAAAGCTTGTTATTCAACTAGTGATGTGTCGGATCAACATGTACCAACTGCCTCTGGTAATTCATCAGGTTATGTGAAGAATCCAATTACTGGTGAAGAAATTGAAGGATTAATTTATGTTCCGAATTATCTTTCCCATGATGAGGGAAGTAAATTATTAAGTACTCTCGATAATCATTCGTGGTATGATTCACTACTTTCCCGAAGAATTCAATGCTATGGAATTCACTACTATTTTACTAAATTATTTCATCCAGGCTTGCAACCAATGAGAAAATCACCACTCTTGCTTGATGAATTGTCGTTTGTTTCAAAGCCTGTTGAAAGGGATTTCGGAATTAACTTTATGAAAGATGAGGAAATTAAAGGGTTGGATGAGTATTATGAAAATTCAAATGATCCTTCCTCTTTTGAATGGGAAGCACCATCTCTAGAACAAGTCATAGATGATAGAATTAATCAATGTTTAGTTCAGGAATATTATGAGCAGTCAATTGCCAAACATGTAGATAATGTAAAGGTATTTGGAAAGGAAATAGTTTGTCTTTCATTGGTGAACGAATGCCAAATGGATTTTGAGAGTGCAAACAATCCAGATATGAAATTTAAATTAACATTGGAACCAAACTCTTTATTGATTATGTCTAAGGAAGGAAGATATGACTGGAAACATGGAATTAAAAGAAAAAAGAGGTTTCCAAGAAGAATTTCCCTAACCTTTAGACATTTACTTTATTATCCAGCACTAAACCAACAATCAACTACGGGCTTGAATCTACAGTAGAAATCAAACAACTGTGTTGAATAACACCTTAGTGTTCTCCATTGAATCAATCTTATTGGTTGAATGGTTACTCTGTTAGGTAGTCCTGATTCTCAAGGATAAAGAGTTTCAATGAAAATTTATGCGAATGTCTAATAGACCAACCGAGCGCGTTTACAATTTCAATTCTAGTTCTTTTGTGCCATCTGTGAAAAGCAACAGGCATATCCAAATCGAAAGGGTTATATTGGCGCTGCCTCTTCGACGAGTTTTGGCCCCGATCACTTGGATTCTTCCAACGATTCGTTTTTGTTTACAAGAATTATAGTTGACCAAGTTGATAATTAAATTTTAACAATGAATGGTTTTTTAAAGATTATTATTATACCTTGAAATCTTGTGAGGGTATTGGGATAACAGAGTAGTTTTAGCAACCTGCGTAATCTCAACTAAACTGCCGATGATATCCTAAGGTAATTTCCTGTAAAGTCAAGACTCAATTCAGACAGCTGTCAGTTAAAAAATATTCAAAATAAAATGTCTAACGAAGATCCTTATCGTTCTCTTGGTGTTTCTTCGTCGGTTGTTTCCTCTCTCAATGATAACAACAATATTGAAGATGACTTTATTGACACTGATGACTTTGAATTACTCCTCTCACAAACTTCCACACATGACCTCATGAATTCTTTCATTAATAATCCAACAAACTCTCAATTTTCACAATCTGCCACTGGTAATGGTGTTTCCTATTTGGATTCCAACACTTTCGGTTCCTTTGACCAACCAACTCATGTTAATAATAATTATAGCAATACTTCACACAATCAACCACAACAACATTCACTCTATTCAACCTCCACAGCAAGTCAACAACAACAACAACAGGTGGGAAATTCTGCTCATCCATTCGATTCACAACAAGGTAGTAGTACTACTTCCTTGCTCGATGAAGGCTCTGCCAATAATTTCAATATTGCTTCTCATCACCACCAACAACAACAACAACATGAAAACCCTAATGATTTCTACTATAAGGAAATTGATCAAGCCTTGAGTGATTATGATTCCTCTCTCGGTTTGCAAGTTTCCAACGTTCATCATCATCAACAAGCACAACAACAACAACGCAATAATATTATCAACAACAATAACGCAAACAACACTGTAGTAGGCGCACAACACAGCAATATTATTAATAATAATAATAATAATGGCGTTATTTCGTTTGGTCCACTCGGACATCAAGTGATTGGAAATTTGCAAACAAACTTTGTAGTCAAGCAAGAGAATCATCTAGTTGGTACGAATAACAATGGTAATAATAATAATGGCCAATTGGTCATGTTACCAATTCAAGGCTTTGATCAACAACAACAACAGAATAATAATATGAATAATATTAATATTAATAATAATAATGGTTTTAATAATGCAGCTGCTAATATGATGGTAAATCATCAACAGGCAACTAATTATCATCAACCACAACAATTGGTTGGTTTTAATAATGCTGCTAATAATACTGCTTCTAATAATTCTGTTGATATGTTAATGATGATGCAATCTATGAATCAATTATCCATTCAGCAACAATTGCAACAACAAAACATGATGGTGAATACCCAACAACATAATATGGCTATTTCTACTAATAATAATAATATGATTTCAACTCCAAATAGTGGTAATAACTCACCAACTACTTTTATCAATCCATTCCAAAATATGAGTATGAGTGTTGGTACTCCACAATCACCTTCAATGGTTGTCAATAATCAATTCCCAGTTAAGAAGGTTGAAAATAACTTGATTAGAATGGCAGGTAGACAAAAGCGTTCAAATTCTACCTCTTCTGTTATGAGTATTGATTCTACTCAATCAGGTTCAATTAATTTACAAAAACATATTCATGTCAGAAGTAGTTCAAATAACAGTAATTTGATGGGTGGTGGAAATATCATGTTTAACAATAATGGTGGTAGTGGCAGTGGTAATAATTCACCAAATACCAACACTACTATGGTTAATTTCCCTAATAATAATCAAATCATGTTTAATGGCGCGACAACTAATAATCAAATGATGAATAATAATGGTATTGTTATCCAACAACAACAACAACAACAATTTAATAGAGGAAATGGAGTTGGAAATTTGTATACCATGTCAGAACCATCATCTCCTGTTATGGGAATGATGATTCCTTCACCATCCATGTCAAATTCATCCTCTCCAAATACTTTTAACAATACTGCATATGGAAGTCCTACAACTTCCTATATTTCTAATGCAATGTCAACTGCATCATCTACTAGGAGTAATTCAAGATCTAGATCTGGATCTGCTAATGTACTCATTGGAAAGCAAATGGCAGCCTCAAATAAGAGAACTAATTCACTTCAATTCCATACCTACTCTTGTGATGATGAAGGAAATGTTAAACAAAACGCAACTGTTGTTTCACCAAACATTGCCAAGATTACAAATGTTGAAAATAGAAAGAAGAGAAGTCAAAGTGATGGTAATATTCAAGTTGCATTTGAAAAACAAGCTAGAAAGAAATCTTCTCCAATTGCCTCCATGTCACCTCAAACTAATGACACAATGCAAAATATGCAACAACCAATGCAAATGCAAAATATGGAACAATCCTCTGGCAATTTCACATTCATCGATGCAACCAATACTGGTGAATTATCTCTTCAACAACAACAAGCTTTGTTTAGTAAGAAGAACTACATGCCTCAATATGTTTTGAGACACAACATTTATGATGAGTACAAATTTAAATCAAAGAATCCAAATCAAAAGTACTACAAATTCTTTGCTAATCAATAATATTCAGAGTAGTACTCTCAACAATTTATCAACTAATCAACCCAAACAATTGTAAATAGTCCAACAAATTTTGCTGTATTCAACAATATGTGTCTGTATTGGTTAATACTTGAATTTTTCACACATAGAAAGCAATTCCAATCCACACCCGTGTTGTTGAACAGTCCACATAAGAGAGTGTATCTTAACTTGCGTTCACAATCAATAAATTTTTTATGTTTTGTTAGAATTTAAGAAGAAAGTATTGAATTGTGAAAATTGTTTAATTTTGGAGCCTTAATGAAAGTTCAATTTGGAAAGAAAACGATCCAAAAAATTAAAGATAAACCAAAATATATCCCTCATATTTCTTTTACAACATATTGGAAATGTTATCCTTACTAACATTACCAGCAATCTATTCAGCAAACAAACTATTAAGAAATATACCAAATATTCTATAGGTGGCAGAAATCAGGAAGATTGGATTGCTGTGAAAAAAGCTCTGCCTGAACCTTCTGTCACTTTTTTCTCACTTTTTTCTTATTCATGAATCAATGTGTTGTTACAATGTTTTACAGGACAGCTGTTTCCTCATTTTATTGAATCTGATTTCAACTCGGAACACCAACAGTGTATGTTGATAAGAACATGTATTTAGTTGAACAAATGTTAGCCGTATCATGTACTTTAAAGTTCCTTCACATATCACTTGCGCACTTTTTTCCAAAACAAAAAAATTCAGCAACAATTCACCTTGTAAAAACCACGCAAATTTTTTGAGATGGGAAACAAACATGCGAGGGGAAAGGAACGCGATATTCGCCACAAGACAAAGTTTTCTATTATTGAGCCAGGCGATCTTTTGCCAGTCCATGAAATTGTTCAATTTTCATCCCGATCATTTGAGACCAAGCTGTCGAAAGTAAAACATCCAATCCATCAGACTTGTATGAACAGATTGATGGCCATTCCGAACTTTTTTACCAGTGAAGAGTGTAATGATATGATCAAGAGGTGTAATGATTTTAAGAACCTGGAAGATGAATATCCGAAGGAGTATAGAAATGCTTCTAGGGAGCTGATTACTGATAAGGAGTTTGCAAAACTAATATTTGAACGTCTCAAAGAGACGATTGATTTAGATGCTATTGGAAAATTGATTACTCCTTATGGTTTGGATAGCAGAGGTGAATGGAAAGCTTGTGGAATTAATGAAATGATGAGATTAAGCAAGTATGAACCAGGAGAGTATTTCAAAATACACACTGATGGTCAATTCAGAAGGAGTGAGCATGAGAGAAGTATTTACACATTACTGATCTATCTGAATCAGGATTTTAAAGGGGGAGAAACAAGATTTTACAATGATCCAACAAAGACAGACTCTGACTTTGAAGAATACAGTCTCTTGCATACCTTAAAACCATCATTGGGTCAATTGGCTCTTTTCAATCAGGATTTTTATCATGAAGGTTGTCCTGTAACAAAAGGAACCAAGTATATTTTGAGAACTGAAATTATGTATCTCAGAGTTGATTCTTTATCAATTCCAAGAGATGAAAAATTCGAGCAATCAGAGGCATATCAAAAAATTGGCCAATTATTCAAAGAGAGCGAAAGATTGGAAAAGAATGGAGATGTTTATGCTGCTTCAGAAAGTTATTTAGCTGGACAACAGATGCTAGTTGATAGTGGAAAGACCTTTGAATATCTTTTGAATAGACACTACTTTATTCCAGAGGGTCTTGTAGAGAATATCGAGCAAAACAATTTGACAATTCTTCCAGAAGAGATTATCTTCACCGTATTTTCTTTTCTTAAGGAGAGTGAAATATGCTCAATAGTTTTACCATTGAATAGATATTTGAATCAACTTGCACGATCACCAATTATTTGGAAATCAGTCTATCAAAAATATTGGAATGGCACCACTTTCCGTAAATTATGTGAAAGTGGCATACCTATTGATTGGTATCATCATGTCAGAGTTCGAAATTTCACAGAACATTCTTTCAAAGCTATTTGCATCGATTTTACAAGTGAGATGGCAACCTATGGCCTTTTCAATGTTGAAACACCAAACACAGTGGAACCATACGTTGGCAGAAACAGTGGTGTTCAGTAAGTAATCTTAATTTCATTCACTAATATTAACACCTCAATTATAGCTTTAATTTTTACAGTTACTCTGATGCTATGATTGGTAAAATAGGATCCCATCAAGGGTCTGTATTTGATTATCTAAATGATCCTGATGACGATTATCGACATATCCATGAACTTAATGTTGGAACATTCTTTTCCAAAATTTGTGATCAAATAGTTATCTCACCAAGGCATCCACTGTTAATTTCAATCCCACCCTACCTTCTCAAAAAGAGGAACTTTGCACAGTTCATTAATGTGACTCTCAATACTCAAGTACCAGCTGTTTGCTTCATATCAAGACATGTAATGATAGCTTATTACCATAACATTCCAAATTGTGTTGTTATAGAGAAGGATGTACATATCACCATTAGTAAGGTTGCCAACTATCAATCATTTGATGGAGATAGTTGCATTGTGAATTCATTAGAAAAGGAGCTTAAAAAATCTCTTAACCAATTGCTAGTTTCCACGAATACTCCTGTGATAGTTGTTAAGCCGGAAGAAAATTGGATTACAACAATTACAAAAGTCTTACCAAATACTTCAATAATTACAGCTATGGAAAAGGAGGCATTTAAGGGATGTCAAATGTATGCACAACAAGAAGATTTCAGACCTAGTTGTACCTTTTGGAGTGGTCAACAAAGACATTATTAAGATACAAAAAATTCTGAAAGATTATAATAAGTTGGAAATGTTTGTAAATTATAGATATTTTGAAAATTTACAAATTCATCAGTTAGCAATTTGATTTCAAAAGAGAGAAATGAATCATTGAGATACTCTGCTGAAAATATACTCAGAGAGGTGTTTAAAGATTCACAAATTAATTGATAGTGCTCTCCTATTTCTCAAGTTCTTTTTGAAAGAGAAATACTGACGCATTCAAGAAACAATTGATTTGAATGTTTACGTATAGTGTAGGAACTTTTCGATGAGTAAATTTTGTAAAGTTTACAAAAAATATTTTTAATTTACAAATTTAACGCAATTAAGCAACTTCTTGCCATGCAGGTCTAGAAGTAATCTTTTCCCACCAAGTTTTAACATGTGGACGTTCCAATAACAAATGACCAAAATTAACTTGAGGCACGAACAAGAGACTTCCATAAGGAAGATGGAACAAATCAGCAAGAGTAAATTGATTTCCACCAATATATTCTTGTTTGCTCAAAATCTTTTCGTAAACATCCAAATATTGAGCTAATTTTTCACTTGCAACCTTAACTCTTGATTCATCGGCTTCACCTAAACCCTTCATGGCCTTGAAAATTTTTTCAAATAAAATAGCAGAAGCATTTGGATCCCAATAGGAAGTTTCAATAGAAGCACCTTGTTCGAACAAACCCAATTCTTCAGGATTGGTTGGAATGAGTTGATTTCCACTGGTCTTGTACTTGTTTTCCAAATATCTACAGATAGCACGTGATTCATAAATAGTGAATTCACCATCTTCAAGAACTGGAATCACTCCAAAAGGTTGTTTTTCAATGTAAGGAGCTTGCTTTTGTTCTCCAGAGGCCAAATTAACAACAATCAATTCGTAATCCAATTGTTTTTCCTTCAATGTTGCCAAAACACGTTGAGTGCAAAGTGCTGCAGCATATCCATAAACTTTAATAGCCATTGTTCTGATGTGTTTGTTTTTATGTGTTTTAGAGTAATGTGTTTTTTGTTTAATGGTTTGTTATTGTGTACTATCATGAGAGTTGAAATATTGTTTTTTGAGCGTGCGTACTATTTTGTTGAGGAAGAAATGCAAGTTTAGGACGTATGTTTTAAATGTGAACTAGAACGGCCTTTTAAAAGGGAGGATCTTTGTAATAAAATTATGAACCATTCCAGTAGGAATTTGACTTATTCTAAACTTTGACCTTTTTCTGTTGGAATAGAAAAGTCTTATGAATATGATGATTATTGATGATCCCACATGCTAATTCTAACATTGAATTTCAATTAGCTCTTTGCACTTTATATCATTCTTAGAATTAAATCAAAAGTCATTACAAAAAAAATGATCATTTACTATGCATACAAACCTAATGATGATCTCGCTGGAGAAAAATTAAAATCCTACCTAATACAAGATCATCTTCCGAATGAGCATATTATTCAAGGAATAGCCTATGGAGTCCCAACACCAAAAATTAGACTTTTATTTAATTCGGGAAGAGTTTGGAAATCTTCAGAGGATCGTCCAGCAGGTTTTGAACAAGAACTCTCTGGTGAATTTATTAAACAATTTGGAGTTGATCAGGGGTTACTGGTAACATTTATTGATAGCTATACATCTTGTAGTATTTATTTGGTGAAGGATTTGAAAAGAGGTGGCAAGACATTGCTCTATGGAGAGGGTACAAACGATTATGATTGTTTGGGGAATAGTAATGGAGTGGATGTCAGAATGATTTTTGAGCCAAAAGATGAAGAGAAAATTACTCATATTGCATGTTGCTTTTCATTTTCTTGTTGTGTGATAAATAGGAGAAATATTAGAATCAGTGGACAGAATTGGCTCTCTTCAAATGCCACCATTACGCGTTTAGATTGGAATACTTCTCAATTCATATCAGATGAGGATATAGTTGATATCAAGGGAGAAATTTTCACATTGTTGCCTATTTGAAAGATCATCGATTTTTGGTTGCTGGCTCATCAAGTTGTGGACAAACCTTGTCGGATCGTCAAATTCCTGGATCATTTACTTATGTTTCGCTAGATTATCCAATTAGATCATTCTCTTGCTCTTCGAATAAGACACTTGTGGCTGCTCAAGATGGTACGTTTAAACTGTATGGAAATAGGACAATAGATTCAATCTATCCATTCGATGGGACAGAGGTTGAGAGTGTAATGTTATTTAAGGAGCCACTTATCATTGTACCAAAGAATCATCCCAATGTCCTGCTCTTCGATATGGTATCCAAAAGTACTAAGTTTGATATTACCGAATATTTCCCACACCATACTTACCAGTCAATAGGTATTGTTGCACATACAGCGTGCTTGCTTATCTATTCGAAAGGTTATCAATTAACTAGATATTTCAACAACCTTTGGAGTATATGTTTATCTGGTAAATTTTCTGATATTACCTTTCTATTCTAAGTATTTAATTGATTTAATAAAACCATTTAGCATACCAACTTTGCAGCCTTAATGAAAGTTCAATTTGGAAAGAAAACGATCAAAAAAATTAAAGATAAACCAAAATATATCTCTCGCATTTCTTTTAAAACATATTGGAACTGTTATCCTTACTAATAATACCAGCAATCTATTCAGCAAACAAACAATTAAGAAATATACCAAGTATTCTATGGGTGGCAGAAATCAGGAAGATTGGATTGCTGTGAAAAGATCTGCCTGAACCTTCTGTCACTTTTTTCTCAATACGGCTATTATCTTTATGGTGAAGGAAAAAGAATTCGCAATACGTTGCTTCAACATTTTATTCTCTTGTAAAATAAATTCATTTATTGCTTGAACTGTAGGTATTGATTAAATGGTAATGTTGTGTGTGAATAATTAGTTGGGGGTGCTTTAGATGAGTGTAATTCCAAACCATCACTACTACTATTTCCACTGTTTGATTCATTCTTAGAAAGGAAAATAAATGAGTTTCCATTATTATTATTATTATTATTGGAATTTCCAAAATCAAAAGTAAAATTAAATAGAGGAGGAGCTTGAACATAGGAGAGTTGTTTTTCTCTTTCTGATTGTTGTTCCTTCTTTCTATTTTCTTGTAGAAATTCAGAAGAAGTAGAAATATTTCCAAATGAACTTGTTAAAGTGAAAAGAGGAGAATTTTCAAAAAGAATTGGTTTACGATGTTCTTTTTCCGCTAATCTTTCCAATAGTTCATCAATAAATCCATGATTAACTAGACCTGTAAGAATTGATCTCCACTTGCTTGTTTTAGGAATAGTTTCATATTTTGAAAGTAGATTCATAATAGTATCTCTATCATTTAACAAGAGATAAGGGTCACTGGATGCATTCCAATAGGCTTGTGCACTATCAGATGAAACCATACTTCCTCTTCCACATACACTTTCAATTTGTTCAAAGAATGACAAATATGAAGGTTCAAATAAATGTCTATATGAAATTCTTTCAAGTAATGATATTGATTTTGGATGGTATTTGATAGAAATGAGTTGTGATAAATTATCTTGTGGAATGGTAATGTAATCTTTGAATTTTTGTTCTAGAACATCATCAAAATGATCGTGAATAATGTTAACAATCGTATCTAAACTTGAAAGTGTTAATTTTGTTCTTGCTAAAACCGATGTTGAAATATTTAACAAATTATCTTTCGTAAATAGTGGTAATCCCATTAGAACATTTAAAATTTCCTCCTGATGAATTGTCGTTTTGAAGTATGATGTTATAATATCAATATCATGACTTGATGTAATGAAATGTCGGATAATGTTTCTAATATCATTAATGTTATTTCTTACGATAGGTTCATATGACTCATCGAGAATTTTAAATGTCAAACTGAGGAAATTATTAGAAAGTGGCCATAGAGAACCAATAGCATTTACAAATACCTTCAACGAACTATTACAAAGACAGTCCAAAACAGGCAAATCATGTGAAATTAATTCAAATGAACCATCGTTCCATCTTTCAATCATTTGACTAACATTTTGAAATGGTTCAAATGAGGCATGAATCTTTGATATTAAAAATTCATTCCTTTCTATCAAAGCTTTCATAAAACTCTTTTCAACTGTGCATGCAAACATTAACAAGGCACAAAAGTCATAAACATCCTTCTCAATATATCTAGTAAAGGATTTGAATATAAATCTTCTTCTGGATGAATAATTCTCAGAGTCTGAAGTTGAGTAAATTCTATCCAATATTGTTCTTGTAAACGAATCATAGGCATTTGAAATTATAATTTCCATAAAATTGGACATGAATGGATTCTTTTCAATAAATTCTACAATTAGTTTCCAATCTACAATCTCCTGTTTGAGAAATAAATTAACAAGATCTGTTTGTACTCTTGGTGTTAAACAGAGCGAACGTTTCTTTGGATGAATCTTTGTATCATCAAGGAAGAGTTGAATGTTATTAAAGATGATTGTTGCAATTTCTGGTTCATAATATTGAACAATTACATTACCATAATTAACCAAATAGTACTGTGCACATGAGTTTAAATGTTTTGCAATCCTCTCGTATGGTATTTTAGTAATTCCCAAAAGAGATATCAAATTAAGATAGTTGGTATCCAAACCATCCATATATTCATAGAGTCTTTTTTCATCATTTTCAACATGTCTTCCATGAAATTGATTCAAATAAATATCTAAAAATTTAGTATTAATAGTTAAAATAGTATTCAAATTGTTAAATATTAAATCCGATAATAATGTCAACTCTCCCAAACTTCCTATATATTCAAAGAACCATACAAGAAAATCAACTTGATCCAGTGATTGTATTTGTATGAGGATTCTTTCCAAATCATTTGAAAATAATGGAAGAGTATTGTTTTCTTTTCTATTTTGATATAAACGTCCAACAATAAATTGAACTGACTCAATATCATTTCGCATTAATAGTTGTGGGAAATGCAAATTAAAAAGAGCAATATCTAATAAATTAGTCCAACCAATTTTAGAAGCTTCCTCATGGCATGTTTGTAAAAGTTGTGAATGTAATAATTCATAAATTATTCTACTAATTCCCAATTGATAATGTGTTTGAGATCTGTTAAATAATTGATAGACTATTTGATATTGATTTTCAAATTCAATTGGTGCAATGAATGGAGAAATTATTTGAGGAATACATTTGGAAATATCCAATTCTCCATTTCTTAAAAGTAAAGTTTTAGCAAAAGCAACAGCTGTATCATAATGTCCATTCAAGAATGCCAAATCATAATACTTTGATGGTGTTACTGTGCTCAAATCAAATAAAAATGATTTTTCAATTAATTGTAAAATAATTTCGTTATTTCCAACACTGCATGCTGCCTTTACAAGATTACGTGAATAATAATTTGGTATTGGAAAGTAATTTTCACTCTTTTCTTGATTTGGATCTTGTATAAATTGGTGCAAATCATAATATTCCTCCTGAAGTGGTTTTAATATTTCAATAAATCTATTATTTGGTAATTTATCGGAATAACTATCAATAGTTTGTGCCCAAATCCAACGAAGTGCAAATGATTTAATCACTGCACTATTTCTAATAAAATGTACACTTAAAACTGCCAATCTTGAAGTTTTGTTTACACTTGCCAAGCCTCCAAAACAATTTTTCCTCGTCAAAAAACTTGCAATTAATCTCCATTCTTCAAATAGGAAAATATCTCGTACTACTTTTGTCGATTTATTAGCAATTAAATTAAGATCATCATCCTCATGTTTTTCATGTTTGTTGGAAAATGGTTCCGATGCTGATGATGATGAATTAATATTTGTACAATCATTGATGGGTGCATAAAAATAGGTGAGAATGTTCTTGTGGTTGTTGGTAGTAGTTAGCAATTCGTTCATTTTTTTACAGATGATCAAGGAAATTATTTTGCAGCCCTGAAATGAAAACTTTTGGTGTTAGATTCTGTACAGTGCAGCAATTCATGAACAATCAGATTGAACCAATTTTACAATGTAATATGTAACTTCAATTCCAACAAGCAAATACGTTTTACAATTGTCAGAAAATCCTCGAAGATCAACCAGGAACTATTGTGAAATCGAACAGCTATGTAACACTTCTAATTTTCCTTTAAAATCATCACATGGTGTGATATCCGTGTTGATCAAAACAACAGAATAAAAAAACAAGAAATGACACTTTCCAAAGATCAAATTGCCAAAATTTATGGTAAGATTCAATTCGTAGATAATTGGCCAGATTACAAAGTCCAAATTGTTGATAATTGGCCAGATCTCAAGGTTCAAAAGGTCAATAATTGGCCTGATAGTGTTGGAAAATGGCAAATTGTTGATAATTGGCCTGATTATAAGATTCAAATTGTTGATAATTGGCCAGATTTTAAAATTCAATATGTTGATAATTGGCCAGGTTTGCCATAAACAATAGAGAATAAAAGAATTTCCATGAATTTTGCTTGTGGTTTTGATAAATCGGAAATGAAATATGGACACAAAGGCATAGTCACGATTTAGAACACCTATGGCGTGTAATTATCGTATGAAATATCTGTGCCACAGAAATGCTAATTGGTGGTGAATAAATTGGAAGTTAATTCATACTAATTCACAATTTATAAAAAACAATGAAAAGGATCAAAAAGAAAAGACTACAGCACCACAGGTTCCCAAGTTGTCTCCAACCTCAGTACTGATGTGGCTCGACGATGCTTAACTTCTCAAATCGGACGGGATGAGGTGCATTCATCGTGATATGGCCGTAGCCATCCATGTAAGTAAGTTTCGTAATATAAATCATATAAATCGTTCTGCAATCTTAATCTACTGTGAAAGATTAGTAGTTAGGTCGCCTAAAAACATTGTTCAAAACAACCATTGCTCATTCAATTTATTGTTTAGTTACCATTGAATGCACAAAATAATTAAAACTATAGCCAATATTATTGTTGTTAAATTACATGCATTAATACTTCTTTGATTGTTTGCAAGGGTTGAATTCTTTGGAGAATTAGAGCTCGTATGGATGAAACTGCTACTAACAGGTGTAGCAATATTAGAATCATTTGCAAATGGTGGTGCCCAGCTCTGTAATGGAAATCCTCCACCAGCGCCCAATGTACCATTGGAAGATGATACATTCAACCACATATTCTTATTCCAGCTATTAACAACTGATAACATTCTAAATAAGGAACGAACGTCAACTGCCCAAGCATTAGTACTTGAAGTAAAATCCATATTCCATGCTTTTTTAAATTGTGTTACATAATTTCCCTCTGGAGATATCTCTGTTTCTAAAGCAGCTGCATTCCAATAACTATCATCTGCCAAATACATTCCATAATTTTGTAATGTCCAAGCTATGGCCAATCCTGGAATTGTTTTTAATCCCAAATTGTTAATATTAATACTGGTGTTAAGAGCGAGCAATGAACCAGGACGAACATATGGATTAGTACCTCCATATTGATCTGATTTACCATCAGCAAAATATCCATCACAACCAGTTGCTGGCCACCTGAAACAGCTCGAAACAGCACTTCCATTTCTGTAGTAATTGTAAACAGCCCAAAGATTACCTTTCAAAGCATGACGTACTGGATGAACAGTTCCATTGGAGTCTGGAATTAATTCTCCCAATCTAAGTGTACCACCAATGGATGATAATCCAGAACCTCCATGGGATCCATAAGCGCCATCTCCATAAATACTGACACTGATAGTTTTTGTAAGTGTTGTGACATTTGAAGTTTGTGTGCTATTAGTACAATGACAAATTGGTTGAGTCTGTACGATTGTCACATTATCTGGCATTAAAAAAGCACCAGAATAATTACTTCCATCTGATGCAACTATAAAATCACTTGGGAAGGGAACTTTTGTGATAATTGTTGAACTTGATGCCTGACAACGTGAAGCCCCAGTCCAAGCTGCTGATGAATAATAGATTGGTGTTAACGGATTTGATGAATTTAATACAATAATATCAGGATCTGCCTCTATGGTTGCAGTGTTGGGCAAGTAAATATTTCCAAATTCATAACTTGCATTATTTCCTATAGGTAAATTCCAAATTGACCAGGCAGCAAATGGCCATTTCAACACTTGACGAGAGGAAGGTGGGGAAGTTATCACAAAGTTTGCTGCGCCTGTTGTGGAAAATATTGTAAAAAATAAAATTAACAAGAGTAGTGGTTTCATTTTTTTTTGAACTGGAAAGTGAACTACTTTCAAATGTAATGGTATCAGCATCAAAAAGTCAACATGGTGTAAATATCATTTGGATGGATGATCTTTCCAAGCTCAAGATTCGTGATTATTAGGATCTTTTGAATCGTGTTTGTAGTTCCACTTCTTTCAATAATGATCATAATTCTGCTCGTTCAAATATAAGCACAAATCAACCAGAATCATGCGCGCAGAATTAAAAGTATAAATTTTCTGTTTAAATTTTGGCTTTGAAACCAAACTCTCATTCCAAACACAAAAAAACAAATTCACAACTAGTTTTTGAATTTAATTCTATCTGCACAACTAACAGTTCTCAATAGCAAGTCAATACAATATGAAATACGTCAATTTGGGTGAAAGTGGTTTGAAGGTTTCTCAACTTTGTTTGGGTTGCATGAGCTTTGGATCTTCCAAGTGGATTCCTTGGGTTTTGGAAGAAGAGGAATCATTAAGAATTTTGAAGAAGGCATGGGATTTGGGCATTAATTTCTTTGATACTGCTGATATGTATTCTAATGGTGAAAGTGAGAGAATTTTGGGCAAGTTCATTAAGGAATTCAACATTCCAAGAGAGGAAATTGTGGTTGCAACCAAAGTTTGTGGACCATTGGATCATTCTGGTGAACAAAAGCTCATTATGGTTGGTAATCAAGGCAAACCAAATACCATGGGTCTTTCCAGAAAGCACATTATGCATGCAGTTGATGATTCATTGCAAAGATTGGGTCTTGATTGTAAGTTTTTTCTGAATTTCTTCTTGTGATTTGAAATGAATAATTGAAACAGACATTGATTTGTACATTGTCCATCGTTGGGATGAACAAACACCAATTGAAGAAACCATGGAAGCTCTCCATGATTTGGTTAAATCTGGCAAGGTCAGATACATTGGTGCCTCTACTATGTTTGCTTGGCAATTTGCCAAAGCTCAACATTATGCTGAGAAGAAGGGATTGACTAAATTCATTTCCATGCAAAATCTCTACAATCTCATCTATAGAGAAGAGGAGAGAGAAATGAATCCATTGTGTGTTGATCAAGGAGTTTCACTCACTCCTTGGGGACCACTTTCTAATGGAATGTTAGCTCGCGCTCATGATTTTGTCAATGCTGAGGAGAATGCAACCGAAACTGCTGAAAATGGTTCCAAGAGACAAAATAGTGATATTGTTCAAACCATATTTAAGGGCAATTTGACTGAAGGTGATAAGGAAACTTTGAGAAAAGTTTCAGAAATTGCCAAGAAGAGAAACGTTTCTCCAGCTCAAATTGCACTTGCTTGGTTGCTTTCCAAGCCTGGAGTTGTAAGTCCAGTAATTGGTGCAACAAAGGCTGTTAATGTTGAGCTCAATGTTCAAGCATTGGAAATTCAATTGACTGAAGAGGAGAAGAAGATTTTAGAAGGAGCCTACTCTGCCAAGGAAATTCAAGGAATGTTTAAATTAAATTAATGGAATAATTCGGGAAAACAATTCTTTTGAAACATTATGAAATAAATGAGTTTCATGTCACTATTTCTGTTACATTCTTCCTTAGTATCCTCATATGTTCCTTGATTAAGTTTATAATTGCACACTTGGATAAATAAATATTAAGGCCATATAACATTTCAATTATTATTTTGGACGGGAAGCCTGCCAGGAATATGGCAACAATCCCGCTACAGTCTTTGACTGTATGAACAGTGAAGGCAACGAAGACAGAATCTTGTTGGTTCAGTAAGGTTTTGTTGAAGAATTGAAAAGGTTGGACCAATTGTATTTATTGAACATTTGGCAAGCTGTATTGCTTGGTGCAAATTTTGGTTTCATATATTCTTATAATTCGAAATTGAAACTTCATTTCAACATTATTGAATTATTAACGAGTTTCTGTTTTAGTAAGAATCCAGTATTGCCATCCTTCTCCATTTTTTACTGTGAGGATTCATCTGGTATGATTTCTCGTTCTGTTAAAAAATAGAAGATGGATGGTAAAATGCAAAAGACTACAGCACCACAGGTTCCCAAGTTGTCTCCAACCTCAGTACTGATGTGGCTCGACGATGCTTAACTTCTCAAATCGGACTGGATGAGGTGCATTCATCGTGATATGGCCGTAGCCATTCCATTACTTAAAATTCACATTATAAATAATTGACTCCCTACATTCCTTAATAAAAATTGTAATGCCCTCATGAACATTACTTTATGAATTTTAGTTAGATGTCAATCCTTATTATTGTATTGAATGACAAACTTGTTATTAAGAAAGTTCAATTTGGAAAGAAACTGATCAAAAAATTAGAAAAACCAAAATATTTCCCTCACAATTCTTTTTAAATATATAGGAAATGACATCCAGTGAAACTTGTTCAGCAATCTATTCGGCAAACAAACAATTAGAAATATAATAGATATTACTGGGTGGCAGAAGTTAGGTAGATTGGATTGCTGTGAAAAAAGGTCAACCTGTAAACTTCTGTCACTTTTTTTATTGATGGAGTGAGTGCATTGTAAAGTTGCAAAGCTCACAATGTGTTTACAATAACATTTATTCTAAACCGAATCATTCGCATAATGTTGCCCCGAACGCTATTCACCTTCTTTTTACATAGCCTTTGTCCTAGTACCCTTATCAAAACCTCAAAAATAATAAACATACCTTATTCAAAAACCTTCTCTCCCACGTTTCGAACAAAATATTCTAAACTTATTATTCAGGAAATATCAATCCACCAACGGTCAAGTCAACGTCATTTAGAACGAAAACAATCGCACATCTTGACTTTTCTTTTATTCCGTCAAAAATCATTTTTAAAAAAAAGAGTGGTGATTAGGTTCGACATTCTTCCACTTTCGAATTACTAATTGCAATTATTGTTGTGAGAATCTAGCATAATGGATGGAGAATGCCCGTATGAAAAGGTTCAAAGAATCGGAAAGGGTGGATTTGCAGAAGTTTGGTAAGATTTTTTTTAAAATCAATTACAAATATTAAATTATTATTATTCTAATCTTTATTCGAAACTAACCACCCATCATCGCATTCATCATCACTACAACAATATGAACATTATACAAATATACTAATAATAATATCTAAATATTATTATTAACTACATTAATCATCATCAACATTATTCGAAACTACATTCTAATAATCATCAACATTAGGAAGGGCATTCATAAAATAACCAAACAACCCGTTGCCATCAAAATAATCGACTTGGAATCCTCTGATGACATTGAAGATATTCAACATGAAATTCACGTCCAAAAAACAATGGACTCTGAACACATTGTAAAAATCTTTGGAAGTTATGTTGTGAGACAGAGTTTGTGGATTGTAATGGAATTATTGGTGGGTGGAAGTGTTGCTGATTTATTAAAACCTGGTATTATTGATGAGCAGCATATTGCTGTGATTTTGAGGGAAACTTTAAAGGCACTCGAATATTTGCACAATGAACATAAAATGCATCGTGATATGGTAAGTGAAAGTTGTTTGAGAAAGTAATGATAATCTTGATGATTCGGTTCATTGTAATTATTAATATTATTATTAATATTATTATCAATCTATTTTTTGATGATTTATAACAATTGGTGTTTGTAATGGAAACTATGAATAGAAAGCTGCAAATATTCTAATTGGTGAAAATGGAGAAGTTAAATTGGCAGATTTTGGTGTTGTTGGAGTGTTATCGAATGGAGGGGCTACTGATGAACAGAAACGTTACACTTTGGTTGGGTAAGTATCTCTTTAGTCAACCAACATTTAATTGAACAAATTTTCAATCTTTTTAATGATATTCCAATAATGATAATATAGAACTCCTTATTGGATGGCTCCAGAAGTGATTAAACAAGAAGGTTCGGATCAAAAAGCAGATATTTGGTCATTGGGAATAACAGGTAAGTTTCTCTCTTATTAACTAATAATTAATTGAACACCAAATTGCAGCTATTGAAATGGCTAAAGGAGCTCCACCCTATTCACACATGGCACCTAATTATGCAATCTTTTTAATTCCAAAGAATGAACCTCCATCACTTGAGGACACTAAATTCTCAAAGCCATTCAAGGAATTTATCACTTGTTGTCTACAGAAAAATCCACAAGATAGATTACCAGCAAGTGAATTACTGAAACTTAAATTTATTAGATCAGCAAAGAAGAATTCAATTCTTGTTGATTTGATTCAGAGAAAATCAGCATGGGATGAAAGTAGAAAGAAACCACCAAATTTTGGTGCTACTAAAAGGAGAAATATTGATTCAGATACTGAATCTGATACATCATTGGATGATATTTCAGATGAAGATGAATCTCAACACACAACAAAGAAAAAGAATGGTCAAGGATTTTGGCAATTTGATTCTGATACTGATTCAGCATCTTCAAATAACCAAACTGTCAGATTGACACCTTCCAAAAACAATGCTAACCAAACAAGTTTGAAAAATATCACTCCACTTAGCAGTAGTACTACTGTTACACCAGGTACAGGCGTAGAGATTTCAAGTGTCTCTTCAGTGAGTACAATTAACAATACACCTTCAACCAGAAGAGAACAATCTCAATCCCAAGATTCAATCGAATTTGTGAAAAGTGATGATGAATATGACTCTTCAACTCTGAAAAGAAAAACTGTTGTTCTCAGAAAGGATTTACAAAATAATTTGGAACAAGTTTCACCCAATGTAGATACAATCAAAAGAGGAGGTTTACCAAATATAATGGCAGACCTTGTTGGACAAACACCTGTACAGACTAAAAACATTTTAGAGGATATTATCATTCCATCTCTGAAAGAATCAACTTCAAAGATTCATTTAAACACAATTGTGGATGAGCTCATTAAGGTAGAGAAGAAGGATCCACTCTTTTCGAAAAATCTCCTTTCTGCACTCATGTCAAGAGTAAATACCAGAAATGATTCTCCATATATTAATTCTAACAGATCCTCTCTATCAACAACCACAACTCCTGAAAGATTCTCATTGGCTTACCCAGAAGGATTGGATTCGAGTCCAAATGCTCTACTCAACAGCCAAAAAGAAAGTGCCATTGGAAAGAATTTAATGCAAAGATGGAAAATTAAAATTAAAACCTTAGAATAAAAAAAATCTTTCACGATATTTGACAAGGAAATACTTTAATTGAGCTTTTGAAAAAAAATCTAATTGACCAAATTGCTTGGAAATCTCATCAATTACTGAACCATTCACAATCCTCTCTTCACCACATCTTCCTCACCACATCTACTTCCATCCACTCATTCCACAATCCTCAATTCTCTCAACTTTTTCTTCCCTTAATATTTTTCCAAATCCATCTACCCAAGGTCCTAAATAGGAAGTCAAAAAGAAAAGAAAAAAAAATGCGTCTCTCGTTTCTCCCACAAAAACTCGGAGAACAACAAGATGAAACAATGTTATTAGTATCGGTGAATGAGTGTAGCAGCAATGGATCTTCTTCATCTTCATCAGCTGCAGCAAATTCTACAACAACAAGAAGAAATAATTCATCTTCAACAACACCATCAATTTTCAAGATGAAAACATCAATGCAAGATGAAAGCCTTTTAGCATCGGAAGATATTTTCACTTCTCACCATCATACTAAATATCATAATAGTGGAAGTATTTATAAACAACATCCACTTGCTCCGAAGAATAATTATAAGAATATTTCAGTGTCGTTTTTATCTGATAGAACAATTCAAATTATTAAAATTCAACGCCCAGAGGTGAAGAATGCAATTGATAGAAGAACAGCAGATGAACTTTATCAAGCATTCTTTGATTTTGAAAAGGATGTAAATGCACGTGTTGCTATATTATATGGTTCCGAGACTGATTTTTGTGTAGGGGCAGATCTTAAAGCTGTTTCGGAAGGAAATTTGAATCAAGTTGAGCCAGTAACTAAAACAGCAAAAGGACCTCTGGGCCCAACTAGAATGAGCTTATCCAAGCCAGTTATTGCTGCCATTGGAGGAGGTTACTGTGTTGCAGGTGGTTTGGAACTTGCTTGTTGGTGTGATTTACGAGTTTGTAAGACCAATTCGATATTTGGTGTCAATTGTAGACGTTATGGTGTTCCATTAATTGATGGAGGTTCAATTCGTTTACCAACTTTAATTGGATTGAGCAGAGCTATGGACTTGATTTTGACAGGAAGAGAAATTGATGGAAAGGAAGCACATAAAATTGGCCTTATCAATAGAATAATTTCTAAGGATGAAAATGTATTGGATTGTGCTGTGAAGTTGGCTAACCAATTATGTGTATTCCCACAACTTTGTATGAGAAATGATAAAACTTCAGCCCTTGAAGCAGCTTATAGCGGAAAATCGATGAAGGAAAAGCTTCAAAGAGAATATGAGCTTGGTCTTACTGCTCTTAATATTGAAACAGTTAAGGGAGCCAAGGCATTCGTAAATAGAAAATCAAAACTCTAGGTGATTACTGAATAAATGTAGTTCAATTTTTGCTAACAAGGAAGTTTTTATTAAAATCCCTTGCCAGGGGTTTGTAGAATGTATTGTTGTGGAGGAGGGTTGAAATTTTGCTTCGGAGGTTGTACTGGTGGAGTTTGTTGAGTTGGTGGTTGTGGTTGTGGTTGTGGTTGTATTGGAGTTGATTGAGTTTGTGGTTGGACTGGCTGGCAACTAGCATACTTGTTAATGAGTTTCAATTTCCATTCTGGACTAATTGAGTTAATAAAATAAAATTGTGGAGAATTACAAGTTAGTAACTGAATCATCATTACAATGGTTTGGATTTGATTGATTTGGAGATTGTCCAGTACACTGCAAATTTGATAGGACAGTGTCTCATTCAACGAAGAAAAGTTATGTAAAATCCAAACTTCAATAGCACTCAAAATATGTGGTAACTCTGTTGCAGTGACCGACTTTTTGAGTTGAGTTTCAAATAATTGTCTGTTCAATTCTTTGATAGCTGTTCGATTTTCGAGCTCCTTTCCATTTACTAAAATGTTGAATGCAGTTCTAAATAAGGAAAAGAAGGAAGAAGATTGAGGGAGCGAATAGGTCGAAAAGAAATTGTTGAAACTTCCGAGATAAGCACGAGCACAGAATTCAGAATCTTTAAAGGTTGACTCAAGGTGAGAGACTAAGGGTTGGAATGTTGGAATGCCAAAGTAATCCATAACAAGCATAACTTGGAAAATATCTTCTGCCTTTACCTTGGATGATTCAATATAGGAACTGATAGCATGTTGTAAAGCAATGGCTTTGATTCTTCCAAACTTTGTTTCTGGAATGAAAGATGTTGCTAATTCTAAGGTAAACATGTCATTTTTCTTGGTACAAGCCCTTACCAATTGAGATAATAATCCATCATTTAGTCCAACTTTGATTCTATGAGTCTTGATTGTAGTAAAAAGTCCATTTTCATCATAAATTTCAATATTTAAATCATGGAAATCATTACTTTGATAACCACCATATTTTGGAATGGTTATAAAGCCATAAAGATTGGTGGGTCCAAAAGAGAAACGAACTGTTGGCTCAGTATTTGCTGTACTAAAAGGGGTTAATCCACTTTGTTTTGATTGAGTAGTACCAAAGGCAAATCCAGTAGAAGTAATGGCTAGTTGTGATGGTGGTTGTGTTTTTGCTCCAAAACTGAAATTACTTGTTTGAGATTGAGTTGTTGAATTGCCAACAAGTGAAGATTGTGTAGAATTGGATGTTTCTGCAGTTGTTCCAAAATTGAATCCAGTTTGAGTAGTGGTTGCTGGTTGTGATGGAGTGAATCCAAAGTTGAATCCACCAGAAGTAGTACCAGTTTGACTAGATGCTCCATTGGTTGCTTCATTGGAATAACTTGATGCTAACTGATCTAATGCTCAATTGTGCTGTTGTTGAGCTTGCGGATTGTGAAACTATTACTTACTTGCAAAGTCTATTTCTGTAGTGGCTGATAGTGGTGACTCGTCCCCATCATCAGAATCTGCAAAACCGAAGCTAAATGGTTGAGTAGTTGTTGGTTGTGAAGTATTTGATAAAAAGGTGAATCCACTTGTATTAGAGCCTTGCTCATTGATTCTCCCAAACATTTCAATAATATTGTTTTTTTCTGCCTTGTGATTGATATAAACAGGGGAATATCTGCCCGTTTAACTACAAGCCAGAACACAGAATTCTTTAGAGTTCAGTGGAAGATGGATTTTCAAATGCCATCTCATGAATTCTTTAGGAGGGAAACTATGTTCTAAAAATAGCATCTCTAAGGAAGAAAAACACTTAACACTTATAAATAGGCTGAATGAACGATTTGAGAGGAATAAGGTGAAGGTCTGCACAGAATTGAAGGGATTTAATATTCCTTTGTGTGAGAGAGGTTCCAAGCGAAAAGGCTGTTCGGTTGAGTTCTCATCAATTATCATCATAATGCTGGAAGCCGATCATCTCGTTATGATAATCAAAAACCAAGTTGTTTATTCTTCATCATAAAAATAGTCTCTACTAGTACTTCACAATTACATCAAGAAATTAACTTCAGTCAATCATTTGTTGGTTCGGAAGACATTTCTTGATTATAATATTGACACCACAGAGAGTGCTCTATCATCATCATAACATTAGTTTTCTTCTAGTATTATTACTGAATGAACATAAATGATGCAATTATAAGGAAGAGTGTCACTTCTAGGGCCAATATTGATGATTTATCATCCGAGTCAACAATGAATTCCTTCATCACAACAACAACTGTGATGAATACATCTGCGAATAGAAAACATTGTCATGCCTCTGATAAAGTCATTAAATTACTGGCACTCTACCTTCAACAGGCGAATAGCGAACAAGAGTTATATGATAATGGAACGATTGTTTCACTATCAACATACCATTTGGAAAAGTTAAATGAAAAATTGGCAGATTTCGAGGTAACCCAAAAAAGGGAGGCCAATCAGAACAAAATTTTAAAGTGGATTATAGATAATATTGTAAATAGCTATGATACAATCCAAGTGACGAATAATGACTTGGAGATAATAATGAACAAGTTTAAAACTATAGTTTCGAGTATTGAAATATTTTACAAAAAAGTGAGGAGATTTGAACATTTAACTGAAAGCGAGAAGATTACATTAGATTTGAGTTATTTCCACTACTTGAAAGAGATTAGAATAACTGGAAAATCTACAACTTGTACTTTTAATTTGGGATCAATTTTAAACTCTAATGAGCTCAAACAAATTACCTTCTACAGGAATGTAATTGTTGACTCGTTCGATAAAATTGTCAACTCACAAACTAATAAGTTAATATTCATTGATTGCCCACAATTAATTTCGAAAATGGAGAATGATGATTGCTTCGGAAAATCAATTCTGGAACACACAGAGGGCTTGTCTATAGAAAATTGCGAAATTGCAGAGATTAACAATTCCATATTTAAGGAAAATAGGGAATGGAAGAATTTAAAGAATTTCAAGTTGACCAAAACAAACGTTGACAAAATATTGCTACCTGGTGTGAATGTACCAAACTTGGCTGATCTTTGTCTGCAACACAATTCAATCTCTAACATCAAATTCTCAAAGAATAATTCAATATGTACCGTAAATCTTACAGTATTGGATCTAAGCTTTAATTTACTGGAAAATTTAGATTATTTTTCAGTTGTTAAATTACCTAACTTGGAAATAGCGGATGTTTCTAACAATTACTTGGAAAATGTAATAGGTCTCCTACAGGCATGTGATAAGGATAAGTTGAAGCAGGTCTATCTTCACGGAAATAACATTCTAGAGTGGAATCAGATTTATCCCTTGACCTACTTCGATAATTTGGAGGCATTGACTCTGGTTGAAAATCCACTCCAAAAAGAAGAACCAGACTACCTCAAAGTGATTTTGAATCTCTTCTCAAACAAGACTAGACCTGAATTTTACTTTGATGGTGACATTTACTATTTAGATGCTCTGCCCAAATATCCATTCGAAATTATAGATCCCAAGTCTATTCTCATAACATTGCCTCCACCTCCTGTTGAGGTAACTATTCCACCTCCACCATTTGGCATTCCACCACCTCCAATGATGGGTGGAATTCCTCCACCACCTGGTGTTCCACCTCCACCAGGAGGGTTCTTGAAACCAAAAGTCAAAAAAGAGGTCTCCAAGACCAAGAACATCCACTGGAAACCAATTAGAAATACTAAAGACAAGGTTAAATCAGTTTGGGTTTTGGAAGATGAGGACGAAGAAATGGATGAAGAACAAAAAGCCATCTTTGAAAAATTGGACAATTTGTTTTCTGCAAAAAAGACTTCTTCTCCTTCAACCAAAGTTAAAAATCCAAAGAAAGCCATTGATGATGAGTTGAACACCATTATTGATTCATCATTGGCAAGAAATTTAGAAATTTTGGTGAATGGTCTTTTTAAATATTGCGAGTTGAAAACATTGTTGGATGCAATCAATACTATGAATGTTGAATCTTTGACGATTGATCAAATTAAGGGACTTTCTCAATTTGTTCCAGCTACTGAGGAAATTGTAAAGAAGAAAGAGGTTGTGGAGAAGTATTTTGACAATCTAAGACCTTCTTTATTGTGGACATGGAAATTGGCTGAAATTTCAATACTACCAACTAGACTTCAACTCATGCAACACATGAAAACATTTGACACAACAAGAATTAGTGACACCATTACTGCAAAATTGAACACTGTAGATAATTTGCAGAATTCAAAGTCATTCGTAAAACTTTTGCACATGTTGCTGAAAGTAGGTAATTATATGAACAGAGGTAAAGCACAACTGGAAGAAGCTCAGGGTTTCCACTTGAACATTTTACCCAAGTTGAGCGATACCAAGTCAAGTATTAATCCTAAAACAACCCTGGTTCATTTTTTAGCAGAAACCTTAAAGAATGAAAAGAGTGAATTATTTAATTTTGAAGTTGAACTTGAATCTTATGGAGTTTGTAGTTCAGACATATTCAATATAAAATTGGATATTATTCAACAAGATTTGAAAGAAATTCAAGATGTAAGAGAATTATTTCAATCAAAGAAACCAGACATTGATACCATCAAGAAAAAGGAGAAGAATCACAAGATTGAGGCAAACTTTAGTAGTTTCCTATCAAAATGTAACGAATCTGTCTCACAAGTAGAATCTCTTTTTGAAAAGTTGAACAATAGCTACAAGATGGCATGCGACTTTTTCCACTTTAATCCTACAGAAGATGAGGCACTGTCTTTACCTGGAGATCCTCTTTTAATTATTGTAAAGGATTTCATTAACCATTTCAAGAAGGCAAAAGATGATCTTGATAAGGAAGAACGTAAAAATCAACAAGCTCTCAAGCGTACATTGACCTTGAAGAGAATTCAGTCAGAGAGCAAAATACTCAGTTCTCCATCGAGTCCAAGCAGCCCATCTAGTCCACTAAGCAGTCCCTCAACACCTTCCACCCCTACCACACCATCCACACCTCCAATTTCAACTAAAAGTGTTGATTTCCTCAAGAAGAGACAACTCTCAATCAGATCTAAAAGTTATTCGGATTTGGATGAAGAGAATAGCCTTAGTCCACTATTAAAGGCTAGAGCTAGTTTAAAGAAAGGAAGCGGTTTGAGAAATGTTAAAGTTGCTTCAGATTTCACTGCTCCAGAGAAGACTGAGAATGAAACCATTACCCAGGGTCCAACAGAACAAGACTCCTCAAATGATAACAAATCTAATATTTTAGAATCTCCAACGATATTAAATTCGACTGAAGATAAAAGCGAAGAAATTGAAGAGAAGGTCACTCTGGTGGAAGATGTTAGCCAACTAACATTTAGTGATGTTGAAGAAATGAAATCAGATCCAGTAATTGTTACTCAACATCAAGAAGTCAGTGAAACAATACCAGAGACTTTACCAGCAGAAATGGATTCAATTGAAAACACATTATCTCAGGAAGTTATTAACCCAGAAGCTCCAAACGAAGTTTCAGACATAGCCTCTCCAATTGAAAAAATTGAAAATCTACAAGAGAATGAAGTATCTACTAAAATAGAAGACACCAACAATGAAAAGGAGGAAAATGATCAAGTTAAAGTAGAGGATATTCCTATTACGATTGGAGAAGTGGAAGCAATTGTTTCCGATGTGGACCAATCAGCTCCCCAAGATCAAGAAACTACACCAGAGGACAATGCTTCCAATTTCCCAACACAAGAAATCTCAATTGAAAAGACTGCAGAGAATGAAATTCTTACCTCAGAAGTTCAAGAGGGTGTCAATGAAACAGCAGATTTCACTGAGAAAAACCCTAGTGAAAATGATAGTAATACGGAAGACAAAATGGAAAGCAAGGATAATTTGATACCTCAACAGGAAGACAGTGAAACTGTCCATGTTGCGTCAATCAGTACTTTGAGTGTTGGGGCAACTAGTGAAACTTTGATATTATAAATGGGATTTTTAATACTTGTTAGTTTAGTGATTGTGACATTTGTGGATTGCATCTAGTAATGATGGATTTCACTATCGAATCGATTTGTTTTCCGAGCTCTGTAATATCAAGAGCTGTAACACAGCTCACATTCACTAATTTAGAGTTAATATCTTTTGATGTAAACATATTAATGATAAAGTTTCTGGCAAGAGTAACATCCTTTTCGCCTGAATAAGTTTCAAATGTGTCAGAAAGTTTGACACCGGTATTAATTTTTTGTTCAAATAAATCATACTTGTTGAAGAGCAAGTAAACTTGAGCTCCAGTAAACCATCTAGAATTGATATGATCCTCAAATAATTGTAAAGACTCCTTCATTCTGTTAGTTTGATCGTCTTCGTAACATTTTTGATCAAATTCACTCATACTTGTCACAAATAAAACAACGTCCACACCTTCAAAATGGTGAATCCACTTCTTTCTCTCTGAATTAATAATAGGGAATTTTAGAATATACTGATTTGAAAAACATACCGTTTCTTTGACCACCCACATCAATCATTACAAAATCTGTCTCATGGGAATGGAATTTTTGTTCAATTAAGCCCGTTGTTTTCATTCTAGCTCTGACAATATCCTCTTCGGTCGGTATATAATCATTTTGGCAAATTCTATCTAAGTTATCGAAATAGTACTGGGCAGAATCTTCAATTTGGAATGAACTCTTCTTCTTGAATGTTTCTTGCACTCCTGGATCTTCCCACAGAGCTTTTATTTCTTGACCTAGTTCCGAACTCCAAACTCGTTCAATAGACAATAAAACCTTTGATGAAAGTTGGTCAATTTTAAGAGCTCTATTCGAATAATATTAAAATTGGGTCCACACCATTAAAACTTACCTTTCTCTATTATCTTCATTTTGAATAGGTATTTGAAAGGTATGCGTTGCTTTAATTAAACTCATCATGTTACGCAACACATTTTCATAAATAATATTCTTCTTTAGAATTCTTTCTTCCTCAGGAAAACCATTATTATAAATTCTTTGCAATTGTTTGAAAATAGTACCTATGTTGTTCATCCGATAAATGATAATATGTGGATTGGTAAACAACGCTTTCGAATAATAGAAAACTTACTTTTTCCTGAATCACCAGCTCCCAACAATAATATTTTCTTTGGTGGTGTCTTTACGACATGGGACGACTTTTTCGATGACGATGAAGAAGATTCCTTCTTTCCAAAGCATGCCATTCTAATATGTTGATGATTTTTTTTTATAATACAATATCAAATTCTAATGATATTTCGAATAGAGAGAGAACTTCAATAAATCTACTATTAATTAATACGAAAGTACTCTCAGCAAATAATGATGATGATGATGGCAATAACACGTGATGAAATTTTGTTCAAAGTTTCTTCTGTGGTTGTATAAAGCGAAGAATTTTCCAAAAAAAAGTTTCCTCCACAGCTCTCAACTACTCTATTCTCTCTTATTGAGTGTATATTATAACGACAAAATAAAGATGATGATGATAATGTTGTAATTGCCGGCAAATGACCTAAAATTTTCAAATCTACGGTTGTTTACAAATTGGCGGTCAATTCGTTGTTTTTTTTTAAAATTTGAAAAAAATATTCGTGATGGGTTTTGGGCTAATGTTGTTTGATTGAAAAGTAGATGATGAGCAAGGCTTTAATAATCAAGATAATGTGTCGCTAATGCTGTAATGAAATTTATGATGAAATTTAATGCTCGTTGACACCTTCCTCGAAGGAAATTTAATCTTCCTCTTATTACAATCAAGGAATAGATTTAATTCAGAAATGGAAGTAATACGTTGCTTATTTGCATGCATGTCGTTTTGTTGTGATTAAATTAACGAGATGGGAATGTGATGACCAGGAACGGAAGGTAAAAAATTGTGATATTTTGGTTTGGGATTGTCAACTATCTGTAGAGGTTCGCGTTTGGATTAAACATTCCATATCACAAACTTTGTAATTAACACATTCCAGTTGACCATTATCTAAAAAATGTCACCACTAGTCAGGAGGATTGTTTACCTCTTGGTTCTTCTTTGGTTTTGTACTCCCACAACACAACAAGTTGTTAATAATATTGGAAAGTGGAAAAACTGTACCCAAACACAATTTATTTCTCAACTAAAATCAACACATTTTAATATCTACAAACCTATTCGAATACCCTCTCCTATTGCATGCGAATCAATTACAGTCCCACAAGGTGCAAAATATTATTCACACTTGACAGTAGGAGACACCTTTCAAATCAATGAGTTAAGATATGATAGCTCGAGGAATTTATGTGCTTCTAATAAGATATTAGAAAATGAAATGAATTTTAATTGTTCGGATTTATGTATTGATTCGGGGTCTGGAGTTTGGGATAACAAGACCTCGATATATGATTGGATTAATTATTGTCAATATTGTAGAAATGCGAATGGATTTGAAAAGTATCATCAACTTCGTCTTGGACATTCTTGTAACAATACGAAACTAATAGATTCTCGAACTAGGATTGTGGACATTATTGAATCCATTCCAAATGATATTAGATATTGTGGAACGGTAAATATAGGAATTCCTCTTGTAGTTGGTCCATTAATGGACAGTTATGCAATAGTTTGCTATTGCGAGAAACATAATCGTTTTGAATTTGAATGTGTAAAACATGGATGGGAGAATATTCTTAAAGAGTCATTGGATTTTGGAGGCCTGATTGTTTTTTCTCTGTTATTCATTGTGACAATCTCTTTGCTACTCATCCCAAAATCAGTCAATTATTTCAAAAAGGTACCAGGATTCACAATCCTTAGACTAATTCCCTCACTTGCTCTAACTTTCTCTTCCCTATGTTACATTGTCAATTATTCCCTTTATTTCACACCTAGTTTTGCAGTAGCGACTACGTTTCTCATGATGGCACAATTGATGCAGTTTTATTCATTATTCCCAATTGTAATGAGATGGTATGGAATGGCCACTCTGATTAATCAGAATCAACAGGGGAAGCCAAACAACTATTCCATTAAGAAGGTATATATCATTGCTGTGATTTTATTCTTCATTGCTGTCTTGTTCGTATGCTTTGTGACAGTTGCCATTCCATTATTAATTGGAGATCAATATTTTCTCTATACCTATGTTGCGATTTCGTGGTTGAGTGAGGTATTATGCCTATCCATGTTTATTATTACTTCACGTAGAGTGAATTCTGTATTGAAAAAGCTGTCTGACATTGTTTCGAATACTGTTCCGTTTATCAAGCTCTCTAACTTTTCCATACTTTTCGTATTGGTAATTTCTTTTATTGATCTGAATGGAGTATTTGCAAAGCTGGTTAATGACAGAGTATTCCTAGCATACACTCAAATATTAACAGATGTTCTTTATTGCATTCTTTTTTGTAGGATTGTAATATTTGATTTTGATTATGAGGACTTTAAGATTTTCAAAAAGCAAACCAATGATGCTAATGGGAAAATTGAAGAAATTAAACAGGAGCTATCAGTAACCACAAATAGTCATGAACATGAAACATCCAATTCATCTAGCAGTAGTTATTACTTGTTGGACAACTAATTTAAGTAAAGTTCTTGTTTTATTTCAATTGGTCTAGACTATGTCCGTTCAATCTCTGAGAAAGATTTCAATTAGGTAATGTCTAGATTTTCATTCGTGGAAAGATGACAACAGCAATTGATCTATCAACCAGTTCTGTAATGTTCTTTTGAAACTGAACATTAAGAATTTGAAATTTAGGAGATTTCCAATTTTTCCAAATCTTTTGGATCAATTTCCTTTTCCAAAGAAACAACAATGTAAGAGTCATCACTTGGTGTTGTAGATGGAACCAATTTCCAGCTTACGTGAACACTGGCATACTTTTTGTTTAACTCATCCAAATATTTTCTTACTACAGTTTCAAAATGTGAAAGCTGATAGGCAAAAGGCAGCATTGATAATCCAAGAGTACAACAAAAGAATGTGAATCCAAGACAACAGTACTTGGTACCTGGTTCATTGCTCTTCAAAAATTGGTTTAGAAGATTCATTTCAGTAACAAATGTCTTGTGTGGAATCTTTGAAAACGTTAATTCATTCATTTCATAATAAAGTACTTACAGCTTCTTCTAGGAATTCATGATAATTTGTTTCATATTTCAATGAAATTCCTCTTACTCTCATATCACCAACCTCTTTCAATTTAAGTGTACGTTTAATAAATGTCTTGTACTCTGATTGGCCATACTTGTTTGAAAATCGTGAGCTAGTCTTTGAATGATGTTTCTCGGGTTGTTTCTTTGTAATAATGTTTGGAGCTGTATGAGCTCTTTCCAAAGGTCTATTGAATTGTGAGCTTTTTGTGCTATTTGACCTAGATCTTGTTGAGTGACGTTTATCCTCATGATTTCCAATATCAGTAATAGCTGGAGATGAATTATTTACACTGCTACTTGTTGAAAGAGCTACTGTTTTAGTGTGTTCGCTATCATGAGTTTCATGAGTTTCAACAGATGATAAATCCACAGCTGTTTCATGTTCTGAAACATTGTGTTGTTGCGTAATTTCAATGGTAGGTGGCTGCACTGCTGGAATATCAACACTCTGTGGAAGAGGTTGCTTATACTGTCCAGGCAATTGATGTGGACTATCCAGTGGAAACTCTCTCGGGGACATTGCATTAAAATTCAAAGTAGATGAAGGTGAAAACATTCTCGGAGTGCTAGCAGGTGATTCATATTGTTGTTCATTCATATTATCCTCATTGTCCAATCCACTACTCACACTTCCACTCCTAACTACTGACGACGATGACTGATCAATTATATTACTAAATGTAGTCTTCATCAGATTATTATTGTTATTATTTACAAGGCTTTTTGATATTTGAACAGCGAGAACAGGACTTGCTGTTTCATCTTTTAGATTATTATTATCGTCAGACATGATGGCAGTCTGTTGTTGTTGTTGATGATGACTATTCTTCAAATTGGTTATTATCTTCTTTTTCTTCTCTGTAACAATTTGCAAATCCAATGGTGGAATTACAACCTTCGTAGCCGTATTACTATTATCTTTTACAACTACCGAAGATGTTCTTGTAGTTACTATTAATCCGTCTGAAGCAACTATTGTTGGTAGTGTACTGTGATGATTGGCGCCTTTTCTTTTTGATTTTTCTTTGCCATTTTTAACGTTGGTTTTATCTTGCTTATCAACAAGAACAATTTGCTGGTCATGATTGTTTGTTGATGTTTCTGTTGTTGTCTTGTGTTGTTGGTGAAGCTTCCTTTGAGGAGACAAGATTTTCAATTCTTGTTGTTGTTGAGGAAAAGGGTCCATTTCAGTGTCGGATTTCATTGCATGTAGCACAAGAATCTAGAAGATATGAATGGTCTTGATGAGCGGACTCACAATAAGAGAGTGGACTTCCTTTTGATTGAGGTAATTGGATTCTAATTGATGTGTGTTTTAGATGATTCAGGGAAATTCACTTGTTGTTTCTCCTCTTATTAACGGCATGCAATAATTTGTTATTGTTTTGTTTAATATATTCTCTTTTGTTTCAGAGGAGATGATAAATTATTATTGAATGCTGACTGCAGTAAAGTAATGAAATTGGTCAGAACAATTGATTAATATGGAAGATGTTCTTATTTGTTCTCTGTTTGGTATTTCGAGTTTCACTTGTATTGTACTGTATTGCAAAGTAAAGAATTCTTGGTGAATACCCAAAATAGTAGCAGACCAAGCAAGCACTGATTTGAATGGTTTTGTTTTTTTCAAAAAGTTTTGACAATTTGCACGCTTTGGACAAACAATTATTTGTTGCGTCGCCAAATCTTCTTGTTGTAATAATGAGGAATCAGGTTCTTATTAAATCCACAACAAACAGTTAGAAAACAAGACAACTACGACTATTGAGAGTTTGTCCTCCTTTTAGTTTCGTACGAGTGAGTCGCACATTTAGGCTTTCGTATTACTATTGAATGATCTTACGAACGAGGAGAAGGAAGAGAAGTAATCGATTGAGTGGACATCCTAATGCGCTCAAATTGATTGTATTATGATTTTCGGTTGTTAAGTCGGTAAAAGGAATAGCTCGGTCAATTGAGGTTGTAATCGTTTCGTATTTTATCCACTGAATATCCTTAATAATCATTAACAGCACCACCAGAATTATTAAACATACTAGATTGTAAATAACTTTAGTGAGAATCTTTGTTGTTTTTCAAAAACTTTTGCAGAATGACATCAGCAGCAATACGAGGAGACATTTCTCCCTTTTCAACTCTATCTTGTACATTATTAATGAACAAGCTTGTGTTTTCATCTGTTTGAAGGAGTCTGGTAATTAATTCTTCATTGACTTGTTTCCACATCCAGGTCTTTCTTTGTTCTTGTCTCTTTTGTTCAATAAGTCCATGTTCTAACATGACAGTTCGATAATTGATGGCCTTCTCCCAAACTCCAGAAATTGGATATTTGGTGTCTTCCATTGGATTTTCTCTTCTGGATGAGCATAACATTACTTCTGGATAGTAAATTCCAGGATATTTAGGTCTCATGTAGTGCAATGCACTTCTATATTCACCCCTGGCTCTTCTTGCAATGAAAACCAAATCACCATCTGCCTTATTTACAACTACCAAATCGGCTACTTCCACAATACCTCTCTTCATACCTTGTAATTCATCACTGAGGAATATTTAATAATCCTAATAATAATTGAAAAACTTACCCTCCAGCTTTTCACACAATGTCACAATTATTAAAACACAGTAAATTCAAACAATTACATACCTGGTGGCACAACCAGAACAACCATATCAGTTAAATCTGCCACAAGAATTTCAGATTGACCAACACCAACAGTCTCCACAAGAATATTATCATATCCAGCATATTCACATAAATTAATAATCTCATACATATTAGCTGTTACACCTCCCAAAAATCCCATGGATGGTGATGGTCTAATGAATGCTTCCTCCATTCTCGATAATTCAATCATTCTTGTTTTATCTCCTAAAATACTTCCTCCTGTTCTACTGCTGCTTGGATCTACTGCAAGAACAGCAACATTTTCACCTCGTTCTTTAATTAAATGTTTTCCAAGAGCCTATTTTGATATTATTTTCCTAAACAAATCAATTTATATTCAAAAACATACTATTAACATATTATTCAGTCAATCAAAATTGATTAATATTATTATTATCCAAACTAACCTTCAATCATTGTTGATTTACCAGCTCCAGGTGGTCCTTTTCATTATAATATTTTATAATATTCAATAGTAATTAAATTATTAATTTTAAATCCTAAAAGAAGCAGATGATTTAAATACCTACCCGAAATTCCCACTCTAAATGATTGTTTCAATTCACTGGCTGGTCTCAATTTTGATAGATAAGCCAATAAATATCTAGCCTGAACGTGATGTTTAACCAGCTTGGATTCTACCATAGTAATCGACTTACTCAGTGCAACTCTACTTCCTTGCAATAATTGTTCAGCTAAATTTGCTGTCCGATCCTCCATTCCTTCAAAATTGTGATGATCCACAGCTGTGGATGAAGAAGAATTTCTTCCGAAGAGACATGTATGAAAGTTTTTATATTGGGCTGCTGATTTTCCACAACGCACAATTAATGGTTTGGCTTGTTTGAACATTTTTTTCTTGTTGAAATGTTTCAATATTAGAAGATATTGTGTGAACTAATTTGCAATCTCCATAGTTTTCCATTTTCAATAGTGTTTCAACAGATGATCATTCATTCCTGAATCTTGTTTCGTATTTTCAAATTAGAAAACAAAAATATCAATAAAAACAAGTGGTAGGATCAAGCGTTTCATTTTGTTTGAATAAGCAGTTAGTACTTTCAATTTTCTGTCTCGTAATTGACCTTTTTAACAATTCCAACACATGTTACATGTCCATTATCTCTAATTACAAACCTTCCAAATGGAGGGAAAGTTTCAAATGGCTCAATATAGAAAGGATGATCTGGTTCGAATAGAACTACTGCAAACCTTCCTGTTCTAAGCTCTGTTGGATTTTCCTCCTTTTCAGACCTATCAGGCATCTTGGAAGTTTCTAAAAGCTGTTTAAATTTACATCTTGTTTGTAATGTATAGCAATGGAAGGTAGGTTTGTATGATGGCTTAATAACACCAGGGCATTTCACAATTACAATCTCACCCTCAAAAGAAACAACCTCTCGAGCAGGATTATTTTCAGCATCTGATATTATAATACCTGCTTTCAAATCTTGATAATTTACATTTTCTAGTTTGATTGACACCATTTCTCCAGCTTTTGCCTCAGTGACAGATTTTCTAAAAATCTCTATTGAGCCAACAGTTCCATCAGTAATTTTCTTTTTTCCATTTGTGAATCTCAGTTTAGTATCCAATTTTAAAGTTCCTGATTCAATTTTTCCAAAAACTACAGTTCCTACACCTTCCAAATTATAAACCTCCAAAATAGGTATTCTCAAAGGCTTTTCAGAATGATAGGTTGGTGGTTTTAGTGCATTAATAGCATCAAGAAGTGTAGGCCCTTTAAACCAACTGAACTTGTCTGCTGGCTCCAATATATTCCATCCATTCCAAGCTGAAACTGGAATGAATAAAGGTTCTGCTATATACCCAGCTCTCTTTGCTATTCTAGTAATTTCATCTTTAATTTCTGCAAACCTATCTTTTGAATGATTAAAAAACCTGCTATCCATCTTGTTGACACAAAATATCAATTGAATCACTCCCATACTTTTTGTCATAATTAATGTCTGTCTAACTGATTGAATTCCAGCTTCAAATGCTCCAGTTTCAGCATCCAAGACTATTATGGCAACTCCAGCTTGTGATATTCCTCTAATCAAACTTTTCATAAAAGATCCAACTATTTATCAATTCAAAATTTAAATATTAAAGTTTGATCATCAATAATTAAATTTCGAATAATTATTAAAATTAAATCTGTTAAATTTACCTGGAGCATCAATAATATTCAAATAATAATGCTTAGTTTCCGCTCTACTGTGGGCTATTTGAATGGTTCTTCCTATCTTTATTTCATCCTTTGTTCTACTCAACACATTAGCATAAAGGAACGATGCCATTCCCGCTCTCGTGGATTCATTCCTAAGCCTATCAATAATTCCATTATTAATTGTCCCGAGAGCATTCAACAATCTCCCTGCCAGTGTCGATTTTCCAGCATCAACATGTCCCACGAAGACAACATTAAGTGTTGGCTTTTCAATCATTTTTTTTAAACTTTTAATTCTTAGTAGTAACTAAGGTCTGATAGCACATTTTAATGTCCTCTCCTATATGGTTGTTTCAACTTGCATTGTAGAACACAACAATCAATTGTTTTGATTGGTTCTATTTTCTATTGATTTTAAATAATATTTGAAAAAAATGATCAATAATGAGGAGAACTCTGAGAAAGGAGAGGGAGAATTTTGTCTCTCGTTTTTTTCTTCCTCCCGAAATATTGGAGCATCACGTTTTTAGGTTCCTTCCCTCTTGGTTTGTGGTGAGAGTTTGTGAATTGGTTTGTGGAGAGTGGTATCGAGCAGTGTTGAAAACGCCAATGACATTAACTTTTTCTTACGAGATTGGCCAAGTGAAGGTATTGAACAAGTATTGTAATTTGCAAGAGTTGATCATGAGAATGGAGAACACCTATTTGAGGTATTTTAATGATGAATATTTTGCTGGATTTAAGAATTTGAAAGAGTTGAGAATTTTTGGAATGGAACGAATTGATGCAGAATGGTTAAAAAGTTTACACAATTTGGAATTATTAGAGTTGACAGGATCTATTAGAAATATTTCAGTATTGGAAACATTGCCCAAACTATCTAAAATATTATTTAAGAGAGGAAAATTCAGACATTTGGATGAGCTGACATTATTCAACAATTTGAGAGAAGTTGCATTTATATCGAATACTCCATGTCATTATGATACCAATCAAATACAGCTCCTTTCCAAGTTCGGTAGCAATTTAACAACATTAAAAATTTCAAAACATATAATAGGAATGGTGGGTGCTGAGTGCATTTCTAAATTGATAAGTCTTACCAACTTGGAAATTTCATTTGGTGGTATCACTGAATCGGGAGCAAGAAAATTATGTAAATTGACGAATTTGCATTCCCTTACAATCACATACGATACAATAGAAGGAGGAACTTCACATTTGATTGATTCTTTACCACACTTAACTCATCTAGACCTCACAAGAAATTATATTTTCGATAATCATATTAGAAATATTAGCAAGTTGAAAAATCTGACTAGTTTGATATTGGATGTAAATAGGATATCATCTCTCGATGAAATTTCAAAATTGGAAACCCTAAATTGTCTGAAATTGAGTGGAAATCATATTAAGGACGTAAAACCTTTGAGTGGTATGAAATTTTTGAGAATTCTTTCATTATCAGGCAATTACATCATGCCAAACACAAAATATGGGCTATCTCTCGGACTAGCCTCGTCTAACATTGGTGACGAAGGGGCAAAACATCTCGCCAGCATTCCCACTCTTATTGAGCTTGATCTGGAGGAAGCCAATCTTACTGAGGAAGGAATTGCATTACTCTCCAATATCAAGACTTTAAAAGTGTAAATATTTTTCTCTATTAATTCATCAGTTAGCCATGCTACTTCATGGATAGTTCTGTAGGTGGTCAAATAATTTCAGATATGACATTGTACTTCATAGAACGTGATTTACTATTGAAGATGGTAAGAGCAACCTCTGTCGAAAGCTCAACAATGATATCAAGCCTCTGTTTGAATTCACATAAACCAACAAGTCTATTTCTAGTATCATCCAAACCTGATCAGATTTTCACCACTTTACAATTCCACCTCATTAAGGACGTTTTTAATGTGCTACACAACTTAGTCACGGTTAATTCCATCCAATCCAATAATTTCAACCCAATTATTAACCACCCCTTGATCGTTCATTATCAAGAAACGACTAACAATTTCCTATTTAACATGTGATCCAATACATTTCACACCAACTCAACAACAAAATCAAAAAAACAAATCAATAAGATGTGCAAGTGGTCAAGTGGATGTGGTTCCTCAGATAAAATCAGCTGCAAGGCATGTGGTACTGCCATGTGTAAGCAATGTAAGAGAAATTTAGGTGATGGTACTCCAGTCAAGTCAGGTAATTCAGCTGCTTGTGGAAAGTGCGGAAGCAATTATTAAAGAATTGCAATATTGCATTGTGTACTACTATTAAATTGATTGTAAAATAAATCATCAAGATCTTTTGATCACCAAATCACATTCAAATTCTCTAACAAAACATGTTCAGATCAACCGATGATTATTATCCAATTGTCTTTCTGGATCAAATGTTGAATTGCAATTGAAGAAAATTGTTGAATTGCATTTCAAAGTTGAAAAAATGGAACAAGTTCGAGTTGCAGTTTTCGATTTTGCCAATGATGACCAAGTAGCGACAATTGATAAATTATGCACCAGTTCTCATCACTATGATCTATTAAAAACCAAGATCAATACCAAACCAAAGTATTTACCAAAAATTATTACTTCCTTCAATGAATTGAATTTATCAAGTGAATTACTTTCGGCATTGAAAGAATTTGAGCTCAATCAAGTTGACAAACAAGTTATTTGGCCATTAATTTCCTCCGATCCACCTATTGATGTGTCTATTCAAACACCAATATTGAGACATCTTTGTTACTCAATTGCCATTTTGGATAAATTATCAAAAAATTCAACTCCTTCCCAAGAGAATACTCAATTGACCATTGAATATATTGTAATACTTCCGGTTAGAGAACTAGCTCTTTCAATTTCATCCATGTTGAATCACATTTCTCAGGATTTGAGTGTGAAAGTGTGCACCTGTGTCAGTGGATCGAGTTTAACTGAAATGGCTAGACATATTTATGGAGCTAAAGTTTTGGTTGGAACTGCTGGATATATTTCATATTTGGTCAACCAGAATTTGATTGATTTTTCAAAGGTTAAAATGATTGTAATGGATTTTTTGGATTTAACTTTAGAATATGGTTTTAGAGAAGATTTAGAATTGTTATTTGGGCAAAATATAAAGCATTGTCAATTGGTGGTAGGTTATTCGAAACTCAATCAAGAAGTACAAGATTTTTGTGATAGTTACTTGAGGAACCCAATGCAATTTGTGATAAATGACAATAAATGAGCATAGTTTCGAATAAATTCATTAGTTTCTTTTCTCCTGATTTCTCAAACAGTACTCTTCTTGATTTATTGGTTTCTCTAACTTTCGTGAACCACAATTCCAATAAAACTCTTTACTTGGACAAGCACATGCTTTTCATGGCCCTAATCGAGTAGCTCAAGCTAATAATTATCATCGTTATTATTCGATTTCTACCTAAACTTTGTCAATGATGTTGAAACGCTCTCAACATGCATGGACATTGTTTACCAAAGCTGAACTCATATCGCAACGCCATAGAAATACCCTTCCTTTCTCAACATACATATCATGCTTCAGTTCCCAATTGCATGTTTCGCCTGCCGAAATAAGATATAAGAATCCATGCCCAACGTCATAAATCTACACAACACTTTGAAAAAAAACAACTTTAGTTCAGAATCGAATAACTAAGAGCCAATTTCTAATGACCTCGAATAACAATAGAAAATCTTTAAACATTCTTCAAAGAAGATCATCCTCTTTAACTAAACAGCAAATTACCAAGAGAGATGTCAAGTCAACCTCAAATTTGACTATTGCACCAATGGCAGATTTCGGATGGAATTTTGAAGATTGTCAAGTTTCGTCTGCTCAATCATCTTCATATTCGTTAGATTCGCTATCAAAGAAAAAGTCCAGTTTCAGATCAAAGTGCTCAGAAATTATTGGAAAGATTCTTAAAAAGAAGGAATAATCTATTTGAATGATGATTGTCTAATCTGTCAGATTAAGAATGTGTTAAAGTTTTCCTCTCTTCCATTAACTAAACGTTCATGTAATGATAATACATGATCAACAAAATACGAATCTCACTAACTTTGAAAATAAAATGTTTATTCGATTAAAACGTAGACAGCACTTTTAAATCACATTAGTAGATAATTGTGGAGGTTCTGTATAAGCAGTTTCCACCAAATCTCTCATCAAATGAGAAGTCAAATGAAATCTTTTTTGACTCAATTGAATTACTCCAATTCGTGCCAGTTGATCTTCAATTGACAAGTCAAGATTCAAACCTCTTCCTTCTCTTTCGTCTTTTAACCAACGAATTAAAGGTTCCATCAATTTATCATTTGATAATGATTCGAAAATCTTGGCATGGAATGAATCATTTTTCAAGAATTCCCAAAAATTATCTGAAAGAATGTCATATTCCCATTCTTCTACGTTAGATGGTGGATTGCAACCTTCCCAAAGATAGGTATAGTATTTGAGCATAATGATAGATTGTCCAATGTGTCCATAGGTGTATCTTTCATAGATTCTGTCAATAATTTCCATTGTTATTGGAATGTTTAGAAATTGCTTTGTGAAATGCACGAGCTCATCTCTGGAAAAGTATGGAACAAAGGCATGCTTGCAGAATGGAGAAACCATAATGTTCTTTTCTTCATCTCTTATGGAAAATGGACGAATGACAGAGTTTCCAATAACAACAATGCTAAACAAGCTGAACTGAACTCTAGTTTCTGATATTCTTAACCAACTTTCAACAAAGGTTCTTCTCTCTTCATAGGGAAGTTTATGAATATCATCCGCGTGATCCATGAAAAGAATAATACTCTTACGCAATTCTTGACAATAAGGAGAATTGAGGGAGAAGAGAGTTAAAATGGATTGAGGAACACTTGCTTGTGATCTCAACTTCTTCAACACATAATCCATAAAGCAGTGTTGGAAACTCACACTGCCACCAGTCTTTTTAATAACCCAATCCTTCATGACCACAGCCAAATCAACATAGAGAAGCAAATAATTATTATTTTCCTTATTATCTCTAATCATTGGAATAATGCTGTTCAATATCATTGAACTCTTCCCACTATTTGGAGAACCCTGGAAGGAGAAGAAGGATTTCTTCTGCAATGCCTTAACAAAGTGGTCTGAAATAAAATTCGTTTGCTCTACATAAATGTGCTTTTTAGCATCTAGAACGCCTTTCTCACACACGGTCAAATTGTTGCTCGAGTAGGGAACAAATGGAGTGTAACTCCAGGTCTTTCGTTCAGCATCCTCTTCCTTTCCGTTCTTTCTTTTTGTTTGCTTGTTGGATTGTGAAGGAGATTCTTCGTGCTTTCGTTTCATTTTTTATAAAGGCATTAAGATGTAGGTGATCATTTGGCGCCATTGATAATACGGTGTGGAGAAGGAGAGAAATAGTCGTGTATTCATATTGTATAAATATGAAATTTCTCAAACTTGCATTTGGTAGATTGTAGGATAGGATAGTTCTCTTGAATTTAATACATCCATTGGTAAATTATTGTGTTTCCTCTGACAATTGTTTTTGGGCTTTAATATTTTGGTTTCCCTTAATTGTTTTAGATCTTTTCAATGTGCTTACAGGAAGAAACTGAAAGTACCTTAATCTTCCTTGTGGTCTATTTAGTTTGGTGGTGCATTATGCACCCAATATAAGAGTGTTCGTCAGTTAATACAGCAAATTTCTCAGGTCCCAATGATTGTGGCATAATGAAATTGAGCTTGTTTTGGTAATTTGACCATGAATTGTAAACAATTGTTCCCAATTGGGTGTCCTAATGACTCGTTAGTTTGTAAATAAGTTAATAATTCAAATTGATATCAATGATGACTACTATAGTATCCAATATACATATATATGAATGACTCAGTCATTAGTATGACTCATAATTTCGTGTGCCTTAATTTTCCTTTCTACAAGACTCATCAAGGTAGACTCTGCATGGATATGATTAGAATCCAACAATTGTAATATATCCGAGTAATAATTCAACTCTGTCATAAAGTACATGAGTTTCAAATAAAGCCTTTGTTTTTGATATTTAAGAGCCAATAAGTATAAATTAGAAGAATCAATTTCATAAATTGATTTCAATTCCTTCCCTCTATATAAATTAGTTTCCATCATTAATTGGAGAGAAATATAATGATACTGCAATAAATATCTAAATATTTTCCTCTTTTCCTTTTCAAATTCCTTCTTTTCCTTCAAATGATTTTTAATATATCGAGAGGTGAGAATATTAATTGATTTCTTTACTCCGAGACTTGTCTTTATTTTCTCTCCTCCACCATCATCAGCATTACCTTCCTGAACCTCCCTGAAAAACGACATTTTTTAATATTATAATTATTTGAAATAATTGTAACTGAATACTTTGTATTGATAATTAAAATTTTAAAAAAGCCTAAAAATGTTTGGTAATGATGGATATTCAGCAGCATCGTCATCGTCAGCAGCATCGTTGGAACAAAATGTTTGGTCACGAGCTAAGAGTTGGTTCTCTCAGATACCTTTCGGAACATTATCTATCATGATTATAATTAGTTTCATATTCTTGATAGTACAATGTGTGTTTAATCAGCCTACAATAGATCAAGTGTGTTTGAATTATTACTCTCTCACAGATGAATCATCACCATTGAATTTGTATAGATTATTTGCATATGCTTTCTTTCATTCGGATATTATGCATTATTTATTTAATATGATGACACATGTTTCATTTGCTGCTGTTTTGGAAACTGGAAGATTTAATAGCTCTACAAAATTAATAGTATGCACAATTATTGTTGTATTTTTGGAATCAATTTTGGAGGCAATTATTGCATTCCTAATTTCAAATATTTCACACTATGGATTCGGTTATAACGTTAGACTTTCTAAATTTGAGCATAAAGGAAAAGGTAGTGCCTCAATTTCTGGAATAATGGATGGCCTAGCTCAATTTTTTGGACTTCATGAATGCTCTATTGGATTTTCAGGGGTTATTTTCAGCTATTTGACAATAGCATCTACAGACACTTCACAAACTACAAATTCATTATTTGGAATGATATCAGTACCATCTAAGTATTATCCTTGGATTCTCTTATTGGTAACTAGTTTTCTCTTTCCAAGTAGCTCATTTGTTGGACATTTATTTGGTATAATTTCTGGTTACATTTTTGTATTGTTATTTGAGAGAACTTTATTTATTTCTCATTATTTCAATGCTATTATTTCCAAGATTGAAAATTTGGTACCTTCATCTATCAAAAAGTTGGATTCTTTCTATCATGGAGAAACTCAATACAATGCAAGTGGAGGAATTGCTCAACAATCAATTTGGAATGAGAATTATCAATCAGATAATGGAAGTTATTGGAGTAAACTTACTGGAGGAAGAACTATTGGTCATTAAAACCAATAATTAATTTATTTTACACGTGATTATTATCTTATCAGATTGGTTAAATATTTAATTTTAATAATCCAACACAAATCCCAACAAGAGTGATGCTTTTGCAGTCAGATATGAAATCTTTTCAGAACTCTTCAAAGTAATTTTAGAATTAAAATTATTGATACACAAAATAAAAAACAACATTAAATGATTTATAAATTTCCAAATCAGGACATTATGAAAAATTAACCAAATTAAAAAAATTCAATTAAAAAAATGACTGAAAAATCACCTTCGGAAAGTGTACCAGTGGAAAAATCGATGGATTACTACATGTTGCTCCATTTCTATAGTAAATATGATAATTTAGGACATTTTCTTTATGATACACGTGAAAGAAAATATGCAACATGTAAAGAATATTTAAATAGATTGAGTGAAATTGCCGAGATGAGTAACTATGAAGTGACTCCGACAATGGTTAGACGTGCTTTATATATTTATTATTCTTGTTTAACTAGTCACTTGTTGGATCCTGTTAGAAATGCAAAATTAGCTTCATGTGTAGAATCATTGGAATCAAAGGATCATATATTTAAATGTAAAGATGAAATTCTTCGTAATAAGGTCTTTGTTGAATCTAAAGTTTTGGATCAAGTTTATCAAATGGAAAATAGAAAATATAATTTAGATGACAAGATTTCACAATGTGATAAAAATTGTTCCGAATGGTTTTATAAATATGGATTATGTACTAGGTTTTTAAAGGCTAGACGTATAAAGACAGAAAGTGAAGTTTCTTTCAGTGAAAGAGCTGATGAAGAAGTAGAAGAATCTAAGAAATATTATGCTGTCTGTGACGATTTTAAAAAGAAATCATTAAGTTGTGTAGGAGATATATTTTGTGCTGAACAACAACAAAAATTACAAGACTGTCTCAAGAATAGTATGTTTAAATCGGAGTGTGACGATTTGGAAAAGACTGCAAAGAGATGTGCTCATTATAATTTTGCACTTGTCAGTCATTTGAAATTCAGAAATAATTTGATTAAGGGTAAAGAGGATGCTAATTTGGTAGATGAATAATACACAATTTGTTTTTTTTGGATAGATTTACAATTTTATTTAGGTTTTAAGTTAAAGTAGAATATCTCAGTATTAGAAATATAATAAAAAATTAATTTAAATTCTGGATTCATAAACACCAGCTTGTGTGATATATCTAACCCATTTGACAGCTTGATAGTTAGATTTTTCGAAAACTTTCAAGAATCTGACGTGCAAACCTGAAGCAGTGAACATAGGCACTTGGAAGGTGAGTCCAATAGGTGGTCTAGACCACTTCTTGTTTTCAGCAGTTTGAGAAATCAAATCAACTTCGGCACTCAAAGTTAATTCAGTATCACCAGGGAAACGTTTAACAGTCCAGACGATAGCACCCTTTTCAGCCTTATACTTAGCTTTACCTTGAGCAACGTGAATCTTACATTTAGCAGTATTGGATGGACATGGAATCTTGACAACAACATTCTTACCAAACAAACGAGCATGGAAAACAGACTTGATAGTAACCTTAACTTCCAACTTTGTCTTACTCAATTCACGAACAATAGGAGAAAGTAAACGGAATGGTGGAACAATACCATCAGTAATACGATATCTCATCAATTCAAATTCACCATCAGGTGGAACAAAGCTGATTGTACGATCACTATCAAATTTACCCAATTTGACACATTGATGGAAAGTAATGTCATCAATATCAATTTCCTTATATCTCTTCTTGTTGGCTGTTCTCTTTTCTTGTTGTAACATAAGCTTGTCATTCAAACCAAATTTACATTCTGGCATACCACTCAACAAACACTTCATAACAATACGACCAGTGACGTCACTGCTCAAAACTGTACCCTTGTTACTCAATAACATATTCACATCTTCAATAACATCCAAAAATACTTCATTCTTACGATATACAATTCCGGCCTTTCTCCAAGAAACTGCTCCTGTAACTTCCTTCAATCTTTGTTCAAGTTCGTGTGGCTTGATATCCTTCATACCACCTTGTACAATAATATTCTTCAATACTTGAGGTTCACAATTTTGTGGATAACCAAAGTCAAGGATTTCATCCAACAATTCATAAACAAGTGAAAAGTTTTCCTTCAAAGCATCTTCTGTGAATTTTCCATCAAAGTAAGATTGGAAAATAAAGATCAATTTATACAAAAATTCAAAAACAAGAGCAGCACTAGCGTTTTGTTTTGTTACGGCGAGCAAGTACATTTCTTCATGACGAATGAACATAAAAGTAACACTTCCAATTGTCTTAACTGGACATCTATCGGCAATCTTGGCAGCCAAAATTTGTGATCTGAAAGCGCTAGAGATTGAACGACTATTGTTAGATAATTTGATATTGTTGTTATTGATGATGATTATTTGTTTGTATAATTTTGTTGTTGATTATGTGATGAGAGAAGCGAAAAATATTAAATTTTGTATTGTTATTGTAGATTTTCAAGTTTGTACTCCATAACATTCCTTGATAGTGGATTACTTACGTTTCAACATCGTCTCTGTAGGCACGTGAGATCAGAGTGTGTCCTCTAGAGTTGAGAATAAGAACAGCGCTAATCATTTTTTTATGTTTTTAATTTTTAAAATTTTTTACAACGCTCAAATTAATTAGGAAAGGCGAACAAAACAAGTGGAATGAGTAACTGAAAGTTGTTGTTTTTAATATTGGTTCAATTTATTGGGAGTTGGTTAAGTTTGGATGGATTGGTGATGGAAAATGGTATTTAACAGGATAGAGTGTTTTTTTAAAGGGATAAAAGGAGAGGTTGGAGAGAATTTTGTACAGAAGTTTTGTTTTTGGGTTTTTTCATGACTCTGCCCTACACGTTCAGAGTGTTTTCTAAACTTTAAATGTTGTTGATCGAAGAGTTGTACAAATATTTAGCTTTCCTCTTGGAAAATAATATATTGAATAATTAGGAAGTATAACTAAAGTCAGACTCTTTGAATTGTTTGGAAATATAATCATGATTGAATTTGGTAAATTGTTCAAATTGTTCTGTCAATTTTTCTTGAACGGTCTTGTTCAATTCTTGGAAATGTTGTTCATCTCTGACTTGTAATAATTGTTTAACCTCTTCGTAAGTGAATGAAGTTGCATCAATATTTTGATCAGGGAAATATTGTTGGATATATTTACGTTTTTCCTTCAGATAGGAATCAATGAATTCTTCAACAGGAGCCTTTTTAATTTCTTCTCTCGACACATAGGCCGTTTTATTTTTGCCTGATGAGGTTTGCAAGAGGGTGTCCCTTCTCTTCTTTATAGGTTGTCTGACAGGGAGTGTAGATTCAATACTTGAGTTAGAAAAGTCTATCGATGATGATGAAGAACCATAACAGAATGGTTTTGATCCGCACATGTTGTAGTCGAGTTGGCTGTCGTCTTCAGCTGAGAATGAATCATAACTTCTCTTCAAGGTTGTTGTTGCAGACATTTTTTTTGAATATTTTTAAATCGTTTGATCACAATAAGGTGAACGTTATTTAAAGCCCATCAATGGCAAAAAAATTTGTGTATCCAGTTTTATTAGGCACTTGTAAAAATAGGTATCGTGGCGTAAAAATTCTTCTCATTGGTTCACGAAATATTTTGACTAGATACAAAAACTCAGCAGAATTCACTATCAGTAATTGATTGAACCTGTTTATTATTTACAATGATATCATCAAGTGACCAAGTCAACAATACATCCTCTCGTTTCCGAATGGAGATGTGCATTTGATCAATTGATTCAAAAGCCTAATTTAAGTGGTAATGAACAAACATTGAAAGACTTTTTAAAGTTTAGAAAGATGAAAAGCACATCTCTTTCATCAAATGTTTACAATTTATTACATTTATTTAATTTGGTGAGATTGATGGCATGAAGTTGTGATGGATAGCTCAACTTGATATCCAAATAGTAATTCCAGCTCGAAAATCAATTTGTAGATTCCCTTCGCTTCACTATTGAAAGTTGTAGAGCTACTTATTTTAAGGGTTGAGACATACTCTGTCTTGTTGATTTTCTTTTCTTGGTCGTTAAAATATCCTCTCAATAATTTGAAATTAACATTGCACTGATTGGATTCGAACAATGAAACATTGTGTGAAAATTTGATAGCAGAGAAAAACTAGTATCCTCTACAAGTAACTCCTTTATATTGGGAGTTTCCTTTTACTTTTTCTTCGTGGATGGCTGTTCAATTTCTTACTAGCCATCTAAATCAGCTTCCAATTTGGTCTTGTTGTAGGACTCGAAAATCCTCCCAAACATGTTTCAACTAGATTTCCTGCCTTTTTACAACTTTGAAACATCTTTTATTATGCTCAGAGGATGTTTAGCAATCACATCCATCCCGTTCAATCTCTCAGATTGTTCTGAGTAGAATTGGTTGAAGATGAAAATGCGGAAAAAGAGGAGGAAATCGAGTCGTCCATTGATTCATGAATGAATTAAAAATACTGCACCAAAGAAGAAATGAGGAAGAAATGAGACAAAGAAAAAGCAAGTGTGTTCAATAGATGTGGATTGCATAAATAGCGAACATACTTGTCTGAACTGACAATAACAATACAAAAAATTGAATCAAAACAATCATCTCTGAATAATGTCATCCACCAAAGTTCTCGTTGTAGGTGCCACTGGTCGTTTAGGATCCTTGATTACCTCTGCCTTGTTGAACAAACCAACAGTTCAAGTTTCTGCATTGATCAGAAAGGGAAGTGAAACCAAAGCTGAACAATTGAAAGAAAAGGGAGTTCAATTGATTAGTGGAGCATTGAATGATTCTGTAGAGGAATTACAACAAGCATGTCAAAATGTTGATGTTATTATTAGTGCTGTTATTGGTTCTGAAGACACCATTTTGGATGGTCAACTAAGATTGTTGGAAGCTGCCAAGAAGGCTGGCGTTAAACGTTTCATTCCTTCTGATTATTCTGCTGATTATTTAAGAGCTTCCATTGGTGATCATGATCACTTTGATATGAGAAAGCAAGTTGCTGAACAAGTGAAACAGTCAGGAATTGGTTACACTATCTTTTTGAATGGAGTTTTCATGGAAACTTTCTTTGGACCATTCTTGAACATAATTGACACCAAGAATCACAAGATTACTTATTATGGATCTGCTGAAACTCTTGTTGATACAACTACTTACGAAGATGCTGCCAATTATGTTGTCGAAGCTGCTCTTGATCCAGAACAATTGAACAAGATTGTTACTGTTTCTGGTGATCGTGTCACCTATACTCAACTAGCTCAACAAATTGAACAAGTCACTGGACATAAGATTACATTGGAAAGAAAAGGAAATGTTGAGGATCTTAAGAAACTCATTGAAACTACCAAAAATACCACTCATAACGTTTGGGCCTACATTGGAATGCAATATCAATACGCTCTTCACAGTGGAATTTGTGAATTGAAGAATATTCAAAATAACAAGTATCCAAATGTTCAACCAACTTCTATCAAGCAATGGCTTGAAAAGAATAAGAACATATTTTAAATGTGTGTTGAATAATTCTTGTTAGAATTAGACTTAACTCTATGGGAAACCTGTCGTTACAATAGTCTCATTCAATATTAATAAACTTGTAAATTTTTTCTCTTGATTACACATCACAACAAACACCATGAAGATAACAAAAGACAACAGCCATCCACTACCCTTTTAACTGATCTACCAGTTCAAATTCTTCTAAAACCGTAAAGAAAATTTCAGTTTCCAAGAGAGCACTTCGAATGGATTTAACATGTTGTAAAATTGGTTTGTTAGATTTGAGAATATTTGCAATTATTTTTGCCGTTGTGTTAACTAATACTTTTGGGACTAATTACATTCAATCAACAAGCTCAAACTTCGGCCGAAATTCTTGCTCTGAGAGGAAATATTTACTTGTATGCTGCTTGGATTAATGCCTTTTAGACCCAACCTTTCGTATTACAAGAACACGAATCAAGTGAATACATTAACTATTTCTATTAAACCAAATAGCGGTCGAATCGGTCAAGAATGAATACATTAACTAAGGAGCTGTCATGTACCCATTACACTGCAGCAGTTCGAATGGAAAATGGAAATTTCACTCAAACTGTTAGATTATGAAGACAACTTTTGCTGATTAATCCCTTTTCATGTTTGGGTTTTTTACATTTCAACAGAAAGAACATGGGATTTCTATCTATAAATGAACACCAAGTGAATTTAAATTATCCCTTCCATTTTCAAGCTTCATTTTTGTGACGAAAAACGATAAAATTTTCGCTTGATTTTTTTCCAGCCCCGAGCTTGCAAAGTGAGAGGACGGCTTCTAATTTACTTTCTATTTCGATGCCCCAGTCTTACGCTTGTCCACCAGCTACAAACCTTTTTCAATAGCAAACTTGAACAATAAACAGAAGAAAAAAACTCAATATTATCCAATGATGTTGTGATAAAGCAATTTATTGTTAGTTTTTGTTTTCATGAAGTAATAATAAGTTATTGCTCTAAATTGTTTTCTTGCTTACTACCACCATCACGAATATTTTTTATTGTTGTGATGATCGAATTAGAAGTTGAAATGGAAGCTGTCCTCCCACTTTGCCAGCTAGCCGGTGGAAAAAATTCTGATGGTGAAAAGTGGACAAAAAGTCTCCAGCGATTTTGGAAGGGATAATTTAAATTTAAAAAAAAATTCAAGTTTTACTCCCTTTAATATACTTTACAATGATATCATCAAGTGACCAAGTTGAGGATAATTCAACAATACATCCTCTCGTTTCCGAATGGAGATGTGCATTTGATCAATTGATTCAAAAGGCTAATTTAAGTGGTAATGAACAAACATTGAAAGACTTTTTAAAGTTTAGAAAGATGAAAAGCACATCTCTTTCATCAAATGTTTACAATTTATTACATTTATTTAATTTGGTGAGATTGATGGAATTAAATAGTAAATATGGAGAGAATAATTTATTAGTTGATGAAAAAGGATTTTTAAATTTAAATTGTGATGTTTTTAATTTGTCTTCTCTCATTACAAATATTCAGGATGGAAGTAATGAATTCTTTAATATTTTGGCAGAACAAATTCAACCAATTGCAATGTTTGTACATGAAAATTGCTTTCAACTCACTGATCAAATGTTGGAGAAGGAATCACAAAAGAATGATGAAATTAGAGATGGAATCATGCAGTACAGAAACCAAAATTCTATCACTGCATTTTTGAAATGGAACAAGGATACATTTTTCAATAACTTCAAAGATAGCTTTGCTGATTTTATGTGTGTTGCTTATCCGAGGGAAATTACTTACAAAATATTGGAAATGTCATTGGAGGAACATTTTTCTGGTAATAGTTTGGTTGGGTTATCATTGTTGGTTCCTCTTTTGGAGAGAGGTCTTCAAGACTCTATTTATATTGACTTGGTTCATAATAATGATAAACAAAAGGTACAACAATTTGAAGATTTTTCCAAGTTACCCAAGTTTAGTGAACTACTCACCATGAAGGAGTTAAAGGATATTTACGGAGAGGAAGTAACATTATTATTGAGATGTCTAGTTGGACCTCTTAATTCAATTAATTTGAGAAATGTTTCACTTCACGGATTCATTAATGAGAGGGAATTCCAAGATTGCTATCTCAGTTTAATATTATTACTTGTACCGTCACTGTCCAGATTATCAACCAAACATTTGAATGATACTGTTGGAATGAATAATGCATTGTTGAAAAGGCCAATTATTGATCTTTCTAATTGCAAACCAGTTCAAGATATTTTCAAAGTTAATAATGTGGATTGTGGAAGGTTCTTAAAGATGACCTCTGTAGGAAAGGAAATTGACGAATTGCTTGAACATTCTGCATTTGTGTTAAATGATTCAATTCCTTTATGGAGAAGAGCCTTTATTGAATATTTCGAAAAGGCTAACTATTACAAAACAGTATCCATAATTTTCCCATTATTCGAACATTCAATCAGAAGAATATTTGTCTGTGTAAATGGGTGTGAAAACAGGCTTTTAACAGCAGAGAAAAATAGTTTGTATACTACACTCGATGTATTATTTACCACAAAACCTATCCCTTCATATAACATTGATAATAATGGTGTCTTTGATGTAATTGGAAATAATTTATTGAATGCCATTTTCGATCTTCTTATTTGGGTTGAAAGTCCAAGAGTAAGAGATTTGATTTCTCATGGAAACATCAATATTGAAACCATACCTCAAGCTCTAGTTGATGAAATTGTGAAATTAATGTTTGGTCTTATTTACAAATTTGATGTAAGAAGATATTTGTCTGAAAATTTTAACTCGAACGATTCAGATTTTTCTTCTCAACTCAATTTCTGTGAAGAATATTTCAATAAGGAGTACTCGTCTCCTTTCCATTCCATGAGCATTCTTGATAGACAACTAAAATTGGCTTTCGATTCTATTGCTCTATTGGAAAATAATAAGAATATTCCAGATGATATTTTTAATTTGCCAAACTTTAAGGAAATTAGAGATGAAGTCATTCAACAAGATCCATTCCATGAAAAGCTATTAGATTTAATTCCAATAATTAACAGCAAACTTAGTGAACACATTGAATTTGTTAAGAGCTTCTACAATATTGAGGAAAATCAAATGACTAAACATTTAGGAAATCATCTACATCAAGTAACCTTCTCTGAAAAGGCTGTAAGTTGAATTATTTGGAAATTTCTCACGTTTAAAAGGTTAAAAAAGCAAACCAATTGAGGACAGTTGTAATGGTTTCAGAAGCAATCGCTCAAAAAACAGTAGATTTTGTAAAGGAGCATTACACATTAGCATCTAATGTAAAGAAGAAATTAAAGTCCAGAGATAGAACTTATACCAGCTTGGCAGTTTCTGCATTTGAGACATTCAAATTATTCTCAATTTTGTGTACTTTTATTACCTATGCACAATATTACCATTCAAAAGATATTGAGGATACAAATGTTTCACGAGTTTGTGAAAGACTTGGTGGAGGCATTGGTGCATCAATCAAGGCAGGAAAAATTGTTAGAGGAATAGAGCTTATTGCTTGCTTGTTACCAAATATTGAGGATTTAATTCTACAAAACGGATATAAATTTGTTGGAATTTCTAAGGGAGAGGTTGATAGATACAAATGCAATCTAGAAGAATTAATTAAATCTGCTCCATAATTCATCCACATATTGTAAAATTATCATCTTCATTGGAATGCAAGAGATATTTTATTCTCATCAATCAGCATCTATTATTAATACACCCGCGCCAATTAGTGATCATTGAATCAATTTACAGTAGACTTTTTCATCCTTAAAAAAAAGACTCAATAGTTCCTCACTGTTCTGTAAATACACGAATACAAAAATGGGTGCATCTTGTTCATGTGCATCAGCTGTTAATGTACTCTCTCATGAGAAGAAGCAACAACAAATAATTGATGCACCTCAGAAGAGAAAGGTGTATCGGGATGAAAAATCAAAACAATCAATTGTTTCGGAAAAAGCATCCTCAAACCACAAAATATCATCATCTCCTCCTAAAGATGAAGAAACAACAAAAGCTTCGCCTAAACAGGCAATTGACCAACAAGAGAAAAAGGAAAGAACAGAAACGAAAAATTCATCTCAGTCATTGAATGAAACCGTCACAAAGAAATCATCAAATGAATTATATAATGATTTAAAACCCAATGAAAATATGACTAATTCTGTATCGCAAGATTTGAAAAAAGTTGACAGTGTGGCTTTTTCATTTGTCAAGAGTTTACTTCCTAAACGTTTTACATTCTCTTCTGATATTGAAAAGAAGGAACAGGATCAATTGGAAATTCTTTCTTCATATTTACCTCAACATTTGCTTTATCAATTGGAGGATTCCGAATCAACAGATTTGATTATGGGAACAAGTTATGAAACATGTGTTTTAATGATTGATATTAGTGGGTTCACACCTCTCACTGAATCACTTTCAAAACAACCCAATGGAGTTGAGTTATTAACCAAGTATATTAATGCTTATTTTACCGGTCTGATTGAGTATATTTATAGTTATTCAGGAGATATCGAGAAATTTGCTGGAGATGGTAAGTAGAATTCTTTTCCTTTTCTATAAGAGTTGTAGCTATAATATGTCAATTTTGTAATAGGAAAGGACAAAACAAATCTCTTAAAGAATTGGTTTTATCAGCAATGGAGTGTGCTCTTTCCATTCAGAAGAATGACAAGTTGAGATTTTTCAAAGTTAATGATTCAATTTCATTGCAAATTCATTGTGGTATTTCGATTGGATCATTGACAACTCATCATATTGGAGGTGTTTCAAATTACTATCTCAGAATAAGCTCAGGGCATGCATTATTGGAGATGGGAAGTGCGCTAGGTAACTCAAAGGTTGGAGAATTGTGCTTAACAAAGGAAGCATACGAAATTGTAAAGAACTCGTGTACATGTAAAAAAGTCGAAGGAATAGAAGAGGAAGCTTACTTGGCAATTGACCTCGCTGGAACTGTAGTTGAGAAATCAAATCTTGAACCTGTAAATATTACACCAAAGCTAAGTCAAGCAATCAAACAATTTGTCAGCCCCTCTGTGAGGAACAAGATAATGGCTAGGCAAGAAGATTGGTTAAATGAAATCAAACCTCTAAGCATTGGATTCCTTTCCGTTATTGATTCAAATAATTATTCTTCTGTCATTGAGTCCAATAATGCCTACCAGGATTACATCTTTCTAGTTCAACACATTTTGGAAAAGTACGAAGGGTTTATAGCTAATCTTCTCTCAGATGAGAAGGGAACAATTCTAGTGTTTTGCTTTGGGTATCCATTGGCTCACACCAACGATCCTCTTAGGGCTGTTAAAGCAGGTATAGAAATACGAGAACAATTATCCGAATTGGGAATTAAAGGAGGGCTAGGTATTTCCACAGGAAAATGTTTCATTGGAAATGTGGGATCAATGTATAGAAAGGAGTTTACTATTTATGGAGACAAAGTAAATTTGTCTGCTAGGTTAATGAAAGAATCAGAAAAACATGATGGTATGGTGTTATGTGAAGAAGATACGTATTCAAAACTGAAGGGTGCAAAGATTGAGATACTTGACCCAATCAAAGTTAAAGGAAAGAGCAATTTGATCAATATTTGCAAGGTTTTAAATGGAGAAATAGCGGCAAAACAATCATACTACAATGCTAAGAAATCTGGATCAGAGCTTGTGACAGAGCTTGAAGTTGATGACAAAATCGGTCTGATAGGTAGAGATAGTGTGTTCAAAGCCATTGAGGCCATAGTTGAAGCAAAGGTGAAACAATTTGAAGATGTAAATGCTGTGAAAGACTCTTCAAAGTTCATTACCATTAGAGGAGATGTTGGTTTGGGAAAAACAGATTTGTTAACTCGTTTGTCAGATATTTGGAAAACAAAAATTGCCACCGTCTACATTTCTCCTCCACAGTTTGAAACGCCATTTTACTCCATGCTGTCCAATGTTAGGATTTGTTTTTGTGAACATATCTACAAAAAGAAAAATATTGAACTGGACTATTCGAAAGTGGAATCCATTTTCAAAGCTTTAACAATTCAAGAGAAGGAGGAACTGGTACGGGAAAAAACTGATGAATCAGATATAACTTACATGTATCTACTGAATAATATTTTTGGAGTTAAATTTAAATCAAATGGAGAATTATTGACTAAGGAACAGATTGTTGACATTTCTGCAAGAATAATGTGTAAATTCCTTGTTAATTGTTGGGTTTCTTTTGGGTATGGAAGTCAGCCGTGGTTTATGCTATATGATGATTATCAGTATACAGATCCATTTACAAGAAAACTTGTTACACTTTTCTTGGACGTTTATCCTCTCACTCAAACTATGATTGGAGTCTATGCATCAAGAATTATGGACAATGATTCTGAAATCAAAGATATTGAACAAAAGAAGATTGATTTTGATTTTTGGAATGAGAGAGCAGACTTGGTGATTAATTTGAAGCCATTCTCGAAGGCTGAGTGCAAAGAATATCTCAAGTTATTCTACAAGGCATCTGATGTGCATGCAGATGCTCTCGAATTCGTTTTTGAAAAGAGTCAAGGAAATCAATTATTTACCAAGATGATTTGTTCATTCTTAAAGGATAACAAACGATACCTGATTGAGGATGAAACTCTTAAATTGAAGAATACTATGCTTGATGTTGAAATTGTATCTTCAATGAGTGCCTACGTTCAAAGAAAGATTGACCGTCTTGATGATGAAACTAAAATTGCTTTGAAGATTGCTTCAGTTTGTGGAATGGAGTTTGACTTGAATGTCATTGAAGCAGCATTTCCAAATGATTCATCAATTAACAGAGAAGGAAATATTGAAGGATTATTAACCACTCTATTTGTGAATGACTTGTTGGTTAAAAATGGATCTCAGTACAAGTTCAGATCGTCACTAATTCACTCAATTGTCTATGAATCAGTTCCAAAGGATCAAAAGAGAGAAATCCACCTCAAGTTGGCTAATTTATTCATAGAAAAAATTGAGAATGATAATTCTGAAGAGGTTCAACAGACTATCTTCCTTAATACCGCATCTTTACATTATTCATATTATTATGATGATATTATTCTTGAAGAGGTTCTTACTGGTGATCCTCTAGAGAAGGAAGTTGAACTTCATAACCTTTGTGTTGCTTATCATTTAATTGAGAAAGCAATAACTCTATTTGATAGAAAGAGCAAGCAAATAGATACCATAAGAGAATTAGGGTTGGCCATCATACGAATCTTGGGAAATGTTGTAAAATATTGGAAAGAAAACTCAAAAGCAGACCACATGAACAGTCCAAGATTGGGTAGCAGTCTAACACTCAGAGATTTTATCAAAAACACCAAAGAATTGTGCAACAGAAGGTTTGAGGATTTGAAAATGATTGACTCTTCTCCCTATATATTTGCTAAATCCTTGCATCAAATGAAAGAACATCTTGCAAAACATTTACTCCACCATTCAGAGTTTATTCGGATAAATAGTGTTGGAGATAATGAAATTAAGGAGCTTGCTGAACAGTTGATTAGAAAAGGTATTGAAATTTGTCCTCCTGAAAATAAGGACCTCCTATTTCATTTACACCTTCAACAATGGTTCTTTAAATTCCTGAATGATCAAACTGATGAAGCATTAGGATGTTTACCTTCACTAGCCGAAATTGCTTCTGACAATCCCAAGCTAAATGTCTTTTATGAGATAGCTGCTTCCTTCTCAAATTATACCAGAGGATGTTTTGAGCAAGTTAGGCTCCATTCTAAGAAGGTAATTGAGATTTACTCCCAGGACCCTGATAACATTTCACAATATTCCATCGGCAACTTTAGAAATATGGATGCTCTTGTATTCATCATTTCGTACGCAGCAAGGTCATCGTATGCTCTTGGTAAATTCGAGGAAGCAAGAGCATATTTCGAGTTAGGAAGAAAGCGTTCTTTAGAGATCAATCATCCTGCCTCACTAGTACATTTCTTGACCTTTAGTTGCTCCTATTTATTGCAAAGCGACCAAATCGATGAACTTGAATGTATTGCAAATAAGGGATTGGAAAGTGACCTTGTTCCTCCTCACCAACAATTGTTCCAGAAATTCTACCTAAATTATGTCAAATTTAGAAAGACAAATGATAATCACTCCATTGTTTGCCAAGAAAAGGATATACTTCAATTATCCCTAATCAACAAGATGGAATCATTGTATGCTTCTATATCTCATTACAATTCTCCGTCACTTGTTGTTAATTATGCAATTTTGGATTCTAAACTCAAATATTTGGAATTAATTTCAAGGATGGAAACCACTGCTTGTCCATCAATATTTGGCGTTTTGAAGTCATTTGATGAACTGATGGAACATTCTTTGAAATCAAATCAAGAGAACATGTTTGGAGATTTATGGAGACTGAAAGGAGAAATGAAAGTTATAGAGATGAAACTAAAACTCGAAGATTCTAGTAATGAGCAAGCTGTTTTAGCCAATGTTGAAGATTCCTACAATACTGCATTGAAATATGCCAATGACCAAAAGGCAAATGGGATCAAAGTTAAAATCCTCATATCCTATTTGAAATCCTTACAATCATTCTCATCTTTACAATCAACAAAATCTACAATTGAAAAGATAACACGAGAACTGAAAGAAACATGTCTAAACGTTGAAATTCCCACGTTCCACTCTTACCATGATATTGAAGTATCAATCTTGAAACATTAAGACGAAAAAGTATTGACGATCATTATCATTCAGAAAAAGTAAAAAATTCCTCTCTGAACAATTTGTTCTAATCTGTTCTTCTCTTTATGATGACAACAACTTCTGATTATCATTGTTACAAAAAAATGCAGAATATGAATATTGATATTTTTTATGTGATTTGCTCCTTTCTGAAATATTATCACATTCATAGTTTATTATGTGTTAATAGTGAATTTTATTTATATGGTTCCGATGATCAGGTTTATAAATTAGTTTATGATCAATTATTGGAATTTAAGAATTTAATTGTAATGAATCATGTTTTTAATCCAAAATCAATGAAAATGGTTCCATTCAATGATACGATTTTTCCAATGATTACAAAAAACTATCGGAATGAATTGGTAAATTTAAAAAGATCAAGAAGTGGTGGAATTTATTTTCCATTTAAATATAGAAATGAAATTTCAAAATTAGAATTTAATAATTTTACTCAGTCAAGAATTTTAGTGCTTGGAGATGAAAGTGTTGGAAAATCATCTCTAATAGATAAGGTATTGGATAATTCAACTGGTTTTGAAAAAGGAGTTTTAAATTATTGTGGAAATACATTAACATTTATTAATTTAATGTAAGTTTATTTGGAAATATGAATTAAATTTGTATTAGAGATGTTTCAATTAGAAAACATCAATACCCAGTTGACTGTTGTTTGATTTGCTATTCGATTGCATCTTGGAAATCATTTGAAAATGTAAAGAAACGATATATTCCAGAAGTTTCGTATTTTTCACCAAATATTCCAATAATTCTCGTTGGAACGAAGGCAGATTTGGGAGATAATGAGAGGAGGTCATATTATGGTGATTTAATGAGGAAAGTTTCATTTGATGATGGTGAAACTCTAGCAAGACAAATCAATGCAATTTCATTTATTGAGATTTCAAGTAAAACTGGAGAGGGATTTGAGGATTTAGTCGACTTTCTAATAAGAGTTCAATTACTTTCAAAGGAAATAATTTTGAAGGAAAAGCAATCAAAATGGAATTGTATAATATTGTAGTAATCAACGTTTAAATTTCATAGTTGATGATTGACATTTCATTTATCAAAATGATGCCAGATTAGTCCAAAAGAATTAATTGTTATTAATATTGATGGCCCAGTCAAAAACTTTGTAAGGTGGGAAGATGGCAAACACCTAAATACAAGTAGCTAATAATCATGATTCATTACATGATGCAACACTTTTTTCTTTTCTGTCTATTGAGTTGATTGATAATAAAATTACCTAATTGAATCACTTGTTGATGATATTCTTTTGTTTTCTGAATGTGATTTTCCCATGTATTGATGTGATGAATTGCTGGACCTTGTCTCTCACCTGTTTCTGCTTGATATTGAATAAAGAAAAAGGCGTGTTCTTTTGAAGATCCACATATTGCAACTGTATTTCTAGTTCTCAATGAAATATTTCTTGAAATGTTACAAGAAACATCAAAATGAGAGAATCTATTCATTTCTGTACTTTCAATAATTATATCTTTCCACAATATTTGACCATTTTCAGCATTGAAACAAAACATGTAAAATCCAGCAGATCCATAAATGGAAACAATTAAATAATTTTCTATCAATATGGTTTGTACATTTGGATAGTATGGAAATTTTGTCAATTCATGAATTGGAATTTCCCATTCAGGTTCCTCAATGACATTAATATTCAATTTACAAAATGCTAAATGAGTTTCTGTAATAGAAACCAAACCAACAAGATTATTATTCAAATTTTCAACCATGTAGACTGCAGTTGGCTTTTTCAAATTTTCAATCTTTTCTCCACTTTTCAAATTTACCAATTCAGTTCTAATTTTATGTTTATCATCCACACCTGATATTAAATAATATTCACTTCCAAGACATGTTAAATCGACATGTAAATTTCTAGATCCATTTATCATTGGAACACAATATTGGAAATTATTTCTATAATTTTCCAAGTTAATATCCTCCAATTTAGAATCAAGTTTTAAGGATGCAATAGTTACTCTTGAATCATTAGATCTAATGTCCAACAGTAACAAATTACCACAATTGGTTTGATCCTGAGAGAATTCATTCTCCAAATCTGTCAATGAAGTATTAATACTACTCTTCATCCTATTCCATTTGAGAATTGTTTTCTTTTCAAAATTTCGTAAATGAATACAAGTTAATGTAGAATAATTATTCGATTGACTTTCATTCTCTCTACAAGATATAATGAGATAATCCCTACTTGTTATTATATTATCCAATACTCTATTGGTACTCGTTAATTTACCAGTTTGTTTTTCATTCAATGCCTTCACTTGATCATAGAGTGGAACATGTGAATTCCCTTCCTTTACAATTAATAAACTGTCATGTGTAATATTATATATAAATTCAATAATTCCCAAATCTTTTCTTATTGACATGACATATCTACAATGATCATCCTTTAGAGTAACAAATAATTGTCTCTTATTTTGATAACTTCTATTATTATTACCACTTAATTGATATAGTGGCCATTTCAAATCCTTTAACTGAATTGACCATCTAATATTTGAAAATGTTTCCAAATCAACACATGTTATTTTCATTCCTAAATAATTATTACTATTATTATTATTATTAGAAGCAGCAGCACCAGTAAATACAATTGGATAAGCAAAAAAGTGATCATACGGAAGGTGATTGGAATGGAATGTAAAATTAGTAGTACCAGGCATCCACTTGACCATTAATTCATAATAATCAATCAATAATTCTAAACAATTATTCTGATCGGAATAATCACGATTCCTATCAGAATTTTCCATCAAAAACTCTAAAATTGATTCGAATGATAAATAATCATCTCCAATTATTTCATCATTATTTCTATTATTATCAGAATTATCGGAATTATCATTATTATCATAATGAAAAACATTCTTCTTGATTGTAGCTGTTAAAATATCATGATAAATTAAACATGTCTTTTTTGTGAGTAAATCAAATTTATAACATCCATAGAGATGATATCTGTTTTGTAAATAATTTTCAAAATAGTAATGACTTGATTTGTAGAATTGATGATTTAAATGTTTTAAAACTTTTTCAATGGTTGTAAAATTGGAATATTGGAGAATGAGTAAAATAATTTCGTCTGGAAGTTGGAAATTCATTTTTTTTTTTAATTTGATGTGATGCCTGACACAGCAATGAACAATTTTACTAAATATATTTAAAAAAATAAAGAGGGAAACTTTTTCGAAAATAACCATGCTGAAATTATTATTGATTGATTCAGAAATACGTTTTAAAGACTTGTTCCTTAATATCTCATCTTGATAGACTTAGTGAAAATGATATTGAGAATGAAGGTACTTGATTTCTGAGTGGAATGAACAAATTAATATTATTGAATATTGCTAACACTTGTATTGATTTTGTATCAGCTCAATTTATTTCAAATATGAAACAATTTGTTACTATTAGTGAACTTGATCCGATCTTGACATTTGTAACGGTCCTATCAGCTGTGAAGGAGCTAAACAGAAATTGGAACTCTCTGAAACATCAAAAGGCAGATAAATATGCCCTCAACAACTGAACTTGAATCTACTCTAACATGTGTTGAACTATCATGTGGGCTGTTAAGAATATTCCAGGTTAATAGTGTAATAATGTGATGAGATGGTGTTGTTATGGCACTTTGGTACATAACTAATCCATCCATTTATAGAAAGCAATCTTTTTTGGATTTTTAAAACAACCGTGGTGTCACATTCTTTCAACTTGCAATCATTCGATGGATCTTTAAAAAAAATTATCAAACATTGTTCACAATGACATTTTTCACACAATTCTCATCACCAACAACAATCAACACACTTGTCTCTAATTTTTCTAATGCCAACTGTCATCCACTATTGATTAATCTAACAAGAGAGAATCCATCTCTATTCAGAGAAAATGTAACATCCAATGATTCATTTGAATATGGACTATGTCCTGAAACTCTAATAGCTCTCATTTTGACAAGTTGTATCTTGTTCATTTATTTAATTACTTTTATTGTGAGTTTAGTTGGAGTTTTATGGGAGAGAAGAAATCAACACATTCAAGCAAGAAGTTTCTCTCTCATGTTGGCAAATATGATTTCTAATTTAATTCTTGTATTGTTGGTCACATTGAGAATAATTGTTAGCAAAAAGTATTATCCATGTTTTATATTGTCCATCACTTTCATGTTATATCCTCCATTATTGACATTACCTTCCATTTTGAGAGGATGTCGATTATACTTTCTCTACTTGTTGAATTTGAAAAAGAAGAAATTATTTGGACATGAGCATCATTCTACATCATTAGAGTCGATATTTAATATTGAAATGTCAAGTAGTAATAATGTATCGAGAAGATCATCAAATACTGAAACTATTGCTAGCTCAACACTTTCAACGAATGAATTTATTATTGGAAAAGAAACTAATCTTGATGAAATTCTATCTAAAAAGGATAGAATGATATTGAGATTATATGAATTTCTATCAAGTAACAAATTTATTATTACATGTTACATTCTTGCCTTTATTGTTCATTTAATTTTATGGTCAATTCTTGGTGGTATTGAGCTAAGTGTTTATGATTCTACTCAATCTTGGGTATTTATGGAAAGTGGATTTTTTGAAGCAATACATGGTTGTAATATCAAATCTAATATTTTAATTGTAATTGGAGTTCAATCTGTCTTTTATTTAATTTCAGTTTTTGTAATTATTGTATTATGTATATTATCAGATAGAGATACTTTTAATATTAAGAGAGAGGAATTGATTTCTGTTATAATTTTAACAGTTTGTGCTATAATTTATACAATTCTTGGTTCTATTCCAGCAATTACAACTCTAGTTGACTATTTTATACCCTATGTGCTACTATTTGTATTATATGCATGGTTAGAATGTATTATTTGTGTTATTTTACCTGTTTTCTATTCTATTAGAAATAGAATGAGAAACCAAAAAGACAATTCTAATGTTGATAATTTCATTCTTTTATTATTGAAAGATAAGAAAGCACATGATGATTACTGACTTTGCGAGGAGAAGTTATTGTTTGGAAGATATTTTAGCATGGAATGATATTCAAAACTTTAAAAAACAGAGAAAGAGAAGAAAGGTAGCTTTTGATTTTCTTGAAACTTATCTAGTACCCAATTCACCACTTGAATTGAATATTCCAAATGGAAGATCAACACTTGCAACATTGAGAGAACAATTGGATAAATTGAATGGAGAAGAACCTGAAACTAATTTCTTTGATTTTATTGAATTTCAATGTTTACAAAATATGACTGATATTATACAAAGATTACAAGTTAAGAATGAATATATTTCAAGAAAAGTTAAAGAATTCTCCAAATAATTCATTCAATAATAACCTAAGACCATTTCCAGAAGTATTAGAAGTTGATACATAATGATGAAATTGTTGATGATGTGATTGTTTAGGAAGTAGCCATACAATATCAAAAACACAGTCAAATACATATTAAGTTCAGTTCGTTTTGAAAATTATTGAATTTTCTGTGTTAGATTTACACGTGATTGTGAATAAGGTAGAATATTTTGAATTCTCTTATCTTCTACAGGTTTTCCAATAGTGAAATGATACAAATCTTGATAATTTGAAATTTCATTGTCAGTGTCTGTTGGATCGATTGGTAATTCCTTCTCAAGTAAATTACCTAAAATAGTATCATCAAAGAAACAACCAATTCCTGTTCCTCTCAATCCAATTCTCTCAGCTTCCAAATATAATACTTGTCCAATAAATCCTGCTTCTTGATAAAGATATTTAAATGAATGAGTGTGTTCAATATTTAAAAATCTGCCAGTAATCATTGATAAACTGAAACAACCATCACTTGCAATATCTTGAACACAAGATGATAATTTTGAGAACTTTTTCAAATCACCTTCCATTAATCTATAAAATGGTAAATGAGGTTCAGTCTCCTCTATATAGAAAATACATTCCACTCTCTAATCCACTCACTCTATGTACAAATAATATTAAATTAACATTCTTTCCAATTGATTTAAATTCTGAATCAAAAGGAGATAAACATCTCCATAAGGAAGGATATCTAGATGGTAATAATTTCTCCAAAATTGAATAAAAATTATTGACATTATCAATTGCAGTTTTACCATCAAAACTTTGAGCACTTCTTCTTGTCCTAATAATATCATGTGCTAATAAATTACTTTTAGGTTGTTCAATATATTTAATTGGTTGTAATTTGTAAATTGTCTCCAAGTTTTGTTGTGTTTTTTGATCATCTTTCTTTCCTTGTTCACATAAAATTGGTATTGGTTCCATTTGTGGCCATTCTTGATGTTCATTTGTTAATAAATTAGGTGTACCATATCTTTTACGATTTAATTTTCCAGATTTTAAATCTTCCATATTTGTAATATTCATATTTTCATTAAATTGAATTGTATCATTAATAATTAATTCATCTCTTTTCAATGATATTTGTGGTTTTGTATCAATGACTAGAATAGTTTCAAATTTTTCAAATTCCTTTCCATATTCATTTTGATTTAATTCTTTAAATTGATCTAATCCTAATAAATATTCCATAAATTCATTTGAAATTGAAGAATGTTCATTTAACATGAAACAATCCCATCCCAATAAATTTGAACTCATTTTGAGACAATTAATTAAATGACCAGTATCTAATTGTGAATATCTATAACTTCTAATTCCATATTTCCATGTTTCTCTATAATTAATAGTATTTATACAAATAAAGAAATATCTTTGTTGATTAAATAAAAATGAAAAGTTTGGAAATTCACATCTCAATTGAAGTGAATGATCTTCAGGTTGATATGAATAAATAAATGTACCTTCATCATTAACATTAGAATTATTAATATTAGAATTATTAATATTAGAATTAGAATTATTAATATTAGAATTATTAATATTAGAATTATTATTAAAAGTATTATTTGAATCATTTTTAGATAAATGGTCAACTTGAATATTAGAATTTAATATTAAATAAACTTCACATGGATGTAAATTACCAGATGATGGATTAACTCTCAAACTCCACTTATTATGTCCATACTTTTTAGTAGCAGATAAACTTGATGAATAAAACATAAATTGACTCAAACTTTTTTCATTCAATTCACATCGTTGAATGAATTGATGAGAATCTGAATGTTGAGAATGATCATTATCATTAATTATTCCCTCTTTTAATTGTTGTTGTTGTTGTTGTTCTAAATAAAAATCCTTAAAATCATTAAATAAATAATCTTGATGATCGGAATGGTGATCAGTTTGTATCATCGTCATCATTTCTCTTGTTAAATGGAGAAAATACTTTTCACTTGCATCCTTTCCAATAAAACTTCTAAAAGGAGATGGTTGATGATCCCAATCTAAATAACCCTTCGATGGAGCATATTTATGTGGATAGACATGTTTGGTCTCATTTTGAAATTTGAGTAATTCTTTCAACCGCGTAACCTGCAATTGTTGTCTTTTCATTTTTTTTAAAGTATTATTAATTTATTGTAATATACTTTACAAAAATGTTAATTATTAACAATGACATTATTAAAAAGAGAAACCCAATCATTAAAAGTGAAATTTTCACCATTTTGAATAGCAACACCATTAACATAAAAACTTGGAGTAGCAAAAACACCATTTGCAGTTGACAATTTAAATAAAGTTCTAGTTCTCATATCAATTGATCCATCAAGCATTAAATTTAAATAATCATTCCATGAAATAACATTTAAAGATTGAATATTATTAGTATAAATTAATTTGTACATTTCAGATTGTTTCATTTCAGATACAATATTATTATATAAAGGTGATTGATTAGTATAGAATGAATTAATTAATTCTTTCAATACTTTTGAATTATAATTTGTATACTTGTTAATAGCAATATAACTCATACTTGTTGCATAGGATGAAATATGATATGGTAATGGTAATAAATGTAAATTTAATTTAATTGGTGCACTACTTGATGAATTACTAAAATAATATGAATCCAATGATTTGAATACTGATGTCCACCATTCTGCTGAATCACTACATGCCAAATCAACATATAAATCAATTTGTACTTTAATAGAATCGGAATTTTTAGGGGTTGTTGTACTCCATGAATCTTTTAGACGTGAAATTGGTGGTCCAATTGGTGATATTTTACAATTTACTACTCCAACTACTAATAAAAGGCTAGAAATAATGATCAACAAGCCTAAAAATGGTCGAATATGGATTGATGGTAATGATGATGATTGTGGCATTTTTTTTTGAATAGTTTTCAAAGATCTGTTGGAGATTCGGAATAAACTGTTCACTCCGTAAGAAACTCCTATCATCATAATTTCAATGTAGAATTTTCAAATTTCAATAGTCCACCCTGATATTGTAAGAAAGCTTATCAAACTCTCTTTTTCATTTCATTGTAATCAATTATGAAAATATTTAAATATAAATTATTAAATAATAGTACTATTAAAAAAAATGAGTACTCAATCATTTGTAATTATCCTTTCAGTGTTGGCTGTGATTGTCTATGTGGTTAGGAAAATGATGGTCAAGAGAAAATTAAAATTCCACCTCAAGAGTGATTTATCAAAGAAATCACAATTAAATATTGTCATTACAGGTAAGACTAAAAAGAAAGCCTATTTTTTTAATATTCATGTATTTGTGATGGATGATCAATTTAAAATCAAAATGAACATACCAATGTATGATATTATTATTAAATACAATTAAAATTAATAGGAGGAACAAGAGGAATTGGATTTGCTCTCATCAAGGAATTATTAATTAATTATCCAAATCATAAAATTGTATATACTGGAACAAGTGAAAATTCAATTACAAAATCAAAGGAACAATTTGTAAAGGAAATTCCAAACTTTGATTCTAATTGGTATAACACGCGTTTGTTTGCTTGTGTTTGTGATATTTCCAACTATAATGATATTCATCAAGTATTAATTCCATTCATTAAGAATAATTTGAATCAAGTTGATTTGTGGATTAATAATGCTGGAGTTGGTGATTGTAGAAAGAAATTAAAAGATATGAGTCAATCAGAAATTGATGGAATTTTAAATGTCAATACTCATGGAACAGTTTATGCAACACAAGCTGCAATTCAATTATTGGATTCTCAAAAAGAAGGTGGACATGTCTATTTAATGGAAGGATTGGGATCAGATGGTAGAACATCACCTGAATTATCAATTTATGGTATGAGTAAGGCAAGTTATAGACAATTTGTCAGCTCACTTGTTGGTGAAACTGCTGATTCTAAAGTTGGTGTTCACAGAGTTTCTCCTGGAATGGTGATCACATCAATGTTGTGCACTGATACAATGAATAGCAAAGTTAAGAATATTTTCAATATTTTGGCAGAAGATAGAGATGTAGTAGCCAAATATTTAATTGGAAAGGTTGTTAAAACTCAAGGCACTGATTCATTCTATGCATTCTTAACACCTCTCTCAGTAATTTTCAGATTCTTGACATTCTTTATGAGAAGAAACAAATTCTTTGATAAGGATGGTAAATTGAAAGAAAAGTATGCCAATCAATGGTAATCTCTATCTTTCATGTTTTCTGAATTAGCCTTAACTTTGGCAGAACATAAAGTTAAAATTTTAAAAATACAAAAATTTAAAAAATGGCCTATCGTGTACGAAATGAACGTGTCGAACAAGCACACAGTGATTCCGTCTTTGCTGTAACCTGTGCTCAAGATAAAATTATCACTGGAAGTGTTGATTCATCAATTAAAGTTTGGAGATTGGACAATTTTGAATTAGCCTTAACTTTGGAAGGACATAGATTGGGAATTATTTCTATTGTTAGTGATCAAACTGGGAAATGTATGTTTTCATCACCATCATCATCATGATCATCAATTTATTTATTAAATATTATTATCATATCATACATAATAATAACATCATAGATGTTGCTACAAGTTCAATGGACTCTGTAATTAGAGTGTGGGATATTGAAAAGGGTAAATCAACAATTATTATAGAAGCTCCACCACGTATGTATTAATAGTATATTTATAATATTTAATAGTATTTAGTTGAATCATGGACTTTGGCATTTAGTGCTGATGCTCAACATTTAGCAACAGGTACTAGATCAGGAAATGTTAATATTTTCAATGTACAAACAGGTGAAAAGGAACAATCTTTAGATACACAAAAGAAGACTTTTATTATGTCTGTTGCATATGTATGTTTAAATAGTTTAATATTCTAATTGACAAATGACAGAGTAATTGTGGTAAATATTTGGCATGTGGTGGACAAGATGGAAGTGTTTGTGTTTTTGATATTTCAACATCTAAATTAATGCATCACTTGGAAGGACATTCCATGAGTGTGAGAAGTATTGTTTTTACTAATGATTCTCAAAGATTAATTTCTGCCTCTGATGATAAGCATATTAATGTTTATGATATGTATGTTATTATTATAATAGTATTTAATAGTGAAATAATTTAACAATCATAATTCATAATAATTCATAATAATTTTACAAATAATTTATAATAATAATAGTAATTCAGGATCACTTGTTAAATCACTTAGTGGACATCATTCATTTGTTTTGACATTGGCTGCTTCTCCAACAGGTCAAATATTTGCATCTGGATCAGCTGATAGACAAGTTAAAATATGGGAAACAAGTACATTGGAATGTATTCATAGTTTTGAAGAACATAAGGATCAAGTTTGGGGTTTGAGTTTTAACACTAGTGGTGATTCCTTAATTTCAGTTTCAGATGACATGTCAATTGTTCAATACGTTTGTCCTTTAGATTCAAGTAAATAAAATAATCATTAAGATTTTGTATCAATTTCCATGTCAATGTAATTTCCGTAGATGGAGAGATAGAAGGAATTAGAAACAATATATCTGAAACAACAATTAGAACTCGAGCATTTGTAAGCGAATCTATCGCTCATTATAAAATTTAACTAGCATCAGTTTATTTTCCATTCTCTATTAATTTAAACGATGGACATTTAAGGATCTTAAAAATTGCAGTCAACTGAGCAAAACGATATTTTATGAGTGCGATTGGTTGACTTGTATAGTTTCCTCCTCAAATAGTCTATTTTTTGATTCAAGCCTAAAAATACAACATATAAAAAATCAACAACATCACTCTCGCCCTTTGCTCTCCAACAACTTGCTGCTCCTAAGCAATTAATAATTAAACCACCACCATCATTATCATAAAAATGTCCTCCTCTGTTGCTACTGGTAATAATGAAAACTTTGACCTTGAATTGGGTAGAGTTGTACAAGAGGAAACATCAATTGATGTTCCTCTGAATGATATGAATAATTCCGTTCAACCATTTGATGAAAATCCAATTAATTTACCAAAATTTAAAACATCTATCATCGGAACTGAAACTAGACAAGAAGATCCTGAACATCAAAGTCTAATTCATGATAATAGATTTACCGTCTATGAAATTAAGGCTACCAATGAAAATGATTCTCAAACACATTATGTATTTAGAAGATTTTCTGAATTTGTTAAATTGGTAAATCATCTTGCTGAAAAGTATGCTGATAAAGCCTCTGATTGTGAACAATTACATTCCTTCCTACCAAAACAGCCATGGTTCTGGACTAACAAATTTGCAAAGGAAGTTATTGATGATAGAACTGAAAAATTAACAAATCTATTGGATTTCATTTCCTCTCATGAAATTTTTAGAAATGATGAACAATATTTTGAATTTTTACAATGTGATATGAAAATGTTGGAAAAAGCATTAAGTTATTATAGAAATAGATTATATCACTTCCAACAATCTAGAAAAGATTTGAAAAATAAGGATGAATATGAACGTAGTCAAGAAATGGTTCGTCAATTAACAAGAAAGCGAAGTGAAAGTCTTTCAAAGAAACATTAACTGTAATGGACTTCTTTTATGTAAATCAATCTCTATAAAATTCGAATGTAAATAATAAATACCAATAATAGCACGATCTTTTTAAAATTCAAGAATGTCATTTCCTAACCGAGCTAATTTTTTCTTTAGAATTTTGGATTTATAATTTTTACAAAATCTAATATAAGGGGTTATAGCTCAGTTGGTAGAGCGTCTGCTTTGCATGCAGAAGGTCTAGGGTTCGATTCCCTATGACTCCACTTTTGCTCCTTTTGCTGTCTGTACTTTTAGTGATTGGTGCCGAGAAAGATGTCACTTGTATCGTTGTTATCTTCCTTAATTTCCAAATGTTATTAATGTATTGATCTTTTTATTCTCTTAATTGTAATAATTTTGATGTTTCCGTGTTGTCATGCAAGTTTCAATATTTATTTTTAGCTCTAACTAATTGTGGAGCGGGAAACTTGAGACGAACCAAATCTTAATCAAAAAAATGGCACGATCTCACAATAAATTCGTTAAACATAATGGCTATACATCATCTGATGAACACTATCGGAAAGAATATAGAAAATCAGATAGAAAAGCCTTTAGAAAAACAAGTAGAGATGTATTCACGAATGATATCATATCAATAGTTAACAAATTAGATGAAATAAAACCATCTAAACCTGAAAGGCATGTTATGTGTCCAATGTGTCAAGCCATTTGTGAGAGACATTATAAAGAAATTGATCTTACTTATGAAAATGGTATAATTGACCATGTAAATGAAGAAATTAAGGTTCAAAAACAAAAAATTAAGCAACAATCAAAAGAGGAAAAATTTATTCAAATGTGCAAATCAAGATCAGAGCATAAAAAGAAGAAAATTATTAAGAAAATAGAGAGAAATGGTGGATTGAATGAATTATCAACTAATCAAATTAATTCCATCGTTCATTCAAATACTACAAATAATAATACTGAGATTATTTCAGAAAGTGATGAAACTGATTCTGAAACTGAATTACATTTAGAAAAGTTAAAGAGGGAAAAACTGAAAAAACAATATCTTTACAAATGTTCAGCAAAGGAAATTGAAAGGTATGATGAAAAGCAAAGTCCTCAAGTTTTTAAATTTGTTAGAAAAATGAAAAATAAATAATAATTATTAACCATCCATCCTCTCACATTTTGATTCATTCCTATTATTCATTGAATCAGGCTGATAGGTTAAACAATTATCATCATTATTAAACATCATCGTGTTGGCAAGCTCGGAATTTCAAGCCTTGTTATTGTTCGAAGCGTGACTTCAATCTCAAAAACACTTAACTTTTCAATGTTGTAAAAATGCCCTCCAGAAAAAATATTTCAACAACTACAATACAGCCTTCTTCCTGTTGCGCCCTGTTTGTGTTTTTTCATCATCAAATAACAACAACAATAACAACAATTACCGAACAACAATAACTAGTATTTAAATTTCAACAACAAAATGTCAGTCTTACAACAAATCAAGGATATCGAAGCTGAAATGGATAGAACCCAAAAGAACAAAGCCACCGCTTACCATTTGGGTACATTGAAAGCTAAATTAGCCAAGTTGAGAAGAGAACTCTTGACTGATGCTACTAAAAAGAAAGGACCAGGTGGTGATGGTTTCGATGTCAACAAATCCGGTGATGCTCGTATTGGTCTTGTAGGTTTTCCTTCTGTGGGTAAATCTACTCTACTTAACAAGATGACAAATACCTTCTCTGAAGTTGCTTCATATGAATTTACAACATTGACTTGTATTCCTGGTGTTATTAACTACAAGGGAGCAAGATTGCAATTATTGGATTTACCTGGTATCATTGAAGGTGCTAAGGATGGTAAGGGTAGAGGTAGACAAGTTATTTCTACTGCTCGTACTTGTAATTTGATTTTAATTGTTTTGGATGCTCTTAAACCACTTACACACAAAAAGAAGATTGAATATGAATTGGAAGGATTTGGTATCCGATTGAATAAGCAACCACCTAATATTACATTTAAAAAGAAGGAAAAGGGTGGTTTGAATATGATGTCTTCTGTTCCTCTTACTCACTTGACAAATGAAATTGTTAAAGCCATTTTACAAGAATACAAATGTCCAAATGCAGATATCATGTTCAGATGTGATGCTACTGTAGATGAACTTATCGACGTTATTGAAGGAAATCGTGCTTATATTCCTGCTATTTATGCCATGAACAAGATTGATCAAATTACTATTGAAGAATTAGATTTGATTGATAGAATTCCAAATGCTTGTCCAATTTCTGCTCACCACGAATGGAATATGGATGGTCTTTTGGAAAAGGTATGGGAATATTTGGATTTGATTAGAGTTTACACAAAACCAAAAGGTCAAGTTGCTGACTTTGGTGCTCCAGTTATTATTAGAAGAGACAAGAGTTCAATGGAAGATTTTTGTACCAGAATTCACAAACACATTTTACGTCAATTCAAATATGCTTGGGTATGGGGTCAATCCGTAAAACATCAACCTCAAAAAGTTGGTAAGGACCATCAATTACTCGACGAAGATATTGTACAGATTGTTAAAAAGATTTAAATTTTATAAATTGTTTTTTTTCAAACTATTCCTCTACTTTGAGTTTGGTTCATCATCTTTATTTCATCAGTTGAATGTTTGTCATACATACTTTTACACCATGGAGCAATAGAGTTCTATATTGTCATCTATTGTGAAGAATGGTTGAAACACATTTGTGAAGTTTTGATCTAAACAATTAGAGAGTGAGTTGTTATGAAGCGGTTAAGAGAAACATCAAATATTCAAATAAACTCTGTATCTTTCACATCTCTTCAAAAACAAGAGAGAAGAAAAAGCATCACAATTTCTGTGCATTTGAAAAAAAATTGTTTAAAAAATTTTTGTAATTTGTCTGCAAAAAAATATTGAACAACATCATCACATCATCACTATAAAAAATGTTTGTTCTCTTTGAAACAGCAGCAGGTTATGCTTTGTTTAATGTTTTGGATGAAGGTAAAATCACTGACGTCAAGTCTGTTGATGAAATGTTTGCCAACTCTTCTAAACTCAGCAAGAAGTAAGTCTCTTTATAAACTTTCAAAGCCTAATTTTCTATGATGACCATGATGATGATGATGAACAACAATACATATTACTCTCTCCATATTATTACTACTACAACTATAACAATTGTACACCAACCTCTCTACTTTACTATTATATACTCCTCTCCTAACAAAATACTCATCATTTTGCGCAAATACCATTTCTTTACTTGTTGGAATTAAAATAGTATTAAACTCAAGTCTTTTGAAAACTTTAAAGATACCAATGAAGCTCTCGTAGCTGCTACTGCTATTGTTGAATCCAAGTTGGATAAAAAGTTGAAAAAGTTCTTGAAAAAGCAATTGGCTGATAAGGAAAGTAAATTGGCTGTTTGTGATAAAAACCTTGGAGCAGCCATTAAGAGTAAACTTGGTATTCAATGTGTCTGTGATGACTCTGTAGTTGCATTGATGAGAGGTATTCGTAACAATTTGACACAATTATTAGGAGATGTTACCACTGAAAAGGATTTACAAAGCATGTCTTTGGGTCTTTCACACTCACTTTCTCGTTATAAATTAAAGTTCTCACCTGATAAGATTGATACAATGATTGTCCAAGCTATTTCACTTTTAGATGATATTGACAAGGAATTGAATATTTATGTCATGAGAGTTAAGGAATGGTATGGTTGGCATTTCCCAGAATTGTCAAAGGTTTTACGTGACAATTCTGCTTATATTAAGACAGTTTTATGTCTTCAAAATAGAAATAATGCTCAAAAGGCTCCATTAACTGATGTTTTACCAGAAGATTTGGCTAAGGAAGTTAGAGAAGCTGCTATTGTTTCAATGGGTACTGAAATTTCTGAAGATGATATGCTTCATATTTCTAAATTGGCTGAAGAAGTTGAAAGTATTACAACATATAGAGGTGCATTGTTTGATTATTTGAAGAATAGAATGCAAGCTATTGCTCCAAATTTGACACATTTGGCTGGTGAATTAGTTGGTGCTCGTTTAATGGCACGTGCTGGTAGTTTAATGAATTTGGCTAAACATCCAGCTTCAACTGTTCAAATTTTGGGTGCTGAAAAGGCTTTCTTTAGAGCTTTGAAATCACGACACAATACTCCAAAATATGGTTTGTTGTATCATGCTTCTTTAATTGGTCAAGCTCCACCAAAATACAAGGGTAAGATTGCTAGAGTTTTGGCTGCTAAATGTGCAATTTCTGCTCGTGTTGATGCTATGGGTGAAAAGGAACAAGCTACCATTGGTTTGGATTCTAGAGAAGCTGTTGAAAAACGTTTACGTGAATTGGAAAAGTATTCAACTGGTTCATCCTCTGCTTTCACTAAGGGTCAAAAGCAAAATGAACAAACTCATCGTTCAAAGGATAATCGTGGTAAAGTGAAGAATTCTTCAAACAAGTATGATGAAAGTGCTGACGTTTCTACTGTAAAGAGAAAGAGAGATGAAGATGATAGATCCTCTTTTAAGAAGAATAAGTATTAAACATACACACACAATAGTATTACATTATAGAATTTGAATAAAACATCTTTATATATTATTAATGTTTGTTTTTATTGTGTTTGTTATTAATTGTTTGTGTGCTGACTTATAATTGAAGGCTTTTCTTGAAGATAAAACTACAGATAATGAAGGCTTTAGAGTCCAACTCAAAGACTTGCCAATGAATTACCTTGGAGACGGCTATTATGGTTAATTGTGGATTATTATCGCAAAATTCTGGCAAAAAATATTTTTTTTTAATTACGGATTTGAATTATGGAAGTATTACATTAGGTATTATGACGTGAAGAATTTTAATAAAATTATGTGAATTATTACGAATAAAAATTACAGTTTTTATTAGATTATTTATTATTGTTTTATTTTGAAATTAATTAACTGAAAATTATTGCCAGTATTTATTGGTAATAATTCATACAGAATGAAAATTGATTGAGAGCAATAAGACCTGGAAATCTGATTACACTGCACACACTATTAATCTTTGAAAGAGGAATTACTGAAGTGGCAACTGAGTGAATGAATAGTTTGTACATTAATGATACATAACACAACTCTCCAAGCGTAAAAATTTCATCACAACAAACAACATTATCCCCTAATTGAGATATCTTCCCAATAAATCTATCGAATTGAATATACATTCCAACCTTAAGTGATGATTTTCTAGCAACATCAAGTGTTTTACCAACTAATCGTCTTGTAAATGGATAATCTGCAAATAATGTATTCATTCCAACTTCATGTTGCAACCCTCTAACTTCAAGTAATTTGTTATTACTTCTATCATTAAATTGTTTGAATTCAGAATGTTTCAATTCAAAAATCAACGCCCAAAACCATGTAACATCCCCAAAAAGTACACAATCTTCAAAAATGTGCGTTGCCCAATGATAATTCGGAAATTGGCAATTATCTTTGCCAAAACAATATGTAAAAATGGATTGAAATTTTGTAAATACTTTTTCACAATACACAATATCATCATGAGTATAATTCCCCCTTAATAACCTTATAAAATATTGTAAGTGAAGAATCCATCCTTGATAGAGTAATCCTTTTTTAGAAGAATCTATTTTCAACTTTTGATTATTATTGTAAATTAATTCACAAATAATAGGAGCACTC